ATGGACTTTTCCATTTGGGCAATCTTAGAGGCTAATGTCTGCTCTTTGACCTTGAAGAAGTCTTTGACCAAAGGATTGAAGGCGATTCCTCAAGATGACATTCGGGCCGCAGTGGAGGCATATCTGAACCGATTAAGGGCTGTTATCAAGGCAAAAGGCGGTCATATCGAATGATCTCTTGTTTCCTTATTTGTTACTGTTAAATAAAGCTATTTCTGTTTAAAAGTCTTCTTCCAGTGAAACTTCTTGGTGTGCAATGCCTTGAGTATCTTGTTGCAATAATTATGACGCACCCTGTATATTGAGAAATTACTCACACCAAGCGCTTTTTCGATGTCATTTTCATTTTCATTTTCAGTGATTTCACTTCTCCAAACACAATGGCTCATTGACATGAGAAAAGGGAAGAAAAAAAACTGACTCCGAAAAGAAAAGCCACAAAATCTTTGAGGTATTAATAATAATCATTGATAAGAGAGCAATGTCAGATCTTAGAGTCAGTCATTTTTTTGTTTTATTTCAAACATTCAAAATTTAAAACTCTTCCTATTTCCTTAGTCATTTCGAGGGGAATAAGTTTATTTTGAAATCTAAAAAATCAAAAAATCAAAAGATTCCCCAAGTTTCTAAATAAAAAAAGATTCCCCAAATTTCTCTCTCAACTCGTAAATTGGTGAAACAAAAAAACGACTTGTAATCTGCAGATTGACGCCTTCACTATTCGTTTTTGACAAAAAAAAGAGCAACGCGGCGGCGAGCAAAGTTTTTTTTGTGTGTGAGTTAAAAAGGAAAAGGAGTAAAAGAGAAAGAAAACAGAAGGAGAGACGTCTCTGGACGGGTTCCATCACAAATCCATATTGAGTGGCCCGTCACTCAACTCGATCTTTTTGCCTGATCTTCTTTTTTTCTTCATTCTCCCTCATTGTCACTCTCGTTTGCAGACTGAAAGCTACAAGTGTTTCACTTTCGAAATTTTGTTTCAATTTTCTCAATTTTTTTAATCAGCAAAGCTTTTGTATCTCTTTTTACTTATTAGTACACTTTTTACGATCAGTACAAATAAATTGTAGTGATTATTATCAATTGTAGTGATTATTGTTGGTTTAGATATAATCTTTATTACAGCGATAATAGTTGGTTCAGTGGTTTGAGATTGGGAGAGTGGAGGCACTCCACGGCATACCTCGGCAGCTCGTTCACATTGCTTTTATACGGAATATTGAATTGTTGAATTATTGAATTGCTCAATATTGAATTGTTGAATTGTTTAATATTGAATTATTCAATTGTTCAATTGCTCAATATTGAATTGTTGAATTGTTCAATATTGAATTATTGAATTGCTCAATATTGAATTATTCAATTGTTCAATTGCTCAATATTGAATTATTCAATTGTTCAATTGCTCAATATTGAATTATTCAATTGTTCAATTGCTCAATATTGAATTGTTGAAAGTTTCTTCTTCTCATTGTTTTGACTTCATTTAGCTCTTTTGTATTCAAGAAAGTCGAAATTTTATAATTTAATTTTTTTTGTATTTAACTCACTTTTACTCTAGATCGAAAAGCTAAGTTGAATTAATAGAATTCAAACTTTTACAGGGTACCATTTAAGGCAATAATAATAATAATAATACTTTATTCAAACGATAAAGTGAAAGAAATCATAGAGAAATGCACAGTGATACTTAATCATACAATACATACTGAAATCAATAAGCCAATTACTTACGGCAAAGAGCCACTAGATCTAAAGCATCGATACGTTTCTTGAATATGAAAAGCGACTGAATTTCTCGTATGTCGTTTGGGAGCAAGTTCCATAATCTAGCGGCTCTAACGGGAAATGAATTTGATAAAGAGGCATTGGAAGCAAAGGGAATTTGCAAAAGGAATGAGCCACTTCTGGGCCCTGACCGCGGTTTAAATTTGAAAAAGTCTATAAACAAAGGGCTAATCTGTTTACTACGGAGGATTTTGAAAGTTTCGACTAAATCAATGACAAAGCGACGATGCTGTAAAGTTTTTAGTTCAAAAAAAGCAAGTCTCTCCAATATAGGCAAAATTTGACTACAATTCTTGTTTAAAAGAGATTAACGAAGAAAAAAGGAATTATAGAAATAGAATCTCCTTCAAAGCCTTCATGATTGGTTAAAAGGTTTATTTTTCATTTCATTTTCATTCATTTTCATTAAAAGTTTCATTTTTCTTATAGTAGAAGCATTTTTTGATGAGCAACTCTCTTTTTAATCAGAAATTTACTTTTTCTTTGATAAAACTTTTGAAATTTAAAGCTTTGCTTGATCATCTCAAAATACTGAATAGTTATCAATTGAATAGACAACTTGAACTGAACAGACAAGTTTTAAAGTTATCAATTTTCTATAGTAGCTAAGCATTTTTTTAGAATTTGATTCACTTTTACTCTAGATCGAAAAGCTAAGTTGGATTAATAGAATTCAAACTTTTACAGGCTACGATTTGATGTCTGCCATTTCATTTGATTCAATGTAGGTACCCATTCAATGTAGGTAGCCAATTTCTTTTGAAATCTAAGCTTTCTCATTTCTTCAAAGCTGGTGCTTCTGAATGAAAGCATTAGAGCCAACGGCAAAGAAAGTCATCGCCAATCTTCTCATTTTTTCTTCCTCTGCCATTTATTTGCTGTTGTGGTCCCGGAGAAGGAAACCGAGAAAAGGATCTTTCGCTTTTTTTCTCCTCCTCGATTCCTCCCTTTTCTGCCCCTGGTATTATCCCGTTTTTCTAGAGTTCCCCTCAAACTCTTTTTCTTTTTTCTTTTCTTCAAATGGGTCCTCTGCCCGATCTTTCCTTTTCCCCTTTCATTCACTCCCTTCAATCCCTTTCACTTTGAACCCTTCCGCTTTTTCACTTTTCATGCCACGCTTTTCCTTTCCACTGAGAAGTTACTATGAACATTTTTCTTTTTTTTTGTCCATCTCCCTTATTCTTTTTCTTTGTCCAATCGTTTTCCCAATTTATCAACGTTTTCTAATTCTATTCCTTGCTTTTTATCAATTACAAAATCTTTTCAAAAAATCAAAAATTTTTCGTAAAATTTTGGGAACATGAATTTCCCTCGAAATTTCTGGGAACATTTCCCTCGACATTGAATTAACATTTAGCGTTTAAATTTGAGCAAGATAATTGGGAAAAACGGTTTATTTGCAAAATTTGCAGAAAAGTTGTCAAAACGGGATTGTGACGAAAAAGAGGAGGGTTCAAATGGAGATGGGGATTCTCCGGGGGAACAAGGCTTTCCCATAGACTCCGGTCCGATCTCTGAATGCGTGTGGATGGAGAAAAGGGGGAAAGAGCGGGAGTGAAGGGAAAGGGGGAGCACGCGAAGGGACGGGGGGAGGGGGACGGGGAGGGGACGGGGAGGGGAGGGGGGACGGGAAGGGGTGCCGTGGCTCGGTTCTCCCCTCCCTTTTCTCCGCCATTTCCCCTATCTTTCTCTCGACACAACACGACACAACCCCTCTTCTCACAAACATACAATTTGCCCGCTTGGTCTCCTTTCCATCTATCTTTTCCCCTTTCTTTCATTTCCCTTTTTTTCATTTTCCCTCAATGAACTTGTTTTCTTTTCCTCTCTTCAAACTGTCCTCCCTCATACATTTCACCAAGGTCCCCTTTTTCCCCTTTCCCGCCGTCAAATTTTACCCCATCATTTTTCTCGGATTGAAATTTTACTGGATTTCATTTGCTTTTTTTTTCGGTTTTTGATTTGATTTAAAATGAGAATTAGATTTCGATGCATTGAGATGAAATGTAATTGAAATTGATTAAAAGTAAGAAAGTTGTTTGATCATTCAAAAAAAAGTGAGATGGATTTTGTTGAGATGGATAGAATTGAAATTGAATGGTGGGTAAAGAAAAAGGGAAAAAGAGTAGGGAATGGGGAAAGAAAAGTGCGTAAAGAGATTGAAAGAGAGAGAGAGAGAGAGAGAATGAATCACCGAGCAGAAGGGGTAAAAAGGGGGGTAAGAGGGCTCACGTGATGCTATAACCTGTAAGGTATTGGGGGAAAAAGAGGGGAAAGGGGAGTATTGTTGAAATGGTTGAAATGAAATGATTGAAATGAAATGATGTCTCTTTCTCTTTCTCTTTCTTTTCCCATCCATACGACTTTCAAAATATTCTTTTCCCTTTTTTTTCTCTTTGTACATTCTTGTAAACAGGTGAATTCGAATTTGTACACTCCACGAAAAAGCTCTGATTTTGCAGAGACTTTTTTTGTCTATTTGTCTTTTTGATGTCTATTTTCAAAATCATAACAGGAATGCCTGAATTCTTTAATTTTTTTACAAATTTTGGATACATTTTCTTAAGTAAATCAAGAGAAAAGTTTCATTTTTCGAGTTTTTTTCTGCACTTTTCTTTTTTTATGAATCTCGAGAGAGGGATTTTGATTGGGGGATTACTGTGAGAGAAAAGGTGAAAAAGAGGACTCAATTCAGAAAATCCTTCCCTGAATATCTTTTTATTGAGAAGAAAGTTGCGTAAATGGTACCCGGCCGCCACATTTTTCTTTTTTGTAGGCTGAACTTTTATTAAAAAGCTTTTTTTGTGACTCGAGGAAATCATGTCATTTCTCTTTTATCTCTTTAATCTTTCACTGTTTCATTCGCACATTCATTTCAATGTTTGAAAACAAAAAAAGATTGTCATTTTATAAATGCAATTTAAGATTTTCAAATGATTATCGAAATTTATCGAAAAAATTTCAGCTTTTTCTCAATTCTAAACTTTTTCTAAACTTTCTTTTCATTTTTCAATAAGAAAATCTCTTTTATTTAATGATAATAAATGAAAATCTTTCTAATATAATTCTTATATAAAGTTTCTTATAATTTTCACAATTTTAACAATTTTCAGTTCGTTTTGGTGTTGCTTAAAACCCCTAAAAGGATTGGCAAACTGTCATCACACGCGGAGACTTCATCTTCTTCTTCAGCTTTATCGGCTCCGTCGAGAATGGTTAGAAATCTCTTCCGACGTTTTTCGGAAAAACCACAGGTTTTCTTTGAACTCACTTTTCAAAAACACATCTATTCTAGTCATTTCTTTGAATATTTCATTCTAAAGATTACACACGCTTCACATTAGAGATAGTCTAACAATAAAGTTTCGTTTTTCTTTTTCTTTTTCTTTTCTATTTTAAGCTTATAGATCTTAGGCTTATAAATCTTATAGACTTCTTCTATTTCAAGACTTCTATTTCTATTTCAAGCCTATAGATCTTAAGCTTATAAATCTTATAGACTTCTTCTATTTCAAGACTTCTATTTCTATTTCAAGCTTATAGATCTAACGATAAAGTTCTCCCAATAGCCCACAAAAATCGAAATTTCTTTTGGCAACGCACTTTTCTATCTGTATTAAACGTAAATGTGTTGTTTCTCCAACATATTTTAACTGTAACTCCACAAAAGAATCTCCATTTTTGTAATTATAATTGTAGTATTTGGTTTCTTGTGGTGGTCGTGAATCGATTTTTCCGTTTCTCGGGTCATAAAATCTGTGAAATCAGATAACTGAAGAAAATTCGCCTCGTGAAAGTTCAAACCTATTCATAATCTGATCAAAGTTTGTTCAAACTGATATCCCGCCCAGATGACCTGATATGATAGCCTGTTAAACCTGATAACCTGAAAATAAGCTCGTAACGAGCGAAGCTTTTATCAAAATAGAAAATTCACTATAAGCTTTGGTAACAATGAAAGTAATAACTTGCAAAAATGTACTAAAAAGAGATTTTCACAAGGCAACTCCAAATTTCTCTTTGGATTTATGACCAGGGAAATCTCGAAAAGCGGCTTTCCGGTGATTAGGATTTCGCCATTTTTAGCAATCCACGCCTAAGCCCGTTCAACAAATCGCCTACATTCAGAATTCCACATCAGCACCAATTGAAGTAAAGAAAAAAAGAAAAATGATATTACTTTATAGTATCTAAAGTATTCTACAGTATCTAAAGTATCTAAAGTATTCTATAGTATCCAAAGTATTCTATAGTATTCTATAGTATTCTATAGTATCTAAAGTATCTAAAGTATCTAAAGCTTAAACCAACTTCTTTTTGTTTGGCATTCATTACCATTTTGAGAGAGAGATCCGTCTACTCGATACTTTTTATAGTTAGAAGAGAAAATTGACGATATACTGCACAAAATTTATTTAATTATTCTTAGAGATATTCTTAGATTCTTAGAGATATTCTTAGATTCTTAGAGAGATTCTTAGATTCTTAGAGATATTCTTAGATTCTTAGAGAGATTCTTAGAGACCGTAAGTAGCTAATAATGTTACTACTAAGTATTCAAATCAAATAAAAAATCTTATTTAGCCGAGACCTGTGAAGCAAACCGCCTACATTCAAGGTGCTTCAACTTCTTCAGGTCAAACCCTCAACACATCGCAAACAAATGGACAAAAAGAGGTGATCATAATGTTCTTCAATTTTAAATCTAAAATGATTTCTTTTTCCTTTTTCTATTCTATTTTAAGCCTATAGATCACTTGGTTATTGATATTTTCGTTGAAATTCTTGATCAAAAACTAAAGAAGCGCCGAATCACTAGATCTAAAAGATCTAAAAGCTGATTTGTGACATTTTTATAGAAAAAAAAAGATTGAAGATTTTTTTAAACGATAAAAAGTGCCCATTTTTACACCGGAAGCGCAACAGAAGGTTTATCGAAAAGGAAGAAATGAGAGAGAGAGAGAGAGTGATGGGATGAGTCAGCTCCCCTTTTTCTAATTCACGAGACATTCTTATGAGTGTTTCAACAAATAACGTTCTTCTGACTTCCCGGTCGCAAAACAATCTTTCTAAATAATACCAAAGAAATGAGTCGCCTATTGGCTTGTTGATTTTTCTTAAGTGATCAAGTAGGTCGATCATTTGTCGACTAAATGATCTCTTGAAACTAAATGACCATGTAAAGTTTAAGCTAAAAAAGTATGGAGAAATTGTGGCTTTAAAGACTTTAAAGCTTTAAAAAAGCTTTCAAAAGGCTTTAAAAAGCATTAAACAGTTAAATCAAGCTACCATAAATACTGTAATAGTACCCCACTCCCATAATGACGGTGTGGAGTGTTGCGTAGTCTAGCTTTGAAAGAGTTTTTCTCGACACTGGTTTATGCTACAATGCGCGCTTAGGTATCAAAAAATAGCCCTGAATTTCAGCTATTTTTTGATACCAAAGACGCATTTTTTGAAAGTACGGGCGCTTTGAAAAAAATGAAATACTAAAAAACTTTTGCGACTACGCGACTGTACGAGGGGCGGTGGGGCACTATTACAGTATTTACGGTAGCTTCTTAATTTCCAATTTTTAGGGATCTCGCACACCAGTGACACCAAAAGCTTTCATTCGAAAAGATGACGAAAACGAAAGCGAAGACAAATTCGCGCCACGAAAGGTACTGTAAATTCGACCTGAGAACTTTCGGAGTGAACGTCAATAAGTGGCCAACGGAAAAATGCCATATCTTGATCAATTTCACTTCAATCTTTTCGTCTTTGATTTCAATCGATAGAAAATTCAATTTTGCGTCAATTGATATCAAAATCAAAAAAGATCGGGATGAAATTGGCCGAGATATGCCATTTTTTCGTTGCACGCCTATTCGTTCACATCGAAAATTCCCAGCTCTACTGTACTGTACATGCAAAAACTAGCTCTACTGTACTGTACATGCTCTACTGTACATGCAAAAACTAGAACTACAATCTATAGCAAAATACAAAAATAGTCAAAAATCAGTCAGTTGAAAAAGAATTTGGAAGATAACGAAAAAAAAAAATGAAATTAAGATGAGTTTTTGAAGGCAATATAGGCTCGATTACTTACTTGACTTATATTACTGGACAATGAAATATCATATTTGAAAAAACACTTTCGCACTTTCACGCGTCTGTAACTCCCTTGTCTTTGAGTTTAAACTATTAGTGTTATGATGAGATTTAAACGATTAGTGGATGAGACTAAAATTACGTTGATTGGCTTCGGAAATTTCGGAAAACTAACGTCGGATCCGAAAAATTCAGGTACAGTACTGGACAATGAAATATCATATCTGAAAAACGATCGTCACTTTTGAGTTTAAACTATTAGTGTTATACATTTTCTGAAAGCTCTTTTCAAGGGCTACACAATGGTAATATTAATATTTAGAGATACGGTAAAGACAAGGGAGTTACAGACGGGCGAAAGTGATGATCTTTTTTCAAAGATGATATTTCATTGTCCAGTAGTGTATATTACTTGATGATTTGATGCTGATCATTGAATTTTATTCATATTGTTGACTTGGGAAAAGTAATTATTGATCAAGGGTTTTTAGTTTTTATCAACAACTCCTTTTTTTTTAAATCTTATTCATTCCCCGTTCATCTAACTGTAAGTGATAAGGAGTAAACGACTAAAATTCAGATTCATAATGGTATTTCCCTCCCAAACACCGGGGCGTGTCAGTGATTAGAATTATTGAATTGGAAGAGAAAAATGACAAAAGAAAAAAAAAACGAAGAATAGATGAGAGGAAAAAAACGGAAAAGAGAGGAGAGAGAGAGATATTGAGAAGGGCGGATGGCTATTTGCGGTGTCTCGGTGTCCCGAACGAGCGCACCCTAGATCCCCAGATCTGTTGCCTGTTCTTGCCTGTCCTCCAGTCTCTCTTTCCCTCAAATCTTCCTGGTCTCTTTTCACACAAATCCCTTCACACATTTGATTCAAAGATATTGTCTTCGATTTTGCTAATGCCCCAAATCTCGTTTTACTCAACAAAAGGCCGAGTTCGATGCCCGAAACAACGCAAAGCTGATCACTTAATCTATCAGCTTTCCGTTTTTTATTTGCCTGCTAGAAGTGTTTGTTTATTAGAGCTAATTGGAATTATTCGAGGATATTATAATATTATATTATATATATTATATTATATAGATTATATTATATAGATTATATTTATATAGATTCTATTATATAGATTATATTATAAAAATTATATTATATAAAATTATATTATATATTAGGTTGATGCATAAGTCTTTTCGTTTTTTTCGTACTCCTGTTAAAAAGTAACAAATTCGCCAATTAATCTATAGTTTGCTCTATAAAAAAAGTGTTTTTTTGTTCAATTTGCATCTTTTTAAATGAATTTCGGTTCACTTTCAAGCAAATTCGAGAGTGAAAAACGCCTTTTTCGTAAAAATCTATAAAAAACTCTACGGAAAAATTGGCTGAATGAATTTCTCTGAAATTTTGGCGAAATATCAAACTTTTTTTTCTCTATCTTTTATCTATTGACACGAAGATAGGTTTTCTTTAGCTAAGGTGTCTAAACCGCATCATCGAGTTAGCCCTTTTTGACTACCCGACTTCATACTCTCAAGAAAATCCAAGCATAAAATATTTTTAAACCCGTTTTAATGTTATTTTGCAGAAAAATAATTGGTTTTTCTAATGAAATCAACCGTAGTTTAATTGGTGCATTTGTTGGCTTGAAACGGCAGACGAAAAGGAACAAAAACACTTATGCATCAACCTAATATATATTATATTATATATATTATATTATATAGATTCTATTATATAGATTCTATTATATAGATTATATTATATAGATTATATTATATAGATTCTATTATATAGATTCTATTATATAGATTCTATTATATATATTATATTATATAGATTCTATTATATATATTATATTATATAGATTATATTATAGAAAATCTAGTGATCTTATTGTTGTTTCAGGTTGACGCTTCAGCAAATTCATTGCGAGTGCTTTCTGATTTCGTTAATCGAACCGCAGAGAAAGGAGTTGATGGACTGAAGAAAGGTATAAAAAGAAAAAAAATCTCAGAATTTTAAGATAATTTTAGAATATTCGAAACTCGACAAGTATTTCGATACGACTGCCACTTTTGACGCTTTCCGCATGAATATGCCCAAGAATCGATACTCAGGTGAGACAAAGATATAAAAATTATTCATATTTAAAGATATTTAAAAGTATATTATGGATAAATTCTTGAAATTTCAGATGTTCTTTGTCCGGACGAGACTCGAGTGAAATTGTGGTATGGAGCACCGGAGTTCACCGAGTATATTCATGGGAATCGAATCAATGATGCTGTTCTGCCAACAAATTATTTCATCTGCACACAGGTTTAGATTTCTGAAAGTTGAAAATTTTCATAAAATTATGCGATTGATCTTCATTGAGAAGATCTTCATTGAGAAGTTCTTCATTGAGAAGGTCTTCATTGAGAAGTTCTTCATGGAGAAGGTCTTCATTGAGAAGATCTTCATTGAGAAGTTCTTCATTGAGAAGATCTTCATTGAGAAGTTCTTCATTGAGAAGATCTTCATTTTCAGTTGCTAAATTTCTAGGGTCCAACCAATGACACTGTTCACGATTTTTGGCGAATGATCTTCCAGGAGAGAATTCGAAACATTATCATGTTGTGCAAGTGAGTCAATTTCTTTCTTATGCAAGAGTTTATTCAATATTTAGTCCGGTTGAAGACGGGAAAATCAAATGTGCTACATATTGGCCGGATCAGGTGAGAGGATTGTGTTAAAAAGATAATTTGATCAAAAAAAAGTCGATCTTTTTAAACCAATCAAAGCTTTGTTCCAGGAAACTGGAATCTCGGAGTTGCCGACGTTAATTGTAAAGAATCAGGGCACAGATGAGGATGAGTTCACGATTACTCGGCTATCCGTTGAACCAAATCCAAATTATGGTGGGTTTAGTGCAAAAATTTCTGAAATTTTAAACCTACAAAAGTTTTTGTTTTTCAGTCGGCAATCAACAGCTGAACGAAGCACAGAGTGCTCCACTCGAAGTGACGCTTCTACGCTGGATTGGGTGAGTCATTTTTGAGCTAAGAACTCAATAACTATTAATTTAACGTTTACATTTAAGATCTTTTTAGAATATAATATATTTCGATTACGATTTCGATTTCGATTTCTATTTCGATTTCTATTTAGATGGCCAGATCGAGGGATCCCGTCAAAGCAATGTCAAACCATTCTGCCACTCATACTTTTGGATAAAGTAAGTCAAAGAATCATAAAAAAAAGATAAAAAGTATTTTCTAAGCAATAAATTTCAGGTGAGAGGCTTGCCGACAGTTATCCATTGCTCGGCGGGTATCGGAAGAACGGGATGTTTGATGGCGCTAGAAGTGGCTCATGAGAGAATTTCGAGAGGGAAAAAAGTCGATTTCGATCAGGTACACTTTAAAAAACAATAAGATATCGAAAAATAATCCTTTGAATAACAAAAACTATTCTTCTTTTTTTGTTCAGCTTAGATCCTTGCAAAAGAACTGCAAAACTGCAGTTCATAAAAGCGATCAAACAACAACTGTAAGTAAAGATGAACCGGGTTGATTAGTTATTTTAGAAACCCGAACATCTTCTCTTTTTAATGATGTAAAAAGAATTCTGCATTGATCGTTTCCAGGCGGAATCTAGACGTTTCAAAAAGGTACCAAAAAAAAGTGGCGGCTTAAACTTATCATAAAGGATTATTCTTGACGAAATCCTGGTCTAAATTATTGAGATCATAAGTCCAAACTTAATAAAAGCTATTTACAAAAAACTAAAACAAATTTGATGGACTATTCCATTATAAAAATTTGTTTAAAGAGTTTTGACTTTCAAAAAAAAAAAAAGATTAAAATTCGGTTTACAAGTTTATTTTCAAAAATTGTTTTTAAAAAAAGAGCACGCAACGAACAAATCTGATTGGTTTCTTTTTTCTTTAGTTAATAAAATTCTTTCGTTTCATATTAGTGATAAAAAAATTATTGAAAAACCCGTGGAGAAATCTTGAGTTGAAAATCGGTTCCGTCAGGCAATTTTTGGCCTTTTTTTTTAAAGATGGAATCTGAAAAGGAAGTTTCGTAAAATAGTGTCTGGTCTCTGGCTAAGATCAACGTGTAGTTTCTGGTCCTTGGCTAAGATCAATCAATTCTTTTTTTTTAGATCGTTAAAAAGAGAAGATATTAGGGATTCTATAAATACTTCTAAAATAATACTATAATACTTCTGGTCTCTGGCTAAGATCAATCAATTCTTTTTTTTTAGATCGTTAAAAAGAGAAGATATTAGGGATTCTATAATACTTCTAAAAATATTAATCATCAAAATGATTTACAGTCGTCGTATGATAGCTTTTTTTAATCAGCAGTTTCTTTTGCAAGTACCTAATATATTGAAAACATTTTCCAGATCGTACGTGACATTCGATGCTATCGAGCGCAAATCATTCAGACCGAGATCCAATATCTTTACATAAATCGTGTGATTATTGAATATGCATATATGTAAGTTGGTTAAAACTAATTATTGCATATATGTAATTTACCGTAAATACTGTAATAGCACCCCACCGCCCCTCGTACAGTCGCGTAGTCGCAAAAGTTTTTTAGTATTTCATTTTTTGCAAAGCCCCCGTACTTTCAAAAAATGCGTCTTTGGTATCAAAAAATACCCCTGAATTTCAGCTATTTTTTTGATACCTAAGCGCGCATTGTAGCATAAACCAGTGTCGAGAAAAACTCGCTCAAAGCTAGACTACGCAACACTCCGCACCGTCATTATGGGGGTGGGGTACTATTACAGTATTTACGGTAATTAGTTAGTTAAAACTCAACTGAAACCAATAAGCTAAGTATATCTTATCGAAGCTAGTAATATTTTGATATAGATATAACAATGACTCCATTGTCATATCTATATCAAAATATTACTTTATAATACTCAAATATCTAAGGATTAATAATAATAAGATTAATTAATGATAAAAAATAATAATATTTGATCAAATATTCAATTTTTCTAGGCATGCCAATCTTGACGATTCGGCTTACGAAGCTGGAAAAAAGTTCATCGATGAATATGAGCGTAAATTGCGAAAATAAGATTTTCTATATATTCCTCCCCTCAAATAGTGCCCATAGATCCGGTTCTGTTAATTATATTGCCATTCAAACGTTATTCGTTTTTTTTTTCTTAATTCTAATTATTGAAACTTTTATCTCTTTTCTTTTCGTTTCAAGCGCGGGTACACGCAAGAAAAAAACGCAGCGGTGATTTTTAGCTTCTCCGATTTCGTTCTCTTCCCTCCACTACTTTTTATTTGAATTGGAAAATATCTATTATTATAAAATTTGAAAATAAATGTATAAAAGTTATTGAAAAAAAATTGCATCACTAAAAGAAAAATGAGCTTAATTTGCATTATTGAACAAGTTGGATTTGTCTGTCTATGGACAGAAAGAGAAAAAGAGAAATGAACCAAAAAAGGAGTCGATTTTCTCTCTCAATCTCTTTTCTTTTCCCTCGTGATTGATGACTGCCACCGATAGAGCTCGGCAATTTTCTCCGATCTCAACTATCGACTACTAATTCTTATTCGACTCAACTCTCAGCTCCCATTTTTTTTTACCCCGTTGGCCTCATTTCAAAGTGGTGTTCAAATGTAAAAAGAGAAAATTGGTGGAAAGCTAGGAAGAGATGGGGTGCTGCGCGAGGCAATAGATCCATCAAATGTGACAGCTCTGCCCGCTAGGGGGAAAAGAGAGGGAGGAGAACGAGGAGAGAGACGAGGATCGACCAAAGGGGCGGCTGAGGGGCAGCTGCCTCTCCTTTCCTCTCCTTGCCTTTTCTCTTTCTTCTCATTTTATCTATTCTTTCTTTCAATGTAACCCTTTCCTTAACGTTCCTTTTTTTCCTCATTTCTCTTCTCTGAAAAATGTTTTCTATAAGTTTTAGGTAAAGCTCATTTTTCTAGGAAATTGATCGATCTTGAGAGTTTTGACACCTATCCATTTTCAACTATTCAATTGAATAATTTCTATAATTTCTTTAGTTGATCACTATTAAAAATAGCAAGCTAAAGCAGCTTTAGCAATCAGATTTAAAGCTTTAGCTTTAGCAATCAGATTCAAGGCTTTAGCAATCAAATTCAAAGCTTTAGCTTTAGCAATCAAATTTTAATCTAAACTTTGCATAACTTGTTCCATTGTTTGATCTCTAATTAAATCATTGATTGTATTGTAAACTGGAATTACTTGTTCAATCAAAAGGTGACAACTCAAAGTAAACGTATTGAAAAGAGCTCAAGTAAGTGACAATGTTTGTCCGACAGAACAATGGTTATAGAAAGGGGAAAAGGATGAAAGAAGGGAAAAGGGATCGGCAAGGTTATTCTATTACAGCAGCCGGGGATCATCGCTTGGATAGGGACGGGAAGGAGAGGGAGGGACAGAGATGTCCTTGTGGTGTGTCTCCCCATCGGATCCTTTTCTTTACCCCTTCTCTAGCCCTTTCCTATCCCCTCTATCCCTTCTTTTTCCTTCTGTGCCCTATTGATCCCCTAAGCGACCCGATGGCTCGCGCCATACGCGCTAAGCCTCTTCCTTAGCCTCTATTACTCGACCCTTTGACAAAGATCCTCCCAAACACAAAACCTTGCTTTAAATCTTTGTCTTTTTAAATGTTTAAACATTTTCTCACTGTCTCTATTCTTTTTAAAGTCAAAATATTCATCTTAAAAGCTTTTACTTGTCCTATAAACTCTAAGAAATAAACCATTTCATTCCTTCTGGTTTCTCTAATTTTTTTGAAACGGTTGTTTGCTGATGGCAATGTTGAAGAAGAGTTCCCATGCGGTCGACACCTTCGGGAATGAGACTCACGACCCATCAACACAATTATCCCCTTCATTCCCCTCTTTTCCTCAACAAATTTACCTGACTGCCCCTTTACAAGCCCTCCATAAAGAAATGCGTCATCATTTTTCACAGCTGCAATTTCTTGTCAACTCATTTCCGAGTCATCATTAATCAAATCGTCGATCAAATTCCCTCAATCTTATCAATCTTTTTTGACAAGCGCTTGTTTTTTTAAGTTTAAGAATAGGATTTTACAATTAATACTCCAGTTTTTCTTTCAGCAGTTCACATTGAAACTTGGGTTTTTTGGTTTTTTGTAAAATTGATTTTCCGACCCTTTCTTTGGCATTATTTTTGGCGATGTAAATGGGAGAAATGTAAAAGAAGAGAAAATACTCTCTTCTTCTTGGCTTTAGCAGTCCATATTTTATGTTTCTCAGCCGCACCTTTAATGAGAGACCGTAAATGATAAGCGGCAACTTGGATGTCGAGTGAGAGTGTTATTCTTTCCTCTTTCCCCCCTTCTTCTCTCTATCTTTCTTCCAATCCCCCCCCCCCTAGATTTTCTCCAAATTTCCCTCTTCAACATCTCAGTCATCCCAAAATGCATCCCTATTTCGTTTTATTGCAAAAATTTTTGGAGAAAAATCGCTTTTTCTTAAATCAAATATCCAATCGATCGCCCAAATTTCTCAAGATTTACGAGCCTCTCGACAATTTATGCGTGCTTCGCCTTTCTATACAATCTTTCATTGATTTTTTTTCACTTTCGCTTTTTTGTTTTTTATAGAAAATTTCTTATAAAGTTGATTGCTTTTGAACGAAAACTTTTAGAATGGTCGATATGGTGGAGTTGAAACCGTTCGAGTCTCGGCCAATCGAAGAGCTCATCAATCAATTGTATGCAATCGCCGAGTTGAAAACAACTGATGATAACACTGAAGAGAAGTGGGATTTTAAAGAAATTTTGAAGTTTATCCAGAGTTTTTTTTTAGAAAACACGCTCTCTATACTCACCCGAAACTTGGCGTTTTGCGACACTGTCTTCTCGAGGCAAAGGATCGATATAGTAAGTTGAAGTTTCTTTTTATTTAAATTTAAATACTTAGCTGACTTTATGAAATTCTGAAATTCTGAAATTCTGAAATTTTCTAATTTTCTTCAGAAATTATTTTTTAAATTTCAGGAATTTCAAATGTGCATGAGGATCCAGATGAAAAAGATGGTATCCAAGAAATCGCTCGTCTTGACAACATGCTTGTGAGTTCTTATCAAGTATTTTTTTCTAAAATTTATGCTCAATTTAAATCTCCAAAGAAAATTTTCAGTTGGGTCACGGAATTGCGGGCGATGGAATCCCCGAAGTGCCATCGAGTGTCGCCGAGGATCACGAGGATTACAGGGCAAAACTGCACGAACAAAAGGACAAATATGCTCAATTTATGACCGAAGCCGCAAAGGTATAACAAAGTTATCAATTTATCAATTTTATCAATTCATTTTTATCAATTACCCTTTAAAAACTTTTCAGTATCAATCTCATTTTGTTGACAACGCTGTGAAACTTCTTGACGAACATGGACGGTTGTGCTCATTCTCATTTTCTTAATCTTCTCTCCATTTTAGAATTCGACCAATCACACAAGACGAAAAAGAACGAATGGCAGCTGTTGTGCAACGAAAATTCCGAAAAGTTCATATTTACATCAAGCAGGCTGTTTGCGAGAACTTGATGCTGCTCAAAAATCGTTTTTGTGATGCAAGGTGGGTGAATAGAACTTTTTCTCGATAACTCGATTCCAGGAGAAAACGCCGAAACTTCTCCAAGGCGGCCACCGATATTTTAAACGAATATTTCTTTGCGAATATCAACAATCCATATCCGAGTGAAGAACTGAAAGAGGAATTGGCACAAAGGTGCAAGATCTCTGTTTCACAGGTAAACGATTTATGCAAGAGTTTGAAATTCGGATTTTAGGTGTCAAACTGGTTTGGGAACAAGCGAATCCGTTTCAAGAAGAGCATGGGTCGAGGCAATGTCCCACAACCACCACAATCAGCCGCTCCTTGTATGTGCTTTTTTTGTTATCCTCATCATTACTATAGAATAAAATATAGAATAAGTTTAGCAATGCCTCCTCCAGCTTCAAACAACTCATCCTCAACACTGCAACCTTATGGGATGCTTGGTGAGTAGTAGAAATGGGAAAATTCCAATCCGAACCTAATTCCATCTTCGTTTTCTCGGCCGATTGTTCTGAAACTTTGTCTACAAATAGAAATCAATATTTTCAGCTTTCAGACAAAATTTCAGAGCAATCGGTCAAGAAATGACTGAACGAAGGTGGGATTTTCCCATGTCTACTGAGTAGCACATTTGGCCAAGAAAAGCTAAAATAAACAGCATAATTTTATAAAAGTCTAGCTTAACAAGTTAATAATAGAAATGGTATTCTGGAAAGCAAAATTTCCATTTTAGGAATGCCATCAATGATGCCTTATGGTTTGTTGGGTGGAGCGGATCACCTGACAATGGGCGGTTTTGACCTCACCGCCTACAATCCACAAATGGTTAGTGCATAATGTTAAAGTACTTTACGAGAAAATAGACAATCAAACTTTGAACTTAAAACTCTTCAATTTTCTTTTCTCTTCAGATGGCCTACTACTCGAGCTTTGGCGGTGGCGGTGATTCGATGCCGAAATGAGATTCCTTTCATTCAAGAGTTTTCTCTATGATCTCTACAGATTTTTTTTTCTTTGTTCTACCTCAAATACGTGTATTTTGCATACTATTTCATGAGCTTTCATCAAGAAAATGAGCTATTTCTTTTCCCTTTTGTGATTTTAGAGGCCATCTTTTACCTCAAGCTACTAATGCTGCAATAAAGCTGGAAGTTTTACGTGCAGGGTTTAGCTGAACAGTAGCCAAATGGTTCTGCTTGTATCTTGAGAAAATATAAGTTTATATTTCTAATATAATTTTGCTTTAGATAAAAAGGAGAAGATCTAAGAAGACTGTGAACGGAGGATAGGGTGGAAAAAAGGGAGAATGGTGGTCTCAATCGAGCCGCCGAATTCCTTGAGTGATATGCTGCATTCATTGCAAGTGATCTCCGATGAAACGCTTGAAGACAATAATCATGAAAAGTTTGTTGCAAGGAATTAGAATTATATGGGCTTTTTTTTCAGGAAAAAATCTCTCGAGATGCACCCGATGAGATCAGCGCTATTTCAAGTGCTTTGCGAGGTCAAGGAGAAGACTGGTGAGTTGAAAATACAGCAGTTAATTGCTTATCATAATGCATACTAAATTTGCTGTTATTTGTGCAATTTCTAAAAACAGATTTTAGTTTTGCGTCTACAACACTCGAGTGTCGATGATCAAGGAGAGGATCCACAATTGATGAGACTCGACAATATGCTCGTTTGTTTTCTCGATCTATGAATATCTATAAAGATCTTAAATATCTGCGAAAAAAATAGCAGAATGTGAAATTCCAGGTAGCTGAAGGCGTGGCGGGACCTGATAAAAACGCCTCTTTGGGCGCCGACGCCTCGTCGAGTGATCAAGCGGATTATCGAATGAAATTGACACAGATTCGCCAAGTCTACAACAATGAGCTCGTCCGATACGAAGAGGTACGAGTTCTAGAAACGAGAAATTTCCAAAGCTGAACTCATTTAGGCTTGCGGTGAATTCACACAGCACGTGATGGCACTACTGAGAGATCAACAGAGATTACGGCCAATCGCGAAGACTGAAGTCGATCGAATGGTTTCGATCATTCAAAAGAAATTCAACACGATTCAAGTTTGTTTTAATTTAAAGTAAAATAGAGTTGAAAATGATTCAGCTTTAAGAATTTTTGAGTTTTCAGGTCCAATTGAAGCAAAGCACCTGCGAGGCGGTGATGATTTTGCGCAGTCGTCATTTAGATGCAAGGTTTGGGTTTTTGTTATAAAAAACCAATAATTTTACAATGATTTGAATTTTCAAACTCTTAGACAAGTTGATCGTTTCTGAAATCAAAAAAGAAATTCAGGAGAAAACGGCGAAACTTCTCGAAACAAGCCACAGAGGTTCTCAACGAGTATTTCTATGCTCATCTCAGCAATCCGTACCCAAGCGAAGAGGCTAAAGAAGATCTCGCAAGACAATGTCAAATAACAGTTTCTCAGGTAGACTTAGAAATCTTCTTCTGAGAAAATCAATTTCAGGTTTCGAATTGGTTTGGCAATAAACGGATTCGCTACAAGAAGAACATCGCTAAAGCGCAAGAAGAGGCGAATATGTATGCGGCCAAGAAAGCCGCGGCACAAGGATTAGGAGTCCCAGGTAAAGATTGAAAGATTCGAGAAGATGCTAAAGAATTGTTAAAGAATTGCTAAAGAAATTATTCAAACTGTAACTTCTTAAACCCTTCATTGAATAAAAATCTAGGTTTTCCTTCGGCTTCAGTAGCTGGGGCGATGCCACCCTATGGAATGCTTGGTAGGGATTTAAAAAAAACATTTTCTTAAAGTTTAACCTTGTATGTAAAAGCTTAAATTTTAAAAATAGCCTTTCCAGGAGCTCCAGGAGCGATGATGACACCGTATGGAGGAATGCTGGGGAGTGGCTCGGAGCATCTTGGAATGTCGGCACCCTTTGACCTTTCCGCCTACAATCCGCAATTGGTTCGTAAGATTTGTGAATAGGATATAATTAGTTTAAACTAACCAAAATTTTAATTGAACTCAAAAAAATTTTCAAATTTCAGCACTCCGGAATGCCCCCACTGAACGAAGACAAGAAATCGTGATTTTCCCCTAGTTCTATCTTGAATTTTATTCTGGTTCTTGCCCGGGCACTTTTTAGTTTTCTTTCCTTCCCTCTTCTTTTCTTTTTCGTTTTGTTATGGTTGATTTCTAAAATTTGCACCGTCCTTTCAATGATCTCTTCCAGTTTCTCTTCATTTTCTCGAAAAAAACAACAACGTCATTGACTCGAATTTGATTGAATCTTTCAGAAATTATGTGCACAAATGGATAAAGAAATTTAAAGAATATTTATTATTTATAAAAAAGCCATTGTATGTTTACCGAGAACACAAAGAGCACCGTCGTTTTTCCTTCGTAATTCGCATTCCGAGTAAGCGGTTTTCGAATCGATATGGAGAACTCGAGCGATCACAATGATCTCATCGCCACTTGAGATCGGTAAGAGATAACTAAAATAGAGTTTCTTATCTAGAAAATATTTAGCTCTAATCATTTTATAAATCACTTTACCTGGCACTTAATTCAAGACTAGCTTTGGCCCGATTTCTTTGCGTCAATGAGATAGCTCTCGAAGTCACCACATCAATGATTGTCAAAGATTGTCCGCCATGTAGCTTTTCCTAAACAAATTTAGGTACAATTTGTATAAAGTAGGTTACTAACAAGTTTGAGTTCACTTACTTTTCCGTTCAAATGCGGTGTTGTAACAGTAAACTCGCAAGTTAACACGTCTCTTTTAGCTGATACAGGCAAAAACCCTGCTAGAATCCGTGTGAAATTTGCCGCTTTTCCAAATGAATCGAACTCTTTCAAGGCAAATTCCAAAAGTTCATCATCGTTGCTAACGTTTTCTTTCTGAAAATTGATCTTGATTTTTCTTTTTGCACACTTACATGCTGCTTTGTCTCTGGAAGTTGTGTCATGATTCTAAAAATCATTATTTCAACTATAACAAATCTCCGGATCAACATTATCAAGATTTCACGATATTTCGATCAAAGCAATGAGACTGTTTCATCGGAAACTTTATTCAATTCTTAATCTTCTAGTAGAGTTGCGCTTTCCCGTTGATGACTGGCGGTTGACCGGGCAAGATGGCGATTGTGTGTTTGCCCTTGACGCACAATTTTCCATCGGATTTTTGGCGAAATTCGCAGTCAGTGAAGGCTAAAGTCTTTTGATATGCAATTTGTACAATCAAAAGCTGTTTTTGGTTTTTGGGCAAATCAATCACCAACCAACATTTCGACCGCATTTCAAAACGGTTGCCTCGATCGTGATCTGATCGCCGAGTTTCACCGGGGATAAATAACTAAAATTGATTGTTTAACTTAAAATACAATATACTAAAAAAACAGTATACAGTAAATATATTTTTGGCTCATCCTTATTGGGATTTAAATTGTAAAGTACCTGAGTGAGATCTCAATACTGGCCATTCCCTTGTCGCGGACGGAGAGCCCCACCGCTCGGGCAGTCACAATATCAACGAGAGAAGCTGCTTGTCCGCCGTGCAATGTTCCCTAAAATTTAAAGATATAAAGTTCTATTATCATTAAATCCTAAAGATTGATTCGCTATCGATCCTTTAATAAAATATAGATTCACCTTTGTATTCACATGTTCGTTTTCCACCGTCAGCTCACAGGTTAAACGATTCGTTGTCGCTTTTACGGCAATCACCTTGAAATCTACTTTCAAACTTTTCGATATATGTTTTTTACCTTTGCTGCAATTCGATTGAAATTTTCGGCTCCTTGAAAAGATTGAAACTCTTCTTGGGCATATGCGAGAAGTTCTTCGTCTTTTTCCTGAGAAAATCATTTTTGTAAGTAGTACTGTCTCCAAATAAAACCATCGTGTTCATGTAACTTGTTTTGCACACAGTTTAAGCTTACATTTATCTACTTTACTGGGCAATTTTCTCGTTGCAATAATCTCAAAATAAACCTCAATTTTTTGGAAATTTGTGTCGGAAGTAGATGGCTCCATTTGGCCAAGGAACGTCAAAAGAATCCCCCCGTCGCCTAAAGAAAAACGGTGAATAGATAAAAAAAAATCAGTAAAAAGCAATGAAAGCAGCAGAGACTTCTTAATAAACTATAAAATAAAGCTAAATTTAAATGGATCCAATAAAATCAAAAAGGATTTGCAGCTTTTCGATAAAACGTAGAGTGTGTTCCTTGCAGGTATTACTCGAGTAAAATTTCCATGAGCAATTCTCACTCGATTTATCGACGTTTTTTGGTCGAGTAACTACGAGGAATCCTGTTTACGCGTAAATAGAATATATTTACATTTGAAGGGAATTTGCCACCAAATTGGTTAAACGGTTGAATATCTTTAAGAGGAGTCGTAATATCAGTGGGGCTCGTTATTTTTTCGCGTCAATTTTTTGCAATAATTTTTGCTAAAAGTGCGGTAATTTTTCTTAAGTGTGCGTTTTAAAAAACGCATTACTCACGAGGAACGCTAATAAAAAGACTAAAAGAAAAAAACTCACAAAGTTTTGGTAAATGTAAAGAATTAAATGAGTGAAAAGAGGAAACGTGTCGACACGTAGCGTTGAGGAGAATGAGGAGACGCATTAAAAGGGGAAAGGGTGGAGGGGTGGATGGAAGAGATGGAGGAGATGGAAGAGATGGACAATCTGGAGGCGCTGATCTTTCCTTTCTTTCACACTATATATACCGTCGATGCGATTTGACAGAAAAAAAGGGGGAAGAGGGACGAAAACGGCCTTGAGACAGACAGAACAAGCAGTGATGGGTGTTCTCTATGCGTTCTCTGTGCGTTCTCGATGAACTCCTAACTCTCCAAATTCATCAATTTTGCCATCCCGAAAGCAGCTGAAACGAAGAAATGCCTAATTCCTCAAAATTTCGATCGTGAAATGAAACTTTAAAACCAACATAAACAGTGTGTAGATTTCAGTGTCTGTAGATTTTGAAAAAGAAATCTTCTTTGATCAATCTTTTACACTGAAAATGTCAACTTATTTATCTTTTCATCTTTTTCAGGAGCTTTTTGACGCACTAGCTTTCCGATTTTGGGTCGAACTCAAGCTGAAAATAGCTAGAGCATCACTCAATCCACCTCAATCAACCCAACTGTAATTAACACAAAAGATATTCAGAAAAAAATCAAAATTCTCTTTTGGTCAAAGGGTCTTTTCTTTTTTTGCATATAAAAGCTGAAAAGAGCCTCTCGGTTTCCCGTGTCTCCATCGGTATGTACTCTTTCCCGTTGCTAGGGTCCACCACTCGTTCAACCACCACTTTTTCCCTTTTTTCTTTTCTCTGGCTTCTATTATTTTTTAGATATGCGTAAAATTCACTTTTTCAATTATGAACCGTTTTCACCTGAATGGAGAGAATATATACGTGAATTGTGAATAGTTTAGAGCAATTTGTCTATTTCGTGATGACTTGATAATACTCGTTTTTGTCTTCTCAATCCAATTTTTGTCTTTTTCAATTCAATTTTTGTCTTTTCAATTCAATTTTTGTCTTTGTGCAATACTCGTTTTTCTTTTTTGTTTTCTTTGTTTTAAAATTGCAAGAAGTATGATATTTAGAGCTGTGGGTAAAATGGATGATGGTTGACAAGGGTGAAAGATGAATCTGCCTGCTCAACTGCTTCATTCTCTTTCCTTCGATATCCACAATCAGCCGACGAATGTGCACAATGAAGTGGCTCTATGCACAAAGTTCATGTATGTATTTAATTTATCCTATTTGATTTTAAGTACTAGATCTTTCACCTAAATTCATTTTCTGATTGAATAAGTCTCAAGTTACCAAATGTAACACGGTTTTTTTATTAAATAACCCAATCATTTTTCTTACGAATGACTTTTGAGAGTTTCTGTAAAGCTTTTTTTTGAAGGTTTTTTCATTAGCAAGAAGCCAAGTGTTCAAAAACGATAAGGTCTGATGATACGATGACCGTTTCTTTCAATGAAACCTATTTTAATGGTAAAATCAAAAAGTTAGCGCACAAAAAGTTAGATCTACAACCAAAATTTCAGAATAATCCGTTTGGCGAATTTTCTTTATGGGTTCATTTTTCAATATTTTTAAAAATCAGTTTTCGTTCTCGCATATTATTCTAAAATACTAAAAATTGTTTTAAAGTGACGAAAAGTAAACGATAAAGATTTATAATGAAAGAAATTGTTTGGTATTTAGTAGTTTGAGACTCGTTCATTTAGATAATGAAGATGAAAGAATTCTAATATATTGTCAAAAATGAGGATGCTTTTGAGTCTATTAAATAAGTATTTTCAGCGAAAGTTATACAGAAGAGGTGGCAGCAGACCTCGGTGAGAAAGGAGTATCGGGGAAGTTGATCGAAGCAATCGCTACTAAAAGAATCTGTTCTCTTTCGTGGATCGGATCAAGACCGCCAAGGAAATGGTTTCATCCATTGTTGAGGTTTTTAAACACAATTATAGTTCGTCTTTTTACTTACATGATTCAGAATTTGCCGTGTCCTTCTTCGAGATAAACTTCTCATTGACAGGTTCCACGAGTCGCATTTGCATTCGAATTTTGTTCAGGTTAGACATGTTGACCTCTAACTACAAGCTGATCAAGTTTTATTTCTAGTTCTGTGAGTACATCTCTACTCAATATTTCGCTCACGATAACTCATCCGAGTTCGCCCAATCGGTCTCAACTCTATTAAGTAAATGCTCAATTTTTTTTACACTAACTCTCTACATTCTCTAGATATTCTGCAAAAATTGTGCACAAAGAAAGAATACGTGGAGTTGTTGGTGGAGTGTAAACTGTGTAAATGTATACTCGAATTGCTCTCAAGCAGGGATATGAGCATTTTGCAGGGAGCACTTGAGGTGAATGTTTTTTACTTTTAAAAGTATTTGTAATACCTGCAATAGTAGCGCCCCTATAGGAGCGTCGCGTGGTCTAAGTTTACTCAAAAACAACGGCTCATATCTCGACACCAGTACGTTTGTTTATACGCGCTTTGGTATCAAATTAAAGTAGAAAGATAGGGGGATTTTTTGAGGTATAACACATCTTTTTAGCATTAACCAGCACTTAGAAAAAATGATTGAAAAGGGCAAAAAATCGGCTTTTTCCCTCATTTTTCATCCTATCTTTACATTTGAAGGGAGTTTGTCACCAAATCAGTTAATCGACTGAATATCTTTAAAAGAAGCCATATATAAGTCGGTGCTCGTCATTTTTTTTGCAATGATTTTCGCTAAAAATACGTTATTTTTTCCCAAGTTTGCGTTTTAAAAACGCAAGAGAAACACAATCTAGTTACCGTATTTCTTCGAATAGAAGACCGGGTAAAGAGTATGATCGCGTACTCCTGCGTAGCAGCCCTTTTTAAAATTTCTTTTCTGCATAAAAGCTTTCAATGAAGTGCTATAGGGCTGGAAAATGACTCAAAAATACCACATGAGCTAACAGATTTTTGAGCCATTTTCCATCTCTATAGCACCTGATTGAAAGCTTTTATGCAGAAAAGAAATTTTAAAAAGGGCTGCTACGCAGGAGTACGCGGTGATACTCTTTACCCGGTCTTCTATTCGAAGAAATACGGTATATCTATCGAATCCTCAGGTTCTCGGACGTCTCTCGGATTTTTCGGCTCAAAGTAGAGTCGAACTGTGTGCATCAACGGCCATCGATGTTTGCCTTCAATTAGCCCCATCTAGTGATCTTCTTACGCAGAAGTTTGTGAAAATTATTTGCATTTAAACCTTTGATAAAGGCTTTGCGTGAGTTTGTTGAGGATTCTTTCATGTGAGGAACAAGCGAGAGAACAGATCAAAATCTACGACGGAGTGCCGTTACTTGTTGGGTGAGCGGTGTGGAAATGTAACGAGAGGTTCAATTAACTATTAGTCTGCTTTCCGTGAAAAACTGTCGCTTGCAATGGCATGTGGCATGGTCATTGGCACAACTGGCTGAAGATATCGAAACGGCGACAGAGATCGCTACCCTTGGAGGCGTTTCTCTGGCACTCACTTTGCTACATGTTGGAAAGGTTAATCAGTTTTGAATTGCGTTTTCTGAAAAGTCCCTTTTTAAAAAAGTTACTGTAGTCCTGTTGTGTTTTATTGAAAGAAAATCAAACCTCTAAAGTTTCAGGTCCCCGAAAGAGGCATTGCTGATTGGATTGCAATGATGACCGGTAAGGATTTTCGTCTTGCAAAGCCAAGAATCTTTAGGAGTTTGTGCTTTGCTTGCACAACTGTGCCAATCTGATCGAGTACAATTGCAAATCGTGAATGGAAACGGGATTTTCGTGCTCGGACACATACTCCTTCTTCATCTCAACTCATCAACATTGGCTGCGAATCCGAACTACAATACATTGCAGGTTAGTTGATACAATAAGAACTGATACAGTAAAGTTTAGTGCTCCGTTTTCCGAGTTCTTCGTTTGTTGTTCTCTCTGGAGCGAAATCGTCATTTTTTCAAAAAAGTAATCAAAGTGACTTTATCATTATATAAAAGAAAGCTTCGAGGTGTTCGCGTCAGACTTCTTCGCAGCTTTTATAGACGTCGGTCATTATGTGCATGATTTGTCTGCCTATCATTCACTTGTTGAACATTATAATGCAGCTATCGTAAGCTTTAATTGCTTTAAGTTGACATTTACAATGGATTTCAGTCAATGCGAACCGTTGAAGAGAATCGCGCCGATTGGGATGCGGTTAATTTAAGGCGGGATCCAATAGGTAAAGATTAACATTAACAAACACATTAGATTAAGCCATCTATAATATTTATATTTATTTAGGTACTGTTGGTGAGTACGAGTTGTTGGAACAGCTCGGCGCTGGAGCGTTTGGATGTGTGTACACGGTGAGGAAAAGATCAAAGGATCTAGCTGCTGCACCGCAATATTTAGCTCTCAAAGAGGTTTGTTATATAAGTAATCGAGTGAAAAATAAGTTCAGATTTACATGAATGCTATGCAATCGGATTCCGATGTTAACAAAAGCTTCGGGGACATCATTTCCGAAGTGAAAATCATCAAGCAGCAGGTGATAAAACCGTACTCCAAAAAGGCATTATATCTTCGTCATTATATTTTAGCTTCGACATCCAAATATCGTTCGATATCGAAAGATTTTCGTTGAATCTCATCGACTTTATATTGTAATGGATCTCATTGAAGGAGCTTCTTTGAAAGTAGAAATCTTTTACAATAACAAAAATTACTTTTATAGGAGCACATAAATTCAACGAAAGAGAAACGAGAAAAGTTTGATGAGGGAAGAGTTTGGAGTATCACAATTCAGGTAAAGATTTTTGATCAATCTGAATATCCATCTTTTCAGTTAATCCTTGCTCTTCGCTACCTACACAAAGAAAAGAGAATCGTTCACAGAGATCTTAAACCAAACAATATTATGCTCACCGACAGCGATCGAGTAGTAATCAGTAAAGGAAAAATTTCTGCTATTTTCTAAAATAATTTTAGCTGATTTTGGACTTGCCAAACAAAAAGGAGCCGATTATTTAAAATCAGCTGCTGGAACGATTATTTATAGCTGGTTGGTTATAACAATAAGATGAAAAGGAAAAGCAATTTATAGCCCTGAAGTTGTACAGCACTTACCATATGGAGAAAAGGCGGATATTTGGTCATTTGGCTGTTGTCTCTATGAGGTTTTCCAATAGTTAATCCATTTTTTCGATCTTCAACTTCAGGTTTGCTGCTTAAAACCAGCATTTTATTCTCAAAACATGCTACAATTGGCCACTCTAATTGTTGAAGGGAAATACGATCCAATTGAGGAAACATATTCAGAGTTGGTAAACATATTCATATTAAAACTGGAAAAACTGGCTTTAAATGACAAAGATTTCCAGACAAATTCGTGGTCTTGTATCTTATTGTCTGAAAACATCACCATCAGAACGTCCGGATATCGATGGAGTGGCGGCTCTTGTCGCTCCGCGGCTCATCCTTTGTCTTGATGAAGTTTTTAGGTATTAGACTAAAATTGATTATTTCTAAAAATAGCTGATCCTATCGCTGTTCAAATATTTTTTTTGCAAAATACCAAATCAATTACTTTTCCGTTAACATTAGCTTCAGACGTCATTCTCAAAACACCCAGGAATCCTCTCAGCGAATGTTTTCTTACACGGAATTTGCCACTGGTAGCAAAAGGTTTGCCAGTTGTAAGTGAAAAAGTTTGATTTTCCTTCCCTTTCCAGGCCACCATCTTCTTCACTAAACTCATCAACGTCATCAGCGGCCGGTGGTGGAAGTTCAGCGAGGATCTTGTTACGCAGACGAAAATCTCTTTCCGCTGAGGTGACACCACCGAAAATTCCCTCCGGCTCTACACAAAACCCACCAACCGCTCTCAAATTACCACCAATCGTTGCTGGGAATATCGATAAACCTAAAAGTATCGGTTTAAAGGAATTTACTTCAAAGTTTCTTACAATTAGGAGAGCTGAAGTCGTTATCCGCGGGGAATACATCGAAAGGCCGTGTTCGTCTCCCACTTTCTACCACTCTTCCCACAATTGCCCCTGCAGCGGTACACAAGAGTTTTTATTATGCTTATAAATTTATTAGTACTTTATTGCCTGAGTTGATATACATTGTCATTTAGCCGACAAGACGCTTAACAGTTGCCGCGGTTCGAACTCACAAGAGAGCCTCTTCTTCGGGAGCGGTTGACAAATCGGATCCACTACTGACTCTTAGGTAGGAGAATTTTGGTTGAAAGGATTCAATCAAGCTCGAGCTCCAATTAAGCTTCAATCGAGCTCCAATCAATCAGATCCAATCCAATTCAATTCAATTCAACTCAATTCTAGCTCGAGTCTCCTTCAATCATAACCCACTTTCAGATCCGGAGCTCTTCGTCCAACCGTCGATCCAGTTGTCCAAATTTTGGCGGCAATACAGAGAATTTTCCAAATCAGTCAATCATCCATTGACGGTACAGATTATTCAAAGAAAATTTGCAAAAGAAATCACTTCAGGCTCAGCGTTGAGCTACAAAAAGCGATTGGTGGAACAATTTCAACGGAATATTTTCGGTCGATCGATCAATCCGGGTGTGGCAAAGAGAGAGCTGAGAAAGGTTTGGAAAAGGAAAATCTTAGAAAGTAAAAACTTTGATCTTAATTTTTTTTTATCCTGGCTCAAGTTTAGTTGGTTCTTGAAGCAAATGAAGAAGTGCCGCTCGATCTCGGTTTTGCCGATTTTCGTCCAGTTCTCACCGATCTCCCATTGCCGCCAGAGTTGAGCATGGGTTAGTTTAAGTGTTCTATTTTTTTTCTCTATATATTTCTATTTCTATTTTAACGCTTTGAAAAACTATACTCTATACTAGGGAAATAGTATACTAGTAGTAATCTTTGAAAAACGAAAACTTCAGATCGCAAAATCACTCGGATAACCTATGAGCAATTGGCCGCCTGTATTTCTACGTTGAGTCGAAGTCTTCGTTTAGAAGTCTAAATCATCAAAAAGTTTCCTCTCTTGTAAATATTTTGAAATTAAAATTGGAATTTTAAAAAATACCCAACTAATTCTATTTTTTTTTTAAACCTTTTCTTTCCCCAAAATTGTGATTACTTGTCTGTGTTTCGTGTACGTTTACAGGTCTTAGAAAAACTTAGAAAAACATTTTCGGGTCTTAGAAAAACTATAAAAGTTTTACGAGGCATACACAAAAAAAAAAGCTTTCAAATAACTCATTTACTCATAAGAGAAAAAAATGCGAAAAATGTCTGAAGTCGAAAAATTCTCTTAATATTTTTCATTTTCAGCGATAAGCTCATAAGGAGCTTGCAACATGGTCTGTTTTTGATAGTTCTCACCGAAAAATTTTCACGCCCTCCATTATCTCTCATTGGGGAAAAAAAGCTGACTTTTATCGGGGGTTTCCATGAGCGAAATTGCTCAATAATATTTGATTTTTACTGAAAAATCTGAACCCAACACTACTTGTTTAAGATTTTCTCTTGGAATACAACTCATCAAAGTCACAAAAAAAAGCTTCTGCTAACATTTAACATTTGCATATTTGATTCAAATGTCTGGCTTTGCTTTTGCATGCCTTACAATGATGGCTTTACAATTCCCGCCAATCCCTGTCGATGAAATATTTGATAGTTGCTATCCACGAAAAGTGGACTGTAATCCTGTAACAATTTCGACGAGAAATTCAACAAGCACCAAAATTGTGACAGAACCGACTACAGAATCGACCAATATCACAACGATTTTTTCCTTTAATTCAACCAATTCTACAACCGCATCGACTTCGACATTATCGACCAGATCCACTGAATCTTATTCAACTAAAACAACCGGTTCTGTAGCTTCAACTACTGTCAATAAGACTTCAACAACAACTCCATCCACCCTCACAACCTCGCCATCACCTCCGTTACCGTTCGTAAATCTTTGTCTTCTTACTAGGCATGGGCCATCGGGTTGCCAAATGCATTCTAGCAAACGATTTTTGTTTTCTAAAACGTGGATACAATTTGATTTTTAGATTTAGAAAACAGAAGCTTTTTGCTAAAATGCATTTGGCGACCCGATCGCAATGACTACTTCTTACAATCAATTTACATTAGGCCAATGGCTGTCAACATTTCGGAATGTGGGTGTGATGTCCCGAATCTCTACTTGGACGTTATGTTCGTCGTCTCAACTGCTAATGATCTCAGCCATGGTGATGTGCAAGCGGTAAAGAAACATTTCTTTTCTAATCTCAATTTAAGCTAATCTCAATTTGCAGATAGAGTTTTATCTCGAATCGGTGATTCTCGAAATGACACTTGGACAAGGAATACAACAAGTCACGAGAATCGGTGAGCCTCTTTTTCCTTTAGAAATTTAGAATTCATTTCAGGTTTGGTTGTTTATTCGGATAGCGCTCAATTGGTTTTCCCGCTTTCATCATTTAATAATACTGATGATTTCTTTGCGAACTTTAACATTCCAATACCAGCTTCACCAATGAATCGAAATAATCTTTACGAGTAAGTGTCTCACGGAAATGAAAACTTTCACTTTTAGGGGTTTATTTCTCGCAAAAGCTGAGCTAGACAACAATGTGAGGCAAGGATTTCAACCAGTCATTGTCATCATAACACAAACTTTTGAGTTAGTTGATATTTTTCGTTTAAAACTAGATAATTTTCAGTCCAATTGTTGATCCAAGCAAAATAGCGGCAAGCTTCAGACGATATGGTCGAATCATTACAATTCGTAAGTGAATAGGAATCATTTTTTTAATTGTTTAAAGCTTTAGAATATTTTGCTGAACATGGCACAGACGCCGATTTGATTCCGCAAATCACAGAGCTTGCCTCGACGAATTACAATCTCTCGAATAGAAATCGAACACTGCACGTCTCGCAGCTTCACGATCTTTTTTGCGAAGGTATTAAGCTAGAGAAATTAATGATTTATTTGACTATTTGACTTTAATTTTAGCGAATTGTTATTGCCCAGCTTATTGGCAAATATATAAAAGAGATCATTTCGAATCACCTACAATGGGATGTTATAAAATGGCCGCGGATAACCGATTCGTGACTTACTCTGAAGCACAAAGGTGCAAAATTTCATGATTTTTGGAAGAGTCGAATCAAATCTTAGTCTTAGTCGAATCAAATCTTAATCTTAGTCGAATCAAATCTTAGTCTTAGTCGAATCAAATCTTAGTCTTAGTCGAATCAAATCTTAGTCTTAGTCGAATCAAATCTTAGTCTTAGTCGAATCAAAATCAATCACAACACTCAAGAATTCAATTTTCCCATCGAAGAAGAAGCTTGTTTAGAACTTGTCGAAGTGACAACGGTGCTTTGGTTTCGCTTGAAGATCTAGAAAAAGCGAATTGGATACAAACAAGTAATCACAAACATAAGTTAAACCCAAAAAAAAGTCTTTTAGTGGAACATGACATTTATGCGCAATGGATAGGGCTTGTCTGTGATCGAGGTAATTGTACTTGGGACGATTTAACAAAGGTTTTTTTGAGTAAACCACAATGATAATGTTTACGATAATGTTTCTAGTTTAACTTCGACTTGTTCGACACTTTAAATGCAAATGATGGGCAACTTTGTACAGTACAAGCCGATGATCAGACTCAAAAGCTAGCTTGGTATTTAAAGATTAAAATTATATTTGAAAATGTTTTTAGGAATTTGGTTTCTTGCTCAACACAATTTCAAAATTTCACTTGTGAGAGGCGGGCTTGTGCGAGCGATTATTTTTGCATCAATAGCAATTGACAATTTTTACAATTACCATATCTATAGCTTTTAAGCTTATATTTAGCTTTAAGCTTTGAGTTTTGAACTTTGTGAAAAGTTTCGGGTAACTTGTTTCAATAAATTTTCGAGATATCTTTCTCAGTGGTTGAAAGGAAATCTAGGACAAAGAGGAAATGAGTGTCAACGTTTTGAGTTTTGTTTTAGAATTGCAATATGCGAGGCGTCAATTGGAATCGGGACTTCTCTTTCTATTGGTTTCCTTTTCTCTCACTCACCCACTTCCACCAAGGTCGATTCGCCACAAATTGCACTCCAAAGCTAACGGCTAATTTATATTCGAAAAGACAGAAAGTTTAAAGCAATAAAATCTAATCCTATGCAAAATAAGTCCCATTTTATAAATAACGATTACCGTATTTTCTCTAATAGTAGTGAACACAAAGCGTTGCCTAAATTCCTCGAAATCTCGAAAAGCGCTTATGAGAACCTATCGATGTGAGGTCGGAAAATGTAGCTGACGATGAGATCTTGTGGGGGATTAGAGTGTTGAGCTTCTGGGAAAACTTGGAAACTGTAAAATAGGCATTAACTCGGCTCGGCCGGGTGCACTACTATTAGAGAGAATACGGTAATTTCTTTTTTTCTTTATTTATAAATAAAGATTAATTTCTTTTTTCTTTATCTTCTTTATCTTCTTTATCTTCTTTATCTTCTTTATCTTATAGCTGAATCTAGATCTTTAAAGCTTTCAAAGCAAATTGACAATCGGCTTATTCAAATTTTCGTTAACAAATCGTTATAATAAGTCCCATTTTATAAATAACGATTACCGTATTTTCTCTAATAGTAGTGAACCCAAAGCTTTGCCTAAATTCCTCGAAATCTCGAGAACCGCTTATCAGAACCTATCGATGTGGGGTCGAAAAATGTAGCTCACGATGAGATCTTGTGGGGGATTAGAGTGCTGAGCTTCTGGGAAAACTTCGAAACTGTAAAATAGGCATTAACTCGGCTCGTCGCGGTGCACTACTATTAGAGAGAATACGGTAATATATGTGCTATTCATGAGATCATCTCGGTGTCTAATGAAGTGATTCTTGAGAGGTTATTGTTTGGAAGAGGTTTGTATACAATATCGGTTCAAGAGATAGGTGAAGAGGGCCGTTTCCGGTCTTTTTTTTTTCAAAAGGGATATATTTGGAGAGGGGGGAACGGGTCAAACCTCCATATGCATATGCACGAGGTCAATTCCAATCCAATGACAATACGAAAAGAGACACCGGTGGGACACGCACAGGGAAATTGCTTTGTGAGCGCGCTCGTAAACGCTCCTTGATCTCTAGGCGGATTGCATTTAAAACCATGCTAAAACAGAATTCGTAAGTCCAATCATCCTCTTTTAAAATGGAAATCTTTTCTTAGGTGCCCTGAAAGCTTTGGATCAAATTTACAGCTGAATATCTTCTTTTTATGCCATCTATAATGCAAAAAAGAAATCCCTGTGTGAATGACTGTGTTCTTTGTGCGGCCGGGTAATCGCTCACCGTCTGGCAAACCCGTCTGGCATAAGGCTCTTCTCCTTTGGCTTCCGTAATGTGGAAGAAGCAGTGATCCACCACTAGAAGTGATTTTCAGCGATGATTGCTGTTTTCATAGATTACTCTCGTGAAATTTGCGTTTCGTTGGCACCATCACTAGTCGGACGGTCATTAAGTCTTCCCTGTCGTCGTCGACGAACAAGGCCAGGCCTATGAGAGTATCAACTCGACGGTTGGCGAGTATTCTCTGCAAGGCATAGACACCAACGGTTTCCGTTGCCGCGACACTTGTTGACTCTATGGTCAAACTTTTGAGTTCAAATAATCTGGTTTTAGTGAGGACCGATCCTGATTTTAGATCTTTCCCCTAAAGATTAATACATTAGTGTGAAATCTTTCCAAAAACCAAGATCAATCTAGGATATAAAGTACCCGAAAAATGAGAGCAAACTAGGGAGGGGCCGAGAGAGAGCGAAAGAAAGGACAAATGGTCATTGTGTTGTGTCGTCTTTTCTCCGGAAGCAATGTACCGTGTGAAAGGGCATCGTGGGAGGCATGCAAAGAAAAAGACCTCAATCACCCATAATAAATGCAAATTTTCTCCCCCGACTCGATTCATCCAAAAAAAACCCCAATCCTTTGGGGGGAAAAAATGCGTTCACCTGGCCCTTCTCATTTCCTTTTTTTTTGACTGGAATTGGCACACCTGTCCCCACTCTCCTCACCCCATTTCCATCATTCATATACCATTTTTACTCAACTATTCAAAAGGTTCCTTCAAAAGCTTTCCTTGTTTACCTAGAGAAGAACTCAAAACAAACAAAAATTAATCTAATTTTTGTTTGATATTGTTTGATATTGTTTGATTTTTTACATAAAACTCTAACTTTATTACTCCAGATTTTCAAATATTATGTTAATATTTTCTTTCACAAAAAAAACCCAATCCTTTGGGGGAAACAATGCTTTCACCTGGCCTCTAACCTGGCCCTCTAACCTATATACCCGGCCCTTCTCATTCAAACACATTTTGAATTTTATATAAAAAACTTTGAACCGATTATGCGAATTAGTGAGCGAGTGAGGAAAGGTCGATTGTCGGTCGATTTTTGCTAAAGATTCATTGTGGGGCATCTGAAACGGAGATCTTAGCGATTTTTCGGTGCAAAGTGGGGAAAGAGATTGGAGAATTTGTGGATAGAAAAGAGTTCTTTGTTTCTTCTTTCACATTGAGTGAGAGCCTCGAGGCACGATTAGTGCCACCCCTTTCCCTTCCTTCGATTCTCTTCGATCCTCTTCGATACCATATAGAGAGCGCCTACACGCCAAACATTTGAGTCTCTCTTTGCTTTTGGATTGAAGGACCGATCCACAACCTCGAAAATCGACCCTCAATCATGCCCACAATACACACTCTCAGCGACGACACCTCCAAATAATCTGTAGCCCTATAATAATTCCATGTTTACCCAATTGCTCTCTAGTGGAATATCAGATAGTTGATTGAGTTGAGGCTAGTTCAAAGCTTTATCAGATAGTTGATTGAGTTGAGGCTAGTTCGAAGCTTTATCAGATAGTTGATTGAGTTCAAAGCTTTATCAGATAGTTGATTGAGTTGAGGCTAATTCGAAGCTTGATCATTTCATTTTTTTATCTAAAATTGTTGATTTTATAGCTTTATCACTTCATTTTCTTATCTAAAATTGTTAATAGTATAGTTCTTCAGACTTTGCTTACTCTATTCCTCTTCTAAAGCGATAAAACCAAAGTTGATTAGTCAAACTATCTATTACCAGCTTTCAAAAAAACCCAAACCTTGAAGATTCCAACGTTTAAAACTGTTCACTTCCTGCAGATGCATATCTCTATTCAATCTCCTTTCTTTCGTCACCGATCGAAACTCTTTTTGCCCTCGATTTCCCCAGCAATTTTCCCCTCGTAAACCATCCAATTTTCACATCTGCATACCTCAACAAAAGTTTCATTTAGATTACTTTTTTTTGTACAAATGAAGCCAAACACAACATGATACGCTTTGGCTTATTTATTCTTTTGCTAAACTTTAAACTCTCGGCTTCGGAGCTTCGGGAAACCACCGTACGATTGCACATCTCTGAAGGTACAATGGCAAGAAGCTTTAGTTTTAAAAAATTATTATTATTTCCAAAAAATCTAAGAAAGCTCAAAAGCTCAATTACTCTCACTAGTTCTTTCTTCCACTTCAAAGCATAAAGATGCTCTCCAAGCAAAATTGCAAAGCGAAATTGCTCACTCTCTCAAGGATTCATAGGTTGAAATCCGGTGTTCTTAAAAAAAAGCAACTAAATATAGAACTATGTTAAATGTTAAAATTATTTTATAGATGCCCCATTGCACACTTTTGTGGGAAATGTGGAACTCGAGAGGGGACCAACTTATCGAATAGCCACAAATGATGAGGCATTTCGTTTGAATTTAGACACTGGACAGGTGGATTTGAGAGATTTGAGAGATTTGATCGACTTCAATCCTCTTCTTTACTTGAGAAACGAAATTTTCAAAAGAAAACCTTCAGATTTTTACGAGAGCTTCCCTCGATCGAGAGACAACATCCGTGCATCAGTTGCTGCTAATCTCGACGCTTCCATCGATCGTTCACATCGAGATCTTCATCGACGATGTCAACGACAATGCTCCATTGTTTTCAAGTCTATCTCAAGTATTCAAGTGCTTTTTTTTCTTGAATTTTGATTTGTATAGAATGTGACGATAGCAGAATCGGCTCCGATTGGCTCGAGGATTCCGTTAACTCCAGCCGTTGATCCAGATTCGGGAATCAATGGTGAATGATGAGTTTTTTGTAAAAAAAAAACAAAACTTTATAGGCAAGATTGTTGGCTATGAAATAACAGATGGAGACTCGCAGGAACACTTCAAGATAGTCTATGATCCAGAAGTTGACAATGTCTTAATGCTAGAGATCATGTTTGTTTTGTCTAAGACTATACAGTAATGAAGATGTTTCCAGAAAGCCACTTGATCACGAGAAACATCCACTGTTTACACTGACTCTCTCAGCAAATGATGGTGGCTTAAATGCTAGGTTTTACAATACGATTATACCTAAGAAAAAGGAAACTTCTAGAAGCAGCACAACGAAGCTTGAAATAACGGTACTCGATGTGAATGATAACACTCCACAATTCGATCAGAGTGAATACATGGCTATTTGGAGTGGTCAGTACATTTATACCTAGAGCCTGTTCCTTCCGAGTAAGTAATCACTAAAGTAAAATTTCCATGAGTCATTTTTCCTCGATTAACCGACGTTTTTTGGTAATTAACTACGAGGAATCCTCTTTACACGTCGAGTAAATTGAATATCTTTAAATTTGGAGGGAATTTCCCACCAATTCAGTTAAACGGTTGAATATCTTTACTTTTGAAGGGAATGTCCACCAAATCATTTAAAACCGCTGAATATCTTTAAATTTGGAGGGAATTTCCCACCAATTCAGTTAAACGGCTGAATATCTTTAAAATGAGTTATATATAAGTCGGCACTCGCCATTTTTCGCGTCATTTTTTTGCAATAATTTTTGCTAAAAGTACGGCAATTTTTTTCTAATTGTGCGTTTTAAAAAACGCATTACCCACGAGGAACACACTCTATTTATATCTATTTATTTATATGACTAATTTTCATTTATCAAACATTACAGGAAATCTGAAAGACCCGATCACTCGTCTATCGACTCGGGATGAAGACAGTGGACAGAATGGAGTCGTTTCACTGGTCATTCTTGGGCCAGCAACACATCTTTTCACTTTTGATTCCACTGGAAGACTATTTGCAAAGGTTTTGAAATTGCATATAAGGCTATTCAGAAATCAATTCGAAATCATTTCACTTCAGGAGAACTGGAGAGCTTGTTGCGCTTCACAAATCACCTGCGTTGAGTGCTCGATTCCCGTGCGAGCTATTGATCACGGTTTAACCAAATATCACTTTTTAATTCAAAATTATTAGGCAATCCTCCACTTTCTTCGACCACTTCAATCACCGTCAAATTGAACGAAGGAAAGCCGGGTGAACAAGTCGAAATACGATTCAAGTTAGTCTATTGAGTAAAGCATCGATATTCTTTAATAATGCAAATCTTTTTGATTGCAATTACGTAGGACTTTGAGCATTTAAAAGTTTCGATTTTAGGATGTACCCACCGGGTGTCGATTTCGCGTTGGTAGAAGAAGAGTCACGAGTGGGGAGAACGATCGCTGTCGTTTCTGGTTTCTGTTGTTTCTCCGTCAAATCCTTTCAATGGTTTTATTTTTAAAAAATTAAATCTGAATAAACTAATCTATAGGTACATTGAAAATCGTGAACGGGAATGAGAATGGGATTTTCTCTTTGAAAGGCTCACCAAAATTGTCATTACTTCGATTGGAAAGAGACGCGAGTGCTGTCACTAAAGATCAATTTCTGCTCACTTTTCAAGCGATTTCCAATTCAGGGAACTATTCATCAAAGAAAACGCTTCAGGTTAGAAAAGATTTCAATTTTTCAATCTTTTATTTTTCAATCTTTTATTTTCTTTAAATCTTTAAAATTTTAAAATTATTCATCTTTTAACACATTCGCGACGAGGCGCTTTTTTGCGTTACTGCCCCAGTGGACGAGGGGTGTCTCGCAAAGCTATTAGCTCCGAAATACACCTCCTATATGTAAAATTTCATACTGAATCCGAATCTCTAATCATATTTTGAAAATATTGCTGCCTCAAAAAGAACTAGTCGAACCTTTTTACATTTTGGAATTATCTTAAAAAGTTGAGAAGTTATAGCGCGTCAAAAATTGCGTCCACCGGTGGACCGAATCGTCCCAGGGGCCAGACGACCTTCGTCCACCGGTGGACCGAACCGTCCCAGGGGCCAGACGGCCTTCGTCCACCGGTGGACCGAACCGTCCCAGGGGCCAGACGGCCTTCGTCCACCGGTGGACCGAATCGTCCCGAACGTGTTAAATCTTTTAGGTATACTTTCAAAGGAAAGGAAGTGAGAAAAAGCAGCACTATGGTCCATCTTTTCTATCAATTTCTTTAAATGAAGATTCACCAATTGGATCATTTGTTACACAGGTATAAAACACAAAAAATACATAAAAAAAATACATAAAACTAAAGTAAAACTAAAACTAAAATAAATTTAGATCAAAGGCGCACCAGGAGCAACTTTTCGAATCATTAAAGGCGGAGATGATTTCGAGATCGATTCAGTCAACGGTAAATAAAAAGTTTATTCCAAAACTAGTAATATTTTTAGGGATTATGGTTTCAAAGAAAGATTTATGGTTGAAAAGCAATCGAGAAACAGAAATCGATGCTGAAGTGGAGACGATTTGGCCTCCGCCATCCATTCATCCAACAAACACAAGAATCACGTGAGATTTATTCAGAAACTTTCAAAAAAAAAAGATATTTTACTTTACAATTTATCCAAATTACTTTATAGATTAAAAGTTTTGGATGTGAATAATCACTCGCCATTGATTCAAACACGAATCGAAAATCTGCTCGTATCTGAAGATAGCCCTATTGGAGAAACACTTATCACTATTTTAGCTAAAGATCAAGTAAATTTTATTGATGAAAATACTTATTTCTTTAAAGGATTTGGGAAAAAATGCACAATTGGAGTACTTTCTACTCACCCCGACACCAGTTTTTAAAATCGAAAAGCAAACAGGAAAGCTTATTCTTTTGCAAGCATTGGACTATGAGAAAAGGTTTGATTTTTCAAGAATAAAGACTAAAGACTTTAGATAAAAAAAATAAAAAATAAAATAAAAAGACTTTAGAAAAGAGTTTCTTCTTGAAATGGAAATTTGTGATATGGGAAAGCCAAGACTTTGTGCTAGAGAAAAGCTAAATATTTATGTCAAAGATGTGAACGATAATCCACCGATTTTTCTCTGGCCAACTCAATTCTTGGCAATTCCGAGAACGATCGAAATCGACCAAAAAGTCATTTTTTTTGTTCATTTCAAAAACCCATTTTTTTTTGTAGATTGGCTCAGTTTATGCTAGAGATTTGGATTCGAAAACTTTTGGTTCAATTACTTACTCCTTTATCGAAAAGAATGAACATTTTACAATTGATTCGATGAATGGAGAGATTTCTCTCATTTCTTTACCAAAATATCGAAAAGAATTGACGGTAAGTGAAAGAAGAGAACTCTGAGAACTCTTTTGTAAAGAATTAACCACAAGAAACTAATTTAGTTAAAGTAAAAACAAAATTAAATCAATAAAGATAAAAAGTTTGCACCAGCCGGGAATCGAACCCGGGTCTATACCTTGGGAGGGTACAATGATACCATTACACTACTGGTGCTTGTGTCCTCCTGCTTAAAAGAGGCCTCTTAAGAAAATCAATGAAACAAGGAATGAAAATTTAGCTAGCAATCATTGGAATAGATAATGGCGGACTCCAATCAACAAATAATGCCTCAATTTTTATTCGTTTTCTCGAATCATCAGAGAAAAAGCCGCTTTTCGCAAATATCTCCTCAAGAATTACTATCAAAGAATCAAAGCTTCATTCACAAATGAATATTGGAAAGATTGAAGCCAAGGTGGGCTTTTATTTGATAATTTTAAGCCAGTAATTCGTAATCTAATCTAATCTAATACTTAATTGTTTTATTTAAACTTTAAAATCTTCTTAGAACGCAGCTCGCTATGAGAAACTCAGCGGACCTATTGAAATCGATGAATTTACCGGAGTATTGACTCTCTCCTCCGATCTAGATCTTCACATAAACTCTTCAATCCCATTTTCTGTATTAGCTATTTCACCAGATGGTGTCAAGGAGTCACTTTTGAGAATGGTAAACAATGTAAATGATTTTCGTAAAAGTTGCTCTAGATTGAAATCGATTCTTCTCAAAAAACACCGAAATTTCTACAACAAAAGCTAAACCTTTCTGTCACATCACAAACGCCAATTGGAGCCGAATTGCAGAAGGTTTGTGAAAGAATTTTCCATTGAAAATCTTTGCTCTTTCAATTGAAAATCTTTGCTCTTTCAATTCAAAATCTTTACTCTTTCAATTCTGAAAGTTAAGATTGAATTTGACGAAGAGGTTGCTCATCTATCATTCTCATCTGATTGTGCTCATTTATGGGTGGATGAGAGAACGAGAGTGATCCGGACAAAAGCTCTCTTTGATCTTCCACTTGATCAAATTCAATGCTCGGTTGATCTTTTTATCAAACTTTTACCATTAAAGTTTTAAGATAAAAGCCAGTAATGCTCAAGGTGGATCAGACGAAATGCAATTGATTTTAAACGTTGATCAAAAGGTAGCTTTTCCTAGTTTTGATAAAACTTTAAATTTCCAACAGATTGAGCCGACTGTGAAGTCACATTTGAGAGTCGTTGTTGAAGAAAATGTATCAATGGGTACTCGTATTGGAAATTTGAGCTCTTTCCATTCATCTCATCTCATCTTTTCATTAGATTCTCTCTCTAAAAACTCGCCGATCGGAGTTTTTCCAACAGGTTTACAGTCTTAAATGCTAATATTATGTTGATACTATGTTAATATACAGTACTGGACAATGAAATATCATATTTGAAAAACGATCGTCACTTTCGCGCGTCTGTAATCCCCTTGTCTTTGAGTTTAAACTATTAGTGTTATACATTTTCTGAAAGCTCTTTTCAATGGCTACACAATGGTAGTATTAATATTTAGAAATACGGTAAAGACAAGGGAGTTACAGATGCGCGAAAGTGACGATCCTTTTTTAAATATGATATTTCATTGTCCAGTAGTGTACTAAAAATGAATATCTAAAGCTTCAAATCCAGGTGAACTCTTCATTCGTCGATTGTTGGATCGAGAAGAAAATTCTTTCATTTCACTTGCGGTTATCGCTTCACATAGGTGACATTTGGTGGCATTATCAATTTTAAATCTTTATTTTATTTGAATTTCATTTAATTTAAAAATCATTTCATTCTTATTTAGCTTTAATTTCATTTTAAGCAGCAAAAGCAACAAAAGCAACAAATGGAGAACAGAAGTGGAAATACTTGTGGAAGATGTAAACGATAATGCGCCAGAGTGTGAAGAGAAAAGTTTTACCAAAAAATGAAAATCATTTTAACAAAAGAAATTTACAGACGGTGAGCTACCAAAGTTCGCGGTGGAATCGACGAAATCACCGGGATCGGAGATCGGAGAATTGGCGTGTCGAGATAAAGATCTCGGATTGAATGGCTATGTTGTCTATGAGCTTATCGATAATATCCCATGGATTGCGCTTGATTTGCATGGAAGGGTTCACTATGCTCGAAAAATCAGAAAATACAAAATGTTACAGATATTTCTTTCGTCTCTGATCCCAGCAAACGTCTCAGAAGTCACCGTAGCCTACTCTGTCGCGGATTTGGCTCATTTGGTGCCGAATTCAAAGTAATTCTTTTTTTTTGCCTAATTGCAATTCTATAAAATTTTTAGATCTACATCTTTAAAGAGTTCATGCAAATTTGTTATCGAAATCGCAAGAGAAGCGTTAGAACCAAAAATTGTCGTAAACCAGCAAAAGGCTGTTTCACCACTTCTTTTTCCAAATGTTTGTTTGCGAATTTGGAAACTAATTCACGAAACTTTTAGGTTAATTCAAATACAGCACCAATTTTCGAAAAAGTTCCTAAAGAAGTGCTGATAGAAAAATGGGATCTTGTTGGGAAAATGCTCTTTCAAATACAAGTCACTTCTCTAGTTCCAGTCAAATTCAACAGGTTTCTTTAAGAAATATATTTATTCAACATGAACAATGTGAACAAAACAGATAAAACAATACAATACAACACAACACAACACAACACAATACAACACAATACAATACAATACAATACAATACAACACAACACAATACAATACAATACAATACAATACAATACAATACAATACAATACAATACCTTTAATGATAAATGTTGTTAAAAACACGAAAATTTGAAAACAAGAAAAAAGAAAGCCTGAAGTTCATACGTGGGATCGACTAGGACCTCCCCACTAGGAGATGAGACTCTTAACCAGTCAGCCATCTGACGACCACCCGTCAGGCCTAAAATTGTTCTCTTATTTAGCTTATCTCCAAATTTCTATGTGAACTCGAAGGGGAGCGTAATTTTGAATGAGATTCCTGAAAGAATCACTGATCGATTTCTTCTGATCGAAGCCGAACAAATAAACAAAGTGAAACATGGAGAGCTTGTCGAGAGAATTCATTCACGTCTTTCGATCCCAATCCGCCTTGCAGATTCCCCTTCCGACTCACAAAGCCTTTTTCCAACTTGTCATATTAAGGTTTTTTCAATCTCAGTTTAACAAATCTTTTAATGATTCAGGAGAACGTTAAATATTTGAGTGAAGTTTGGCCAGAGATCGAAACAAATGAAAAGATTACTTTATTGCAAAAGATTCCTTCTGATTGCCCGATTGAGAATATTTCTGATCGCTTGAGAGTTGTTGCCGCTTTAGATCGAGAGAAAACTTCAGAGTGCCAGGTAGATCATTTCAAATAAACAATTTTTCAATTCAAATAGTTCTTTCTGAAAACGATTGATGATCGTCAAGTGATACATCGATTGTTGAAAGTTATTGTCGATGATGAGAATGATAATCGACCAATTTGTGATGGTTTGAGAACATTCGTCGTCTCTCAACTGCCCACTGTAATCCCAATTCAATGTCATGATCGAGATTCAGCTGAAAATGGAACCCTTCACTACTCAATTCCACAAGTTGTTCAATTTGTTTGATTTATAGTTTGTTTTTTTATAGATTGACGGAGTTCGCGTTCAACAAGATGGTCATTTGATCGTTGATCGACTTATCGCTCCCCTAACTAATATTTCAATTACAGTCACCGATATGGCTTTGTAAAGTAGCAATGATTCATTGAATGAACGAAGTTTTTAGAACAAATCCTCACTCAACAATCATTGAGATTAAAATGCTCAATCTATCAACGGATTTTGATCTCATTTCTGATTTTGATCTTGATCAAATCCCGATTTTACGAGCAAACCTTTCCACATCACTTGGCACTCGCTTGGGAAAAGTAAAAAGCTATTAAATTATTTTTAAAAATTAAAATTTAGATTGATTTGAAGGGGTTAAACGTGGCTGTAAGTGGAGCACCGGACGGAGGGCCATTTATAGAGATCAATGAAAAAGGAGAAATGTTTCTCTCAAAGAAGCTCTCCTCTTATCCCCAATCTCTTCCGCATATTATCACTTTTTACACTCAAAAAGCTAGAAAAGATTTCACGGTTTAGCAATTCATTTTTCTAGCTCAACATATCGTTTTTAGTTGGAGTTAGTGGTGGATGATGATGTGTTGATGCCAGAAAAATCCCAAGTTTTCTTTGTTTTAAACAAAAACACACCAAAAGGTCAGTGATTTTTAAAAAATTAATTTTATATTTAAATGAAACTATTCAGGATTTCGTTTGGGTAAACTAAACGATAGAGAATGCGAATTTTCAACAACAAATCCATTCTTCAAGATTCATTCAAAATCAGGAGTGATTCAACTAACTAACGATCTTCCAAAGGTTTTCAGGAAATATTCTAGGCAACTAATTTAAAGAAATATTTTTTGTTTTTAGGGAAATCTCATTGATTTTATGGTCGATTTGGAAAGAAAAAATGGATTGCGAGCTCAAGTGAAAGTGAATGTCGCGATTGTCGGAATCGAGCACTTTCCTCGAAATAATGATGCTCAATCTAGAGAAAGCTTTTTCTTTGTCCCAGAAAACTCTCCCTTTGGAACACCAGTTGGACAATTAGCCCCGAAACATTCCCATTTTTACTCATTAATCTCTGGACATGAAGATTTTGTTATTGATCCAAAAACAGCAATCATTCGAACAAAGCGTTCATTGGATCGAGAGATGGTAAACATAAACTAGCTTTTCTTGTCACGATTAGATTTTAGAATCCGATCTTTTTCTTATCAATAAGAGAAACAAATTCATATGGATATTCAACAGAAAAGAATGTGACCGTATTTGTTGAAGATGAAAATGATTCAATACCTACTTGTGTTAAAACAAAGTTCAATGTTTCCGAAGAAACAATTAGTGAAACAATAATTGGAAGAATTCAATGGAATGATGAAGATTCAGGTTTAACTCAAAAGACTTCAACTCTTCAACTAAAATTCTTATAGATACGTTTTTCAATCCAACAATTGTAGCAGGAGATGAGGAGAATCTTTTTGCAGTTTATTCAAATGGTGATCTCAAACTTCTTGGAGAACTCGACTACGAGAAAAAGAAAGAGCATCATCTTTTAATTAAACTCACCGATGATAGATTGCCATTTCCAAGTCATTCAATTGAATGTCAAGTGATTGTTCAAGTTGAAGATATTAATGATAATTCACCAATCTTCATCAAACAAACAACATTTATTGCTAAAGAAACAGCGACTACTGGAGAGGTAAGTATTCATTAAAATCTCTCTTTTTATAAGCTCTAGGTGATCGGTTTGCTTACAACAATGGACAAAGACAGTAATATAAATGCTCAAGTGAAATACAGGTAATATATTGGGTTGGTGAATTGAAAACTGCCGGCTATTGTCATATGTGACAGTTTGAGCACTTTCTTCAAAAGAAACCCATTTCGGTGTCAATGGAAAAGTTGTAGAGAATCAAAAATCAAGCTTATATCCAAATTTTCAGAACGATTCAAAAACTGGTTTTCAAGAAATGCCAAATTTACAAATTTTCACAAAACTTGCATTTTAAGCGAAACTACTAAGTGTATCTTTTTGGAAATTTGGCTATAAGCCTCATTTTTGATTCTCTACAACTTTTCTATTGACACCAAAATGGGTTTCTTTTGAAGAAAGTGCTCAAACTGGGACATCTCCATTCCTCCATTTTTGAGTCTCACAATTGTCTCACACACAAACCAAAATCCTACTAGAATCCAAAATCCGAAAGAGGAATCCGCAAATTGCCTGTAAAATGGGCAGAAGTCGTCAATAATAATGGAAATTATTTGGAACGAATTCATGGTTTTATGTTGGATAAATTTTAGTTCAAAGTCCGGCAGTTTTCAATTCCCCAACCCAATAGTTTACTTTACTTTGTGTAAAGATTTCTTTCAGAATTGTCCCAGAGACTTTACCAATTGCTTATTTTCTTGTGGATCCAGTTTTTGGATATCTTTCTGTTGGAAGACATTCTCTTCGATTAGCTCCAACAGATTTTACATTTCAAGTAGAAGCTATCGACTCCGGGAATCCTCCACTTCTCACCACACAAATCATTCAAATTAAAGTAAAGATTTTTAGAAATAAAAAAAAAATAAAAACCTTTTAGATTCTATCAACTTGCAAAGAAAAATTCAAATTTAACGATTTTATTTCTGTCTTTTCTCTTTCGGAAACAATCGAAATTGGAAAATCCATCACACAGCTATCCATTTCTGATCTTCAGGTTATTCATTTTTCAAAATATACCGTATTTCTTCGAAATAGAAGACCGGTGTGCAGTGCCGAATTCACGGGTCTCACCGGGTTTCGTAGTTGGTGCGCAGTCCAACTACGAATCATCGTCCCTATCGGTATTCTCTCACACACTGCACAACCGGGTAAAGAGTATGATCGCGTACTCCTGCGTAGCAGCCCTTTTTAAAATTTCTTTTCTGCATAAAAGCTTTCAATGAAGTGCTATAGGGCTGGAAAATGACTCAAAAATACGACATGAGCTAACAGATTTTTGAGCCATTTTCCAGCTCTATAGCACTTGATTGAAAGCTTTTATGAAGAAAAGAAATTTTAAAAAGGGCTGCTACGCAGGAGTACACGATGATACTCTTTACCCGGTCTTCTATTCGAAGAAATACGGTAACTACTCAAAAATTATCTAGAAATGCGTAACATTTACTACAAATCACGAACGTTTCGCTATTGATTCAAAAAGTGGAGTGGTGACGGTGAAAAATCATCTTGATTTTGAACAATGGAAAAATGAAACGATTATCGTTTTAGCGATTCCTCTTGGCGGAGGACCATCAACAAATGCGTAAAAGCCCAAAATTACCGTAAATTGATTGAATTATTGCTTTTAGAACGCTCAAAATCAATGTGCTAAACGAGAATGATGAGAAGCCACACTTTTTTGGAGGATTTCTTTCGAATGTTCAAGTCTATGAGAACATTTCCGCGATTTTACCGGTACTATTTCTTATTTCTTTTCTAGATTAGATTACCCAGAAATTTGCGTTTCTTTTCGTATTTTCTTCTTGAAAAATAACAAATTCATCAATTAATCTATGATTTGCTCTAAATAAAAAGTGTTTATCGGTCAATTTCGCTTCACTTTCAAGCAAATTCGAAAGTGACAAGTGTTTCGAAAGTGTTTTTCGTAAAAATCTTTAAAAAAAGAAACTGATTTATTGAATTTCTCTGAAAATTTAGCTATATATCAAACTTTTTATGCTCTATCTTTTATCTATTGACACCAAGATAGGTTTCCTTATGCTAAAGTGGGGGTAGGCTACTTTGTGCCAAATTTTTTGCGCAACTAGGTCTTTTGCGCAACTCGCCATAACTTTCTTCTAAGTCAGCCAATCTTTATTATTTTGGTGTCATTTTGTAGATCTCAATAAGTGCAACCGTTTAACTGATTTGGTGGAAAATTCCCTTCCAATGTAAAAAAATGATTTTTTTGAAAAACCTGGTGGTAGGCTACTTTGCGCAACTGGGCCGTTTGCCCAACTCGCCATAACTTTCTTCTAAGTCAGCCAATCTTTATTATTTTGGTTTCATTTTGTTGCACTTATTGAGATCTACAAAATGAAACCAAAATAATAAAGATTGGCCGACTTAGAAGAAAGTTATGGCGAGTTGCGCAAATGACCCTGTTGCGGAAAAAATTTGGCGCAAAGTAGCCTACCCCCTAGAGTGTCTAAACTGTATCATTAAACCGTTTTTTTGAATACCCGACTTGAAATTCCCAAGAAAAATTCAGAAAAGACATTTAAAACGCGTTTTAATCTTATTTTGTAGAAATAATTGACTTTCTAATGAAAAAAAAACTATTCAATTGGCTTTAAAAGAAAGTACGAAAAGAAACGAAACTTTCTGGACAGCTTTATATTTTTTTTTGGATGTTTTTTTGATGTTTTTTGATGTTTTTTTGATGTTTTCCTTTTTCGATTGCAATCAGTTCATCAATTGGAGAAGATAGAAGAGATGGATCAATGAGTGAAATGACATACTCAATCATATCCGGGAATACAAGCCTTTTCTCAATCGAGTCCGATACTGGGAAACTTTTGTTACTGAATGATCTTGATGCAGAGATCAATGCTTCTCATGAGCTGATTGTAGAGGTGAAAGCTTTTGGAAACTGTTTGTTAAGGATTGTTTTTTAGGTGAAAGATGGTGGCTCTCCAAGACTCTCGGCAACGACAAGAGTCTTAATTGATGTGCTGAACATAAACGACAACTCACCTCAATTCTCACAGAATTTCTATCAAGCTACCGTTAAAGAAAATGATGCACTCAATAGTCTCGTGCTTCAAGTTGATGCTGAAGATTGTGATAACGAAGATCAAAATCTTTATCAAATCATTGATTGTGACGAATGTGCTTTCAAAATCAATAGTACTGGAGCTCTACTTCTCAGCGAGTCGCTCGAAAGAGATGGGCATAATGGGAAAAGTTCTTACAACTTTCGAATCAGAGCTACAGATACTGGACGGTTTTTTGATGCTTTTAAACACTTAAAAACATTTATTTAGGGTTTACAAGCGATCAACGGATGTAAAGATTGAGATTAAAATTGAAGATGTTAATGATAATTCGCCAACGATCTCTAATCGACGGGTTGATTACTTTATTCCGAGCATTGTGAAAGCTGGTAATTCAAAAAAAAGAAAACACAAAGTAATTTAAGAAATGATTCAGGTGATTTGGTATTTTATGTTGCTGCTGATGATTTGGATGAAAACGATCGCTTGAGATTTAAACTTTTCGGGAATGATGCTGATTTCTTTCAAATCAATCGACAGGGTCTTTTATTTGCCAAAAATGGTATGGAATTTCCATTTCGATCATTTGAAATTCTTGATTTTCTTCTTTAGATTTACCTCTAAAAACGGAATTTTCATTTGGGTGCACGGTAGTGGATACTGTCGGGCATAAATCAAGCACTTCTTTCACTCTCTATCCAACAAACAATCCGAATTTTCCCACATTTACCCCATTGTCTAATGATTACATTAAAATCTCGGAAAATGTCAAGAGACAGGTATGTTGAGGTTTTATTGAAAATATTTAAAACCTAGCAAAACAATATCACTTTCAGATCACGCAAGTCAATGCCTCGGTAGCTAGAGATTCAAAGATTCCAATCGAATACAGCATTGAGTCATCGAATGAACGACATTTTTCTATAGATCCTATGGGGAATTTGAGAACCAAGTATGGCTTTAAGTACTTTAAGTAGATAAAGTAAGCCAAGATAAATTTACTTTAAGATAAATTAGTCAAGATAAATTTACTTTAAGATAAAGTAAGCCAAGATAAATTTACTTTAAGATAAAGTCAGCCAAGATAAATTTACTTTAAGACAAAGTAAGCCAAGATAACTTTACTTTAAGATAAACTAAACCAAGATAAATTTACTTTAAGATAAAGTAAGTCAAGATAACTTTACTTTAAGATAAAGTCAGCCAAGATAGATTTACTTTAAAATAAAGTAAGCCAAGATACAATTTACTTTAAGATAAAGTCAGCCAAGCTTTAGTGGTCTTGATTTCGAGAAGGAGAGAAATGTGACAGTGATTGTGAGTGGATGCACAAAAGAATCCCCATCACTTTGTGCACTCCTTCCAATACAAATTCATCTAAACGATCAAAATGACAATGCACCAATCTTTGAAAAGGTTTTCTTTAAACTTTTCAAAAAAAAGATAATAAAAAGATTTAGCAACTTTACACAATAAATGTGATGGAGAACTCGAATTGCCGGGTTTTACTGACAGTAAAAGCCGTTGACATAGATGATGGACAAAACTCAGAAATAATTTATTCTCTACCCGATCAATTTAAACATAAATTTTCGATCGATCGTAAAAGTGGAGGTTGTTTATTTGTGGAGAATTGATTGTAATTTGATTTTCAGAGCTTTTTCTTCTTGTTCCATTGGATAGAGAAGAAAGAAAGAGATACGAGTTAACTGTTACAGCCACCGATCAAGGAGAACCACCAAGAAATGGGACTACATTAGTTCAAGTTTGTATTCAAGATCAATTTCTATATAAAAAAAGTTTTCTAGATTGAAATCTTAAATGAAGACGATAATCCTCTTCGTTTTACACGGCTTGATCATGCAAGCATTCCCGAAGATTCGCCTATTGGTAGTCAGGTAGAAGAAAAAAGCTCATTTATGCTTTCAAGAAAAGAATTAAGATATTACATATCAAATGTCAAGATGCTGACGGTCAAACAAATCATTCTTTTCAAATTTTGGACAATGATCAAGCACCGTTCTTGATCAATGAAGTTACAGGAATTATAACCACAACACAGGCATTAGATCGAGAAAAAGTATGTAAAAGTTATAAAATTTGTAAAAACCTTTGTTATAGTTATATAAAATATAAAAATAAAGATATAAAAAGAAGAAATTTTGACTCTTGCATAGTTTTGAATTTTTTTGATCGGGTATTTTGAACGAGTCGTCATGCTTTGAAGGCCTGTAACTTTGTCCAGAGACAATATTTTTGTTAACTTTTTATATCATTGTACAGAGGACATTTCAAGCTTTCAAATGATACCAAATATAGTTTGATTGAATCATCTAGTCCAAGAAAATCAGTGCCAACTCTAAGCAAATGAGGCCTATCCAACTCGGGTGTCGTGTCGCGTTGTTTTCATGGGAATGAAAAATCCAGTCAAGCTATATTTGGTATCATTTGAAAGCTTGAAATGTCCTCTGTACAATGATATAAAAAGTTAACAAAAATATTGTCTCTGGACAAAGCTACAGGCCTTCAAAGCGTGACGACTCGTTCAAAATACCCGGGTTTTTCCAAAATACCCGGAAACTAGAGTGTGTTCCTCGCGAGTAAGTAATTACTCGAGTAAATTTGCATGAGTAATTGTCGAGTAATGCGTTTTCTAAAAAGTGCGCCTGCGCGAATATAAAAGCAATTTATTGCGCAGGTTTTTCAAAAAAATTTATATTTTACATTGGAAGGGAATTTCCCACCAAATCAGTTAAGCGGCTGAGTATCTTTAAAAAGTGTCGTATATAATGCGGGACTCGCGGTTTTCGCGTCATTTTTTTGCAATAATTTTTGCTAAAATTACGGTAATTTTTTCCCAAGTGAGCGTTTTAAAAAACGCATTACTCGCGAGGGACACACTTTACCGGAAACTATACAAACTATGAAATTTTCCTACTTTTAGACATCATATTATCGCCTTCGAGTGAGAGTCGAGGATTTAGTGTGGTCTGTGGAGACAGCTGTCGCCATTCAAATCCTCGATATCAATGATAATCACCCAACTTTCTATAACATTCCCACAAAATGGATTATTAAAGAACAAGTATGGAAACTTTTTGGAAAGTAAAGCAAAAAAAGCTCTAGGGTGAATTCGGAAAAATCAATGCAACCGACGGGGATTTTGGGGAGAACTCGCGTATTCGCTATTCTCTTCAACAAGCACCACCATGTTTTTACATTGATCCTCTTTCCGGATTGCTTTTTTTCAATTGTCCCATCGTTTTTCGAAAACCTGTTAACGTGGGTGAAAGAAAATGAAAGAAAATTAAAGAAAATTAAAGAAAATTAAAGAAAATGAAAGAAAATCAAAGAAAAAAACCCTAATCTATAACCGTTTTAGATAACGATTCGAGCTGATGACCATGGAATTCCTATCTTGAGCTCATATGTGACTGTTCCTGTGTTTTTTGAAGATCAGAAGCCAGCTGCTCTATCTGCAAAATCAAAGCAATTGATAAAAAGAGAAAAAAGAATCAATGCAATGCCACCAATCGTTCTCGAAGCTCTCAATTCTCAAGTGGTCCACTGCTTTTCATGGGAGAATCTCACATTGGAGAATTGCTCACATCTCTACTCAATCGGCTCTTGCATTCATTTTAGAGAGAATTCGCAAGAAATGCAACAAATTGAATGTGGAATTCAGTTTTTGGAGTCAGCGAATGAATGGAGGACAACGATTCGAACGATTTCTCCAAGAAGCTGGGCATCGACGCCAGAGATTGCACCAATGCATTTTCAAAATATATCAATTTCATCTCGGACTCTCCCAGGCACACTTTTGCCAGTCGATATTTCAAAGAAAAACAATTCCCATTGCATTACAAACAACTCTATTATTCAATTTTCTGATGGTGATTTCATTTTGTTGAAAAAGCTAGAGAGCTCTCAGACGTCTGTTCAAATCTATTGTTGGAATCGAAATCGCGAAATTTATCGGTAAAAATTCGGGTTTTAACAGAAGAAATGAACGATTTTAGATCTTCGCTTAGCTTGAACTTGATAGCTGACGCTCCTCCACCAGTATTTCACAAAAAAATCTATTTCTTTACGGCTTATCTCGATGAAAATTTGCCAATCATTTTGAATCGATGGCATTTCTATACACCAAAAAACTGGATGCTCACTGTGAAAGAAATTGAATATAAAAAGGTATCGGTAAAAGTTTGGAAACAATTTCAAATTTCAATTTTCAGCTAATTTCCATTGATTCGGAGGGGACTTTAACAATTTGTGGACGAATGAGCGAAGGTTTGCACCGAGTGACTCTCGAGGTTCGAGAGTCACTCGATGCATCTTTTGTGGCATCAAAAGCGCTGTTAACGATCAAAATTCTACCAGATCCACTTCTAAACGTGAGTTGATAAAAGCCAGAAGAGCCAGAGAATTGAATGATCTTCTTCAGGAGAACTCGTTATTTGGATGGGTGAGAGAGAAACTCGAAAAGCAAACGATCTTTCGTCTAAATCCATCTAAAGACGTTCGATCAATAGCACTAGAAAATCCTATTTACAATACGGTAAGACAAGTTTTCAAGACAGTTTCAAGACAGTTTCAAGACAGTTTCAAGACAGTTTCAAGACAGTTTCAAGACAGTTTCAAGACAGTTTCAAGACAGTTTCAAGACAGTTTCAAGACAGTTTCAAGACAGTTTCAAGACAGTTTCAAGACAGTTTCAAGACAGTTTTCAAGACAGTTTCAAGACAGTTTCAAGACAGTTTCAAGACAGTTTCAAGGCAGTTTTCAAGACAGTTTCAAGACAGTTTCAAGACAGTTTCAAGACAGTTTCAAGACAGTTTCAAGACAGTTTTCAAGACAGTTTCAAGACAGTTTTCAAGACAGTTTTTCCGAAAAAAACTCTTTTCCAGCTCTTCAATTTATCTTCAAATAATGTCCTTTACTTGAAAAAGCCTGTCGATGCTGAGAGTCGATTGGCGTATTTCGTGCCAATAGTTGTGAGAACGATGAATGACTCAAAGCTTTACACAGCACGGATTTATGTCGATGATGACGTTGAACATTTTCAACAACTTCACCAAATGAAAACAATAACGGTTTAATTATAAGAAAGGAATTAAATCGAACTGTTTTCTCTAGATTTTCTCAAGTCGACTCTCAAGTCAAGGCCACAAATCGACTCTAATCGATTCTTTACATCCAGCAGACAAAAGCCTCTTCACTTGCACGCAAACACAATTTGTATGTGAATTTAAATGCTTAATTTATCGAACTTGAAACTCTAGGTGAATTCGAATTGCTCGTTGATTCACCTCAATGAAAATATGACAATCTCTGTGGAAGCTCTAGATGAATTGAGTCAAATAAAAATCAAATATTCTGTATTCATTGTAAATTTGCCTCAGGTAGAGAAACATTTCAATCGATGAATATTTATAAAAATCAAAATCAAAATCAAAATCTTTAGGTAACTGAAAAACTTGAGAAAGCGATAATTTTGGAGGGATTTGGTAGAAAGCGGGGACTAGCTTTGTGTCTGTCCATGTTACAAGAGAAATACCCTGATATGGTGATAATCGAAACAAAATAGTTGATTATTAAACAATGATTTCAGAAATTTTCTTGGATTTCTCTTGACTACATCGGATTCGATCGTTTTACTTTGGTGTTAGAAGTAAGGGATCGACTCGGGAATAGCCTTTCTTCGAGTGACTCTCGAGCTCTTCTCGAATCGTTTTTCAAGCGAAACCAAGAGATCTTAGAGGTAGTCAACAACAGAATTGACCTTAGCTAAACAATTTTTGATATTTTCAGATATTTTTGAAGAAACTCTCAATGGATGAGTGTTTAAATCGATGTCCCTCAGAGACTCGTTGTACGCCGACGCTCATCGATCAACATAAAGAGCACTCATTGCGATTTCAAAACACAATCTTTCTCATACCAGCCGCCTCACTTGAGATCAAGTAAAATGACTGAAAAAATGTGAAATTTTTAAAATGAATTCTTTAGATGTCTTTTAATTTCTGATCTAAAAATATCAGAAAATAGGGTGAATGATTTGAATAAAGATCTTTCGAATCAAATCCTCCTCAACAATGATCTCACCGATCTCGCTCCAATTCAAATCACGAAAAACGATTGTCTCAAAAATTGTGAAACGTGAGTGAAAACAAATGAAAGCCAATGAAATGCATAATCTAGAAATAAATGTTCTGAGAACGAGCCATCAAATTGTCGAAAGAATCTAGCCACCAGCAAGGGAAATGAGAATATGGTAAGTGGTTTAACTTAAAGCTATAAGAAAAGTTTATACCGTTTCAGAGTTCATTGATGTGGGTATACTTGGGGTTAGGCATCACCTCAACAGTCGTCATTTCAATCGGATTGGTTTCAATCTGTTTGTATCTTTCAAGAAAGCGCAATTATGCAAAAGGTAAAGGTGACACAAACAAATGCAAAATATTGAAAATCCAGATCACACAAGGGAAATTGTTTCACCGGGTTGGTGGTCTTCACCGGTGAGGAATGAGAATCGGAAAGATGCGAAAGAGATGTTTCAAGCTGTAAATAAAGGTAATACAAGGGCAATTAAATCACAGGCAAATGAAACAACAAATATTGTTATTAGGCCTTGTATACAGTGGCCGAACAACGCCCGATAGTATCACATACGCAAGAGCTGCTCCAATAGATGAACCGATATAATTTATTCTTTTGGTTTTGAACTTTTTCGATACCCAGATTTCACCTAAACTTTAAATGTTTTTCCGTCTTTCACCACCCATGCTTTCTAAAAATAGTCATGATACGTGTATGAATATGTACTGGTATGTAATAAAAGTTTTATCAGAAAAAAAAATAACGAAAATTATAATAACAACAATTGAGAGACCAAATATCCACTGATCATGATATTTACTCGTAACCATTAACATTTCAACAAATACAAAATTTTAGTAATAAGGAACTCCATTAAAACAAAGAACAAACTCGTCATAATTAGTCGTAAAATCAAAGAAAACAGTAGCTACAAAAATACAAACAATCCTGCAAGAGATCAAACTTTCCGATAGAATTAGAAGAGACTATTAATCCACATCAATGACACATTCGAGGTTGATTCCACTGCGCCCCATTTCAACTTGACTCACTGTGCTATCGTAGTAAACCTAAGATCGGCTATTTTTCAATTTAGATTTTAAACAAATACCTTGATATGATGTATAAAGCTCAGGATAGATCTAAACAGATTTTGCGGTCCAGGCTGAATAGGCAGGCGGACTGGTCGACCCATTTCACTCACATAGATGAAATCAATATGAGGAGGGTTTTGAGTAGTCTAAAATTGCATACAAATAGGCAAAAGATACAAAAAATCCAACCATTCTGAAGTAATATTCAGCTGAAATCGATTGATACGCTTGTAGTCTGTTATCCTTCAGATCCAAAATGTAGCGTGAAGTGAAAGGCCGATTCAAATGATTGTGCGTCTGAATTCAGCCAAATTAAACACACTTTAAGAGCACACATACAAATGTTGATGAAGCAATCATTGAGTCCATGTAGGATGTGAAGAGCTTGAAGATGAGTTGAGCATCGGTGATAAGTGGTTGCTGCCAGCCCGGTGGTAGAAGACGACTCGTCGCTTTTTGATCCACATCAGTACCGGCCTAAAATTTTAAAAAGTGTCCCGCAAAATGAAGTAAATTACCTTTGAAATTGTTCCACCACCATTCCATTTGTAATCATCCATAAATGAATCCGCTCCAAGTTGCGAAATGCGGGCGACCAAGTAAGCTTGATTTTCTTCCACCTAAAAAAATTAGTATTTAGTAGAAATCAATTAAACTCAACCTCCAAAAATGGTAGCAAAAATGGTAACTTTGTTACACCAAGACGATTATTTGTCTTGAGAGCTACGCGAAGAGCCTCCAACGTCGAGACACCGATTCGTAGATGCAATCCGGCAAACGACTAAAACAGAAAAGCTTTAGTATGGCACAAGTACCTTGTAAATTCTAAACTACCTTTGATAGCTCTTGATTTGTTTCAGATATTGCTTTCAAAATCGGTTGAAGAATAGTACGGACAATCCAAATGCGTAGACGTGGCTCACAGAGGTTCATTTGCACTTCATTCAACATCGATCTTAATTCTCTTGGCTCTACCCTTAAAGAAAGAAATGTATGTGTGTATGCACGTGCTTGTGTGTTTGCTCTGGCGTTTGACTAAAAAACTGACAATAACTAAAAACTTCCCGTTTAACTTACCCTTCGATTTCCAAGGGCGAGAATTCCTCGAGGCCTGTGGTGGCGGCCTGTGCTTGCTCGCCTAGTGACGGATGTTGTTCTGGAGAGACCGATCGTCGACGCCGATTTACGCTGCCTCGACGGCCAGTCTGAAGAAAGTACATATAAAATAAAAAAACTATAGGCTTGTTGCTCACCATCGACTCTCGAGATTCATTGAGTTGAGCGCGAAAATCAAGTACTTCATCATCGTCTCCGCGAGACTCGCTATTGGGAGAAACCATATAAATACGACCATCGTCCGCAATTTTCAAGGAAGAGTCTTAAAAGTAAATAGATTTATTAAAAAAGAAAAAAAATAGATGCATATTTTAAACACCCACCGTTGTCATCTACTAGGTTGCTGCTTTGCATGCTCGTTTCAAATGGCGACTGAAAGACTTGTATAAATTGTTTCTCATAAAACACCAAACCTCGTTTAATGGTGATGTTCTCATGCTCTTGTGATAGTAGAAAAACCTTGTATCCAAACGTGATAAGGCAAGCTTCTCTCTAAAAAGAAAGTGAACGTGCGCCAATTTGAAAATCGTTACCGATCCTCGGCCATTAAGGCGTCCAATTGTTCCTTTGTATGAATTGGAGTTAAAATGGATTGTGGAGAAGATTTAAAGCTAAACGAAAACTTTTTTGCAAATATAAAATGTTTCCTTCACTTTTTCAAATTCATTTGATAGGATGAGTTGAAGAGATCACTGTCATCGAATGGGTTGTAGATCTTTTGAATCGAAACGGATTCATTACCGGGTTCTACTCTAGAAAAACAAATGGTTAAAAGATTGTCAAGTTCGGTTACTCTTCGTCCTTTCCGTCCTTTTGCTGGGAATCTGTTGTGTTCATGCATGTGCTTCTGTCCCCAAAGTCAAACGAGTCAACGATTGAAGTTCTCTAAAGCAAGAATGTTTGAATAACGTATTAAAACAAAACAAAATATACCAGCGAGATGTCCCGATGTGACAAAGTGGAGAACTGCAGTACAGTCTTTTCTTGCTTGTGAATTTTGACTTTTTTCTGAAAAATATTGCTTTTTGATGGTCATAGCTGACAAAAACTTACTAGTCTTTCGAAAACAACTTTCGCCAATCCATAACTAACTTCTGCCACCTTCATAAAAGTAAAAAGAACTGCGATAGTCTCTAACAAAGAAATCTAAAAAGAAAAATTATATGGTCACTACAAATTTCGCTCACCAAAACCAACGGATATAGATTGAAGGTCATATTCCTCAAGAACCAACTGCTGAAGAGAAAACACTAAAATTTTAATTGTTACTCGCGTGTACGCTACATAGAACCCACATCAATTGACAGTGCCATCGAAAAGGCCGCCCATAGTCCAAGATAAATCCATCGGACATCGAAGCTAAAAAATAGAATAAAAATCAACAAAGATTGAAAAAACGCACCCATAATAAATGAGATCTAGCCGAATCTCTGCAGGCGTTGGTTGAGCCATTCGTTGGTAGAAGGGCGAATTTCTGATAAGCTCCTGTATAGAGGCTTGCTGTTTAAGGTCTTCGAGTTTCTCCGTCTCCATCCTTTTTTGGACCTCTTCCTGCAAAAACGACACACTCATCTAAAAGGAAACATTTTATAAAAAAATCTATCAAGCTGCAAAAGAAACTATCGAGAAAACAACGAATCAATAAAAACACAATTTAGCAGTAGTAATTTTTATTTCATGTTTTAGAAATGAATGCTTATCAACGGGATATGAGATTTAACCTATTATGTGGATGAGCCAGCTAAATTTAAGGGGTGAATTCTATTCTGATCGATTTGATAGCTATAATGAAATTAATAATGATTGATGCCTCAAAATAAAGGAAAAGCATTAGATTTTTATGTTTTAAGAAAAACACTAGATTTTACATTCAGCACCATATAAAAACTACCCGAACGTTCAGGCAATTTTTTGTTCAAATGACATAAGAGAATGGTTCCTGCATTTCATGCCACTTTTTCTACAGTAAACTTTCGTCAAGTTCGTAAATTAGGGGAGTGGGACAAATGCGACCTTTTTTTCCGCACCTTGCCCATTAGCGCACCTTTTTTCGCGTTTTAAAAAAGCTCTAAAAAGCTAATATTAACCAATTTCTTTTCCGAAAGTTGTTTTTCTAGGTAATTTTAGGGCGTAGAATCGAAATTTTGACATAACAGAGCGTGTGGAACCAATTTGAAAGACAAAACGGCTAGATCAAATTACAGAAAATTGTCGATTTTTCTCTTTGTATAACTCCGTCCGTTTGTTTCCACAAGCTCTGATATGTCAAAATTTCGATTCTACGCCCTAAAATTACCTAGAAAAACAACTTTTGGAATAGAAATTGGTTAATATTAGCTTTTTAGAGCTTTTTTAAAACGCGAAAAAAGGTGCGCTAATGGGCAAGGTGCGGAAAAAAAGGTGCGCAAATGTCCGGGTGCGCAAAAAAAAGGTCGCATTTGTCCCACTCCCCAAACGTCAAAACACAGGATCTTTTCAAGAGCTATAGACAATGAAGACGTATAAAAACATCACATACATCACATAGGAATGATAGAAATATTCAAGTATTAAAGAATTCCATTTCAGCTTCAAAACCTAAGCGTGTTATAGCCGATGTCCTTCAACAGGTAGAGAGATGAAGCGGACTAAAATTGACGATTTATAGTTCTCAGCCAATTTCTACTACCAATTCATGATGTATAGGGAGTTCTGGTGGCGGTGGAACACTTTGTGAATTCGATGGCTCTGGAATTGGTGCTGATGATACTCCAATAGTTCCATCCATTAACTAAATATTTGGCTAGGTTTTTTTTTTTGATGAATACTCACTTTTCTCTTCTTTCTCTCAGCTTGCCTTTGCCCTAAAGCTTTCTTCTGATCCGTTGACAAGTTGTGGTATCTGAAAATTTTTGATTTATCATCTTTATTCCAGTTCTTCATTTTGTCAATACCTTCTCCTCGCAGCTTCTGCCCATTTCATTTTTTGTTCTTGTTTTTCCTCATCAGACATCCTTTCACGGCGTTTACGAGCAGCTTCAGTACATCGATTCTGACAAAAAACATCTTTTAACATGTCTTATTCTTTCACAAACCTTATTAAAAGCCCAATCACGCTCATTTCCAATCATACTTTTCGAATTCTCTCCATTAATTGAATCATTATTCCCTTTTGAACGAGGATTCTTTGCATTCTCTACTTGCACCATGGCAAAGCTATGCAACCGCCGCTTGAAACTAAAATTAGAATTTTTTTTTGGGAATCACGATTAAACGAACTCAGCCTCCTCTTGATCTGGTTGCAAGTGGGTTCCTGAAATTTTCTGAATAATCTTTAAAGTTGATCTCATCTACCGGATTGCGTTCGATAGATCTCTTTTAATATTGTCACTGTGCTTTTCTCTTTTGATTTCGAAGATTCATAAACATCTTGAAACTAAAAATAGACTTTTATAAGCGCCCTTGTTACTTAACAAACCACTTTGGGGAGTAAAGTTTCGGCTTGTTTTACGACCCATTCAGGAGTGTTTACATCAGCGGCTGAGTTATCCTCGCTTCTTTTCCCTCTTCGATTTCTAATAAGCATTGGGATCGGTGTGGACGTTGCTAAAGTGTCCAATGTATCGCCACATAACTAAAAATTTAGGTTTTATTATTTTATTTGATGGAAATCTCCTCACCACTCCAATGTTGAAAGAAGTAGAGGGTAGAGATATATTTGAAGGTCCTTCCAATAGCTTTGTTGAATGTCCAACAACATTGTCAATGTTGATTTGATCAACCACTACATTTTTGTTTCTTGAGTTACTGAGTTACTGTTTTGTTACTGTGTTGAAAGGTTGATGTTGAGGGAAAAGTTTGGGGTGGTCGAGTGGTGGAAGTGGGAATAGGAGCTGAAATCGTTGAGAGGGGAGTCACCGTATTTCCAAATTGACTAGAAATAAATCATTCAAACTTTTCAATCGACTAGTAAACCTGAAGTTGACCATAGCTGCAACATTTGCAGCAAGAGTGGTAGGATCGGTGAAAGGGAATTGAAGCGAAGGCATAGGTGAAGGTACAGGGAACGGTGGCAATGACATCGATGTAGGTAAACCATGGCTCACTTGGGGTACAGGAGTCGACAAATCTCTTGAGCTTAAAAGAATTGACATAAAAGATCTATGTATTTCAATTCAAAATTTGACTTTCATGGTTTCTATTGTATTTTTATGTATTAAGGTTGGAAAGAAAGTTCTCGGTTTGAATTGAAAAAAGGTTTGAATGCAATTTCTTAAAAACAAATCCACTAATTCAAGAACATTTTATTCTATTATTTACAAGTCGACTCCAAGAAATTACTCTTTAAAAGATGAGTGCAACTTTCCCTTCAAAATTTTAGAGATTTTTGATAAATTATTATTTTCTTAGCTTAAATTCAGCTCACTTTTTGCACGAGAAAAACGATTTCTTATGAGATAAAGCTAGCATAAATGAGCAATACGCTCTATAATCTCTATTTTTGGCCAAAAATTTTTTACAGAGAAGCTGTATTTCAAAAAATCATTTTTTGATGTCATCTCCTTCACACTGAGTGTTTACTAAAATACCGTAAATACTGTAATAGTACCCTACCTCGTACAGTCGTACAGTCGCGTAGTCGCAAAAGTTTTTTAGTATTTCATTTTTTTCAAAGCACCCGTACTTTCAAAAAATTCGTCTTTGGTATCAAAAAAATAGCCCTGAATTTCAGGGCTATTTTTTGATACCTAAGCGCGCATTGTAGCATAAACCAGTGTCGAGAAAAACTCGTTCAAAGCTAGACTACGCAACACTCCGCACCGTCATTATGCGGGTGGGGTACTATTACAGTATTTGCGGTAGGTGATTCCGAAAAGTTAAAGCATTAGATAAAGTTTGCCTTCAATCACAAATTTTCCCTATTTTGTAGTACTTGATTTTAGGTTTTGAATCGGATAAAGCCCATTGCCTATTCATTAACCCATTAAAAACTTGTCTAAAGGCTAGTCACTCAAAAAGTGACCAAGTCACTCTTCAGCTGAAGTAATCTTTTATTTTTTTACCTAAAGCCCAATCTGTTTTTTTTTGCCAAAAACTTTTTGAAATATAGTAAAGTTTCTCAAAAAATCGGGGAGGAATTGATGGCTTCATTTTTGAGAAATCACCGTTCAAACTTTTTCTACAAACTTTCTTGCCAACCTAATAGTAAATGATTTTGTACATACTTGACGAGTTGCAAAGTTTGATACCTGAATGTTTGAGTTGCTCCTAAATGTGAAACAAGGGACTGTTCCAAAGCTGTGGTGGATTTATCGGAAAATGATGTGAAATAAGAAAAGCCGGTGTCATTTGACACGGTGTTCATCGTGTTTTGACCACTTCTAAAAGATTAAGCATCAAAAATATTGAATAAAAAAAGGAGTTTAAATTTATTGAAGAAAATAGTCTAAGAAAGTTTAAACGATATTCTCAAGATCGAATAAAGGCTAGGGTTTTTTTCAAAAAGAGTTCTCTTTTTCTCTAGACGCTCCCTTCATTCCCCACCTATAAACTACAAATTGCCTAAAGTGATTGCTCTAGTGCCTTTTAAAATCAAAGATTTCTTTACACTATTTAGAAATTAGAATATCTATGTCTTCTCCTTATAAATTGCAGCTTTGTTTTTTGATTAAATTGAACTTTATTTAAATTGAGCTTTATTTAAATTAAACTTTATTTAGGTACTTGTGGAGTATCCGGGGGGTCTTTCAATATCCGGGGGGGGTAAAATTTTATATACGTTATACACGACCCCTTTTAAAGATATTCAGCCGCTTAAGTGATTTGGTGGCAAATTCCCTTCAAATGTAAAGATATTCAATTTATTGAGGTGATTACTTGATTACGTGATTAAAATTTTACCCCCCGATATTAAAGGCCCCCGGATACTCCACAAGTACCCTTTATTTAAATTGAACTTTATTTAAATTGAACTTTATTTAAATTGAACTTTATTTAAATTGAACTTTATTTAAATTGAACTTTATTTAAATTGAACTTTATTTAAATTGAACTTTATTTACATTAAACTTTATTTAAATTAAACTTTATTTAAATTAAACTTTATTTAAATATTCAGCCGACAAGCATTACTCTAGAGACTTTAAAAAAGAGCATTACTCTTTTTAGAAAAACCTAAATGTTCATCCAGTAAGCAATCGGATAATTCAACAATGAGGTAAGATAAAAAGCAATAAAACTTGATACGAATTTCTTAATTCAGATCCAGAAGTGGATCTGGAGTACGACTCGATCGCCTTTTATTTCTTGTCGAGCAAACAATTCTTAAAAATCAAGATGCAGCTACGGGACTCTTCGCAAATAATTGCCTCGATTTTCCAGGTTTATTTTCAAGAATTTAAATTACTTAATGCTAATTATATTTTAGGACAAGCATGGGTGAGAGATAATGTTTATGCAGCACACGCATTGTGGGCATTATATCGAGCCTATCAAAAGAGCGCCGAATTTGATGAAGATCTTATCAAAGCCGGCGAATTGGGAATGACTTGGTTTGAAGAAAAGAACTGACTGACTGACTTCAAGAACAAAAGCTTTAGTGTAAAACTTATGCAATCATTGTTGGATTGTATGATGAGACAAGCGAATAAAGTCGAGCTTTTCAAGCAATATCAACGCTCACCTGATGCAATTCACGCAAAGTTTTCAGTAAGAATTGATAGTGGATGAAGAAAAGTGTGAATATTTTAGTCGAGAACAAAATCGACGGTTTGTGGAGACACTGAATGGGGCCATCTTCAGCTAGATGCTGTTTCTCTTTTTCTTCTTACGATTGCTCAAATGACTGCCTCTGGTATATAGCCAGAGCAAGAAATAAGGAAGAAATCATTTTTTTTTCCAGGATTACAAATTGTTCGAAACTTTGACGAAGTAGCTTTTGTGCAGAATCTTGTCTATTATATTGAAGTTGGGTATCGGACACCTGTAAGTAAAGAAATAAAAATTGGAAAAAGAAAAAGTTTTAGGATTTTGGAATTTGGGAGCGTGGAGATAAGACAAATCAAGGGATCCGCGAGTTGAATGCGAGCTCGATTGGAATGGTGAAAGCAGCTTTGCAAGTTGGTCATTCAGAAATGTCTAGCAAGAATACATAATGACAAAATAAAGAGATAAAGAAAAGAGATAATAAAGTAAAGAAATGAGTGGTAAAATATTTGGAACTGATGAGGAATCGAACCCTCAACTTTCTGCTTACCAGTTTCTCTGGCAGTTTCTCTTCCACTGAGCTGTCTTCTTCTTTGCCCAAGAAGAAATGGGAAAGACAAGGAAGAAGTTGAACTTGATATTTAGGCGATGAATGATGTTGGTGACCTTTTTGGAGACGGCTCAAAAACATCTGTAATCACCGTAATGCCAGATGAGATCGAACAGTGCAGTGCTGTTCTTAACAGTATGCTGCCACGAGAATCTTTCTCAAAAGTATGCCTTCACTTTAAAATTTTAACAACTATCATTTTGATGATTAAAATTTTAGGAAACGGATGCCGCTCTTTTAACAATTATCTCCTATCCTGCTTTCTCTGTTGAAGATCCAGAATTGGTGACAATGACAAGGTGAAAGTCTAAATGTCAATTAAAGTACCCAATAATTTAGAGATACAATCACAAAAATGCTGCTTGGAACATATGGATGCCGACGATTTCTCCGTGATGGATATAGAACTGTTCTAGAGGTAGAAGATCTCATTCTGAATCATTTCTAAGCAAATTCATTCTAGGATCGTTCTCGACTTTACTACAACAAAAGCGAGTTGCAACAATTTGAGGACATTGAATGCGAATGGCCGCTTTTTCTTTGTCTTTTAGCACTCGATGCAATGTTTTGTAAAGATAAAGACACTGCTGAGATCTATTGGAATCAACTAGAGAAAGTAAATTTTCAAAAAAGAGCTCTTGTTTCTCATGGAATTGATAAAGTTTTCAATTCTAGACTCTTCAAGTGTCACCCACTGGACAACCCTTGGTACCGGAGTTGTTCGTAGTTGATCGACAACATGTAGCTGCCGAGAAAGCACAAAGAGGCTCACAACCAAGAACTGTAGCCGGTGTTGTGTAAGTTAAATCTCAATTTTCAAATCTCAAATCTTTCTTTAGACCATTTCTATGGGCACAATCTCTTTACGTGATAGTGAGTCTCTTGTATGAGGGATTTCTCGCGCCAGCTGAGTTGGATCCTTTAAGTAGACGATTGACCACTTATGAAAAAAGACCGCCATGTGAAGTGCAAGGTAAAAGAAAAAAAAATATTCAAGATGTTCAAGATGTTTAGTTTCAATTTTGGCCGAGAATGGAAACGTTCAGCGGGAATTGCGAGCAAATGGCATCATTGTTCAACGAGTGGATGAAGTCGATCCAGTTTTCTCCATTCAACCAGCAAGCAAATTGGCTGAACTCTTGGAAAAGTGAGATACAGTCGTCTCTCGATTTAACGATTCGCTTGAGACCAAAAATTTTTGATTTAACGATTCGATTTGCCCCAAATCAAATGCCTAGCTTGCCTAGCTGGCCAGAAGGGTCAACGATTATTTTTGGCTGGGCAGCTACGCAGAAACCGTTTTAGAATTTTAGAATTTCATGTTTTATACGTTTTAGAATTTCAAAATCGTCGTATTGACTGTAAATAGAATGTTTTCCTCTCGAGTAATGCGTTTTCTAAAATCTATTTGAGAAAAGTACCATAGCCAAACCGTTAGTTTACATCCGATCAGCCCGATTTTGATATCTGAGCATTGATAGCTTCACTGAGCATTGTAAATCCTCATCGAATGACACGAAAATCGGACGAATTGAGTGTAAACTAACGGTTTGACTATTTTTCTCAAATTGTTGCATTTCAATAAAACGCATCGCACGAGAGGAACACACTTTAAAGATAAAAGAATTATAAAATCTGTTGCAGAATCGGCGAATCGAAAAAGCTGGGGTTGAGCGGCAGACCGCGTGATCGAGAGGTCGGCCTACTCAGCACCAGTCGACTCTATCAACTTGGATCGAAATTTGTCATCTTTACACCCCAGGTCTGTGCCCGGTGTGACAATGAAAACATAGTTTTCTAGTTCATGGACAGTCGACGTTCACATCTAATGTACGATATTCGAATTCTTATGGACGAATGGAGCAGGTTTACAAGCAGGGAAATAAATGAAGAGTCGTTTTAAAACTTTAGCGAGCTACAATACATCTATGCTTCATGGAACAGCGTCTCTATCAGTGGACGACCTTTAGTTGTTCTTGTCATCAATGAGAACATGTTATCTACGGTAGATTTTTCAAAAAAAAAAGAAGAAAGAATTAAATGAAATTTAGGATGGACTTTCACCATTTTCAAGTATCTCTTTGAATCGTTTCATGAAATCAACTGTAATTGGGACAATCAAGAAAATCAATACCGGATATTTGGGTGGAGCCAGGTTTTGTTATCTTAATTGAAAAGCACTTTTAAAGGCTTTTAGAGTTGTTATGCGCAATATTTCTGACTTTTTTCGAACAACAGCTGTTTTGAAATTAGAATTTAGAGGGTTTGGTTTTTTTTAAGCTAGAAAAATGACTTAAATTTTAAGGGTAAATCGAGCAGAAGATCTTTTAAAAAGAATAGGCGAAGAGCGGATTCAATTCAATCTTCCGACAGAAGTCGATCGCAAGAAAAGTGGCACTGACTTTAGAGGTGAGTAAAGATCGGAAATTTTCCTATAGAATTTCTCATTTTAGCAACAAGGGGTGACGAGTCACCGACGAAAAGTTCCCTTAAAAGAACTGACTCGGTGAAAGATCGTCGAACCTACAACCTTGTTCATAAAGCTTCAATGAGACATCGATCAATCATTCTTGATAGCAACGATTCTGGTAATTGGAATTTGTTTTAACACGTTGACGACAATGACGTTTTTGCACAAACAATCGCATGGGACAACGTTGTTTTTTTTCGACAAAAAATGTCACCTGAAATTGTCAACTAAAAAATTAAAATTTTAATAATCAACGGTTAAATCGACATTTTCCGGGACCAAGTCGAATATAGATACTACTAGACTTCGGAAAACAAAACTTAACCAAAACCAAAACTACCAAAACCAAAACCATAACAAAACCAAAACTAACCAAAACTCGGCAATATCTCGCGACTGGGAGGAGCTAGCGAAAATCTGTTTGCAGATTTGAAATCAGCATCCAAAAATCTATCCCATAGGCTATTTTTTGTTTCGAAATTTCGAGGTCCTTTTTTCGGCCGCGAGATTTTGTGGAGTGAGAAAAAGTGAAAGGCTAATTTGCATTTTACATTAAAATTTGCATTTTACAATTTTAAATTTACATTTTACGATTTTAAATTTACATGTTAATTTATATGCAAATTGAGTTTTGGTTTGTTTTGGTGTTTTGGTTTGTTTTGGTTTTGATTTTGGTTTTGGTCTGTTTTGGTTTTGGTTTTGTTTGCCGAAGTCTAGATACTACCCTACTTGCTTATTTAATATCCATCATCAGCAAACATAAATATGCACAAAAAAAATCAATTTTGGTACTGTCACCTGACATCAGGTGACAATGTCCCAGGCGAACGCATATGTGTCAGACAGCATCAGGTGACAATGTCGTCAACGTGTTAAAGAATGAGGCAAAGAAAGAACTTTATCTAGATCTTGTTCAATTGCGATTGGCTTTTGCAAAACGTGATCGAAATCTGGATGATACAAGTGGAAATCCAAGTCGAGAACTTTCGCCAGTCAACGAGCCATCGTGTCTCATTACATCGTCGAAAAATCTTCTAAATACAGAAGTCGATGCTAGGTTTTACAAGTCTAAAGATCTTTAGAAACTATAATTTTAGAGTACGATTAGATATTTCTCAAAAGTCACAAATGAGCGACATGAGAGCAGATGATCTTGCTGACATGTTATTGGATACAAATCAGTTGGAAGAACAAGCTTCAATCCTTCATTGCTTATGGATGAAATGGTTTTTTTTGCAAATATATTCTTTGAGAGAAATTTTCAGTGGTCCTGATCATTTGGTTCTTCTGAATGATCAACACATCCCAGTTCGACTATTGATGGAGGAGACTTATTCTAAAGTGAAAAATCTACTATATATAAAAGAGTAGTGTCTGTCTGACTGACTGTGTTTGTCTGACTGTGTCTGTCTGACTGTGTCTGTCTGACTGTGTCTGTCTGACTGTCTGACTGTGTCTGTCTGACTGTGTCTGTCTGACTGTCTGACTGACTGTGTCTGTCTGACTGTCTGCCTGACTGTGTCTGTCTGACTGTCTGTCTGACTGTGTCTGTCTGACTCTCTGTCTGACTGTGTCTGTCTGACTGTCTGTCTGACTGTGTCTGTCTGACTGTCTGTCTGACTGTGTCTGTCTGACTAAAAGAGTGCCTGTCTGACTCACTGACCAATAAAGCTAAAATTTCTTTAGAAAATCTTAGAATATCTTGTAGTTATGATATTTAAAATTAAAAATTTGAAAAGCCAAAGCTGGGGGCATTACAAGAGATCGAACCCGACTTCTGTGGGTTGTAGACAACGCGCTCTCGAAAAACTGAGCCACAGCGACACCATAACCGGGAAACATTTTAGGCCTGTGAAAGTCGAGATTGGGCATTAACAAGATTGACAGCTGGATTGTTGAATAAAAGGCTTGAAGAGTTGGGAAAAGCTGTCACTCATCTTCTCGTTCGTCAAAAACAAATTACGGTACTGATAGTGAAACTAAGGCAGATCAAAAACTTGTGCGGCGCCTGGACTTGAACCCACGACCTTTCGCCTACCGGGCAACTCTGCTAACCATTACACCACTACACTCTTGATCTCCTTACTCCAGAGGGAGTTAACTTCGCTTACTCAGGAGGGAGTTAACTCCCTCTGGAGTAAGGAGATCAAGAGCGTTGTGGTGTAATGGTTAGCAGAGTTAAGCCCGGTAAGCGAAAGGTCCCGGTAAGCGAAAGGTCGTGGATTCAAGTCCAGGCGCCGCACAAGTTTTTGATCTGCCTTAGTTCCAACTACTGCAAAAAGGAATGCTAAACAAAAGATTTGTTTAGGTTGGAATGCCATCAAAGAGAGAAGAAGCTATTACATGTCCAAAGACGAATGAAGAGTTGAAAGAGATCATGTTCAGAGCCTATCACGATGATCCAAATTCTTTCACCTTAAGGTACATGTCCTTTTTCTGGAAAAAGTCAAATTTCTCCTTTTAGCCAAGAGATCATTGTCGCATTGGGATCTTTGGTTCGAACTGAAGCAAAACTTTTCGTTGAAATGTTCCGCTTACGAATTGGCCTCATTATACAAGTTTTTGAAGTGAAACACAGGATTTTTGGATGATTTTTTTTCAGATTTTGGCATCAGAATTGGCTCGTTTACGTTCCCTGTCGGCTACTGATGCTTTACAGAATCTACTTATGATTTCACCATTCGAGTTGAAATCGATGCTTTTAATGTTGTTGAGTGGAAGACTTTTAGGTTTTTGAATTAGAAAATAATGAAATCAAATTTGATGGGATTTTTTAGAAGAAACACAAATTGATGATGAAACAGCGGCAAAGGAAACGAGAACGGGGATTGGCAGCTTCCGAAAACATATTGAAGAGCGAAAGGTTTGTGGAAAGAAATGTATAATTCTAGAAATGTAAATTCTAGAAATGTACAATTCTAGGCTTGCATTTGATCGGTTCATATCTAAATAGGATCTAGATGGATCTTGTGAAAGTTTGCGCAAAGATCAAATAACGTTAAGAAATATTAGGTTGATGCATAAGTCTTTTCGTTTTTTTCGTACTTCTGTTAAAAAGTAACAATTAATCTATAGTTTGCTCTATAAAAAAAGTGTTCTTTTGTTGAATTTCCATCTTTTTAAATCAATTTCGGTTCATTTTCAAGCAAATTCGAGAGTGAAAAACGCCTTTCTCGTAAAAATCTATAAAAAACTCTACGGAAAAATTGGCTGAATGAATTTCTCTGAAATTTTGGCGAAATATCAAACTTTTTTTTCTCTATCTTTTATCTATTGACACGAAGATAGGTTTTCTTTAGCTAAGGTGTCTAAACCGCATCATCGAGTTAGCCCTTTTTGACTACCCGACTTCATACTCTCAAGAAAATCCAGGCATAAAATATTTTTAAACCCGTTTTAATGTTATTTTGCAGAAAAATTATTGGTTTTTCTAATGAAATCAACCGTAGTTTAATTGGTGCATTTGTTGGCTTGAAACGGCAGACGAAAAGGAACAAAAACACTTATGCATCAACCTAATAAATAGGATCTAGATGGATCTTGTGAAAGTTTGCGCAAAGATCAAATAACGTTAAGAAATAGATAACACACTACAAAAAACTACAAGAAACATATTGAAACTATCCAGTTTATCTTATCTTTTTCAACTGAACAATCCAGTTTACCTTATCTTTTTCACAAGTTCACTTGCCCGTACGTTTTAGTCATTACGAAAATCGATGAGACAATCGCGTAGAGATGCGGGAATCCCTCCACCAAAAGAAGAGGATGAAATTGTGGATGAATCAGTGGATGAGGCTGAAGTGGATGACTTTCAGTTCGGCATCTGGCTTCGTCATCGACGAATCGATGGAGCTCTCAATCGAGTTCCCAATCATTTCTATGCGGTTTTATACTCTAGAATTTAATGAACAAATTCATTTAGACTCTTTGGGATACTGTACATCGTTTTCCACATGGATTACGAATTAATGGCAACATTTTACATTGGGGTCTCACTCAGGAAATGACAAGACGTGAGATCAAATTTGCGCTCGAGGTTGAAGAGATTCTCAATCAAATCAGTGAGCCGGAGTACAGAGAAATGGTGAGCGAATGATTCAAGAAAAACAATAACAACAACAACAACAACTTTCAGGTCGTAGAAACTCTATGGTTATTGGGTCGATTGGACAGAGTTGTTCGCAGTGATTCTCCTCGAATTCCCCATGACAAGCCATTCGAAGTTGATCAAATCGTCATCAAAGCAAACCAACTCTTTGTGTCTCATAATGTAAGTCCAATTCGGCTCTGATTTCAGAATAATATTAAACCACTAAAACTAAATGTAAAGTATAGGCAGTAGGGGAAATTTCTACTTTTGCTCCTCACTCCAGTCCTGTCTGCCACCATTCCGGATTAGCCCCCCCACCCTTTATGACTAAACAGTGGGGGGAGAGGGGGCAGAACGATCGTATCATTCTGGGCAGAATGATCGTATCAGTCTGCTCCCCACGATAATAAGTTATAAAAATGAAAACAATGAATGAAATGAAAATAAAAATTCTGTGGGGGGGGGGGGCAGATATGAAAACGTAAAAACGTCCGTTGTATTTCGGCGTCCTGTGGGGGAATAGGAATGTGTGGAATAGGAAAGGTGCAAATGCAAATGTGGAATAGGTGGGGGGGGGGGGCAAAAGTGGAACAAAAAATGGGAAGCAAATCTGGAATGTTCAAGCCGGGGAGCAAAAGTGGAATGTGGTGGTGGGGGCAAAATGATAGCTGTGTTGTCCCGGCAGTAGTTCTAAAAATGATAGTAAAAAGTAATTTAGTGTGAGCTCGGGACAATTGTGTTGGACTGTTGTGCAAGCAAGAAATCCTGTGGAGGTGCTCGGGGTCTTTGTGTTCATTTTCTCGATTCAGCACCAGCCGGTGAATATGGAACTAGTCATTACATTATTCGTGCTCTTGCTGACTTCTTTACATAAATCAATGCTTTAATTTCACCTCTATTTTCTTCATCTTAGCTTTGCTTTGCTTTCAAATTATCGTCTTTGTCATAGCTTGTCATCTGTCATAGCTTGTGGATACTGTAAAAACGTTTTTTATGAAATACTTTCCATATATAAATTAGTCATTTTACTGCCATTTTGAAACAATTTGCTCAAAAAAAAAAGAAATGCCAGGTGCTACAGGTTTACTTGCTTAGTTTTATGTTTGATAGTTGAAATAAATTAGTTGATATGCATTGATCGAAAAAAAAAGCCGCAATCTGCTTGCGTTCAATTACTCAATCTATCATTTTCTTTTTTGGCTTTGTAAACTTGCAGGTGCAAAGTGCAAGTGCAAAGCAAAAGGTGCAAAAAATTTTGCAACTTTTCACATAAGCAAATCCCAATCGATAGAAAGCCCATCAAGATTTGAATATTTTAAAATTATTGATGAGTTTTGAGTATTCTTTTAGAGTATTCTTTTAGAGTATTCTTTTATAGCATTCTTTTAGAGTATTCTTTTAGAGTATTCTTTTAGAGTATCCTTTTAAAGTATCCTTTTAAAGTATCCTTTTAAAGTATCTTTTTACCTTTTCATCAGGTTTCTTGATGCTTTTTTGCGTTTTCTCAAATTTATCAAGGAAAAATCTCTTTGCACCTAAAATTTGAATGCTCCTTGCGTAGATGATCACTTCCAAAGAGAGCTAAACAAATGGTGAGATGAGGAAATTTCTAATTGATGTTACCTGTGCAGTTGTATCTGTGATCATTCTCTTTTTCATCGCTTTCTCTACTGCAAAAGTTAAACCGAATAAAGAAATGGTGAGTATAAAGCAAATCCCAATCGATAGAAAGCCCATCAAGATTTGAATATTTGAAAATTATTGATGAGTTTTGAGACTGAGACTTACTTGCCAACAAAATGATAACGTTAAGCCAAGGCAAACAAGAAGTGCCGAGAAATCACTAGAGAACACACAGACTGTCTAGAGACTGTCTAACGCCTAAATTTCAGAATTTCAGAATTTCAGAACTTCTGAACTTCAGAACTTCAGAACTTCAGAACTTCAGAACTTCTGAACTTCTAAACTTCTGAACTTCTGAATAATCTCTCCGAAAAGTCACCAACCGCTTTACAATTATCAGGTTGCTGTGAAAGAGTGACTATTGTGTTTGACCGAGAATTTTGTCCCTCAAAGCAATGCCCATCTCGAAGTCGAATCTTCTCAAGCACTCTCACCCTCAACTCATTCACGCAAATGTCGGCACTTTGTCCAGAGAGAACATGCTAAAGCAAAGCTTAATTGAAGCGAAGATTCCGAGTGACGCGAACAAGACAACTCCCTGAATTTCACTTGTAATCCCTCCATTCTTTACCTTGATCAATAGTATCTGATAAGTATCTTTAGCAAAACGCATCATAAATGAACACTTGGAAATACAGTCAAACTTTGATATAACGAACCTAAAACGTGCTTCAAATTCTCTGCGTAGCTGCTCTGGACGACCGCTGATTGCATTTGGCTGGAGCAGCTACGCAGAAATTTTGGGCACTTTTTAGAATTTTAAATTCGTTGTATCGAAGCTCGACTGTAGCAGTACATTGAAAGCTCAATGCAGCGAATCAATGAGATTACCTTAAAACGAGATTAGATTTTAAAACCCGCCAACCAAGTTGAGCTAAAATGATCGAAAATGTCGGCACTTTGTCCAGAGAGAACATGCTAAAGCAAAGCCAACTTTTTTTTCGTTTAAACTAAACAAACAGCCAGCGTGATCGAAAATGCATGATTCTTTAAAGAGTCTTTATAAAATTGAATGAGAAATGACCACGATTTTTGTTTATTCTCTCGTCTAATCTAAAACGGGTTCTACATAATTTAAAAGTTCATATAATAAATTCTAGGGTCGCGTCCGTTTTCTTCAAAAATTACGTTCCTATTTGCATTTAATTTGCGTCGCTTTTTCGTCGCTTTTTCGTCTCATTCTCTCCCTCAAATTTCTTTTTTTTTGGTTTTCGGCAGAACTGTGTGTGGCTTCTCGCCCTTTTGAGATTAGAGTTGCTGTTTGCTCTCGTTTTGCTCTCGTTTTGCTCTCGTTTTGCTCTCGTTTTGCTCTCGTTTTGCTCTCGTTTTGCTCTCGTTTTGCTCTCGTTTTGCTCTCGTTTTGCTCTCGTTCTTTCGGGATTTGATTTTTCTTTTTGTAATCGGTACCGTTGCCTTTTCTTTCTGTAATAATAAACCATAAAATTAGAAATTCGATCTACTTTAAAACCCACCCTTAAGGTTCCAAATTCTGTTTAGATTAACATTATAAAAAGAATTTGCTAATATTTGTGTTGCCATCGACGAAGCGTCCGTTGCACATCGGCCCGAAAATGCGTTTTCTATCGGATTTTTCTGGGAGTACCTTTTTTAGATGCGGAAAATTGTGCTGATTCCGAATCTGAAGGAATTTTTCAAATCCCTCTGACAGAAATTTTTTAAATTGAGTTTTAGCAGTTTTTTGGTCATTTTGTATGGGAAATTTTGTGGTACCCTGCAGTTTGGGGCTCGTAACTCGACAACGAGGGTCTAGAACCAAAAACGAAGGGATAAGTTTTATTCTAAAGGCTCTTACGAACATTTTGATGCAAAAATCATAAAATACACAAAAGTACACAACGCGTTGTGTACTCGTATCACGAGCGGTAATCTTATGCCGGATGTTGCGTGTTCTTGTTGTGTTGTGAGCGTTTTGTGAGCACAAATCCGTTTAACCTTTTGTGCTATTTGGCTATTCTGAAACAAAATCATTCCCGAACTCGAGGATATTTATTGGAAACTCTGACTTTGCTGATTTAATCGATAGAGGAAGCGATATTAGAAGTGTTGACTGAATTGGAGATTCCAAGATGAGCAGCAAAATTGATCGAAGATCCGCCTCGAGTGATCGCTTTCGAGGAGCCTCTGAAACTTGACCATTAAGGGAGCAAATTTGTGCAATTTCTAAATTTTTTTATGCGTTTTATCCACTTTAATAGAGAATTTCCGGGGATCCAGAGAATCCTTCCAGTTTTTGGGCAAAATTGGCAGATTCTTATTATATTTATCAAGATTTAAACTTATTCCCACTTTTCAATCAAATCCTCTCCTTCAGTGGTCGATTTTTCAGCTGACTTACTGATTTTTGCAAAATGTAGAACATTCGTAAGCTTTGACTTACGGCTTACGCCTAAAAGAAATTTATGTAATTTCTCAAGTTTTTATACTTTTTATACGTTTTATCCACTTTAATAGAGAATTTCCGGGGAATCCTTTCAGTTTTTGGGCAAAATTGGCAAAAAGAAACGTGGTGGGTGGGTCTAAAAGGTTGTGGGTGGTCCCGTGCTTTGTGAATCGTTTTCCTCTTTTCTATTCCATTCCCTTTTCACTCAACAACCTATAGCCACACAGTTATTGTTTTAGTCGCGTGATTTTCTAAAAAAGAGACAAATTCTTATGTAAAAATGAGCTTAGAACGAAAAAAAAAATCGTAAAATGATATCTTTCTTCGCATTTTGCTTTCAATCTTTAATATCTTCATTTTGAGCTCTTTTCTGAATGCTTCCCTTGGCTCATTGCTTTCAGAAGTTACAAAATTTGCTCAAATGTTGGAAATGAATCATCGCTTGAATTGAAAACTGTGAGTGAAATCAAGGAAAAACAACTTCAATCTCTCCCTAGTTCTTTGTCCTCTTTCGTATGAAATTAGACAAAAGTTAGACACAAAGACACAGCATCACATTGCATCATCAATCCAATTTCTCTTTCAAGTTCACATTTTTTCGATTCACCCACTCAAAATCCCGTTTTTCAATTGACTCTCACTCTATAAAAACCCAAAAATCATTTGAAAGCTTTGCAAATTCAAAGTAACAATAAAATTTCTGTTGCCCTTGGTCTTTTTTTTAAAAACTCAATTACAAGTTGCAATAAAGGCCTCTCTTGACCTTTATTGGCCTCTCTTTCGAATGACTCATTCAAATGTCCAAGTGGAAGTCATTATCGGCTAACAGACACTCAAAATTTTAACAACTTTTCGTTCTCGGGACTTTGAGCCAATTTCTCTCTCTGGTTAGACTGAGCTTTTTCTTGGCTAAGGTCCAGTGAAAGTGTATCCTCTAAACTATTTCTTTGTCTAGTCCGGCCCATCAAGGATAGACTAAAAGATAGTGCTCGATCATGAAATCTCAGTCCGTGCCAATAAAGATTTCATGCTATTTATTCGGATTTTTGATAGATACATTTTAAAGTCCGATAATGCAATAAATTGATATTTTAATCAGCACTATCTACAGTAGTTTGCATTTAGAGTTAGTTAATGTGTTCAAATCAAACTGAAAAGATTATTTTGTGCAATTTTTGAAGTCCTTATATTTTTTTTACTATTTTAATAGAGGATTTACGGGGAATCCTCTCAATTTTCGGGAAAATTGGCAAAAAAGAAACGTGATGGGTGGTCCCGTGCTTGGTGAATCCTTTTCCTGTTTTCCATCCCATTCCCCTCCTCTCATTCCCTTTTCACACAAAAACCTATCGGCTTTATTTGGGTGATTTTCTAAAAACAAAAGTATCCATTGGGTCGATGGGTATGAAAAGTCGTTATTTTTTTGATTGATTTCTAAACTTGTAAACAAAACGGAAGTGAGGGCTGTTGTGTGAAAACTGATAAAGTCAAGAACACTTTTCCAGAAACAATGAAACCGGGCTTCCTCACTTTTTGTTATTTCGAATTTTTGGCAACTTTTGCTGTGAAATTTTGCTGATAATCTGCCACTTGGACATCTACGACACGTTATTTTCTACGAATTTCTACAAGAACAACCCTCTAGTGTTCAGCTAATATTAAGCTAATGCGTTGGCTGAGCTATTAAGCTCAGCCTCGCTTTCTGTTATTTCGAAATTTGGGCAAGTTTAGTTCATTTTTATTTCAAATAGGAATTTTCTTGAGGAATTCTCTCAATTTTCAGGGAAAATTGCCGAAAACGTGATGGGTGGTCCCGTGCTTGGTGAATCGTTTTCCTCTTTTCCATCCCATTCCCCTCCTCCCATTTCCTTTTCACACAATAACCCATAGTCATCACACAGTCAAATCATAGTTTTATTCGCGTGATTTGCTAAGCACCAGCTTCCACACAAAGAGAAACTCCTAGGTTTCTGGTTTTGAGTTGATTTTACTTTCAAACTTTTTAGCACTTATTCTTTTCTTGTTGAATATTGAAAAGTGACATCAGCAAATTCGATTTTCTCTTTTAAATCGTTAATTTGATGGCCAGCATTTGATGGCCAGCATTTGATGGCCAGCATCGGGATCGTGAAGAGGATTTTGAAAATATTGTGAAAGTTGATTGTTTCACTAACAGTATGTCAAATTAAAACTTATTGAATTACTAAAAAAAGGTGGTAAGATAATTTTTGAGGAAGTTTTTTGTAAGAATGACTAAAGTGAAACGGTTTATCAATAATGTATGAGGTCCTAAAAGATGAAAACCTGTTGTTAGGCCAGTTTCAAACTTGAATTTCTGGTTTAGAGAGAAGTGAAATTTATAACGGGAATACAGCCAAATTTGGAGCGGAAATTGGTCCCAAGGATTTGGGCATAGTGACGCCCAAAGCGGCGAAGCTGAAAGCCGAAAAAACTGAATGTAAAAGTTTTTTCACGTTACTTTTTAACTTTTTATAGGTATAACTTTTTCTTTTTTATGACTCTCATAGAAAATGGGGGCAAATGGGAAAATGGGAAAAATCGGACTTTGACAAATGCTCCTGAACATTTACAGAAAGGATAAGTTGAAGTCACAGCAACATCAGTCTATTTGGTGAAACTTTGACCGTAGTCCCCTCTCTAGAGGTCTGCAGAAACAGAGAGATTCCTCTCTCCTCTCTTCATTCTCTATCATCTTTTCTTCCTTTATTGGATTGAAATTAATCCCCGACTTCTTTTCTTTACTTGTTAATGTTTACAAAAAATTTATAAGAAAAAACAAATGCAAAAATATGATAAATTGGAAAAAGTTGGTGAAGGTTTGTGATTATTGGATCTACAAAAATAGCCCTCATTTCAGGCACTTATGGAACAGTATTTAAAGCTCGGAACAAAGATACTTCTGAAGTAGTGGCTTTGAAACTTGTTCGTTTGGATGACGATGATGAGGTATAGAAATTTATCAGAAAACTTATCAAAAGATAAATCTTGATCTTATGTTAAATATTGATATATAAGTTGTGTCCGATTTAGATTTCCGTCCGATTTAGATTAAATCTAAATCTTATATAGATTGAACAATAATATAAACATGTTTAATATATGTTCTTAAGCGTTTTCTGTAGTTTTCTGCATTTTTCAAAGGTCTGTTACTGTCTTTTTCTGAAAAGAAAACCCAACTATGAAATAATCAATAAAAGACCTTTGAAAATGCAGAAAACTACAGAAAACTCTTAAGAACATATATTAAACATGTTTATATTATTGTTCAACCTATATAAGACGTCCGATTTAGATTGAATCTAAATCGGACACAACATATACAATAAATATAGGGAGTGCCGAGTTCTGCATTGCGTGAAATCTGTATTCTTCGCGAGTTGAAACATCCAAATGTTGTAAGTTATTTGATCTTATAGAATGCTTGAAAATTTCATTGTTGACATCTTCAGGGAGTGGGACAAATGCGACCTTTTTTTTTCCGCACCTTGCCTATTAGCGCACCTTTTTTCGCGTTTTAAAAAAGCTCTAAAAAGCTAATATTAACCAATTTCTATTCCGAAAGTTGTTTTTCTAGGTAATTTTAGGGCGTAGAATCGAAATTTTGACATATCAGAGCTTGTGGAAACAAACGGACGGAGTTATACAAAGAGAAAAATCGACAATTTTCTGTAATTTCCGTTTTTCTGTAATTCTAGCCGTTTTGTCTTTCAAATTGGTTCCACACGCTCTGTTATGTCAAAATTTCGATTCTACGCCCTAAAATTACCTAGAAAAACAACTTTTGGAATAGAAATTGGTTAATATTAGCTTTTTAGAGCTTTTTTAAAACGCGAAAAAAGGTGCGCTAATGGGCAAGGTGCGGAAAAAAAGGTGCTCAAATGTCCGGGTGCGCAAAAAAAGGTCGCATTTGTCCCACTCCTCATATTCATCAAAATCATTTTCATTTTTATTTTCAGGTTCGATTATATGATGTGGTGCACTCTGAAAATAAACTCACTCTTGTTTTCGAGTACTGTGATCAGGATTTGAAAAAGTTTTTTGATTCTTTAAATGGACACATTGATCAACAGGTCCTTAAACATTTTTCACTTTCTTATTCTTTTATTAGACTGTACGAAAATTGATGCAACAACTTTTACGAGGACTCGCCTTTTGCCATGCACATCATGTGTTACATCGAGACCTTAAAGTATTTCAAAAAGGAAAGCATTACCTAGAAATCAGTATTCAACGCTTTAGCCACAAAATTTGTTGATTAATGCAAATGGGAGTTTAAAGTTAGCCGATTTTGGATTAGCTCGAGCATTTGGTATTCCGGTACGGTGCTATAGTTCGGAGGTACGAGGTACAAATTAATGACTTGATTTTTTTTTGATTATAGGTGGTAACTTTATGGTATCGACCTCCAGATGTGTTGTATGGTGCTAAACTTTACAATATTTCGATAGACATGTGGTCAGCGGGATGTATTTTTGCTGGTAAGGGAAAAGTCAGACCGTAAATACTTGTACAGTTGCGTAGTCGCAGTTTTATGTTTCATTTTTTCAAAGCGGGGTGTATTTTTGCTGGTAAGGGACCGTAAATACCTGTACAGTTGCGTAGTCGCAGTTTTTATGTTTCATTTTTTGAAAGAGGGGTGTATTTTCGCTGGTAAGGGAAAAGTTAGACCGTAAATAGGAAAAGTTAGACCGTACAGTTGCGTAGTCGCAGTTTTATGTTTCATTTTTTCAAAGCGACCATACTTTTTAAATGCGTCTTTTGTATCAAAAAATAGCTTTGAATTCCAGCTATCTTTTGATACCGAAACGCGAATTATACCTTAAACCAGTGTCGAGAAAAACGCGATCAAAGTTAGACTACGCAACATTCCGCAATCTCCCTTATCGTACTATTACAGTATTTATGGTAAGAAAAAGATCGAAAACGTTATTGTTATTGCAGAAATTTCGAATGCTGGTCGTCCACTCTTTCCGGGAGCAGATATCGATGATCAATTGAAAAGAATCTTCAAATTACTCGGCACTCCAACAGAAGAGACATGGCCAGGAATCACTCAATTACCCGAATATAAGGTTTTTGTGCTTAAAGAGCAACTTTTTTTAAAATTTAATCTTTCCAAAATTACATTCAGCCTCTTCCCTTATATCATCCTTCGATGACTTTTGGCCAAGTTGTTCCAAATTTGCCTGCAAAAGGAAAAGATCTATTACAGGTAGTTACAAACAGAATACCTGCTATCTTTTCATTTCACAATTTTTACCGGGTTAGCCTTTTGGCTGTACATTGCAGCTGTACTTTCATTGCAGCTGTACTTTTGGAAAAAAAAACAGCAAGTTAATCCTCCCGTTTTTTCTCTTATCAATCAATAGATCTGATTTAACTGCAAAATCGACAAGGCAGTAAAAAAAAGTGTTAATCGTAAAAGCTAGCCTGTTTCAACTACAAGACAACTTACCATAAATTTCTTTTGAAATTTGGTTATAGAAAAGTAGAATTTGTTTTGTATACTCATGTATAAGAATATAGAGAAAATTTGTGTCCAAAGTTGAACTACTTACCTGCAAAAGTTGATCGACTTGAACGGTCTATAACTCGAGGTATAGAAATTGAATCGACTTGTGATTGCTCTTAAAAGAATCCTCATTAACTCCTGAAAATCTAAACTCCTAAAAATCTAAACTCCTGAAAATCTTTTGCAGTTGAGATGTTGTAATCAATTTCAGAAATTGCTCGTTTCAAACCCGATAGGCAGGATAGACGCGGAAGCCTCTTTAAGACATCCTTATTTCACTGACAGTGCCACATATTGATTAACCAGCTTTTTTTGCATTCATTGCATTTGATCTCTACTCTCTTGTTTCTCTTCAATTCACTATTTATTGAGATCTCTTTGTCCTTGTGACGTCTTGAGCGTCTTGAGCGTCTTGAACTTTGTCTTTTTCTTTGTAAAAATAAAATCTTCTATTCACTTTTGCTACAAACAGAACAAGAATCACAACAAAAGATTGGAAACTAAGAGTTTTCAAAGAAACAAACAACAATATTTGGGCAGAGCTAATCGAAGCTTTGGATTCCGATCGCCTATAAGATCGCCTAAAAAAAAATAACAGATCACAAATCACTTTTATTAACAGAGACCAACAATGAAGGAATGAACTAACAAATGATATGAATGGAATGTTTGAGAATCACCAGTATAAAAGCATTTAATGAATGAATTTTTGAATCTCGTCGTAAATTGCGAGCACGAGAGCACCACCAGTTCCACGGAAAACGTTTGAGAGAGCTCCTTTGAACATAGCGCTCATTCCTTCGTTTTTCACAATCTTCACAGCACAATCCCAAGTGTTTTTGTAGAGAATGTCTTTTCGACCAGATTGCATCATCATGCGACGACGAACAGTGTCCCATGGATAAGAAAGAATACCAGATCCAACTGTGACAACCTAAAAATTATGTTGCTTTTTAGTTCTCAGCTTGTATCATACCTGAGCGATTGCCCATGCCATGAAGAAGTTGAGTTTTTGATCCTTTGCAAATATAACCTTTGCGGTGTCAAACATTCCGAAGTAGGCGGCACGGTAGATGATGATTCCTTGCACAGAGACGAAGAAACCACGATACAATCCGATTGGTCCATCAGATTTCGCAATCTTCACAAGGCAGTCACCGAGTCCTTTGAATTCGCCTAAATTTCTTTAATAGAAGTTCTTTGATAGATTGATTAGAAGTAATTTGACTTACGAGTGGATCCCTTTCCGACATCAGCGGCCAAACGGGTACGAGCAAAATCGAGTGGGTAGACAAAGCAAAGAGAAGTGGCTCCAGCAGCACCACCAGAGGCGAGATTTCCAGCTAAGAACTTCCAGAAGTCCTTATTCTTGTCGTAACCAGCGACAAAGAGCTTCTTGTATGTATCCTTGAAGGCGAAGTTGAGCGCCTGGGTTGGGAAGTACCGGATCACATTGGCGAGGTTACCACGCCAAAGAGCAGCAAATCCCTGCTCTTTTGGGACACGCACCAGCACATCGATGATACCTTTATACCGCTTGTCAACGGCAATAGTCGTGGATGCATCCTGGACCTGAAATTGAAATTGTTATTGTTGTGCTTTTTTTGAAAAAGTTCACTTTCAAGATAATTGGTTTTCCAGAATTTTAGTAGTTCCTCTTTATAAATTAATCAATAAAATTATTATTTCAGACCTATTCCATTTTATTGATAAAGCAATAATCATTCCCTTATTTAAATCATCTAAGGACATTGTTGAGAATTATCGCCTTATTAGCTTAACTTCACTTTTCTCAAAGATGTTTGAGATTTTATTAAAAGATAAAATATACACTTTGAGGATCATATAATAATAGATACTTTAAGGATTTTTCTCCCCCCAGCAGACTTCTTAAAAAAAACAAGTCCACTGTTGATCAGCTCTTGCTAGCATATTGAAAATTTGTCAAAGTGATTGACCAGATTCCCAGTTGACGGTCATTTTTCTCGATTTCGCGAAAGCCTTTGATACCGTTTCTCATTCTTTCTTTATAGATAAGTTTAAATCATACAGACTTTGCTCTCAAATTATTCAGGGTATCACTGAATTTTTAGCATATCTTTTGAACGAAAACGCTTGAAATTTTTAGCATTTCAAGTCATTTACAATAGTGTCTTATCCTCTCCCTTCCCTTCCCTTCCCCTAGTGGTGTACCCCAGGGTAGTATTCTAGGTCCTCTCCTTTTCATCATTTTTATAAATGACCTTTTGAACCTAACCTAATGACCTAAATGACCCGAATTCGGTTTCATATCGCCAAATACCTCTGGCTGTACGCTGAACATCTAAAACTAACTTTTGAGGTTCCAGTTAAGGGAGAGCCTTCCAGGAATTTTAAAATGACCTCAATCTTGTGAAAAAACTGTGGAAAAGTTTTGCAAACTTAATTTTTGGTTTTTTTTGGGCATTATTTTGGTAGGTCTACAGTACTTTTTGCAGTTTGCAAAAATTCGCATATAAATTTTCGTGTTGACACAAAAATTTTCATTCTTACACTCACGCGCTTTTTTTCGTTTAAGTGCCAAATCGAAATTTTTGAACTTTGCGCTCAAAATCAATTAAAGATGTAGTCAAGAACAAAATCAAATCAAAAGTGTTAAAAATATAGAAGCGCCCGCTTTAGTTTTTACCTACTTTTATGATTTCTAGCGTAAAAAAAGCTCGAGGAACACGAAAAAAAAGTGGCTTCAGAATTATTCGGATAGGTTTCAAGCTTTTTTTGAGAAAATTTTGGTGTTTGCTGTTTTTGACCCTTAAACCTATCCGAATTTTTCGTGTTCCGAGCTTTTTTTACGCTAGAATACATAAAAGCAGGCATAAAAACAATAAAAAACATAAAAACCAAAGCATAATCTAGGCTCCCCTTAATTTTGTCATTCGGGTTTTCGCCTACGCCTCTTTTACCTGCAGGAGAAGCTTCACACGCTCAATTGGGGCGACAGCGGTTTTCGAAATGGCGGCAGCCGTGCCTCCAGAGGCCAAGTCGAGGAAGAATTTTCTCGCATTAAAACCTTTGTCGTTGCCCATTTTAAAAGCTAACTGGTGCGAGCCAAGAAAAAGTTCTTCGGAGCCTGGGTTGACCGGCCCAGGACCATTCTCTTTAGTTTAGCTCGGTGTCCCCCAGCGGCAACTTAGGATTGCCGGATTACGGTGAAAGGCGGTAGTTTTAAATTCCCTATTTTGCGAACATCTTTAAAAACTTTTGTTTCGTGTTATTTTTGCGGCAAGTCTGTCTGTCTGGGTGTCTACCAGGAGATTTTCTTTTGTTTTTGGGCCAATTATTCAGCTTGCTTTTTTCCTCGTCATTCTTGCATTTTAGTGCAATTTGTATTTTCTTAATTTAGCGATGCCTTCGGACGCGAAAAAAGCTCGCGATGCGGCAAAGAAGACAGCAGCTAAAGGGCGAGGAAAGGTAAAAAAATATGGGCAAACATTTAAAGTTTTTATTTCTAGGCACGAGACAACAAGGCCAAGCAAGACGAGGAAGATGGACTTGGGACTCCGCTCGCAAACGAAAATGGAGGAGGGACGCCAGAAGAGGTGGAAGTCGATGAGGCACAAGTCGCCAACGGGCTCGATGACGCCGCAGCCATGTTAGCCAGAATGGAACTGGAAAATGCAAAAGCTCGATCTGTTGCTGGTGCTTTAACGTCGAATCCAAAATCGGTGGATATCAAGGTAGAAATGGTTTTGTTTTGTGTATTTTAATATTAATGATAGGTCGAAGGGTTAACCATCACTTTCCATGGGCGCGAGATTGTGACAGATACGAAACTCGAGCTAAATATGGGGCGTCGTTATGGGTTGATAGGATTGAATGGATCAGGTTATTTTTTTTGAAGAGCCTACTAAATTATGCTTCAGGGAAGTCAAGTATCATGAATGCCATCTATCAGAGAGAGATGGCTTTACCGGATCACGTAGATATGTTTATGGTATGTTTTTGCGTTTGAGTAAATGCTACATATGGATTTATAAGTATTTATTTGATTATAACTCACTGTTAGGTTTCGCGAGAAATGGAGGCGTCACACAAAACCGCCTTACAAGCAGTCATTGATGTTGATGAAGAAAGGAAATTGCTAGAGAAACAAGCTGAAGAGCTTAGCTCTTGTGAAGATGAAGGTAGATTTTATTTAGTCTTTTAGTAGACTTTTTTTTCCAGAATCACAAGAGAAGCTTATGGACATCTATGAACGTTTGGATGAAATGGATGCTGATATGGCTGCGACCAAGGTTTTAGTTTATTTACTTTTATTTTTACATTGAAAAGACTTTAGGCTGCTCACATTTTACACGGTCTTGGTTTCTCAAAGACTATGCAAATGAAGAAGTGCAAAGACTTTTCTGGTTTGTTTATCTTCTTTTTACAACTGACCGAACGTTGCTTAGGAGGTTGGCGTATGCGAATTGCCCTGGCTCGAGCTTTGTTTTTGAAGCCAGCGCTTCTCTTGTTGGATGAGCCGACAAACCATCTCGATTTGGAAGCTTGTGTTTGGCTTGAAGGAGAACTTGCCAAGTAAGCCAAAGCCAAGTATTCTGCCGCTTAAGTAAAGTTTAATTTAGGTACAAGCGATGTTTGCTCATTGTCTCACATTCACAGGATTTCATGAACGGTGTCTGTACGAATATCATTCACTTGTTCCAGCGGGAGCTTATTTATTATTCAGTGAGATTATCGTCTTATTACTAGTTTTATCAAATTGTAGGGAAACTATGATCAATTTGTCAAAACAAGAGAAGAGCTTGTGGAGAATCAAATGAAACGATACAATTGGGAACAATCTCAGTTGCAACACATGAAAGATTATGTGGCTCGGTAAGCTTTTCTCTTTTTTATTTAAACACGTTAAACTATTTTAGATTCGGTCACGGCTCTGCTAAATTGGCCCGACAGGCTCAATCAAAAGAAAAGACGATGGCTAAGATGATCGCTGGAGGGTTAACGGAAAAAGCTGTTCAAGATCAAGTATGTGTTTTTGCAACATATTTTCGGCTTTTGCTAATACCCTTTAAAGCAATTCTTTTAGGTCAAACAGTTCTACTTCTTTGATGCTGGTGAAATTCCTCCACCCGTTATCATGGTTCAACATGTATCTTTCCGCTACAACGAAAAAACTGTAAGCTAGTGAAAAGTTAATGCAAATTGTAGTATTTTAGGCATGGATTTACAAGGATATTGATTTTGGAATTGATCTTGATACGCGTATTGCTTTGGTGGGTCCAAATGGAGCTGGAAAGTCAACATTATTGAAGGTTAGCTTTTATTTGACTCTATTATATACTTGCCCATTTAGCTTCTTTGCAACGATGTTTTGCCTACTGATGGTTTGATTCGCAGACATTCTCATTGTAAAATTGGCAGATACCACCAGGTACTCAGTTTTGCTGTCCAACCCCGAACGCGTGCTTTAGCATTTACACGAAGAGCTTCCACTAGAGTTGTCAGCTCTCGAATACATGATGAAATCATTCCCTGATGTCAAGGAAAAAGAAGAAATGCGGCGCATTGTTGGTCGGTATGGCATCACCGGTCGAGAGCAAGTAAGCGTATTTTACCGCTTCTATACCATCACCCATTTCTAGGTTTGCCCGATGAAGCAGCTTTCTGATGGGCAGCGATGTCGTGTTTCTTTTGCCTGGCTTGCATGGCAACAGGTGAGTTAAAATTATGGCTCGTGCTGAATTGTGTTCATTGTATTCACGATTTTAGCCTCATTTGCTTCTACTCGACGAGCCTACAAATCACCTTGATATGGAATCGATCGATGCTCTGGCTGAAGCAATCAACTGTTTCTCTGGCGGCATGATTCTGGTATCTCACGATTTCCGACTGGTTTCACAGGTATTTAGAACTTTATTTTTCTATTAATACGTTTAATTTAGGTTGCTGATCAAGTGTGGATTTGTGATAATCAAGGCATCACCAAATGGGGCGGTGATATCATGTCGTACAAGGAGCATCTTCGCAAACAGATTGAAAAGGATGCCAAACAAATGGAAAAGTTGAAGGAACGCTAAGGCATCAACATTACTCATCTCTCATTTTTGGTTGTTTTAACACTTTTAGAATCTTTTCACAAAAATTCAAAACTTGCGAGTGGTTTGTTTTGAAATTTTTCTGACTTCCAATTCCTTACTTGGGGCTTATTTATAGTTCTTCGATTACTCAAGTGGATAATTTCTAGTCTTTTAACAAATTGCCCCGGGTTTTCTATTTTGGAATGCCGGTGCTCTAGGTTTTAGATTTTTTTGTACCTCTTGAGACGGGTCGTTTAAAAATCTTAATCCCTAACGGATTCTTTAATCCGCACCGACTTATGGGCTTTGCCAAATCGGTTCACAAGTTCATAATTTCGTTTGTTTTATATATGTTACTTCCGATTTTGAAACCTTCGGAACGTCTTTTTACCTAGAAAATTCATTTCACAAAGAATTTTATTAAATTTTTCAGCCAAACTATCGAAATTACGCCCTTTTTATATATTAATCAAATTTCAAACACTCGTTTATCAAATGAATTTAAAAAATGCATTTTTTTTCATTTTTAAAGGAACTTGTGCAAAAACTAGAATTTGTTTAGTAATTTAGCGATTCTAATGCAAAAACATTCTTCTGTTAAAAAGGTTTCAAAATCGGACGTGACATATATCCATCAAGGATATTTCCTATTCATTCGACCTTGGTGAATTGTTTGTTTCACCTTTCTCGTGGCATAGTTTCCTGTTTTATTTTTTGAATTAATGGGTGATTGTGCTATTGTTTGATTGCTAATTTGTTTTTAAATCGTTGGTCTTGATAAAAAGATTCATCCAGAATGGCAAAACAACAAGCCCGTTGGGATACCCAATTAAGTAGCAATAAACAAGCCACCAATGACAAAAATTCTCTGATCTCTTGCGGCACTAGGGAAAAGATTGACACCAGGAAGTTTATGGGGAACTTTCTACATAAAGAACTTGAAGGCATAAATTAAATAGTGAAAGAGTACAAAACCAAAAAAGTATCATTGTCAAGACGTAATGATGTTGAGTGAGGGCCATAGTATGGCATTAAATATCGCGAACCGTCCGCTGGACCCAACAACTGAAATATTATTTGAAAGTTTTCTCATTGCCGCTTCAACTTACATTTAATGCAATCAAAATTATGTCCACGAGGTAAATTATGAGAAGACCGCCTAATGAAAAGAGTTTCAGGATACCTAAATTCTTTTTAATAATGAGAAGTTTGTCGTTTCACCAAACCGATTGCATAGTAGCCCAAATAAAAGCGATCGACGCCAAGAAAACCGAGAAAAATTGAAAGAAGAAGAGCGGTGGAATGATTGAGATGAGCGCGCTGATCACATGCATCTCGGATCTGTGAATTGGCATCGTTTTAGGAATTTATTTTTAACTATATTTTAAACCTCTTTCTTGAAAGTTCCATTTGAATAGAGACCATTACATTGTAGACCGGGAACAGCTTGACACCACACTAAAATTTGGATATGTAAATGCTTCCTTACCTTCCTAATCTTCCTTACCAAAGGTGGACCCATTTTTATGACATTCGAGCGGTTGTTGTGTTGATAACGAGATCTCGGGATCCGTGCAATGGTAACTGGAAATTGTTTGTTTTGAGATTTATTGATTGATTGCATTGATAATAAAGCTCTTGAGAAAACCCCCTCACTGGAATGGGAAATGTCGCTGCATGGCGGTGAAGCAAAGGCGGTATTCGGGGTGATGATTTCGAGCAAAATGAGTACAAAGATCACCGGCATACCGCTCCCATCTCAACCATTCATTCAAGAACTTTTTTCAATCTCACTCATAAATCGAATACCTTCTGAAAAAAGCGATTTTTAAATCTCTTGAATGACTTGTGAAATTGTTGGGGAGCTACAGTACTGGACAATGAAATATCATATTTGAAAAAACGATCGTCACTTTCGCGCGTCTGTAATGTCTGCCGATCTATTTCATTGTCCCTATACGGATCCGGAGTCGACCTCCCCGTGCGACTCGAATTGTGCTTTTTAAAAAATCCAGAAGCACTTTGCACAACTACAGCACTGGACAATGAAATATCATAGCTGAAAAAACGATCGTCACTTTCGCGCGTCTGTAACTTCATTGTCTTTGCGTTTAAACTATTAGTGTTATACCATTTCTGAAAGCTCTTTTCAAGGGCTACACAATGGTAATATTAATATTTAGAAATACGGTAAAGACAAGGGAGTTATAGACGCGCGAAAGTGACGATCTTTTTTTCAAATATGATATTTCATTGTCCAGTGTTGTAGTTGTGCAAAGTGCTTCTGGATTTTTTAAAAAGCACAATTCAAGTCGCACGGGGAGGTCGACTCCGGATCCGTATGGGGCATAGATCGGCAGACATTACAGACGCGCGAAAGTGACGATCGTTTTTTCAAATATGATATTTCATTGTCCAGTAGTGTAGCATTGAAATTTTTTGTAAAAGTTATATTAAGAATTGAATTGAAAAATAGGATTGCAAAGAAATTAGCGATAAAGATTAAATTTGATGATACTTACGTTTTTAATAGGATTTTGTTGATCTTTTTATAAGGGTTTTAAGAGGTTTCAACCTATCATCAAGGTATGAGATACTCGACTTTACGCTCTCCTTTCGTTTCGAGTATGGTCGCGTTTCGATTTTGTCGGGTTTTGTTGAGTTGTCCAAGTTGATCTCCATTCTTGGCATTTCTTTTTTATACTCATTAAAGTCAACTATTTTCTTCAAATGACTTATTTCAATAGTTGGGAGGAATTCGCGAAAGCTGTCGAACGATTGTACACAGCGAATCCAGAAAAATGCCGGTAAGGATGTTCGATGAATGAAATGCTGATCAGCTCTTTTCTTTATTTGACTCTTATCCGTTTTCCTGCACTTTTGAAGAGTTTAAGACGCTTTTTTTTGATGACGCTATAACAAAGATTTTTGCTTTGTTAGAGAAGAAGAGAAGCTACAGCTTTGTATCAATCGAAAGCTTTAATTCTTTTCTTTAAAACGTTAACAATATTATCTCGATAATCTCTATAATATCTCTATAATATTGTTAACGTTTTAAAGAAAAGAATTAAAGCTTTCGATTGATACAAAGCTTGATTCGAGTATTCACATTCATTTTCATGAAAAACAATCAAAATCAAGAGCTGAAGAGCCGGCTAAATTGGCTTTGATTTGCTTAGGGTTGATTGATTCAGTCAGCTTCTATTTTATATCATTCGAATTCATTTTATCATTCGAAAGCATTTGAATGTACAAGAAGTTAACAATAATAGTAATTTAAAAACGAAACCAATTTGCTGATTGAATCAATCGCACCACCAAAAATGTCTTAAATTCTCCAAAAAGACTCCAAAAATTGGCTTTGATTTCATTAGGGTCGATTGATTCAATCAGCTTCTATTTTATATCATTCGAATTCATTTTATCATTCGAAAGCTTGAAATGTACAAGAAGTTAACAATAATAGTAATTTAAAAACGAAACCAATTTGCTGATTGAATCAATCGCACCACCAAAAATGTCTTACATTCTCCAAAAAGACTCCAAAAGTCTTAAATTCTCCAAAAGAAAATTCAAATAGAAAACAAAAAACAATGAATTCAAAGCTGAAATTAATTTCAAAGCTGTTAATTTCATCTGTAGATATTTTCTTTTCAGTTTTGTTACAAAATACAATCACAACCAGGGGAAATTGGTGATCAAAATGACGGACGATGTTGTGTGTCTACAGTACAGCTCAGAACAGACGCAGGTTTGAGCACAAAGAGTTTCCTATTAAAAATCATAACTAGATAACCAAATGCTAAAGACTATAAAGATGTTTATAGATAAAGAATACTTATCTATTTGCACTTATCTATTTCAGGATGTGAAACGATTAGAGAAATTGACGAGCACTTTGATGAGGAATATCACCTCGCGTTAAATGATTGGAATCTTTTCTCTATTTATGAATATCACTTTGCTGAACGGTTTTTTTTTCTTTTAAAATTCATTCAATTTTACGTATTCCTCGCGAAAAGCTTTTGAAAATATGATAATTTTTCTCCCAAATAGTGATTGATAGTGATATTTCGATGTGCTGCCTCAAAAACCTTTGTGAATTTCGAAAATCGTTTTCGGTTTGATATTTGGATTATCTGTTTATACGTTGATGTTATTTGGATACAATATTCAGAATTATTAAAGCAATATCAAGTCTTTTCTATAACATAGCGAAAAGCTATCGTAATCTTGCCAGAAACGTGAAGATCTTCCAGATCTTCTAGATCTCCTAGATCTCCTAGAGCCTCTACATCTTCTAGATCTCCTAGATCTCCTAGATCTTCTACATTTTCTAGATCTTCTAGATCTCCTAGATCTTCTAGAGCTTCTACATCTTCTATATCTTCTATATCTTCTACATCTTCTAGATCTTCTAGATCTTCTAGCAGATCAACGTCTAGCATCTATTTAAAACTGGAAAGATTATTGAGTTTCAATTTTTGAGTATCCATTCGATGAGCAAGCAGTCCCGGGGTCGATGATTTTATTTGAGGAGAGTGGGCGTCTTGAGAGAAAAGAGAAAAGGACTGCATCGTAGCATAACAGAAAAGATCTCTTCAATCCACATCTTCACTCTCTATCAGTTTCAGATAAATGAGTCATTGAAGAGCAATACTTTTGTACAATAACCCAGAAATTCATCCTTGATCTTGAACAATCGAAACATTGAACACTTTGATCACCTTTTTGACTACAGAGTCAGATTAAAAATCTAGCTGTTAAAAGCTAACCGACTTTTCGTTTCTCAAAAAGCTTTTACTTTTAGTTTTTCGATGAATCACTTGTGTTAGATTTCTCCTTTCTTTCTTTTTTTTTCTCGTGACCCCATCCAGTCAGCTGGTCCACTCGAAATCAGTCGCTCGATCGTGAAAAGTATCACTTATAGCAGTTTAGATAATAAAAACAAGTACTAATCTAAACTATAGATAGTTCTCTTTCTTTTCTCAGTGGTGGGAATGAGAGACACAAATGTTCTGCACATAAGGCTTTGTAATGCCTGGGAGCGAGTGGAGACAATCAAAGAAAAGAGTAAAAGGATCAATGTGGAAATCGGTAGTTGTGCAGGCGGAACACGTCGAAAAAGATTTGGTGAAAGGGAAAGAAAAGAAATTTCATTGAAGGACTCTGAGAGTGTAAGGGAAGAAAGGGGGGAGTCGAGAGGAGAAAGGGGGAGATCCCATAGTACAGCCAGTCGAAAAGCCGCCGTAAGATAGATGCCGCGGTTCAACAAACCTGGGATACAGCTGGGATATGAGGGGAAGGGATAGGGGAAAGGGAAGGTCCAAAAGGGCACAAAAGTGAGTGAAAGGGGAGGGGGCAGGTCTGGTGAGCGAGGAAAGAGACCCAATCCAATCGCTCGGGTTTTCTCCACTCGACGTCTCGCTTTTCAATTCTGATTCGATTAGAACTCTCATTCAAATCTATTGACAGGATGGATGATGAGGCGAGGAGACGAGTAAGTTTAGATATTATTCATTTTTGTCAGTAGATCAGTTAAATTGTCAGTAGATCACTTGTAAAGATCACTAATAAATTACGAAATTATCGATCTTGATTTGAATGGTCGATAGTGAACACTTTTGGTTTACTGTAGGTTTACGGCTTACTGTAATGGCTTACTGTAATCCTACAGTAAGCCGGGGGATTTGAAAAATCTATTCATTATTTGTTTTATTTACTATTAGATTTAAATTAAAGTTAGTTGATTGAGAAAATTTTTCTTTACTATTAACTTTTATTTACTAAAGAGCTTTCGACTACAGCTTTACTGTATGAGCTTTACTGTATTATAAAGATTTTTTTAAATGTTTATTATCAACTAATCTTTTATAAAGATCAGTCCTGGGATACAGCTGGGATATGAGGGAAGGGATAGGGGAAAGGGTAGGGGAAAGGGTAGGTCCAAAAGGGCACAAAACCTTTACTAAAGATTTCACCAGTTTTTTTTCTTGTTAATTGGAATTGATAGGTGCGAGAATTGATGGCACAAACACCAGCGCAAAGACCGCCTGATTGGGTGAATCCATTGGAGAAAATCGAACAACTACTCACGTGCCCCATTTGCCTCGATCGCTACAAGTACAAATCGTTGTTTATCCACAAAATACTTAAAAGAAAGAATGAGGAAATCGAGGGCAACTGAAAAAAAAAGAACAATAAAGAAAAAAGAATAAAAGACTAAACAAAGTGTTCTAGGCAACCAAAGCTACTCCCATGTCAGCACACATTTTGTCATCCCTGTTTGGAGAGTTGTGCTGACACTCTCCATCATGCTCTTAAATGTCCCGAATGTCGGGCTGAACATAAAATTCCTTATGATGGAGTCAAGTCTTTTCAGGTATATATTTTGTGTAATCTTTTGTAACTCTCGAAACTTGCAGCCAAACTATACACTTACAACAATTCTTGACATTCATTTACAAGCGACACCCGAATCAGCTGCTCAAGTTGAAGAATATGTGCACAGGTAAGGTTTAAAAAGACTTGTAAGATTGTAAGATCAAAAAAACTTGTAACATTTAGATATAATCTTGAGAGATGCAAAGTGTGCGAGGAAAAGGCTGAATGCCAGACGTGTCCGCATTGTGATCGGTGAGCTGGACCGTTGACTTAAGACTTCTTAACTGATACTGACTTCTTAACTGATACAAACTGCTTTAACTACAACTTTTTAGAACATTCAATGCTTTTGTTTCTATTTAAAATTGGTTTTATCAATAAATCTAGTCAATATCTATTCTGTAATTTAAGGAGAGCGTGCGAGGAGTGCCGAAAGACACATATGGATATGTTGAAGAGAGATATGGGAAGACTCGTTATGCAAGTAATCAAGTAATCACATAACGGATATCATTTGTTTTTCAGGTGAAAAGACTTTCCAATCGAATCACTGAAGCTTCTGACGGTCTCTCGAAAGGCATCGAATTGTTAAGTCTCAACTGTGAGACTACAAAACAAGAAGTTCAGGAATACTTTCATCGGTTTGTTTGTTTTTTTTTAGTGAACAGTAGAAATAACACGAGTCCTTGGCAAGAAATAACACGAGTCCGAAGTTTGCCCCATCTAACAAATCTCCCACTAGACATGCATTTTGTCCTGACGAGAGTTTTTTGCCTGAGTGTGTGCATTTCTCTTGGCAAACTGAATTAATGAATCAAGATTAATGCCTAAAATATTCAACTATTGCTTTGCTGTGCTTAACACTTAGCAGCTTTAATTCTATACAAACCTTTCACTGCGAATATGTACATATTTTTAGTCATATTCGTGAGTTAAAAAAGCGAGAAGAGAACTTTCTTGGTGAAATTGAGATCTTCCAAAGTGCCGAGACGAGATTGATGGGAAATTTGAGGTGAGAACGAAACGAAAATGATTTTAAACGAAAATTCATTTCGAATTTTAGGGACGTTCTCGAAATCGAGAGTAGCAATATGAGTGAAGCGGTGGCTCGACTTGAAGCCGCTTTAAAAGTTCGGTGACCCGAAAGAATGTAAAAATCAAATCTTTTAGGGTGAATATGATATGGATGATACGGAGATCGTCCGCTACAAGAACATTTTCACGGAAGGCCTTGAATACTTGCGAAATTTTTCTGTAAGCATAAAATTTTAAAAAAAAGAAACAGTTAACGATTTTTAGCCGGATGCTGATGAACTTTTTTGCAAAAAGTTGCGTTTTACGGTGGATGATGCGGCTCGATTGCCGGGTGCAATTCAGACTTTTGGTGAAATCACTGTGATGTATCCTGGAAGCACTGGCAGGTAAGGACTTATAAACTACCAAAAAGTATAGTAGAACCCTTTGGAAATTTTACAGATACGACAAGTTGGAGGCTTCCTATGTCCCACGAATGATCTCAAGTAAAATCGGCTTGGAGAGTGATCATTTCAGGTTTTTTAAAAAAATGCATTTATTGACACGAATAAGCACACAATCCCTAAGCCCTAAATGTGAAAAAACTCATCCACATGAGAAAAAAACAACTGCCAACCCGGTCGGCGGGATTGAACCGTCGACCTCCCGACTAAGGTACAGAACTCTTAGCCAGTCGGCTATGACAGCCTAAAAGTGTGGGCTTAAAAAGGCAATAATAGACAACAGGACAAGACAACAGTAGCTTTTTTAAAAGAACTTATTCGGCTACTTTTAAAGATATTCAGCCGTTTAAATGATTTGGCGGAAAATTCCCGTCAAATGTAAAGATATTCAATTTACTCGACGTGTAAAGAGGATTCCTCGTAGTTACTCGACCAAAAACGTCGATTAATTGACTAAAAATTACTCATGCAAATTTTACTTGCGTAATTACTCGCAAGGAACACATTTTATTTAGAATTCGTAGTACGGATGACAGAAATGCGATGGATTTGGGCAGGAATCGATTTCGGGAAACTGATTCTTTAACAGAACATTCTCTCAGATATCGGTTTGTTTCTATAACTTCAAGAGCTCATTGTCAACGATCTTTAGGCGTCGTCAACAAATTGAAGAGGAATCTTGGAATCGGGTTCGTGGCATTGAAGGCGAACCACGGGAGAGGTAAAATTTGTGAACTTGTTTGCACTTTTGCTAACTTCAGGAGCATCCCAGGGAAATCTCCATGGTCTCGACCACCAGATGAAACCCCAACAAAACCACAAAATAATACCAATAGCTTGCAGACAACAAGCGCCAAAAATTTGCAAGTTTCCTCAAAGGAGTCTCCATCTTCATCCACGTCAACTTCACCTCGGCCACCCTCTCCAAAAGGGATATCGATTCCAGTGAAGGTGGAACAATCTAACAATGAGCCCGAACTCGAGACGAAATCGAAAGTGACTATTAGGGTTGAGCCAAAACAGGAGCCTAAAGTGGAAGTGAAGTCTGAGACAGCAACTAAACAAATTGAGAAACCGCCTACTCATAAACCACCACTTCCTCGACAACCATCTAGTCAAGAAGAAGTTGAAAAGAATGAGAATGGTTACATAGGGAGAAGATCATCTCGCCCTAATTCACTGCTCATTGCTGAACCATCAACAGACAAAGAAGAGGATGAAGATGACCGACCAAGGACGGCTCGATTCAGATTAAGAATGCGGGCCTCATCAATCACGAGACAGGAGTCGAACGAGGAACGCGAGACACCAATTCCCATCACTCATTACCCAGGTGAGCATGAGGGGACACCGGGATCGCCAAGAGATAGGGAAAGCTCACCGGCTGAGATTCCTGACTGGTTGGCTCGTCGCCGCGCGAGACAACAACGCTCACGCACGAATCCTGACCTGTATGCACAGTTCACTAGTACGCGCGTGCAGCAATTGCTCGCCGAAAGAGAGCAGAAAAACGAAAACGAAAAGCTAGCAAGCATAAATCCCTCGGCAAGTGTTCAAGGTTTAGATGCGATCGATCAAATGGATGAGGTGACGACAAGGAGAAGTGGGGCACCGTACAGAGCTCGCACAAAGTCGACCGGACATAGAGACTCATCCACCGATACCGGTCGGGGATGGCGTTCAAGGGGCGGTCGGCCAAAGAATGTCTTTGGAAGGAAAGGTGGCGGTGAAGGAGAGTTGAACTGGCCGCGAGGAGTGACAACACTTCCTGGGGGTCATGTGGCCGTGTGTGACTCGTCGAATCATCGAGTTTGCGTCTTCACCGCTACTGGAGAGCCACTGAAAACATTTGGTGGTTATGGTACAGGTGCTGGAGAGTTGGATTCGTGTGCGGGGATTGCTTCAGGACGAGGTCGTCAATTGATTGTCACCGATCGATATAATCATCGTGTTTGTGTGTTTGACTCGGAAGGTCGACTTGAGCGCCAATGGGGTGGTCATGGACCAGCAAATGGTCGTTTCAATAACCCATGGGGAGTGGCTGTTGACGATCTCGGCACAATCTACGTTTGCGATAAGGTGTGTGTGTGTGTGTGTTCTCTTTAATATAGCCTTATTCTTTTATTTTTCTTTAACCATAGCCTTTAGCATGAAATGAACTCGATTAGCTAAGTAGTTTAGTTAACTATTTGATTTTCGTTTGCTAACCTGGCTTTAGTTTGAAAAACATTTTAGGACAATCACCGTGTGCAAATGTTTGACAAGAATGGAGTCTTTGTTGGAAAATTCGGAACACATGGATCAGCAGAAGGACAGTTAAATTGCCCACTTTTTGTCGCAGTATCAAGAATTAATCATACGGTAAAAAAAAACAAAGTGTAAACTTTGAAATCAAGTTAATTTTAGGTTTATGTAACTGATTCTTCAAATCATCGAGTAAACACTTATGATATGCAAGGGAAATTTCTATTTTCTTTTGGACAAGAAGGATTTCAAGTGAGATGAGAGAATGAAAATTTGAATATAGAAGGTAATTGAAGGGTGGTCAATTCAAATCTCCACGCGGTATTGCGATTGACAATCAGGGGAGTGTGATTGTGGTCGATTCGGGAAATAATCGAGTACAAGTAAGTTACAGCAAGGAAATCGAGTTGAAATTTTTGTTTAGAAACCTCAACTGTGTACTTTTATAAATTTGTTTTGGCTAAAAAAGAGTTTCAGGTTTTCACAGCTGATGGAGACTTTCTCGTCTCGTTTGGTACTTGGGGTGCAGGCGCTGGACAACTCAAAGTAAAATAAAACGAGAAAAATAAAAAATGAACCATAACTAAAAGAAGAATAAAACAAAAATTCTTAAATAATTTTAGGGAGCTGAGGACGTTTGCCTTCTCAACGATGCAATTGTGGTTAGCGATCGGGAAAATCATCGAATTCAGATCTTTTAACAGCGCTTACCCCGTTAAAACCCATCCGGTGAACCCCATTTTCCTCAGTTCTTCCCATTTATATGTACTAATTATTCCCCATTTCTTCAATAATATTTATCTTCTTTTTGCTTTAATAGGTTTCACTTATGATCACGAGTTTTCTATGAAGCTCACTCTATCTGTTGATCGACTAGACTTGTTGTTTCTTTGTTTCTCCGCGCGTTCTATATCATATTTACATAGCTTTATCCCCTCTCGATACCGTAAACTTTTGATGAACTTTCACACTTTCATTCTTTTTACCTTGTCCATCTTTTATACGGGAAACACTTCAAAAACACATGCTGAAGACGGAAAAAAATTTACCTGTGAATAAATTTTGGATTTTTAGATTTTGTATGCGAAAAACACATACCGTAAATACTGTAATAGTACCCCACCCCCCTCGTACAGTCGCGTAGTCGCGAAAGTTCCTTAGTATTTCATTTTTTTTTCAAAGCGCCCGTACTTTCAAAAAGTCGTTGGTATCAAAAAATAGCTGAAATTCAGGGCTATTTTTTGATACCTAAGCGCGCATTATAGCATAAACCAGTGTCGAGAAAAACTCGTTCAAAGCTAGACTACGCAACACTCCGCACCGTCATTATGGGGGTGGGGTACTATTACAGTATTTACGGTAAGATGAAACGGCATTGCTTGGTTGAGAAACATTCTTTCGAGTGAATCTTTTCAACGTTCAACAGAACGACAAAACGACGTGAAAACTCGTTATTTGTATTGTGGTGGTGTTGCATTGCAGTGAGCATGTGCTGGAGAATCTCATCAAAGCCCTCTTGAAGTGGCAACGAAATTCCAGAAAACACGTTTATAATTTAATCGATTATAATTTGAATATAAGCTAAGGCTTGCCTATTGCCCGCCAATTCTTTGAAAAGCGCTGCCACGCAAATTGGAGAGCGATGTGAGGAAAAATTTAATTTCACAAATCACATTCGTTTATTCACTTGTCTAACAATTTCTTTTACCTATCTATTATATTATAATTTTGAAAAATTGTCTCTCGGTTTGTGTTTGTGTGTGTCTGTTGCCACGTTTTCGCTTCACCTGTTGGGTTTTGCAGAGAGTGAAGAATCGAACTAGGGGTAATCGGGGGTGGAAAAGACGGGGGAATGGCCAGATTTAAAAAATTCCTATGTTTTTGATATCAAATATGCAAATTTCTGAAAATGGATGAACCAAACGGAATTTTGGCAAGTATGAAGGAAAAGATGCAGCTTTCGGATGCAAATTTATAAATTGAATTTTCAAGATTAATGCTAATTTTAGCAAAACAGTTACTGGTTTCATCATATGCACCTTTTTGTCGTTTTCTATGTGATTCATTAAAGTTCTTACCTTTGTCTATCAATTTTCTTTTGCAGGCATATGTAAATGATGAGCGATGACGCAAAATCATCATCACCTAGGAAATCACCAGCCAAAAGGGGTGTGCAATATTCCGAGGAAACAGAAGCAGCCATTGCGGGTAATACATTAATGTTGCTTAAACTGTTCATCTTTTCTTTTAGATTTCGTAACTTCGGAGTTCTGCCGGCAGGACAAAGACTTGACCACGCAAATCAACGAACTTTTTCCCACGGAACAGTCTTTGAATCAGGTTTTGTTCATACTTATTTTTACGTAAATTCTGTCATTTTAGTTGGAATCAGTGATCTCTACGGTCGAAGGGCAGATTCTGGAATTAGATTGCGAGTTGGCGAACCTTGTAGAAACACATGCAACGGCAGGAAAAGAAGGCGAGGATGCTTTAAAAGAGGTGAGGCTTCGACTGCTGCAATCATACCTAATCTTTTTATTATAGGCTCAAGCAGCTATGGCTCAATTGGAAAAGAAAATTGAATCAATACGTGGGAAAACTCAGTCGTCAGATGAAGTGGTACGCGAAATGACGCGAGACATTCACCAGCTCGACATTGCGAAGAGAAATCTCACTGCCGCCATTACAACTTTGCACCATTTGCACATTTTGTTGACCGGAGTCGATGATTTAGGTATTATTATTCTTGATATACGTTTATTTTTATAAAATCTTTAGGGTCTTGGATTGCACGACGTAATTATGCGTCAATTGCACGACAACTACCAGCGGTCCTAAATGTTTTGCAGCTCTTTGATTCATTTCGGTAGGGTAATAAAATTCATCGTTTATTCTTTTCTTTTAGGGAAAACGAACAAATTCGGGCAATTTCGGAGAGATTGGACAAACTAAAACATACATTGACGCTTCAGCTAGCTGGAGATATGAAGAGCGCTTTTCAAGTATGGTTTTAATGTAGCTCTGTGTTTGTTTTTACAATCTACTTTTTACAATATTAGTGTAGACCTTTTAGGCTGGAACTTTAAACGAATCGGTGACGGATATGTGCCGAGTTGCAGCTGCTCTTGAAGGAAATGTGAAAGAAAACTTTTGCAAATGGTTTATTGAGCGGCAGGTATGTTTTATTGTGTAATATTAAAGAATTTTCTTTTTAGTTAAGCGAATACACCGTCTTGTATGCAGAAAATGAGGAAGCGGCTTGGTTAGATAAAATTGAAGACAGGTAGAAGCTATCTCTAGTTATTACACACTTTGTTTACTTTAGATACAAATGGTATGTGAGACGTTTGACTGATTTTGAGCGATCGGGTCTTTCGGCTGTATTTCCTAACGATTGGGATATGGGTCGTCAATTGACAAGACAATTTTGTATTATCACAAAGTAAGTTTTTTTCCGATGTTTTGAAAAAGTAATTTTCAAATTTAGAGACATTTTAATCAAAATGATGACAAGACGGAGACAGGATCTAGATTGGAAATTGTTAGGTAAAAACATCTTTTGACTAGCATGCCTCATCTAGCTTTTTAGCATTCAAAAACAAATTTTTAGGTCATGCCATTCAACACACAAAAATGTTCGAAAGCTTACTCGTCAAGCGTTTCCCTGCAAAGGGGCAATACAATTTTGATAAGGTAAATGTTATTGTTTTTTCTTTTTACCAAATCATGTTATTTAGGCACTCTGGGAATCTTTTGACCAATTTTTGGATGTTTTTATAGCTGCTCAAGAGAAGACTTTGAACGATTTTATAGATGGGTGTGCACAGAAGATTCGGTAAAAAAAGATAAAGCCTTTTAAAATTTTAAAATTTTTTTTTAGAAATGGAAATGAACGTCCTTCTCGAGAAACATGTCTCTTTGCGGTACCGCTCCCCTCATCCGCGGACTTGTTTTTGCTTTTGAAGAAAGTGATCACCGAAAGCAGCAAATTAAGCAGTCAACCGGACGCCTTGTTAAAGTAAATATTTTTCGGGAACCCGAAAAGCAAGTCCTTTTCAGAGACATAGTCACTTTGTTGCGAAGTTGTTTACGTGGATTTGCACACAGCTGTTTAACAGCTTTTCTTCCACAACAATCAAGTGGATCTTCTATTGCCACAACTGTCAACCTTTTCAATTTGATTCGAGATGATACAATTCCAATTAGGTAATGCAAATAACTGGTTAATCGTAGCTTTGTATGTTCAGATTAACACCGGATCAACAATTCCTTACGTGTTGCATTTTGGCCACTGCAGATTGGTGCGCAGAAACTACCATTCAACTACAGGAGAAGCTTGTTCAACGATTGACGGTAAATAACTCAAAATTATTACGGTAGTTTTTCTTTTAGGGGATCGATTTGTCGCAAGAGACTGAAACTTTTTATAACCTTGCCAACAGTGCAATTGTGATACTTGTTGCTGATGTTGAAGGAGCGTGTGATGCAGCTATCCAAGCAATGACCAAGACAAAGTAATGGATTCATTTTTTTGCTTTAAACTATTATTTTCGTTTTAGCTGGATGGGGGTTGATGCAGTAGGCGATGAGAGTCCTTTCATTGGGTCGATTCGTACTCATCTGAAGCAAGGTGTACCAGTTATACGTGACCTTCTGAGTGACAGGTCTGGCTTCTTTTAATATCCATAGCATTTTGCCAACTTTAGACGTAAATATTTTGCCCATTTCTGTTTGAAGTTGGCTACTCAATTATCGCACAAATTTGTCGGATCAATCTTTCGATGTAGACCAATCTCGATGCATGGTAACTTGAAATCATTTTTTCAAAATCTTAAATGCTTTAGGGGCCGAACAATTGCTGTTGGATACACACGCCTTGAAAACATTTTTGTTGACACTACCTTCAATTGAGAGTCAAGTACGATTACATTTACTGACCAACATTTACTAAATGCTTTTAGGTACAAACAAAACCCCCGGTTGCTTATACAAATGCGATAAGCTCAGCATTGACTAAAGCGGAAATGATCTTGAAGGTAAATAGTTTGTTTTTTAAAAATAACTGCTCGATTTAGATTGTAATGCATGATATCTCAATACCAGAACAATTTGTTGCAACCTACTGTAGTCTATTACCACAGAGTGATCTAAATGAACTTCAAAAGGTAAGCAAGTTGTGTGCGTTTTGTTACCGACTTTTTTCAGGTATTGGAAATGAAAGGAGTGAGAAGAGCCGATCAGAGTTCAATCGTTGCTGCATATCGTTCACATCTCGGAATTGACGATGGTCAACTTTCAACTCAACCTCGCACGGCGACAGAAATTTTAACGTCAGTGGTTTCGGATGCGGGTGGGTTAGCCGATACGAGTATGCGACGACTTGAACGTCTTGTTAAAAAAGTTTAATTTTGTTAATTTTGTATGTGTACCCTTTTAATTTTTGCGTTGAGATGTTATACTATGATGGTTTTTGATTTGCTATGATCAAGTGATTTTTTGGCTCATTCCCAATATAAGTGTCCCATTTTGGAACACTCATTTTGATTTCGGACACTTATATCGGGCTAGCCCCATTTTCTTGTTGTGATTAGTTATTTATTTTATTGTGGTTGATCATTTCTAATCGTACTCATTTTTAATAAATTTTAATTTTGTTGTGGTTAGCTACATATTTATTTTAATTGAGATTTATCATTTCTAAGTGTACTCCTTAGTTAATTTTTGTTATCACTAGCTATTTATTTTGATTGAGGTTTATCATTTCTAAACGGGTTTTGTTTGAGCTATGTAATTTTTGTTGTGATTGACTATTTACCTTCCTTAATTTTAAAGTTGTGAATAAATTTGACATCTTTTTGAGGATTTGAGGAAATAAACTTTATTTTCGACCAAAGCGCAACGTAGAGTCATCGACATTGTAAAATGAGATCAAGTTTGTTCGAAAGCCAAACACCTGGAAAAGCATACTGTAGATTTGTTGTTGTTTTTGTTTGACTGACCCAGTTTGAATATCGTCTTTCCACATTGACAAGTCGATCCAAAGCCGATCGCGCTTTGAGAAATAATTGTTCATCTTTTTCAAACTCTGGTTGCTCAATCGTTGTAAAAACATCTTAATTTTTGATAGCTGCAAACTTTTTATGGTTTCTATATTATGTATACCGTCAATCACACAAGCAGCGACTACGGCTTGATGTCGAATGATACTCCCACTTGTCTCATTTCGGAACTTTTTTCATTATGTTAATTTTTTTTAATAAAGCACATACCTTCAATGAACGATACTCTGTTTTGCAAAGGTTTTCGGATATTTCATCACTCTTCACACAAATACAATCTCGAAATTGTGCTGGTCTTATCCCAACCGGTGAATTCAACACTTTGCAATCGGGCAAACAATCTAAAAGACCGTCTCTAGTCAAAAATTACTTTCTTCTTAACCTTCTTTTCCATCAACTTGTGCATAGAAAAATAATTGGAGGAAATAAAATAACAATAAAAAGAACTTTAAAGATATCATTTAAAGTAATAGAGTTCTAGTAATAGAGACTCGATAATCTTTTTCATTTGAGTGCCGAGAGTTGGTCGATCATTTCACGCCGTTGACAAATAATCACCTGAGCCACCTGAGCGAAAGTGACACCCGTTGTGTTTATCTTTCCGAAAAGCTCATTCGAAAATCAAACTTACCACTTTTCTTCACTCTTCACTTTCTTCTCAGCTTGTTCAAAAGAAAGAATCTCGAAAATTTTGCGAACAGTTATCTTAGATTTTAATGAAATTCTAGAAAAAAAGAGTTAACTTCTTGGGAATATGGATTCAAAACTCGATGTCTCCATGTTCTAAAAGTAAAAGAAATGTTTTTTTTGCGAACATCGTCAACTGTGAGTGATTCCAGATGAAAAAAAGCCTTTCTTTAAGCCATTGGATTTAAGAATTTTTCGGCATTTGTGTTTTCTTTGAGAAACGAGCACCCATTTCGCTTTTTCGACTTTTCCGGTGATTAATGGAAAAAACTTTGGGTTACTGGGGTTTTTAGAAAAACAGATTTTCAAAGTTTTAAATAAAACTTGGGGTAGGCTAGTTTCCGCAACTTTTTTTGCGCAACAGGGTCGTTTGCGCAACTCGTCATAACTTTTTTCTAAGTGGGCTAATCTTTTTGATTTTGGTTTCATTTTGTAGATCTCAATAAGTGCAACAAAATCAAACCAAAATCATAAAGATTAGCCCACTTAGAAGAAAGTTATGACGAGTTGCGCAAACGACCCTGTTGCGCAAATGACCCTGTTGCCCAAAGGACCCTGTTGCGCAAATGACCCAGTTGCGCAAATGACCCTGTTGCGCAAATGAAATTAGAAATTAGCCTACCCCTAAAACTTCCTGAAAATTGGGAAAAACGTTCTACGTTTCATCTAAACGAATGTACGAAAATTTGAGTAAACTCCATGCATGTTTTGATGCACGAAAATAGAGGCCCAGCTGCGGCTCCAAGTTGAAATCGCAGATTGCTTCGCATTCTCTTTACCCCTTCCCCCTTTTTTTTTATCCTCCATCTCTTCATTTCATGATGTATCTCAATATAATTAAAACTTTATACCTCTTATCTAAAGATCAGCGCTTCTAGATGGTTCATTATGTTTTTCTTGTGATTTCCTCTGAGATTTGAGGCCGTTGAAAAGAAATCACCGATCCCAGAGGAGCCCTTTGTCTTTTCCTCCATATTCTCGACTATTTGTTCTCACATTTCCACACTCTATATATCATTGGATAAATGTTTGAAACGTTTTTTTTTCGTTGAATAAGCACCAACGAATGTTCGGGCGTTTTGCAAAGATGGATCGTTTTTCAAAAGTCCACAAAAAAGTATGCCCCAAAAAGTTCACGGGAAAGGCTCTTGAATTTTCAAATATTTAGAGGAGTGCTGGGTGACCACAATGCGGCATTCATTGTTTTTGCGAGAGATTTCTCGACTCTCTGCGCTCAAAGAAAAACCAAAAAGTTCCCTTCCTTTTTTTACGGGTTATTTTCCAAGTCCATAGTTTCACACTCGGCTATTCAGCCGCAAATTTTTCATTCTTCATCATTCCACACGATTCCTTTAGATGAGTGTAGCTCTTCCGCTTTCCAAACTCACAATGAGAGCTCATTTTTTTGGGAAAATCACTAAATCTACTCGTCTCGTTAGTAAATCAAATAAGTTAAATGAAATGCATCCAAAAAACGAATGACGCCACGGGAAAGGAGTTAAAGTCGGAAATGGGAGAGATGGAGCAAGCCCCGCCCCTTCTGATGGCCCTCCTCGAGTCCTTCGGGCCATTCACCATTAAGGCAAAGATTTTTGGAAACCCTAGCTGAAAAGCAATAAACATTTCATCAATAATCTTTGAAACCCCAAATTCATTATCTTTCTTTCTATTGAAATTCATTTCTATTGAAAATTAGAGTTTTTTTCTTTGTTCACGGAAAAGAACGGGGATTGGTGGGCGGGTGACTTTCTCACACTTTCTTTCTTTCTTTCTTTCTTTCCCTCTTTTTTTCTTTCTTCTCCTTCTCGGGTTCACTTTGTCCTCTTATGAATCAAATTTAATAAGAGAAGCTCATGAATAGGAATCTCTTTCTTCTTCCAATCATTTCCATTGCTTGTCCAATTTCCCACCACTTTTTTTTCCGTGTTTCAAATGCTCAGCATTTCTAGGATTTAGAAATTGCACCTTCTAAATGTTCATGCACCTTGAATGCAAATCTTGAATGTAGAGGGGAAATAGAAGAAATTTACGTTAAAGAGTCTAAAATTCAATTCCGTTATCTCAAGAGTCTTGAGTTCTTTTCAATTTTCATTTGCAACTGCTAAGAAATCATAAGAAAATCATTCAAAAAGCTTTTCTAAAGGATAATCATAAAGAAAACTATTGTCACCTATTTTCTACTCATTTAAAGGCTAACCCTTGGTAAGTTAGCATGAGTTTTTGGTGAGAGGAATTTAGGGGAATCGAGTTGGATGAATGTAGTGTGTGAATGCGTAGAGCTCATCGCTCATCATTTATGAGAGTCCCCAACACACAATTAGTACGTATAATCGAGAAAGAGAGCTCGCGGGTAGTGGAGAAACATTTCAACAACATCAAGTCATTTCCCCTAACCTTTCCAAGAGTGGATGAGCGAGAAGAGGATTGATTCATCTGTATCGGTTAGATAATCTAGAGATTTATCTATATTGATTGTTAGATAATCTAGAGATTCATCTATATTGGTTGTTAGATAATCTAGAGATATCGATTCGATGTTGATATGTAGAAATGCTTTTGGAAGAAGTTTCCCGAATGTCAACGGACAGAAATCCAATTTAAATCGAAATAAGTGGCCGATGTCACTTTGGGGCATCGAAATGGATCTTTTCCCGGAAAAAGGCTTGTCTAAATGACTAGCTACTAAAGAGTACTTCTTTCTTCATCTAATTCATTTACATCTTTTAAAAGTAGCAATTTTTCCTAAAGCACAAGTTAATACTAAAGACTTTTACAAGCTCTTCTGATCTCTCGCATCTCTTAATCCTAACGAAATCTTTATTGAATCTCTATGAAATGAAATTGCAGGTATAATGTGGGTGGTGTGTCGTTTGCTTCTCTCGATTTGCTGGGTGTTTGCCCTTTTCTCGATCACTACTGCCCGTGTCATCATCCCATACGGTAAAAGGAAGTCTTAAAACAATTCATCTTAAATATTTAGGTCCTGAGCCTGATGGTTATGGAGATTATTTCCGGGTGAGTTTTCGAAATTCAAATTAGAATTTTATCACTATCAAATCTTTAATTTCAGGATGACGGCATCATCACACACAAGAGGGCTCCTTCAGCCGGTGACATGATGGTTCGATTCGGTTGAAAACAAAAGGTGAGCATGGGAAAATTTATAAAAAAGTATTCAACTTAGAGCTACAAAAATTTTTTTTCAAGATTAGCCAATTATGATGTGAAAATTTCACACCAATTTCACAATTTCTGCTGGGGGAGAAAGATTTGTTTTCAGCTATTGCAAATCAACGTCATATGGCTCTCTCAATGAACTCTCGGCCGCCCAGCCAACTATTTTTATATTCCACATTTCATAGACTTTTAAATAAACTTATTATGTTACTATGTTTATAAAGGCAATAAAATCTAAAATCTAAAATTTTTCAGGTAAATTGTATTGTATTGTATTGTATGCTTTCTTTTTCAACACAACCGTTTATGATCACAAAGATAACTTTACAAATCGGCATCAGTTTAGAACGAAAATTGATATATTAAGTATTTAAATAATAAAAAGATAAATCAAAGAAAAGAAGAAAGGCACAACGAGAATGGCCTGTAAAAATATGAGGTCTCTACCAGTGGTGGTTGAGGAATGATTACAAGTAACTAAATGTGGGCTTTTAAAAAAAACCTAGCTGACCACAAAAAGAATTTCATTTTTGGCAATTCAACATGAATTTCGAAAATAGCAGCAAATGGAGTAAAGCTTGGATGTGAACGCTTTCAAACGATAAATTTCAAGTGTAATATAATCAAAATAATTTCCATAATAAGAGTCGATACTGTGTTCTAAGCAGTGGATTTGCTCCCAAGAACTTGTAACGAGAACACAGTGCCGATTGAAGATAAAAAGATAGCTAAAAGTCTCAAAAATGTGAGAATTGCACTTGGAATGAGCAGGAGCATACCTTTCATCAAGAAATCTAATCGAGCAACTAGCAGGATAGAATCAAAAAAGTTGTAAAGTTAAAAAAAAATCAGCAGTTCAGACGAATTCATAATCTGATAAAGATGATTTTTTTTGCAATGGCATGGGATAAAACTTTGACTAGGAGGAAATAAGATAAATAAAAGTAAAGTCTAAACAAAAAAATAGGTAGGCTAAAATCTCCAGAAATTTCCGATTTGAAGGGCATTTATTGACCGTATTTTAGCATCATTTGACCTATTTTTGTCTAAATTCAAATCATTGTTCAGATCTGTCAAATACAGTCAATAAATTCTCTTTAAGATTGACAAAAATACTTATTGATAGTGACGAAAACAAAGTTGGAATGTTTTTACGAATTACACGCCGAAGAATCTACACGTCTTAAGAAAAGAGTGCTAAAGGGCCGTCGATGTTCCGGCTGCAGCATCGAGCTCTTGAAGCTGCCGTTTTTGTCTAAAAGCAATTTTGAAATTGGCAATTATCTCGTTCCTAATAGTAAAGCACCTAGCTGTCATTCATTAGTCAACTCAATCTATTAGGTTGAGTACTAGGTCTTGCACTCTTCATTTCACTATCTATAATGAACGAGTCTCAATACCAAATACCGTATTTCATTTGTTAGCTTGAGACTTATTCAATTAGAAAATGAATTTGGGTGCAAAACTTAGTACTCAACCTAGTAAACCAATTTTGTAACTTCTATGCTACTTTGCTGACCTTTCTTGCCGACTCGTTTCGGACTCTCGAAACAGGGCGAAATGTTTTTCCTTGTTCTCCTTGACTTTTTGTTCGAGTCGAGCTAGACGAAGAGCAATACGTTCTGCAAGTTGATCCATCTCCTAAAAGATCCTCTTCTATCAGTGATAGCAAAAAAAAGTATAAAAATTCCATTCACATAAGTTTTATTTTGAAAAATTGGTTTATGCTTAGGAATTCTTAATGAAAATATATAAAATTGAATCACCTTCTGAATCTGTACGCTTAATTGAGATTTTTGGCGAGCTTGATATTCCTTCAATTCTCGTTCTTCATTCGCCAATTTTTCGTCCAGCAAACGAGCCTCTTCCTCTTGTTCTGCATCGAGTTTGACCTGGAAGATTTTTCATTGAAAAAGATTTACTGAAATGTTTACTAGAAAAAGACCTTTTTCCCCAAACTTACCGTTTTCTCGTGTACCATATTAAATATTTGACTCTCATATTGTGAAGTCAAGAGAGAAATTCGACGCTTTTGATCATCTTTCAGCTTTTGGGTGAGCTCCTATAAGAACAAATGTAGAGGGGTTGGTAATAAAGCGATAAACCTTTGTTTCCAACGCATTCGCACTTTGAAGCATTTGAGTGTGATAAATTTTGAATTGTCTGGTTTGCGTTTTTACTGCTTGACGATATTGCTTTCGAATCTGAGCTTCTTTTGCCTAAACACCACTTTCTCTGTCAACTGTTCTGGGAAAACTTTCCTACCTTGATCTCTTTAGGTTGCTGCTTGCTTTGTTGAGCATGCTTCCTGCGCAATTCTTCTTTCAATCGACGTGTGTAGTTTTCTTGATTGCCCCGTTCAGCCTCATGTTGAATGTCCTAGATTTGAATTCAATACTTGTATTTATTTAGATTAACTTGCCTGATGACGCGTTTTCATGTTATGAATTTCTTGCATTTGCTTTTCTTCAATTAAAGTCGTCTGTCGGTGATGATTGCGTAAAAGTGCATGCATGGAGTCCATTTGACGCTCACGGATTGCCATTTCCTAGATTCAATTTTCAATTTTCGTTTGCAATTTTGCGTTATAAAGTAGTTTGTCAAGCATAAAAATAATGAGCGGTTTAACTTTAAACTAACAATGAATGCACAATTAACTCACCTCGTTTCCCATTCTCTCTTCATGACCATGTAGCCGAATCAACGATGCCCGACGGTGCTTTCTAAAACCCATGTTATTTGAGTGGGAGCATTTGACCAACCGCATTTCTTCTTCAAGCTCACCAACAAGTGTCTTTTCGAATCTTCTCTCGTGGTCAATTCTAAATCGTAAGATTTGCTTGTTGACAAAAAGTTGTTTAGGTGAGATGTCTCACTACATACTTTATCTTGTTGAGTTGATCTTTAGCAGATTTCATTTGCTGCTCAAAGTTTCCAAATTGACTTCCTTGTTGCTTCAGCCGCTAAATGATAGTGTAATTAGTTTGTGGTATAAATAAACTTATATAAAGATACTTACATGGCGCTCTTGTTCCTTGTTGAATTTGTATTCCTTCAGTTGAGCTGCAGCGAACGATTTCAATTCATGTTGATGTCGTGTCTAAATTTGATTATGATTGTGTTCGACTGCAACCCGTAAGAGAATATTTTTTATATTCCTGCTAGTGCATGTCGGAATCAGAGTTTATTAAGCAACATATATAACCACTAAGAGAGTTGGGAAATCTAGCATAGCCGGTTTTGCCATTACCGCCTAGGGTTCAAAAAAAAGTAATTACAGTTTTTACCACTTTCAAAGTGAGTATGGCAACTGATACTGGGCAATTTCCCAACGTAAATTGACAAGATCAACATCCGACGGATCAAATCGTGCCAATGGTCGTTGAATTCGAATTGAGTGGCAACGCATTGGGTATTGTCTTTGCGCTTACAATTATGCCTGTCTTCTTTAGTTTCAAACGATGATTCTGCAGTCCTCGGCTTTATATGATTGTTGGGACGTTTCGACCCATGTAGAGGGTGTGCGTTAGATGTCGAATTCATTCAAGATGGTGTCTAATTCATAGATAGTAATAATAATGATAGCAAAATAGTAAAAATTGTCGTGCTCCTTATCGTAGCCAATATGCCATCCAAATAGGTAGTAATATCGTAAATCATCGTAAATCGTAAAACAAGTCGAGTGTAGTGTAGTTATAGTTGAGAGTGAGAATGCGAACGGTTGTGTTCGATTGTGAGAGTAGATAAGACTTTGCAGAAGACAAAACAATCAGTTTATCAAGTACTCAATATAATAGTCATCAAACCACGAAACACGGAGCGGAACTAATGCAGTACACATGATTAAAAGTTAGACCCTAGAGCTATCATTTCAGAAAAATCCATTTCTGATTTTTACATTAGCAACTATTTGCAAAAATTAATCCCCAGGAATTACTTATGGGTATACCCTTAAGGTTTCGTGGTCTGAAAGAAATAATATTACAGCATGTTAAAATAAATTGCGCGAGGCAAATGCTTTGTTAGCGCTGGAACAATTTTGTAAACCATCCCCAACACTAAACATAAAACATATTATATAGAAATACCCAGATACCGAAATTTGCTTCCGTAGTTTTCGTTCAATCTCCTCATACTCTTTTCTTCTTTTGTCCATTTCAGTTGTCCTTCCATTCTGAACTTTTTGACGCTCCTTAAAATAATACTCTTTTTAAAACTCATGACAATCAACAACCTTTGCATAGTTAGAATTTAGTTGATCCATTTCACGTTCTTGTTTCTGATGTAGGACGTCAAGTTCAGTTTTACATCGGTCTTCTAACTAAAAGAGGAGCTATCATTGGTTGAATGAATTGAACTGGTTTCCCAGGAAAATAATGGTCGAACGTCTTAACGGTAGAAGGTAGAAATAAAACAAACCTGTCGAAGCTCTTTGTGGTGAACTTGTCGAAGACGTTTATAACTGCTCATTTGTTCAGCAAAGTTGTTATCTCTAAATACGTGGGCATTGCGATGTTAATTTTTGCACGTTGATGCTTAACCACAAACCTCAAATAATCTTCATGTTCCCGAGCAATCACCTTTGTAGTTCGCAAAGTAGAAAACTTGGATCGTCTTAGCGTCATCATTTCATCCTAAAAATAGAATTTTATGTAGTTAAAAAGTTTCCCTCTATCGTAGAGAAAGAAGATTAGTGCTTTTTTTAAGCACATGAGTGCGTTGACTAAAAACAACTAAGACCTTGATATTGAATTCGAATTGTGGTGGAGGGCTTCGTCGTGGCGCATTTGAAGCCGGAGTGAGCATCCTCAAATCGGTAAGTATTTGTGGAGATTCACTAAATATTAAAAAGTTCCAAATAAAAATAATTCCTTACGAAATAGCAGATGTTGGTGTAGCAGTCGTTAAGCTGCGATTCTAAAAGACAAATAAACATTTACGACGAGAAAAAGTTTTTGATTTATGATGTAAACTTCCAAACCTCATCTGAGATTTGTTCCTCTTTTGGTGGGACGTTAGGAAACCAGAATACTTCCGGAATACCAGCTCTTTGCTTTTTTGAAGTACTTTTTCCAGCGCTACTAAAAACATTTTTTAAAAAAAGAAAATCACTTTTATACCTTCGAACCGATGAATATGAGGCCAAACTATTGCTATTCGAGTTGCTATCAGGACTGTCTGTTCCACCAATAGGAACCGAGGCTCTACTACCAGCAGAAATTAGCGGTGATGTTGATTCCGTGATTGGGTTCGATGGTTCCCCTGATTCATCTAAACAAACCAATAACTGATAATGAAAAGAAAAAACTCAATTACCTATGTCTTTATTTTGATCAAGATACATCAGCTTCCGCATTTTCCGATATTGAAAGTTATCCAATTCAAGAACTAATTCCTTAGTTCTTGAGATCAATTCGACAATCGTCTTTGGAGAGCGAGGCGTTTTTATGAATTTGTGCTAAATTTTAAACTTTTTAAATCAATGTGATGTTATCAACGTTCATGCAAGCCGTTGTGTTTAGCCGTTCTTCAGGATCCTTTTTTAAACATTGCTCGATAAAAGAAACAAACGTCTCACTCCATGGAGTAGTCTAAAATAAAGTTTTGTTTTGCTAAAGAGAAACAAAAACCTCTCCATTTTCTGTCGGTTGCAAAGTTGGAGGATCATTTTGAGCAATGTGATACAGAGCGGACATAGCATTCATATTGAATAAAGGCGGACGACGTTCGGCTTAATATTTATCAAGGTTTTCAGTATTTGCTATTTAAAGTCAAAAAATCTAATACCTTACCCAATTCAATGCATGTTATACCCAACGACCAAACATCTGCCTTTTCCGTATATTGACCTTCGTCCATAGCGAGAATTACCTAAATTGAGGTTGAGTAAAGATTCGCAAAAGAAACGCACCTCTGGTGCCATAAAGAACGGAGTTCCAATAAAAGTCTGAGCAGGAGAAACCACCGAAGCACTACCAAAGTCCGCTATACAAATCAAATTATTTAAATTCAGGCACAAAACAAACCAAGTTTTACAACTCCAAAATCAGTTAATAGGATATTTCCGGCCTTCACATCACGATGTATTCGGTTTAAACCATGAAGATACCCAAGAGCGTCAAGGGTTTGCGCACATATTGCGGCAATTTCACTCTAGATTTTTAAATATTAAGTAAAAAAAAAGAAAGTACCTCCAAAAGCCCCTTCCTTAGGACATCTACAATATCAGCAGCAGAACCAATGCAATACTCCATGATCAACTAGAAGTGGTATTAATTAAACAAAATCACGAAATAAAATAAAAAAGAACATACCCAGCATGTTTGGTCTTTTAGAAAACAGGACTTGTACTGTACAATATTCGGGTGATTGATTTTTTGCAAAAACGAGACCTAGATAGTTATATAGATGAATAGGTAAAGGTGCACTCACCTCCTTGATTATATCATTCCATTTTTCGTGGCCTTGTTTTCCCGAGAAAGCCATTTTCTTGACTGCCACCGTCTCTCCAGATTCTTTATCAAAAGCCTAAACAAATCAACTTTTTCTTAAAGAGGAATTGTAGGCAAACAAACTTACATAGTAGACGGCTCCAAAAGATCCATGCCCGATTTCTCGTAAATCATCAAATCGAAGTTCTGGATCCTTTGCAGAAAATAAAGAAGCAACCGTGGGATCCTATAACAAAGATCCGATATAAAAAAGTACAAGAAACAATACAAACCTTTAGATTTCCAGGTTTACTTTCTTGAAACGGTTTAGGCATTACTCATTGCTTTGCTACAAAACGGAGGTGCGCAAGTGTATGTCGTCTGTCTGAAATAAATAAAATTACTCCCATATAAATCAAAAGTGCGAAATAAAATGTGAAACAAAGTTATTAATATTGGGTATTTTAGAAACTTTAAAAGGCGGTGGTTAGAAACATTTTTAGAGCAAAATTTCAGAATCATTTTATAAAATTTTGCACGAATATAAATAATTAGTAAGGATCGAGAGCTAATCCCAAAAGTCGCTATCAAATCGCGTTCCGCCCATCAAGTAGTTGTATTTTGTAAAAGCTGCAAAACTACATCGTCAATGTAGTTCAAATAAAGCGCAATGGTTTGCTCTGATTTTTTTACTTAATGAAGCGACCGGTCGTTTAGTGCTTTTTTTTCTTTTGCAAAAACTGGCCTTGAAAGAACAATCAAACATACAGCGTACAGGACACGGCTCGTTGCGAGTTTTACCTGTGAACATACTGGAAATTTGCCAGGGAATTATTCGCGCTTACATGCTGAAAATCTTGTGTGCCCGAAAGTACTTTAGTGTTACATAAATCGACAAATTTAAAATTCCGGATAAATCATTAAGCATTTGATTTTTTTTGCCCTAATTCAAAGTGTTTTTCACACGCCTATCATTTATTTCGAAGTTTCTGGTAAAAAAATATTTGGTTTTATACAAAAGAGGTCAAATTTTTTGTTGGTTTTTGTTTTTTTGTTGTTGTTGTTCGATAATGGTTGATTGATTTAGCAGGATGGAGAAAGGTCTCGTGGGTGAGATCGATGATTTGGAAAAGTGCGGCGATGAATTGCGTTTGGCAGTTCAAAGTAGCAATGAACAGGAGAAAATTGCGCATTTAAATAAGGTACAATCCAAAATTTGTCTACAATCTATGTATTTTTATAATTTAAGGATACTAATTGTAAGTACATGTACTTTTGTTGAAATCAGGCGTTAATTGACCAGTATTTAGGTCAAAGAAGTATTTCTTAACACTACACAGCTCGACGATTTACTCGATTCGTTTCTTGAGGAGATAATTGATTTTGTGGAATTGCCCAGCATTGCGATTAGAATTTACATTATCGAATTCATTGAGCAAATTAGGTGGATTATCGCTTTCTTAAATTCTCATTGATTAATCAAATTTAGTTTTCGCAAATACAACGTTATTAAACATGCTATTGGCAGTTATGTTCGACTTATTAGTCAAGGGAATATTCGAGTTGCGAAGGCGGTAAGTGATAAATGTATGATGACTAATAATCATGGTTAAGATTCTGCGATCGTGCACTCGGTTGTATCCGGTAATACTTCGATGGGCCATTGAAGAAAAGAATGTTGCTGAATCAAAGAAGTGCTGGGAAACATTTTTGCACATCAAGGAATTTATTTTGCGCTTGTTGGAGAATGAAAACGAAGGGTTGGTTTTTCTTTTTACAGTAAATGTAAAAACAATTCTCCTAAGGGTCGGGTCATTTTCATCGAAAGAAGTTAAATGTACGTAGAAGTATTTCAGGCTGAAAACCATGGCATTCAAGTTTTTGGAAATAGTCATCATCTGTCAATCGACTCGTTCAGAGGTGCTAAAGCGGGCTGATTTTATAATTTCTTTTGTTTAGACTGCCCAATTGGCTCAAATCTTGATTTCACTGAACGATGTTCCTATCGATCACCGATTTATCAGTCATCATCAATTGAAACATGAAGCCACTCAATACTTAAAGGTTAGCAGCTTTTGAATCATCATGTTTTAAAAAATTGTTTATTTTTAGATTCTATTTGACCAAATGGCGCTACCACATATTTCCTACCAGAACCTGATAGTTGCATTGGGATGTATCATAAAGATAGGTAGATATTTGTATTTATATGACTCAAAAATCTTTATATAGCACGCCTTCACGTTGAGTATTTTCCCCAAGTCATCGAAGGTATTGAAATTCTTCATGTCAATCTTCCGCCTACTTTGACGAGGGGACAAGTTGTTAAAAAAGAGAGATTTTTCTAATTTTGCTTAGGTCAAATCAATGCGAAAAGAATTAAAGAAGCATTTGTTAAAAATGCTGAAACAATCGCCTGATGCTCCGCTTCAGAAACGAGTAGAAACTATATTGATTGGCCTTGGAGCAAACTCTATGGTATGTATTCAAGCGAGAAAGCATCAAAAGATTTATTAGGAAGTTGAGCGGATGCCTCGTGGAAATCAAAAATCGAAACATAAGCGTCGTTCGGTAGATGAACCGGATCTGGAGGATCACAAGAAAAAACGGAAAGAAGGTACTTTTTGCTTTTTTAAAATGTTTTATCAGACACCTAGTCGCAAAAGCGGTAACAAAAGCACTTCCTAAAGATGATGACGATGGCGCTGATATTGATGAAGTTGAGACCCCCCAGACAGGTTGGATATTGCTAATTGACACCGACGGTTATTTGGAATTTTAGCAATTGACATTACAACGGACTACGTTTTTGAGCGATTGTCCTTCGGTCTTGTTGTGAATCTTGCTATGATTTCTTTGGTTGGTTGGATGTTTTTGAGCTAAATCATTGTATAACTTTTTAATCTAGGTTACCCTACCAAATGAAATGCCAGCTTCCTTTCAAGCATATTACACCCCGATACCATCAGTGATTGCAGACGTCGGGCTTATTTTATATTATTCTAGCACATATATGTTTTAGGAAGAAAAGATGCATTTGTCACGAATGTTAGCTTCACAAATAGCTCAGGCCGGCCTTGGTGCCGAAGGCCCGGGGGTCGAACAATCTCAGAAAGCAAGTAGATTAGCGGAAGGTATTTTGAATTATAACGTGTAATTTACATGTTTTATTCAAGATAGAAGAAAATCTTCATCGATGGTATCGATTGCAGTATCTGCTCAAGAGCTTCTTTTAAAGTCGAAAACTCGAGCGGACAATAAGCTGGATGGAGATTCGAAGGTATTTTTGATAAGCTGATCTTTGTTATCTCCCTTATATTAGCTTAATTCTGCTGATCTTCTTGGCAAAGATTTCGACATCACAGAAGACGTCAAACCTCTACCACGAAAAGAAATATTTGGAATATTTCAACAAACTTTTAAGTCGATCATGGAGGCAGAATGTAATTTTTCATAGATGTTTTCGATTAGTGTCTGTAATTTAAATTATAAATTGAGTAGATGAGTTTTGTGTTATAGCTCGTGCTAGTATGGCGAATATGCTTCATATTCACAACTCGTTGCTAGTGCGTCTGGTCTCGCGATATCATACATGTCACGAATTGGATTTGGTACAGGTTAGTTGAAGCTGTCTCTGGTTAATTATTTTTTTGTAATAACATTTACTCTCACGATATTTAGCTTGTTGTGGATTTCATTGTGTCTGAACACAAAGCACGCGGAGATCTCGCTGTTCTTTGGATTATCGAACTGTATAAACAATATCAAAGGTGCTTTATTAAAAAATGTCTATCAAAATTTCTTTATTCAGCGATGAACAAAACAGAGAGAAAATGTTTGAACGTTATGAATATGTCATGGGGACGCTTGTTGAAAAGATGTTTCACAAAATTCTCTACAAGGAAATGTAGGTGTTGATCCTTTTTTATACCTTTTTTTTGTACTCTAGGGCGTTTCATCGAATTTATTTGGAGGCTCCGGTAATCACCGATAAAGCTTTATTCTGGCTTCAGCGGACGTTTTTAGACTCGGTAAAGTGTTTTACTTAAGTATGAATGTTTCTTGTTTTTTAGCTTTATGGGCCCTTTTGTCTCATGACTTTACGCGAACTTATTATTGCTCGGGCCAAACAGCGAGATAATCTTGTGAAGTTGTTGTTCAATGTTAGCTTAAATGATGGAACTGAGGTAGGACTTTTACCATTTTGAAATAGGAATTAGCAAACGAAGAGCTTTATAATACTTATATACTTTATAATTTTATAATAAAGTAATTTAATGCTTTATAATTTTTAGATTTCTGACCAAGCCGCCAAAACTATCAAAGAGCTTTACGAATTTTCTTATGTTCGTCCTGTTATAACCAAGTATTTGGAAGAAAACTTGGATGCTTGTTTGCTTGAATTTCCACCACCAAGCTATGCGAAGCCAGGAGAAGTAATTTGCGTTATTGAAAAAAAAACCAAAATCTATACTCAAGCCTGCGCCTCTAGCCTGGGATGAAAAACTTTATCGAGTGGCACTCAATGTTTACCTCGATTTGATACTGGTTGATTCTTCCTTGATACATCGGCTGGCCAAAGTTTATGCACATGCAACTAACGCACTGAAAAAAGTAAGTAAAATATATTAAAATGAAGTTGTACATAGCGGGCGTAAAGCCGATAAACCCTAGCAGTTTTTATTTAAAATGTATCCTTTAGGTAATTCTGAGAATGATTGAAATGCCTATTCGAGAGATGAGTATGAAATCTGACGATATCGTAAAGTTGGTAAATGAATGTCCTATTGGTTCAGAGACATTGGTGGCTCGTATAACTCATTTGCTCTCAGAAAAAAGTAAGCTAATAATATGTAAATTAATCACAAAAATTAGATCCTATAACAAGTGAAATTGTGCTTGGTATGAAACGACTACACAAGGAACGTAATACAGACATTCGAAGTTTAATTCCCATTTTGAGTGGATTGTCACAGGTTTGATTCATTACCGATATCAATTTTCTTTTTTAAGGAAGAAATTTTGGAACTTTTGCCAAGACTCGTTCTTGATCGGGCGAACCAAAAATCAGTTCCCTATGTTTTTCGCCGTATCCTACAATCACAACGTAAGTTTGTCTTTTAGAGTTTCATCAGAAATGTTTTAGACCCAGAAACTGGGCAACCACCAATTTCACCTGTTGATTTTGTTGTTTTTTATCATCATTTGGAGCCGATCAACGATGAACAGCGACAGCTACACTTAGAGCGTATATTGATATAATTTGGCAAAATTGCGCCGATTTAGATCTTGATGTTTTATATTCTAATCGAATGATAACCGCCGACGTGGTCTCAACCGCTGCTGAGAAGCTTCTAAGCGATAAACCTTTATGTGATTTGTTCTACAATACGCTTGTGTGCATACATCAACGCGTGAGTTCTTATCCGTTCAAAAGGTTATTAGTTTAGCTAAATTTTTGCAAGATTCGTGATAATCGAAAATAAATTTACACATCAACTTTAGAATAAAATTCTAACTGGTTCAACTATGTTAAACTCGCAAAAAGGTTGTGTTTCAGTTTGAGCAGTTGGATGGCTATCTGAACAATGTACTTGTTAAACTTGTTTCCGGAAGTTTATGGAAAAAAAGCGCAGCTTCGACGACGGCTTTTTTTAAAGCTTTGGAAAAGCTCGGAACAGTAGCTTATCCTGTAAGTTTTCTGTACATGGCAAAATTATGTTCCAATCAATCAAAATTGTTATTTAGGTCATACTTACTGGTTTTGCGTCGACAGAATTTAAGGAGTTCATAAAGTCGGTATCTTCACAAAAAGATCTCCTTTACAAGTTTGTTTTTAAACATTTCCAGCTATCAATTTTTTAATAGACTTGCCGCTTTTTTGCCTCAGTTGAGTACACACCAGCAAAAGAAAATGAGTTCAACTATTCTGGACATCGTTAAAGATAGGTTAGTTTGTCTTTGCTTTCTTACTTTATTTATTTTAGGAAGAATTTGCGAAAATGAAAATCAGTCCAAAGAGAAACGAGAAATGACAAGATTGATTGTGGAAGTTTATTGTTAATTTTGCTTTTTTTTGTAAGTTGTTGTTATGACGAGTCAAATGAATTTGTTACACTTTCGGTCACGTATTTATAATTTTGAAAGTTGTCTTAATGTTTTGATTTTACGCTATTTCTAATAAATTTTATTTTGCGTCACTAGAGCTTTACTGGCGGAAATTGGGTGCATTGGATATTTACTAAATTAAAATTTGTAAACTATTTATTCGGAACGTTTAAGGAGCATTTTCGATTGGAGTAAAAGCTTAGACGCTGCTCCTTCCCTGCATGCGGAAATGATCTTTTCACGAGGCACTTTAATTTACGGTAAGTAATAGATTTTGGTTCAAATTGAAATTTGGGGCTTTAATGTACGTGGAATATTGAATCTCACGTTCAATGAAACCATTTTCTGAGGGGGGATTTGGTTTATAACGACCTCAACATCTGCCCAAAAGAGATTTCATGATTTTAGTCAAGAAATTGGCACTGCGGAACAATGACCTATTTGTAAGGACCATCAAAAGCAGTACTTCGTTTCAATGTGAGGGACTTTCGAACAGCGTAATTGGGCCGAAAAAGAAAAAACCTTTGTTCAAGGTAGGTATGTTATCTGATCACCGCCCAAAAGTTATTTGTTCTTTCAGTTGGCGCGGAATCCACGACGAACTATGACATATGATCACGATAAAATAGATTTTTACAGTGCGATGGCAGAATATAATTTGAAGTGAGCTATTTTTTATACCTTGCTTAAATCTTTGAACTTCAGAGAGACAGATTTGGCGGGGTTACCGTCTACTCCTCGATTAAGGCCAGCCACAGATGAGTTAGATCCATGTTCGACTGCGACTACTACTTCTCTTTATTCGCTCGACGATGTTTATCAGACAGCTTTGAAGGTAAAGCGCAGCTTTTTGTTTTGAGTATCTATGCGTAATTTAGGTACATGGCTCAAAAGAAGCTGTCAATGCTCAAAGAAGGCCTCTAATTCCTATTGAAAAAAAACTGACTGAAGCTGAGCTGATGCGGACTAGAATGAGAGTAGAAGCCGTTGGAAAAGTAACATTGCCCAAATTTTTTAACTCTTGTTTTCAGGAGCATCCAACAAGCGGAGCAGATCGGGTTGTGGCTATTGCTTTCATAATGAACACTTGTGATATGGTTCTCAAAGTATGACGATTTCAAAATTTGGCACAAGACGGGTTTAGTATATCGCAGCCTATTTAACCGGATCGAAATCAATTTTTGCTGAAGCTATCCATAGTACAATGGACACTTGCAATCAACTTATATTACTGTTGGGGATACATTACTCGAGGAAGCATCCTAATCCCCAATTCCCTTACGGATATGGTAAACGTTATTTTCTAGCATAAAATCACAACAGTTAAATTTTAGGTAATATGCGTTATGTCACTTCTTTAATTTCTGGTTGTGGGATTCTTGGCTTCGGATGTGGTCTTTCTATTTATCATGGAATCTCTGGGCTTCTTCATCCAGCAACGCTTGAAACGCTAACTTACGTATAAATATTCTGTCTGATGTATGGTTTAAGCAAGAAAGGTTTAGGCCTATTATGCCCTTGCCATGTCGTTTTGTTTTCAAGGTGCGGCTGCCATTACCGCTTACAGGGAGATTCGCATAAAGGCTAACAAGGCAGGAACGACGATTTCGAATTACGGTAATTAAACTTTCAAATAATTTTATTCCGCTTTTTAAAGTTCGTACAGCAGCAGATCCTTCCCTGAATGTTGTACTGCTAGAAGACACTGCTGCTGTTACAGGGGTAAAGGCATACATTTATTTTTATTTTATTACGCTTTTCGGTTCTTATTGCATTGACATCCATCACATTATCTTCGTATTTTGAATCGCCAATACCAGACGCATTGGGTTCTGTCGCTATTGGAGGTTTGCTTGGTTAGTTTTGGATCTTCATCTAAAACTTCATCAAGTTTTACATCTGATCTAGGTACGGTCGCCATGTTCATTATTCGGACCAACGCTCAACACCTTGTGGGGCGATCTCTTCCACAACGAATCACTCAAGATATTGTCGCTCGATTGAACAACGATCCAGCTATTAGGTAAAATCAGATATTGCTATTAAAATGTTCTGAAAACTGCCAGCATATATGACCAATGACATGTTTAGTTCTGTGCACGACGTAAAAGCAACCGCTCTCGGAGTAGAACAATCTCGTTTCAAAGCCGAGCTCGATTTCGACGGCCGAATGATTACGAGACGTTACATTGAGCAAGAGACCGACATTCACGATCTTTTTCAAGTAGCTGAAAAGCTTTCTACAGTAGCTTAAACTCGATTTAGCAAGTGAAATCGTTGGAATCAGAAGAGGAATTGCAAGAATGGATGGAGGATCACGGAGAGAAGATCATCGATCGATTGGGTGTTGAGATTGATAGGATCGAGAATGAGATCACGAGAAAGCATCCCGACATACAATATATCGATTTGGAGGCTCTTTAGCCATGGGTAAATTTAAACAAAATAAAAAAAATAGACGAACTCAACCACATTTAGGTCATAACTAGTGTCATCATGGAACTGCCAATGAAAAAAACCGGTTAGAATAGTTTTTTCGATCTCTAATTTTTTCGATCTCGATTTTCTTCTCTAATTTTGTACGAATTTATGCGAGTGGAATAAACTTGTATTTTTATTTTTGGTATCATTTTGTATAAACACGCACAAGTAAAGAGCGAACAGGATAACACTTTTTTGGTTCTTTATTCTGACCGCAAATCGCTAGGCAAAATTCTAAGCTAAATGGATCTTTTAAGATTTTGGTCAGATGTTGGTAATTGTGTAAATATTGCTCAAAGATTAGCAGGACTTTTACCCCTTGTCATGGATGGACGATAAAAGACCGAACAAAATGATACGATTTGCAAATACCTACTTGCTACAGTGGATCTCGTTTAAACTGAAACATCAGTTAACGTGAGGAATCAAAACATACCAAAAAACGTGTTTAAAAGTGAAATTATTTCTTGACCTGAACCCCGCAGAAAACCTCTTAAAGAATCCATTTCATTTGGGCGACTACCTTAAATGTTTTCCAAAAAAACCCAAAAAACTTTCAGATCTTATTCCTGGATGTGCTTTTCCCGTTAGATGTGCAAAAGATCATCTTCGTCGACGCGGATCAAGTTGTGCGCTCGGATTTGATTGAGTTGATGAATTATGGGCTCGATGGGAACCCATATGGGTATGAATACTTGAAACTCCTGGAATTCCTGTCTTCTTTTAGATATGTTCCTTTCTGTGACTCGAGGCAATCGATGGAGGGATTCCGATTCTGGAAACAAGGCTATCGGAGGAACCACTTGGCAGGAAGAAAATATCACATTAGGTGAGGCTTTGATTGAATTTTTTTGGTTCAGAATTGTGAAATTACTAGCAACAACTTGTATTTAGTGCTTTGTACGTCGTGGATTTGCACAAGTTCCGCCAAATCGCCGCCGGTGATCGGCTACGCGGACAGTACCAAGGCCTCTCAGCTGATCCAAACAGCTTGTCGAACTTGGATCAAGACCTGCCCAACAACATGATCCATCAGGTTTCACAAAATGATAATGATCGAAGAAAAATGGAAAATTTTTAGGTACGAATCAAATCACTTCCACAAGAATGGCTTTGGTGTGAGACATGGTGTGATGACGAGAGCAAGGGGTCGGCAAAGACCATCGATTTGGTACCACAATTGAGTTGAATAAATTAACTGATACTCTGCAAAGGTACTGGAAAGTGACTAATTATTTCTTTTCAGTGCAACAATCCCCAAACAAAAGAGCCAAAACTCGAGTCGGCGCAGCGAATCATCCCTGAATGGCGTGATTACGATCGAGAGATTAAAGAGGTAAATGGCAGTAGCTTTGAAATAGACATAAGCAATTTGCGGCAAAAGCACTGTAATTAGACTTAATTTTGAGCAATATAGCCCCAGATCACCAGTAATACATTTTAGAACAGGTGCATGATCAATTAAGCTATTAGACTCACTAGCTCTCAAAAACCAAAAATGTTAATACCAGAAGCTCTGGTACATCTACAATCTGTTTTTATCCCAAGTTAGGCAAGTTTTTACTGTAAAAAGGTGTCTAGTTATCACTTTCTTTCTTTCTCTTCCCCCCTAGTGAGATAATACCGGATAGCATAGTGGTTTAGAGCATCTCCCCGGGAAGAAAAAAGGTCGGGGGTTTAATCCCCTCTCCGAAACCTTTGCGACTCTTTCCTTTACTTTATTACAGTGGCAGTTTACTATAGCATATTAGATTAAGTATGTGATGGCCAGAAGCACCCTGAATCTATTCTACATGCTGTAATATAGTTTGACTGAAGCTTAAAAAATTCATTCTCCTTTTCCAGGTGATTTCCCGAAGACGTGAAGGACTTGAAGCGAAATCCGCAAAAGTCGATGACCATACCGAGCTGTGATTTTTGAGTATTTGTTTCTTGTTTCTGTTGTTATTTTATTACTTAGGGTTTTGGAAACAACTCCTGTTCTACCCTTTTATGAACTGATGCAATCATCATCGGTTATTCGGGTTCTTTTCTTTTACGTATAGGGTTTTGTGATTTTCTCATCTCATGGACGATTTGTGTAGTTAATTTAATAAATTATTCGTGTAATCAAGTAAGATATTATATTAGTTATTGCACAAAAGCTTTCGTTAAAGTTTTTTGCACCTTAAAAAAGTATCGAGATTCGAGCATCAAACGGCATCAAACTATACCATTCCTATTGACCTAGAGCCATTCCTTCTTTAAAAGATACCCATTTTAGACAAATTACCTTAACCAAGCCGCTAGTTTACATCCAATCAGCTCAGCTTTCGTATCACTCAACGAGGAATCACAAGGCTCAGCGAATGATGTCGAAACTGAGCTGAATGCATGTAAACTGGCAAGCAGATTACGGCAGCGAGTTTTTACGGTAACAGTTTACACAATTTCAAAAGTTTACTCAATTCACCTATACCGGGTGCTAGCGAATATATACGATGTACCCTCATATTTTCAGCCATAGTAGCCATTTCAGACTCCAAGATCTCTGATATAATCCTCTTTGCCAACTCTGTTTAATACCGTCGAATTGATTTTCAGAGGGAAAATTCTTGCACGTTTAGCTGAATCTCTTTTTGCCGAAGATGCTCAGCTAACCGGCAAAATACTCATTTGCCAATGGCTATAAAATTTGAACGTGCCGCCATTTTCGCACTTTCTTTGCCTGTTTTCAAGCAAAAATTTGAACGTTTTTTGTTTTGTTTTTGCTTTTTAACTCCGAATGTATGTTTGCCAATGAGTATAAAATTTAAACGTGCCGTCATTTTTGCAGGCTGGAAAGGAAGTCCTTGCATTTTCCTGAATTTTTTTTCGTCGTTCTGTTTAAAAAAAGCACAATGCGCCGATTGACTTAAGATTTACTTCATTAGAAAGAACAATTATTAGCTTTGAAGAAACCCCTTTTGCTATCAATAAAAAAAGATAATAGCATAAAAACAGGTAGATAGCCAAAATTTCGAAACAATCGATCCCATCATTCTCTTTCTACAAGCTTTCATGTGATTTTTCGAAAAATGAGCCTTTGTCTTTAATTTCGCCGTAAACTTCGCTCAAATTTGCGTAAAAAGATGCAAAAATAAACAATAAGCATTTTTTTATTTAAAGGACTTCTAAAGTCAATCGGCGCATTGTGCATTTTTAAACAGAACTACGAAAGGAATTCCGAGGACTTTCTTTCCAACCTAATATTTTCAAGCAAAAACTTTAACGTTTTTTGTTAAGCGTTTTGGTAGGTTGGAGTTGAGATGTCTCAAGGACATTCGTATCATGATGGATCACCTATCTAGGGATATTTTTATTATGATTGATAGGCTGTCTAGAGGGATCTAGCGACTATTTAGAATTTTGTCTAGACGCTCTTGATTCTAATTGTCTACTTCTTATTGCGAAATATAATTGTTTTCTGATTTACAGGTAGAATGCTGTCGAGCCAAGTGCCGTTTGAAATGCGAAAGCTGACGTCTTTCCCAATGGAAAAGCTATGCTACGACCTAAAGCTGAAGATGTTCGAGGAAATCCAGCCGAATGATGCGATCGAATTGGCCAAGGTGAATGAAGGTTTTCGATCGATCCTACTGCGGACACCCTGGATAGTTTGTGGGCATCACGTATCATCAATCCACTGTTCCGAAACAAGTATCCAAATCGATAGATTCGATACATACACAAAACAGTGGATTGATTACCATCATGTATTGGCCAAACGAATCCATTCGTGCGACTTATTGTCGATGTACTACGCCGGGAAATTCTGGGACGAACGCTTGTCGAGCCTGAATCAATTGAAATCTGTGAAACGTTTAATTCTCTCTGCGAGATCAAACGAGTTTTTGCTGAGATTTTTTGAGAATTTCCGCCCGGTGATTAAGGGAAGTCTCTGGATACTCCACTTGGGGACTTTGGGTCAAAACTTCGCCCGGAGAGACCTCAGAGAAGGCCAAGTGATCAGCGAGCGTTTTGAGAATTTCGTGGCAAATCAGGTGAATGGCTGCCTCTACTTTTGTTTTGAGTCCGCTGCTGAGTTTTACTTCTACAACGATGCTTTAGCCAAGACGTCGGTAGAACTCATCGTGGCGGGGGCTACCTCCTGGGAAAGGGATATTTTCCATATGTTCCATTCAATCTTGCAATCAATCGTTGAAAAGGGAATTCCAAGCAAGAATTCGCAGGCAACCTTTTGTCTTGGCTGCGGGCGTGCTCTTGATGTTCGGACTGATGCCCAAAACTTTGATTTTCTTTTGCAATTCCCTGGAATGAAACGAATCGAAGGGAAAAATCATCCAGAAATCATCAAAATGGCGAAGGAACGCACGGAAAAAGACGGGGCACATTTTGATTACACGGACGCTCGATTTTTTCGACGAAATATTGACTCAAGCAGGGATTGTGTTTACATTCTTTTCATTGTTAGTCAACATTTTTTCGCCTTGAACGTTAAGCCATCATCGGAAATCGTTGAGTTTTGAGAGCTTTTATCGGGTTTTATACAGTTTGAGTGGTTCTATTGTTTCCTTTTACCTTCTGCCGCTCTTTTTCTATTTTAGATCTGGTCGTGTCCGATTCCCCTGATGCCCGCATAGAGCTGAAGCGGTTGGAGCCTCTTCCTGGATCTGACCATTTTGGGATCACGTTCAAAGTTGGAGGCCTACAATTGTCGACTCCTCCACGGAAAGGTTGTATGCATTTTGAATTTAATTCCGACCAAGCGGCCCCTCCCCTCCTTTAAAGGATGCCTTGTCAGATCTTGATATGATTGGATCTGTAAACTCAATCTGTAAACTTTACTTGGCAGGTTGGGATTTTACACTGGGGGTTTTTGATAATGCTGAATCAAATGGTGAAGTTTTCAAACTATGATTTCTTGCTATTTTGCTTTGCAAAGAATGCAACAATAAATTTAATAACAACAATAAAACGATGGCAATAACACATTTAAAGCAAAGAATATTTTTGGCAACTACATCCCAGAAGTTGCCATCGTTTTATTGTTGTTATTAAATTTATTGTTGCATTCTTGTAAAAGCAAAATAACAAGTATTCATAGTTTGGAAGTTTCACCAATCAGCATCACCGAAATCCCTAGTGTAAAATATCAACATGCCAAGACAAGTTTACGGATTGTCTTCTCCCCCTCAACTAACTTACAGAAAGTATTTCAAACCCCCGGTGTAAAATCTCAACATCCTAAAATCCTAAAAGCTATTTATTTTCCGAAAACTGACACTTACAGAAAGTGCTTCATCACTTACCTTAGACCCGTTCTAGAATATGCATCCATAGTTTGGTCTCCACCATACATAGGTTGATGTCTCTCGTCTAGAAAAAATCCAGGAGAGATACAGTGCGCGTCAAAATGATAGGTCCACCCGATTTCTCAAAAACTATGAAGCTAAATCAAAATTCAGATTTGCACATGGATTTTAACTTGATTTTTGATAAATATCCAAAAATTTTACCTTTCCGAATTCGCAAACTCCAGCTACACAAATAGGCTCGAAATTTTTGATCTTAAAACCCTTAGACACCGCCGCTTGGTCACGGATTTAATAGAATATTTCAAAATTGTAAAGGGCAAGCAATCTATCCTTTTTTCGAGACTCATTCAAAGTTGATCCCACGGTTATTCAAGCAGGGGTTCTTTCGTTTTAGAAATTTCAATCACCTCCGCTAATCTTGTGTATAACTCTTTTCCAATAAGAACTGCCAGGATTTGAAATCTACTCCTCAGAATTTTGACAGAGTCCGATGGTCTCGAACCCTTTAAATTAGCGGTAGATGCTCTTGACCTTGCAGTTCTAGTTGATGCTAGACTTTATCTGTGCTAACAAATTATTGCTTATATTATATCATGTTGCTCTGTATAGGTCTGTTTCATTTTTGTGGATATGAATTCATGTGTTTGCAATTTTTCTCTGCACCTTTGCGCATTTTATTTCAGTATCTGAATAAAGTATTTATATATGATTGATCCATTTTCGATATTCCCTGAAATTTCAATCATCATCTATTCGAGTTAAAAAATAAACCTTAAAAATACAGATGCTAATAAAAAGTGAAATAAAAACAAAAATATAGCAAAAATAAGTTAAAGGATGGGGTACACATCGATCGGAGTTCGGATGAATTACCGCGTTTTCTTCACTCCTTGTTATCTTGGGTCCTCTTGGTGAGGCGGACAGTCTGCCAGTTTGCTTAGTTTCATTAGATGTACGAGGTTTCCAATAGGATTCACCAATTATCTACGAGAATGAAGTTGTTACTGTTGTTTAACTGAGTCGAGCCTAGTCTAAGTGACAGAGTCCTGGGTTTGTTCCTCTGAATACTTTAGCTAGCTTTACCGAGATAAGATAAGCAAATTTTAGCCTGAATTATGAAATTGTGGGGCGCACACGGTCTAGAATTATTATAGGCAAATTTGTTAGAAAGATTCCCATAAATCCCTAGATTCGCAAGAAAAAGGCGAAAAATTTGCTTGTTGTTTGGTTCTTGCTATGGCTGCTTGTTAGTAGATGGTTATTGATTGCTGGTGGGCAATTCTGACTCAGCGCCTTCATCATCCTAAAACAACCTTTTCGAAAAAAAACGAACATGAGCAAACCAGAAACAAACAAGCAAATGGATGATGAATGGAAAATTCGCCCCTCCACGGGTTTCTAAAAAGTGTCCCGCTTTCTGCACCACCGTAATCTTGCCTCCATTTTTATCCAATCTATTCACACTACTAAGAGCTCCAGTGTGAAAGCGAAATTTCAAACGTAAACTCATTTCTTTTGCTGTCTGTATAGTTGACTTTGTTGAAAATAAAGCCTTATTAGGAGTACTATAGCTGGGACAAGGATAAAATATAAGCTATCTTGATATCGGTATTCAAGCAATACACTTCCGCTGCGACAGAAATGTCTGGGGACAGAAACAGTAGCGGACAATAACTTAGCAACTTGTGTATTTTGTGCATATCTTTTTTCTTATGATTTTTTTGACAGTCTGAATGCGGAATCTGAATTTCAACTCAGAATCGCAAAAAAGTTCCTCCCCAAAAAGTTGAAAAATGGTATATTTTTCGATCGAGTTTTTACAGCACTCAAATTTGTTAAAAACCCTGAGTAAAAAGCTAAAAAGGTGTAAAAAAGTTCAAATGTTATTTTTGTTTTTGACTTTATGTCAAAAAAATCATAAGAAAAAAGATATGCACAAAATACACAAGTTGCTAAGTTATTGTCCGCTACTGTTTCTGTCCCCAGATATTTCTGTCGCAGCGGAAGTGTATTGCTTGAATACTGATATCAAGATAGCTTATATTTTATCCTTGTCCCAGCTATAGTACTCCTAATAAGGTTTTATTTTCAACAAAGTCAACTATACAGACAGCAAAAGAAATGAGTTTACGAAGAGAAGACAAGTTGCTAAGTTATTGTCCGCTACTGTATGTAGGCGGAGTCCGATCGAGAAAAATATTCGATCTGTAAATCCATCGAATGGCTCCGAAAATTGCAAAGGACCTCTTCACTTTTATTTACAGCAATTTACAGCAAAAACTACTCATCGGGAAATTTGATAGATAACAATGATACGAACACCGTATTGCCTCTAATAAGCGCCGCACTAAACTGATGAAGCCCCGCCCACTCACCTGAGAGACAAAAAGTTGCACCAAATTGCGGGTTTTTACTTAAAAGTCCTGAAACTTTGTCAGAATGTGCATATTCCATAGGCGCACCTATAGAAACAAACCAAATAGGATTTGCTTTACCCGTTGCTGAGAAAGCTCAAAAACATTGAAAATAAATTTTATAAGTAAGTAATTTTTTGGGCAGGGCTTCATCAGTTTAGTGCGGCGCTTATTAGAGGCAATACGGTATTTTGATCTCACCAAACAAATCAATTTCAGATATCGCAATAACAAAAACAAACTTCCGACCAACTTATGATGATGATGGTTTATGATGATGGTTTACTTGAAGCGGCAATCGTTTCATCCAAAGCATCGAAAATTTCCTGTTATACACACCAAAGTCGCCATCGATTTGAACGACATCCTGAAATTAATACTGTGCGTGAAATTAACACTAACACACGGTGCGGCAAAATTATTGCAACCGCCTCAGAGCATCAATGTTAGTTTCAACATTGATGCTCTGAGGCGATGGACGACTATCTTGACATACTGAAGAAAGATCTTCTTTCGTGAGCAAAAATCACTTTGGCAACAGGATCTGGGGTTTTATGCAGATGCTTATGCTCACAAGGCTCGAGTGGTTCAGAATGCACCAGCAGCATTTTCCCGATTTGGCCACCTTCAAGTCCCGATCCTAATCCGACAGTTTTCAGTGTTTGGCATGTTCTTGTGGCAAAAACGTGCTTAAGACCGATTCCAGTGATAACCAAGTCCAACTTCTTGAAGAGACATTCTTTTCCATAGCCAAATGTGGCACCTGGAAATGAAAGTTAGACTAGAAAGCGGTTGATATTCCCACCCAATAATCCCAAGATTGGTGTTTGGTTGGCCGGTTCATCAAGCATCAAAAATGTTGGCTTAAGAAAGGGCGCTCGAGCTAAATTTAGTATATTCATTGGAGACATTTGAGGAAAAGTCTAATCATAAAGCAAAAATTACAAGGGAAATACACATTCGCCAACCTCCAAAAAAGTCTTGTCTTATTGCCTAAATTAGTATTTGAAAGCTGTATATTCTTGTCGCTCACCTTTTCTTGCAAATCCTTTCAAAAACAGAAACCAGCTAAAATTCGTCGAGCTCGGGGCTCATTTGCATCGGCCTTTATGTCGCGCAACTCTTCTCCAATCTAAAAATATGAAATAAAACTTATTGTAAAACAAAAGCTTGCCTCTTTCAACCGTCCATTTCCACTGACACCTCCATCTTCTAATTTCTTCGTCATTTTCTCTTGCTCCTGCAAAAGAACGTTTCTCTTTTTGGCCGAAAGCAAAACGGCAAAGAAAACTCTACAAGAAGCCCCGCCTTTTTACGATCAGCAATCATGTAATCCTGATTTGATTCAAATTTTATTCAATTTTATTCTGCCCTTTATAATGAGGGCCACAAGACACGACAAGAAAGAAATAGACACGAGTAGACCAATCAAAAAAATAGACGAGGACACATGTTCACAAAAAAAGCGTTGATTTACTGATCGCGTTTATGAATGATAATGATCGATGGCAGGTAAGGCGCTAGTCTGAAAGATTTAGATTTTCCAGGAAAATTCCACAAACACTTACTTTGAGTCCTGTGCTGGGTGATAGGCCCATAATCATGGCCTTTGTTCTACGCATGCCTAGCCATATAGTCTGCCTAGAAATAAAAACATTTTATCAAAATTAATAAAAAACTCAACAATTTCATTTCCCGGAATACCGCTGTGGGATCGACACCAGCTCACGGTTACACCTGGCATCTGATTCAAAAGCAAATAAAGGCTCATAAGTCTAAAGCGAAATTTATAGATAAATCAACAGTGAATCAACAAACGTGTATGGATAGGGGTAGCGAGTTGGGGCCCCCAGGAGGGAAGTCAACGGATTCTGACGAAGATTGTTGTATGATTGATAGATAAGGTCGAGGCCATCGGTCGTGTGTTGACTATCTGTGAATACGCGAACAGGCTGGCCCCTGAAAATTATTTCCCCTTTATTCATTCCTATGCAAAATTTTAATAACGTTTGCCATTAATTCCCTAACTTTTCTTTTCGCGTTGAGAAATGCTCATAACTAACATTTATCGTGCCAAATTTGAAAAAACTCACGAATAAAGCAGCGGACCCGAGAACCGCAGCCGCAGCAGGGCATCATAGATGGCAATGATTTCGACGAAATCCGATCGGCTTTCTTGCAGCGAGTTCTGCCAAGTAAGTACATCTTTCGGATCGATGTGAAGTTCTCGCAAGAGGAAGTTCGGCTGGTACAGGTACAGTCGGCGGGAACTAAAATGCAAAATATCAATCTCAGGCATACAAAAACATACTGCGTCAGCGGATGACCGGTGCCGAAGTACGCCGCAATAGCATCGTATTGAGAAGGTGTATCGCGGCACGACGCGTCGGTATATATCTAAACACAATCATTCAAGCCAGCATCAGTGTACTCACAACAACCGTGGTGAAATAGAGATCAGTGAGCGTGGATAAGTGTTCACGCACTATATCCGCCCCGCAGTCGAGGCAAACCTAAAAAAATAAAATAGACCATTGAAAGAGAGAAATAAAATATTGAATAAAAAGCTGCCTTCTTTTTTGTCTCATAGTGCGGCCACGACGGATAATTGGTTCTGCAGACACGGCACGTTGGTGGTGGTGGTGGTGCTCCGGCTGCGGCATACACCCGCGGAGCTGCGGCATACACCCGCAGAGCTTCGGCTTCGTGAGGCTCCGGCTCCCCTGCTTCGCAAGTTCCAGAGGGATCTGAAAAAAAGAATTTATGGAATACCGTATTTCCTCTAATAGTGCCCCATGGCATAGGAGCGTCGCGTGCTTTTGCCTGTGGCTTGCGTGATTTTGAGTTTTTCGTTTTGCGCTTCAATATTATGTCGTTTCTCATTGAGAGCTTCAAAATGAGTGGTCTGCCAATTTTTTAACTCGATTCGGTGCCGATAAACACCCTTTTAGCCACTTAAAGCCTGAACAAAAGTTAGACTACGAGACGCTCTTATGTCATGGGGCTCTATCAGAGGAAATAAGGTATACTTGCGGACTGTCCCCTTTGCCCACTCAGCTGAAGATCTTCTAGTTTCGTGGAGAATCTCAAACAAAGGGGCAGCTACGAAAAAAATCTACGCAGAAAAGGGGCGAAGCTTCGTAGCTTTCGTAGCTGCTTCATTTGTTTGAATTTCCCCACAAAATTAAAAGAGTCCAGAAAAAAGGTTTACGAAATTTAAAGTGGCGCTACTAGCCGTTGGCAAGAAAAAACAATGAAATTAAATCAAAGAAAAAGACAACAGACCACGAACACGACGACTCCGGCAACAAAGCCAACGAAAAAAGGCCAAGAGCCACGTAAACATTTGGAAGAAATGATTAAAAGTTTGTTTTAGCGACTAATGAAGGCAGGAATAAATGCTAATTTACGTAGAAATAAATGCTAATTTCGGAAAAAAGACGTAATTTGAGAATAAATCCTAATAAATACATGCTAAGCCACCGTGAAAACGCTGGATGAGACCAAATCCAAAGTGGGTATACTACGGGATTTTGGAAAGTTTTTACCTCGAAACGGATATGACGTATGATATTATATGGCATTTCCGCTCAGGAGACAATTCCCGCGTTTAGCCACTATTTAGGAACCGAACTCGGCATTTGAAAGTTTTTTCCTCTGAACGGACATGACGTATGATGCATGGCCTCAACCGTGTAGCCCATCTACGGGGCAAAAATCTTCTCTATACAGTCGATTTTTGCTCAAGGGGGTCTCATTTTTTAGATTGTTATGTGAACAAGATTCACTGTTACATGTAGGTTCAGAAAAACGTATAATTTTCATTGATCTTTCTTATCTAGCACTTTTACCGTTGCTTCTTTCTTTGATTGAATCTAATCATTTAACTTTTAACGTTTGTTTCATTTCAGGATTGGCTTGACTTGAACTACCTGGTGGACACGAAAATGGTGGGACTTTTGGTTTTTGTTTGTTTCTTTAAGTTAGAAAAAACCTAATAAATGGTTTTGTTAAATTGCCTTGAGATATAAAAGTTACTTGATAAACTTGCCATTTTGTCTAAATGTTTTTGTTTAGAGCTAGCAACAGTTGGATTGTGCATTGGACTTGATGAGACATCTTCCACCGCAACAATGCGAGAAGAATCTCAACGGTTTTTTAAAATTTTGTCATCTTGTAACAAAGCTTGCCTCGATTTAATCGACTTGTGCTATCGTTGATGGATGATCTTCTTTTAATGGTTTGTTTTGTTTTTCCGTTGAATGTTTTGGGAGAGGGTTACATATATGCACAACTTTATGTGTTTTTTTTTCGTTAATGTTGTTGTCGTTTTATAGAAAGTATAGAGAAAGATGGAAAAATCCTTGGCCAAACATTTGAGATCCCTAGCGATGTTGATGCCCTTAAGCAAACATTTATCGATTATATCATAGCAAATCGTAAATTTTTCTTTTGATTGTTTTTTCTCTTTTTATACAGTATGTTTTGCATGTAGCGTAGCTTGTTATCAACTTTTTCGAAAAAATAGGTACATTTTATGTCCTTGAATTTTTCCTTTTCATTTTCTTTCCCTTAGAACTCATAAGACATTAATTTGACACTACCTAGGTAAAGTACCAAGGTTTTTGGTCCTCTAGTTGGATTCTATGCTGATGTAATGCTGCTTTTTTAGATTTCAACTGGCTAATTGGATCAAATATGGAAAATGGGAGGAATCAATTGGAGAGCTTCAACGAGCCCGTTCCGTTTTTGAGAGAGCACTCGATGTCGACCATAGATCGATCACGATTTGGCTTCAGTATGCGGAAATGGAGATGAGGTAAGATTTAGCATGATAATGTTTTTAATATTCTGTTTCAGAACAAAACAGTTGAATCATGCTCGGAACATCTTTGATCGTTGTATTACCATCTTGCCTCGTGTCATGCAATTTTGGTTGAAGTATACCTATATGGAGGAATTGGTTGGAAATGTTCCCGGAGCAAGACAGGTGAATTAAATCTTAATACTTTTTAAACTTAAACACAAATTTAGGTCTTTGAACGATGGATGGAGTGGGAACCCACCGAACAGGCCTGGAACACCTATATCAACTTTGAATTACGATACAAAGAGATCGATCGTGCTAGGTATTTTTGTTTAATAATTTAAAAATCATTACTCTCAGGTCAATCTATCAGCGATTTCTCCATGTACATGGAACTGATCCAAAAAATTGGATCAAGTATGCCCGTTTTGAAGAACGCCATGGTTTTTACGGAAACTCGAGAGCGGTAAGGCGGGTTTTAAATAGTCAAAGTTCCTTTTCCTAGGCCTATGAGCGTGCCATGGAATATTTTGGTGAAGACAACATTGACGAACATCTACTCGTTTCTTTTGCCTTATTTGAGGAACGGCAAAAAGAACACGAAAGGGCTCGAATTATTTACAAGTAATCTATTAGCCAAATTATTATAGTTAGCCTAAATTTTTCATTTAGGCATGGGTTAGACCGACTTCCAGCAGAGAAACAAAAAGAAATATACAAATACTACACTCAGCATGAGAAGAAATTTGGAGAGCGACGAGGAATTGAGGACGTTATCTTGAGCAAACGCAAAGCTCAATATGAAGAGGTATTTTAGATTTAATATGCTAGAAATTTCATTAATACCTATTTTAGCAAGTGCAAGAAAATGGCTATAATTATGATGCTTGGTTCGATTATCTTCGACTTTTGGAGAATGAAGGAGCTGATAGGGAAACTGTTAGTTTTTTCTTGTTGTATGAACAGCCTTCTTCTTTAGGTTGAAGACGCATACGAGCAGGCAATTGCAAATCTTCCTCCTAGTAACGTTTGCTCTTGTTCAATGACATTATTGGACATTTTTAGGAAAAAGGCCATTGGAGACGATACATACATCTTTGAATCAATTATGCTCTGTTGTCTTTTTGTAATTCCATTTTGCATGTCTGAAAAAAATTTTTAGATTACGCCTGTGGCGCGCCTAGTGAGATTTTATCGAAACCAGTGACATCCGTTGGCTCTCTTTTCTTTTCGATTTTGGGTGGCTTTAAAGTTCTTTTTGCAATCCCCTTTCCCACCGAGCTCCTCCTTAGCGTGTCACATTTTCTTATTTTGACTCTCTGAACGTTAACGTTATTTTGCAAGAAATTGTCAAACAAATGCTGGCAAGAGTGAAATGGACTCGTTAAGTCTCTTTAACGAGACTTTAACGAGATTCATTGAGGGGTTAAATGAGGTAACTAGGCTAATCTAAAACTAAATGCATAGGCTGTTTATTTTAATGGTGAAAAATATCCAAAAATTTTACCTTTCCGAATTCGCAAACTCCAGCTACACAAATAGGCTCGAAATTTTTGATCTTAAAACCCTTAGACACCGCCGCTTGGTCACGGATTTAATAGAATATTTCAAAATTGTAAAGTTATTTTATTACTTAGGGTTTTGGAAACAACTCCTGTTCTACCCTTTTATGAACTGATGCAATCATCATCGGTTATTCGGGTTCTTTTCTTTTACGTATAGGGTTTTGTGATTTTCTCATCTCATGGACGATTTGTGTAGTTAATTTAATAAATTATTCGTGTAATCAAGTAAGATATTATATTAGTTATTGCACAAAAGCTTTCGTTAAAGTTTTTTGCACCTTAAAAAAAGTATCGAGATTCGAGCATCAAACGGCATCAAAAAGCATCAAACTATACCATTCCTATTGACCTAGAGCCATTCCTTCTTTAAAAGATACCCATTTTAGACAAATTACCTTAACCAAGCCGCTAGTTTACATCCAATCAGCTCAGCTTTCGTATCACTCAACGAGGAATCACAAGGCTCAGCGAATGATGTCGAAACTGAGCTGAATGCATGTAAACTGGCAAGCAGATTACGGCAGCGAGTTTTTACGGTAACAGTTTACACAATTTCAAAAGTTTACTCAATTCACCTATACCGGGTGCTAGCGAATATATACGACTGTACCCTCATATTTTCAGCCATAGTAGCCATTTCAGACTCCAAGATCTCTGATATAATCCTCTTTGCCAACTCTGTTTAATACCGTCGAATTGATTTTCAGAGGGAAAATTCTTGCACGTTTAGCTGAATCTCTTTTTGCCGAAGATGCTCAGCTAACCGGCAAAATACTCATTTGCCAATGGCTATAAAATTTGAACGTGCCGCCATTTTCGCACTTTCTTTGCCTGTTTTCAAGCAAAAATTTGAACGTTTTTTGTTTTGTTTTTGCTTTTTAACTCCGAATGTATGTTTGCCAATGAGTATAAAATTTAAACGTGCCGTCATTTTTGCAGGCTGGAAAGGAAGTCCTTGAATTTTCCTGAATTTTTTTTCGTCGTTCTGTTTAAAAAAAGCACAATGCGCCGATTGACTTAAGATTTACTTCATTAGAAAGAACAATTATTAGCTTTGAAGAAACCCCTTTTGCTATCAATAAAAAAAGATAATAGCATAAAAACAGGTAGATAGCCAAAATTTCGAAACAATCGATCCCATCATTCTCTTTATACAAGCTTTCATGTGATTTTTCGAAAAATGAGCCTTTGTCTTTAATTTCGCCGTAAACTTCGCTCAAATTTGCGTAAAAAGATGCAAAAATAAACAATAAGCATTTTTTTATTTAAAGGACTTCTAAAGTCAATCGGCGCATTGTGCATTTTTAAACAGAACTACGAAAGGAATTCCGAGGACTTTCTTTCCAACCTAATATTTTCAAGCAAAAACTTTAACGTTTTTTGTTAAGCGTTTTGGTAGGTTGGAGTTGAGATGTCTCAAGGACATTCGTATCATGATGGATCACCTATCTAGGGATATTTTTATTATGATTGATAGGCTGTCTAGAGGGATCTAGCGACTATTTAGAATTTTGTCTAGACGCTCTTGATTCTAATTGTCTACTTCTTATTGCGAAATATAATTGTTTTCTGATTTACAGGTAGAATGCTGTCGAGCCAAGTGCCGTTTGAAATGCGAAAGCTGACGTCTTTCCCAATGGAAAAGCTATGCTACGACCTAAAGCTGAAGATGTTCGAGGAAATCCAGCCGAATGATGCGATCGAATTGGCCAAGGTGAATGAAGGTTTTCGATCGATCCTACTGCGGACACCCTGGATAGTTTGTGGGCATCACGTATCATCAATCGAATGTTCCGAAACAAGGATCCAAATCAATAGATTCGATACATACACAAGACAGTGGATTGATTACCATCATGTATTGGCCAAACGAATCCATTCGTGCGACTTATTGTCGGTGTTCTACGCCGGGAAATTCTGGGACGAACGCTTGTCGAGCCTGAATCAATTGAAATCTGTGAAACGTTTAATTCTCTCTGCGAGATCAAACGAGTTTTTGCTGAGATTTTTTGAGAATTTCCGCCCGGTGATTAAGGGAAGTCTCTGGATACTCCACTTGGGGACTTTGCCTCAAGACTTCGCCCGGGGAGACCTCAGAGAAGGCCAAGTGATCAGCGAGCGTTTTGAGAATTTCGTGGCAAATCAGGTGAATGGCTGCCTCTACTTTTGTTTTGAGTCCGCTGCTGAGTTTTACTTCTACAACGATGCTTTAGCCAAGACGTCGGTAGAACTCATCGTGGCGGGGGCTACCTCCTGGGAAAGGGATATTTTCCATATGTTCCATTCAATCTTGCAATCAATCGTTGAAAAGGGAATTCCAAGCAAGAATTCGCAGGCAACCTTTTGTCTTGGCTGCGGGCGTGCTCTTGATGTTCGGACTGATGCCCAAAACTTTGATTTTCTTTTGCAATTCCCTGGAATGAAACGAATCGAAGGGAAAAATCATCCAGAAATCATCAAAATGGCGAAGGAACGCACGGAAAAAGACGGGGCACATTTTGATTACACGGACGCTCGATTTTTTCGACGAAATATTGACTCAAGCAGGGATTGTGTTTACATTCTTTTCATTGGTCACCATTTTTTCGCCTTGAACGTTAAGCCATCATCGGAAATCGTTGAGTTTTGAGAGCTTTTATCGGGTTTTATACAGTTTGAGTGGTTCTATTGTTTCCTTTACCTTCTGCCGCTCTTTTTCTATTTTAGATCTGGTCGTGTCCGATTCCCCTGATGCCCGCATAGAGCTGAAGCGGTTGGAGCCTCTTCCTGGATCTGACCATTTTGGGATCACGTTCAAAGTTGGAGGACTACAATTGTCGACTCCTCCACGGAAAGGTTGTATGCATTTTGAATTTAATTCCTAAAAGCTATTTATTTTCCGAAAACTGACACTTACAGAAAGTGCTTCATCACTTACCTTAGACCCGTTCTAGAATATGCATCCATAGTTTGGTCTCCACGATACATAGGTTGATGTCTCTCGTCTAGAAAAAATCCAGGAGAGATACAGTGCGCGTCAAAATGATAGGTCCACCCGATTTCTCAAAAACTATGAAGCTAAATCAAAATTCAGATTTGCACATGGATTTTAACTTGATTTTTGATAAATATCCAAAAATTTTACCTTGCCGAATTCGCAAACTCCAGCTACACAAATAGGCTCGAAATTTTTGATCTTAAAACCCTTAGACACCGCCGCTTGGTCACGGATTTAATAGAATATTTCAAAATTGTAAAGGGCAAGCAATCTATCCTTTTTTCGAGACTCATTCAAAGTTGATCCCACGGTTATTCAAGCAGGGGTTCTTTCGTTTTAGAAATTTCAATCACCTCCGCTAATCTTGTGTATAACTCTTTTCCAATAAGAACTGCCAGGATTTGAAATCTACTCCTCAGAATTTTGACAGAGTCCGATGGTCTCGAACCCTTTAAATTAGCGGTAGATGCTCTTGACCTTGCAGTTCTAGTTGATGCTAGACTTTATCTGTGCTAACAAATTATTGCTTATATTATATCATGTTGCTCTGTATAGGTCTGTTTCATTTTTGTGGATATGAATTCATGTGTTTGCAATTTTTCTCTGCACCTTTGCGCATTTTATTTCAGTATCTGAATAAAGTATTTATATATGATTGATCCATTTTCGATATTCCCTGAAATTTCAATCATCATCTATTCGAGTTAAAAAATAAACCTTAAAAATACAGATGCTAATAAAAAGTGAAATAAAAACAAAAATATAGCAAAAATAAGTTAAAGGATGGGGTACACATCGATCGGAGTTCGGATGAATTACCGCGTTTTCTTCACTCCTTGTTATCTTGGGTCCTCTTGGTGAGGCGGACAGTCTGCCAGTTTGCTTAAGTTCATCAGTTTAGTGCGGCGCTTATTAGGGGCAATACGAATCTCGTTTCAAAGCCGAGCTCGATTTCGACGGCCGAATGATTACGAGACGTTACATTGATCAAGAGACCGACATTCACGATCTTTTTCAAGTAGCTGAAAAGCTTTCTACAGTAGCTTAAACTCGATTTAGCAAGTGAAATCGTTGGAATCAGAAGAGGAATTGCAAGAATGGATGGAGGATCACGGAGAGAAGATCATCGATCAATTGGGTGTTGAGATTGATAGGATCGAGAATGAGATCACGAGAAAACATCCCGACATACAATATATCGATTTGGAGGCTCTTTAGCCTTGGGTAAATTTAAACCGAATAAAAAAATAGACGAACTCAACCACATTTAGGTCATAACTAGTGCCATCATGGAGCTGCCAATGAAAAAGAAAACCGGTTATAATAGTTTTTTCGATCTCTAATTTTTCGATCTCGATTTCTTCTCTTGCATTTTCTTCTCTCGATTTTGTACGAATTTATGCGAGTGGAATAAACTTGTATTTTTATTTTTGGTATCATTTTGTATAAACACGCACAAGTAAAGAGCGGACAGGATAACACTTTTTTGGTTCTTTATTCTGCCCCCAAATCGCTAGGCATAATTCTAAGCTAAATGGATCTTTTAAGATTTTGGTCGGATGTTTGTAATTGTGTAAATATTGCTCAAAGATTAGCAGGACTTTTACCCCTTGTCATGGATGGACGATAAAAGACCGAACAAAATGATACGATTTGCAAATCCTACTTACTACAGTGGATCTCGTTTAAACTGAAACATCAGTTAACGTAAGGAATTCAACCGAATCAACAACAATCTCAACTTAAGAGTCAATTTTTTTTTTGCAAAATGAATCGATCAACCGCAACGCAAACTTCTCCCCTATTGCTCTGTCTACTGAAGTGCAAGACTCGGTTTTTGAGAAGATTGGGACACTGGATGCTTTTGTGTGTCTCCGAGTGAATCGCGATCTTCATCACCTCATTTTTATCGTGTTTATGATAAACGCCGATTCACTTACTCTCGTTTTCAAAATCGATCTAAATCACAATCTTCTACCGTATCTACTTCTGATTGAGAACGTTACCCTCGATGACTATGCTCTGCAGCGGAGTTCCGCACAAAACCTTTTTTTTTGCCAAAATCTCCTCTTGTCGCTCATTCACGTTCATAGCCTAGCATGGAAAAAATAGAATAGAAAAAATAAGAAGAGGGCAAAAGACACGAATCTGTGACACCAAAGAAATGAGTGGGTTTAGCTAGCGCTCTGGGAATTTCAAATTGAAATTCATTGAATCAAAATTGTGTAAAAAAATGTGAAAACGGTTTTTTGCTTTGAAAACGGGACGTCCTAATAAGAATACATTCTTAATCGGAATTCTTTATCGACCAAATTCTTAATCGCATGTAACATATATACTTTATGAAACTTTATGTAACTCGAATAAACTTTATTAAGTAATAGAAAAGAACGTTAGAAAGTATGACATCAATAAAGCACGCAAAGAATTTGTATAGATAAAAAAAAAACATTTTAACACCAGTCATATTCTTGTAGCCCGATTTATTCAATCCCGATTTGATTAAGTGTATTTAATAGGTTGATGCATAAGTGTTTTTGTTCCTTTTCGTCTGCCGTTTCAAGCCAACAAATGCACCAATTAAACTACGGTTGATTTCGTTAGAAAAACCAATTATTTTTCTGCAAAATAACATTAAAACGGGTTTAAAAATATTTTATGCCTGGATTTTCTTGAGAGTATGAAGTCGGGTAGTCAAAAAGGGCTAACTCGATGATGCGGTTTAGACACCTTAGCTAAAGAAAACCTATCTTCGTGTCAATAGATAAAAGATAGAGAAAAAAAACGTTTGATATTTCGCCAAAATTTCAGAGAAATTCATTCAGCCAATTTTTCCGTAGAGTTTTTTATAGATTTTTACGAAAAAGGCGTTTTTCACTCTCGAATTTGCTTGAAAGTGAACCGAAATTCATTTAAAAAGATGCAAATTGAACAAAGAAACACTTTTTTTATAGAGCAAACTATAGATTAATTGGTGAATTTGTTACTTTTTAACAGAAGTACGAAAAAAACGAAAAGACTTATGCATCAACCTAATAGGATATGTGGTAAGTACCGTAATACCTGTAATAGTAGCCCCCTCCCCCGCCCCGTACAGTCGCGTAGTCTAATGCACAATTTTTGTAACGCTCGGCTCTTCGCGCTGTTTTGACGAAAAATGTGCGCTTAGAGATCAAAAGATAGAGCTTGAGGCAAAGAATTTTTTCGTACTAACAGTTTATTTTAGAAAAATTTAGGATGCGTCCAAAAAAAATTATTTACTTTAGCAACTACGCGACTGTACGTCATATTACAGGTGTTACGGTAGGTATCTTATTATTAGGGAGTGGGACAAATGCGACCTTTTTTTGCGCACCTTTTTTTCCGCACCTTGCCCATTAGCGCACCTTTTTTCGCGTTTTAAAAAGCTCTAAAAAGCTAATATTAACCAATTTCTATTCCGAAAGTTGTTTTTCTAGGTAATTTTAGGGCGTCGAATTCAAATTTTGACATAACAGAGCGTGTGGAACCAATTTGAAAGACAAAACGGCTAGATCAAATTACAGAAAATGTTGATTTGTCGATTTTTCTCTTTGAATAACTCCGTCCGTTTGTTTCCACAAGCTCTGAAATGCCAAAATCTCTATTCTACGCCCTCAAATTACCTAGAAAAACAACATTTGGAATAGAAATTGGTTAATATTAGCTTTTTAGAGCTTTTTTAAAACGCGAAAAAAGGTGCGCTAATGGGCAAGGTGCGCAAATGTCCGGGTGCGCAAAGAAAAGGTCGCATTTGTCCCACTCCCTATTATTAGTCTAATCATATAAAAACCTTCTAAGCTTGTAAATATTTTTAAATTTACTGTATTACAGTGAAAATTAAGTCTATTTTAGAGAATTTGCACTTTTTCTATGGATTTGTTTTCTTTTTCTTTTTCTTTTTCTTTCAAACGCTCTTTTTTGAAGTTGTGCATCCGAACTTTCATGATTGCCCACTAAAAAGTTTACATCTTTGTCTTTAACCTTATTGCATACTTTAACAATTCCTTTGATAGTTATCAAGAAGAAAAATAAGAGGAGTATAAAAGCCGTTCCATAACCGATTGATGGATCATATTCGGCGTGAAAATCTGCTTCAGATCGTGGTGGTTTTACCTGAAATTTTTGTCACTTTACAATTGGAATTACCGTATTTCCTCTAATAGTAGTGCACCATGAGCGTCGCCTAAATTCCTCGAAATCTCGAGAACCGCTTATCAGAACCTATCGATGTGGGGTCGGAAAATGTAGCTGACGATGACATCTAGTGGGGGATTAGAGTGTTGAGCTTCTGTGAAAGCTTGGAAACCGTAAAATAGGCATTAACTCGGCTCGGCCGGGGTGCACTACTATTAGAGAGAATACGGTAATTTCTTTTTTTTCTTTATCTATAAATAAAGATTCATTTCTTTTTTCTTTATCTTCTTTATCTTATAGCTGAATCTAGATCTTTAAAGCTTTCAAAGCAAATTGACAATCGGTTTATTCAAATTTCCGTTAACAAATCGTTATAATAAGTCCCATTTTATAAATAAAGATTACCGTATTCTCTCTAATAGTAGTGCACCATGAGCGTCGCCTAAATTCCTCGAAATCTCGAGAACCGCTTATCAGAACCTATCGATGTGGGATTGGAAAATGTAGCTAATGATGAGATCTAGTGGGGGATTTGAGTGTTGAGCTTCTGTGAAAGCTTGGAAACCGTAAAATAGCCACCAACTCGGCTCGCCGGGGTGCACTACTATTAGAGAAAATACGGTAACAGTTATTTTGATAAAATTCCTTGTTAAGTACAAAATCATTATCCATGAACATATGAAAAGATATCCTGAAAAGAAATCGGTACCCAACCATCATAAAGTCGTGCTTTGGTAGATCTTGATGAGTGTACATATTGACCACATTAAAACTCGAATCTAAACCCTTTTTTGTCTTTGCTTTTATTCTTTTTTGCATCAAAAAGACATGTTTCATGAGGAATTTCTGAAATTCCTTTGTCAAACATTGTCTGTTGGAATCGATACGGCTATAACGGGAGCCTCCTTTTTGCTGATAAGCTTGTTCAACCAAACGTTTCTACACGTTTCAAAGCCTCCCACTTGAAAACTATTTTTGATCTTTTTGTTTTTGGTTTTTATTCTTTTCCCTTTTTAATTTTAAGGAAATCTTTCTATTAAGGAAACGAAATTTTGGATAGAAAATGAAATGAAATAAAATAGGAATATTTCAATTATTTCATTTCCTCATTTCCAAATAGGAAATGAAATAAAAACTCTAATTTTCCAATTTTAACCCTAAATATTAGTGAGTATCATTATCTATGAACATATCAAAAAAAATATCCCCATTTTCTTTGATTTCTTTTGCAAATATTTCCAATAAAACTATCACCTATTAAAAAGAATTTCTAGACAAATGGGCAGTGGTGCCTCGTCACTCAACGAATTCGAAGTCGAGAAGTTGGCTCTCGAGAGTGGATGTGGGTTCTGGAATTTATAGATTTACGACAATTTAGAGAAAAATCGAGAAATAGAAGACTTGAGAAAAGTTTCTGAATCGAAAAAAAAACACCCATTCCAATTCCAATCCGGATTCTTTTGTTCTTAACTCGTTGAGACGGCAAAAGTCAACCAAAAACTAAAATCGGTTTGCGCATGATTGCTCGCCCGCAAATGGGAGAGGGCTTTTCTTTCATCGACGTTTCAGAGCACTCGGACTATGAAAAATCCCCTCTATCCAAAAGACATTCATTTAGCGAAGGGAGAAGAATGAAGGCACGGAAATTTGGGGTTTAAAATAATAAAACTAGAAAGATAAATGCTATTTTCAGAACGGAAATCAAAAAGAATTGAAGCAAAGAAAATTGGGTTTTAAAATAATAAAACTAGAAAGATAAATGCGGTTTTTAGAAGAGAAATTAAAAAGAATTGAAGCAATGAAATTTGGGGTTTAAAATAATAAAACTAGAAAGATAAATGCGGTTTTTAGAAGAGAAATTAAAAAGAATTGAAGCAATGAAAATTCGGTTTCAAAATAACTTCAAAATAAGGTTTACCTAGAAAGATAAATGCGATTTTCAGAAGAGAAATCAAAAAGAATAGAATAAATCCCTGCTAGACTTTCGAAGAAAAGCATAAGATTTGTTTTTGCAAAAAAAAGAAAAAACTAAACTTCAGTATCTCGTTCGGGGATCCTCACTTTGTATAAGCGATTCACCGCTTTGGCAAAGCATCGAGATCGCACCACCAATGAATATTTCATGACTGAGCAAGACTTTCTCGACATTCAGGTTAGAACATTTATCTCTTTTCCTTTTCCTATCCCTTTTCTAAGTGATTCATTCAAGTAATAACAAGTAATAAGACTTAAGCAAATAAAATAAAAAATAAGAAAAGAAGTGGGAATTTTTTAAAAACAACAATCGGCAATGTTCTTTTCCAATTTCATATTATCACTGCCTCGAGAATTATGGTTGTCTTTACGAAAAAAAAATGTGTTGTTATAGGAACTGCAATTGAACCCTCTGGGGCGCCGAATCATTGACGCCTTTTTCGCTGACGCTGAGTAAGTTGTCTCGAATTAAAATTTAGAAATAAAAAAATAAAATTTATAAAGTAATTCATAAACTATTAGCTTTTTTTTGAGAATAAATAGAAGAAAATGAATTGAAGAACGGAGAAAGAGAATGGGTAAAAAGTGAGTAAAAAGTGAGCAAAAAAGTTTTTCCAAGTTTTTAATTCTCGGCGGCTCCAATTGAAATTAAGCAAACAATTTTTTGGGGGAATGAAGATTGAAGAGAAAACATGAGATTTACTCGAGTGAGGACAGAGTCGAGAGGGATCGGTGTGAAATATTGGGAGGAAAGGAGAAGAAGGGAAAGAATGAGTTGAGAAATGGGGACGGGAGGGGAGGAGGAGAGGAGGAGAGGAGGAAAGTCGTGTGCCGGCAAGAGGCCGTTTATTTCTTGAGGCGAGGGGGTGAAGCACCAAGTCCCAGAGATCCGAGAGATCCCCTGCACCGGCCACAGGGGAGTCTTTGGTGATCTGCTGGGGAGTGAAATCCTCTCTCAATCATGTCGTGGACTCTTCCACTCTTGCCCATCTCCTTTTCTCGTCCCGTCACTTTTTTTTTTGCTCTCTTCCAACCACATTCCCGACTCTGACATTTTCTCGACTTAGATACGTGCTCAGTGAATCAGATGTTAGAAAAAGAACATATGGAAAACAAGAAGTTGCAATTTTTGGGATATAAAAACTGATTAAAAAGCCTAATCTTAAAGCTACCGTAAATACTGTAATAGTACCCCACCGCCCTCGTACAGTCGGGTAGTCGCAAAAGTTTTTTAGTATTTCATTTTTTGCAAAGCACTTTCAAAAAATGTGTCTTTGGTATCAAAAAATAACTGAAATTCAGGGCTATTTTTTGATACCTAAGCGCGCATTGTAGCATAAAACAGTGTCGAGAAAAACTCGTTCAAAGCTAGACTACGCAACACTCCGCACCGTCATTATGGGGGTGGGGTACTATTACAGTATTTACGGTAGGTAATTCTGGAAAGTTAAAGCATTAGATAAAATTTGCCTTAAATCACAAATTTTCCCTATTTTGTAGTACTTGATTTTAGGTTTTGAATGGGACTGTAATAGTACCCCACCCGTAGTCTAGCATTGGACGCGTTTTTCTCGACACTGGCTTATGCTACAATGCGCGCTTAGGTATCAAAAAATAGCCCTGAATTTCAGCTATTTTTTGATACCTAAGCGCGCATTGTAACATAAACCAGTGTCGAGAAAAACTCGTTCAAAGCTAGACTACGCAACACTTCGCACCGTCATTATACGGGTGGGGTACTATTGCAGTATTTACGGTATGTATAAAAAAAACTAAACAAATACGGTGATGTTTTCTAAAATAGAACCTTAGGATCTTAGCTTAGAATGACTGAAAATCCTCAAAGTACCATGGTCTATAGGGTACTTTGAGGAGCTGAACCTAAAATTAGTCAAGATCCTTGAAGTACTTAGAATATGATGAACCATTAAAAAAAAAATTTTTTAAAACATTAAGCTTTTTTATTTTAGTGATAAAATATTAAAAAAACTGAAGAAACAGGAGAAATTTTGAGTTGGCTCCGCTAGGTCAGAATATGGCTCCGAATTTCGTTAGGTCATTTTCGATACCTTTTTTTGAGAACTTGATTGATCATCCGAAATGCTTTATACAATGTTTTTTATAGCATTAAAAAGATGTCTAAAGATATTGAGATGTCTAAAGATACTAATAACTTAGACTTATCCCTACGTACAGTTACTAGAATTTGATTTATAATCATAGTTTCTTATGCATCAACCTAATACCAAAGTGATGATAAAGAAGGACGAAGATTTCAGAGTTCAATCAACGCGACGAGTCTATTTCCGGGATTTTGTGAAGGTTAATCATTGTGAAGGTTAATTTATGTTCATTTTTTGTTCTAGGTGTTATCTCATTTTCGACCAATCAACAAAAACAAGCCGCATCCATGGAACAGTCGTGAGGCAAAGCTGCGATGTGAGAAAATCGAGAAAAATCCACGAATCTTTTGAAATATAGTCGTTTCTTGTTTATTCAAGGAGAAATTTTTCAGTTGCATTCACGATGTACGATCTCAACAAAAGTGGAACGATTACAAAAGATGAGTTCAGAGATATTCTTCAGGTATTGTGAACTTTAAGCGAACTGATGAGACCGGTTGAAAAGAAATTTCGTAGAAAAAGTTTGCACAATGATTTCTCGAATTTCTCAAAAAAATCTCATTAATTCTTTTCAAATTTTTTTCAAGAAACTTGACTATATTTCAAAAGATTTCTGATAAAAAAAATGGGTTAAAGGGCTGGGTTAAAGGTGAAAAATAAGAGATTTCTTTAGTTGAAAATAACTTGCTCACTTTTTGAGTGATCAGCTTTTAGACAAAGTTCTTTAATGGGTTAATGGATAGGTAAATTCTTATTTAAAACCGAAAATAAAGTACAGTAAAACGTCGATTTAACGATTTAACGATTCAGGATTCTTCATCGTTAAATCGTACGTCTTTATATGGTAAATAGCTTTAAAGGGATCAAAAAATCGTTAAATCGAGGTTTAACTCAACTTAAAACAGGCGAAATTTGCAAAACAAAACAAAACAAAACAAAATTCGTTTGATTTCTTTAGATGATGATTGGCGCAAATGTGCCGATGGAACAAGTGAACTCGATTGCTGATCGAACGATGCGAGAAGCTGACCGAGACGGTGATGGATGCATCACTTTCAATGAGTTTTGCAATGTAAATCCCCAAAAAAAATTCTTTACAAACGATTTATTTCATTCAGGCAATGGAGAAAACGGATATCGAGCAAAAGATGAGCTTCCGCTTTTTGACATAAACTTTTTTTGCGAAAGAGTGTTTGAATAAAGAAATTTTGGATTGCTTGTGGGTACCAGTAGAAGAAGATCAAATCAAATCAAAATTGTGCAAAAGGAATTTGAGAAGTAGATTTACGGTAAAGATTGCGAAGATAAAGAGTATTGATTCGCGAGATTCGTGAAGAAAATGAAAGGAGAATAGAGGGGAGTGTTGAGCGATGGGATGGCAAATGGTAGCAATGGGAATGGAGTCGGATTTTGAAGAGCGCCAAGCTGCGCCCCACTCATCGGTACCATTGTTGCACGTTTGGGTGATGGAGAAAGCGATTCGCTTGGTGATCCACCACATCTAATGTTGTAAATAGTTAGTTGCAAATAGTTATGCAAACAGTACTTTGTAAAAAAAAAACTTTTTCATTATAGCAAATAATGGGCAAAACTTAAGGTGTGAAAACTTTCACAGTAAGGCTTAAAAAGATTTACCTCTTCGGAGCACAGGCGCCACCATCGCGGAAGCCTTTCGCAAAGGGATTATGCTCAATCTGAAAGTATTTCCATTGTTAAACTTTGCTTTTTTTTAATTTCACCTTTAGATTTGTAATTGTGTGATTCTGGTAGGCGGTTACGGCGATAAACTCTGTACATTTCAATCGAAGTGTAATCTCCTCATAGGTAGGGCGAACTGATGCGAACTGAAATTGGAAAACTGTTTAGCTGAAGAAGTGAAGGAATTGTTTAGTAAATTTTTTAGTTGAAGAAGTAAAGGAATTGACAAGAAAAGGTAGATTTCCAGAGAAAGGATTGAACCCTCGACCTTTTGCTTTCAATGCTTTTCGACCTTTTACTCTAACCACTCAGCTATCCGGTCCTTAGCTTGCCAAGAGAAAAAGGGAAAGACAAAGGGGAAGAAAAAAAGGAAGAAAGAAAGAAAGAAAGAAAGAAAGAAGGAAAGAAAGAAGGAAAGAAAGAAGGAAAGACAAGGAGGAAGAAGAAAGAAAGAAAGAAGGAAATATGCAGCTCCTCAAAACCAAAGTAATTTCAATTAATCCATAAATGAAAGTATATGGATGCTTTTTACTTTATTCGTTTATTCTACAAGTACAATGTTGAATGTACAAATGTACAATGTATTCTACAAGTACAACATTTAGTTGATACATATTTTAAATTGTTGGTATCTTCAAATTACTCATGATTTCTTTATTTTGCCGATCTGTCAAGGTTATCCCATTTCTGTATATGCAAATCAACATACCATGATCCCATCTTGCGTCGGCGGGAGCTTGTAAATGGTGAGCACGGGGACAAATTTGTGCATGGAGAGGAGAAAGATCTGAAAAGGGATCTCTTTTCTTCTTCTTCTTTATTCTCTCTTTTGCAATTCTTTTTGTGATTTATTATGTTGCCGTCGATTGATATATCGTCAGTGGTTGCGCATTTTTGAGATAAAGAAAAGGAGGAACGCTCCGACATTTACAATAGGGCATTTGCCCGGCGTGAGCTGTTTATCTCCCGTTATCGCTACCCTCATCTCTTCATCTCAAAAAGATTACGGTAGTCAGAAGAGAGTCAAGACAAGAACCCCATTCTTTTCCTATTCAACTGATCCTTATCCACACCACTGCAGCGTCAATTTGTTGCCCCGTGACGAGATGGGAAAGTCTTTGTGTTTAGAGATAAAGAAACGTTCATCTCAATCGATCAAGTGATAATTGTGCCCCTTTAAGCGATTTGCCGTTGGCTTTCTCAATCGGCGTCTGAGTTTTGAAAGGAAATAATTGAAAAAGAAAAACGCTTGAGGGAATAATCGTTGTTTTGATTAGTTTGATTGATTGAACTTACGTGTTTCGGATTGCAATCCTGTGGATTGTTCGTGATTTTCACATTCTCGAAATTGATTGGCGCGCGCATCCAGTGAGCCCCAGGCATTGGGCCGTCATTATGGTGCACTTGCTTTTCCTGAATTGATGAATTGATGATTTCAAAAATCTTCTAGCTTTCAATGCTCTTGTAGCTTAATGGTGGTTTTTGGGCATGAGGAGGGGGGGGGGTAGATACAGTACTGGACAATGAAATATCATATTTGAAAAACTATCGTCACTTTTGCGCGCGCTGAAATGCGTCAAAAAATACGGTATTTCTAAATATTAATATTACCATTGTGTAGCCCTTGAAAAGAGCTTTCAGAAAATGTAGAACACTAATAGTTTAAACTCAAAGACAAGGGAGTTACAGAGGCGGGAAAGTGACGATCTTTTTTCAAATATGATATTTCATTGTCCAGTGCTGTACCTATCTTGACTTTGACCCTAATTTTCTATATGTTTTTATCGGTAAGTCTACAAAACAGATTCTAGATTTCTTGAGTCAAATTTAATGTAGATTCTAATAAAAGAAACCAGGAGTTGATTGGGTTCCTAGACCTGGAGTTATGAAGCATGAGCGAGTAATGGAGTACAGAGTCCTAGAATCAAGAGAGAAAATGGCTCAAGTCTGATTGCATTTTTCTCTCAGATCTGCTATTTAAGTAACACAATGATTTAACGGGATGTAGAAGGAGAATAAATAATTATGGAAAGAAAAGTACTACCAAATTTGGGACCAAGACTTCTCAGGGATTTGGGCATAGTCACGGTCAAGGCGGGTAACTCGGCTCAGCTGCTTCCCGTCCCTTTCCGTTTACACAATTCGACAACAAGCCCCTTATGTCAGATGGGTTTGCCAGATCGCGAGCGATTACCTGGCAGTACAAAGAACACATCGTCATTCATTTATGGATTTTTCTTTCGCTTTGTAGATGTCATAAAAAGAAGCTATTGAGCTTTAAATTTGTACCCAGGGGTTTTCATGGTCGGGGAATCGTTGGAATTATTCATTTTAAAGCTAACCTTTAGTTTTCTCATAAAATTCACCTGAAATCCGGGATCTCCTCGACCAGCAGGCACCCATTCACCACATTGGAACTTGTATCTAAAAATTTTGTGTTTGTTTAAATATTTTTTTGATACTATGTGATCTCCCACAGTGTGCCGGGACCCCAAATCTGATAGTATAGGCTATGTGTGGAAAGTGAGGGGAAGATCGGCGTGAAGGACCCCCTACTTCTCGCTGTTGGTGGTGAGCCCAAGTGGTGAAGCGGATGATAAGAGAAACGATGGGGAGAAAGGAAAGGGGGGAGAGGCCGATCATCTCTTACTATTCCCCCTCCCCCGTCCTATTCCGACCGTCTGCTCTCGATCAAAGCCCTGCCGCGTCGACTCGATCATCTCCGAAATCCGGACACTTGGTCATTACATAACGTTCAGCTCCATAAAAACTTTGAAAAGTAACGGGTCAAAGCAAAAATATATCTGTCAAGAGTTGTTTAATAAACTCCTTTGAATCTAGTGCTTTGCCTGGAGCTGATCTATTGGTAAGAGCTCTTGAAAGTATCAAGAGCCTATCACAAATCGTATTCACCCAGTGGCAATTGAATCGACTCAAATAAGCGATCAGTGGGTAAACAGTGGGACAATGAATGACCCCGATAATTGTTTCTCTTACTCTTACAGTTTATAATCTGCTTAACTAACCGATTATCGTCAACGCGAACGATTTTGAGAGTCAGCAGATAGCAAGCATCCTCGTCCATTCCTTCGATCAAATACTCCAATTTTGGGAACATTTTCCTGGAATTGAGGGTTTAGAATATCAAAACAAATATCAAAACATTGATATTTGTTATTTCACATTAAAGAAACAAAAAAAATAGCTTGAACTAAAGATCAAACCTTCCACTTTTTGTAACGACCATTTCGGTGGTGACGGTGTGAAATTTCTCCCATAAATTTTGATTTGAGAGTCGCACTTTCACTTTAGAAACCTCCTAAAATAAGATAAGATTATTCGTCAACTCCTTAAAATACTATTTTCAAAATCTAGCCATCCTAGATCAATTGATCCATCCTAGATCAATGTAATAGATCAATTGCAATAAAGAAATCCCAAAGCTAGTTTCCTCTAATTATTTAGTATTTAGTCTAGATTGGGTATTCAGTCTAGATTAGCTCGATTTTCAAAATCTAGCCATCCTTTTTTGAATGTAATAGATCAATTGCAATAAAGAAACCCCAAAGCTAGTTTCCTCTAAAATTCCCGATCAAGAAAGAGGCTTGATTTGAAGTTTTGTGATCAGAAAAGTCGTTTTGAAAGGAGAAGAAGAAAGGAAAGAAAAAAAAACCCTCGCATCTATTTGCTTTCTTTCGATTTCCACCCATTATTGCCCTATTAGCGGAGTCGTTTTGCGCTACACGCGTTTTTACGTGCTCCTGCTCTCCCTTCGCAACATTCATCCTCCCCCCAACTCAAAACCATTTTTAAAATCAATATCGATCAAAAAAGCTTGATATTTAGCTGATATTTAGCTGATATCTTTTTACAAAAAAAAGAATATTAGATCTTTCTGTAAACAATAAAAAAATAAAAAGAAACGAGTGGTAGAGTTGTTAGCAAAAGTTTGATCTGATAAATTTGATACTTTTTAAACAAAAGAACTTCATTAAACTTTGATATAATGATTCATTATTGAAAAAATTAACCAAATAAACAATTTAAACAAAATCAAATCCTACCTTGCTTGTTTGGGGCTCTTGTTTCTGCTCGTCTTTCAGTGTTGGCTGCATGTCGAGTAGATTCGAGATTTGGAAAGTCGAATTGACAAGGCTTTCCTTGAATTCAATTGAGTGAATAGATTGATCCAGGATTTCACTACTTGTTGCAAGTGAGAGTTCTTCTCGACTGTTCGTCGCAATCACGGTAGCTTGTGAAGAGAGGATCTCGATGATCCATTCAAAAGAGAGGAAACGATGTCCAGCACCGCCCCTTTCTCTCCCTCAATATCCTTTCTTTATCCAATCGCCGTTTACTATCCAAATCTCTTCTTTCTTGACTTTATGATGGGTTGTTGATAAAGAGGAACGACAAGACGTGTGATTTGCACCTATGGGCACGAAAGACCAGTGGCTCATTCAAATTGGCGGTGTCATCAAACAATGAATCAAAGTGTTAAAGCCGGAAGTGTTGCCGAAATTTTGATGATAAGATTATTTGATATTTAAAATATAATTGAACTTAAAGAGAGTTCAATTATATTTAGGGAAACCTTTGATGGAGAAAGGGAAATATTGTGATAAACCTTGTGATAAATCTTTGATCTTTTTAACAAAGATTTCAACTCAAAATCGAAGCTCAAAATGGCTTACTTGGAGGTATATCGAATACCGTATTCTCTCTAATAATAGTGCACTCTTTAATAGTAGTGCACTCTCTAATAGTAGTGCACTCTCTAATAGTATTGCGGTCCAGGAGAGGGTTGAAAAAAAAATAGTAGTGCACCCCCGAAAATTTGAATTTCTGTTTGCTTCTTTTTCATCTAAACCTTTTTGACTTTATGTTTATGTGACATTCTAAAGCTATTCAAGCAAGCAAAAGTGAGGCTTTTTTTTTTATTCATTTATTAACTATTCTTCACATGAAAAAGTTAGCAAAAAATCTAAAATTGTTGTGCAAAGTGCAAAAACATCTTTTTTGTTGTTTGTCAAGACACAAATTGTCAACTCGCCGGCCCACAACTGTATGTCAAAAGGAGCCAAAGGAGTACGTGAAAGAGTTGCAAGAATTTTTGGAACAAATCTTATATCTGTCTTACTTTGGTAAATGATAAAACTCTTTAATAGTACTGCACTCTCTAATAGTATTGCGGTCCAGGAGGGGGTTCAAAAAATAGTAGTGCGCACTACTATTAGAGAGAATACGGTATATCGAAATCGAATATATCGAATCGAATATATCGAATCGAACATATCGAATCGAATATATCGAATCGAACATATCGAATCGAATATATCGATTCGAATATATCGATTCGAATATATCGTAATATCTTAATATATAGAAAAACAATAAGAAATGAATATAGAAAAGTGAAAAGTCTAGAAATCTCAATCAGTTTTAGAGTCAATGACAGTTTTACAATGACTTCAATTTACAAGAAAGCCTGAGGCACATTGGTGTCATTTTTAAGAGTTTAAATACGATAAAATTGATTGTAGAAATGAATCTCAGTTAGAAATCAACTTCTTTGATTTGATTTCTAACTGAGATACATTTCAGAAATCATTTTAATCATCTTTAAATGTTATTCCGTAATACAGGAATGTTCAATATCAAGACTTTTAAACTCGCAGGCCATTAGTTTATGAAAAAAAACATCATTAAGAAATTACTGCATAGGAGTTGAAACAAACTCGACTTTCTAGTTTCTTTATACAGTTTTCTAAATTTGATATTCCAAAAATCGATTCATCGGAACTCGATCACCAAATTTCACGCCAATTATTTGACGATCAGAACGTTTGTTTTGTTAAGTTTGTTTAACGATCAGAAAATCTTTACTAAAACAGTTAAATAACAGTTAAACAACAGTTAAATAACAATGCCCCATGGGAGTGGGACAAATGCGACCTTTTTTTTGCGCACCTGGACATTTGCGCACCTTTTTGCTGGAAAGCCAGGCGGCGGGACGAGGAAATACTTCAAAGGGAACGTATGCGTAGATCCGAATTTCGACAAACAGCCGCTACAGCAATTTGGGCTAAAAGGCAAAAACTACGCAACAACGCTTTTCCGCAGTTTTTGCCTTTTAGCCCAAATTTGACGTGTCAGCGAGGTCTGATTTGTCGAAATTCGGAATCTCCGCATACGATTCCCTTATATGGAAGTATTTTCGAAATATTTTCGAAGCTCTACGAAGGCCTTTTCCAAAAAAGGTGCCCCATGTCCCATTGAAAACAGTTAAATAACAGTTTTCAATGGGACATTAAAAATGTTAGAATCACATTTCGATTTTCGTTCTTTCAAGAAATTTTAACAAATTTAACAAATTTAACAAATTTAACAAGTTTAACAAGTTTAACAAGAAAGAAAGTATAAGAGTTTATGACAAACTCAATTCATCCACTCACTCACTCACTCACACGCGTTTCTAGGCAAGCAAAAGGCAATAAATTTTTGAAAAAAAACGTAACTTAAAGTTGTTAACGTATTGAGCGTTTGGCGTATTGATAGGTGTGTTTCCTTTTCAGGATTAAACTTGTACAATTGATCCGCATAAATATTGAACATCCTTTAACGTGTCAATTGTACATGTATAAGTGTTTATTTTCACCAATATCACTATTCCATAACAATAAAAAGCACCGTATTTGTAATGAAACATAAAAGAATCACTTAATACTTTCGAGTTTCAATTAAAGCATAAGATATAGATATTTAAACAATAAATACATAACTGAAATCGTAAAGTGATTTCTTAAAAAATTACCCGTAAAATGAGTGATTTATTTAGGAAAAAAGAAAAGAAAGAAAAGGAAAGAAAAGGAAAGAAAAGGAAAGGAAAGAAAAGAAAAGGAAAGAAAGAAAAGAAAAAAAAAGAAAGAAAAGAAAGAAAAGAAAAGAAAACCTTATACAAATTGGTACAAATAAGCAAGAAAAAGGCACTTGAATAGCTGAGAATGCAAGGAACATAAATGATTTTAAAATGACCCGATAAGTGAAAAAAAAGGAAATAAAGCTTTATTTAGAGTTGGAATTCTGTTTGAGGAAAGTCCAGTGATGTGCGGAGAGTAAAGCTGATGAAGGGAGAGGCTCAGCGGAGAAGCCGGACACTGAACCCCTTCCTAGCAGCTCTCGACGTTCATCATCTGTCCATGCATTTCTTGTTGGCAGATCTTTTTCAACCTATAAATTGTTTTTCAAGAAAATTTTCTTTTCCCTTTAACTCTAACCAATTTCTTTTCCATTTTCCAAACTGCGTGTGCTTCTCGACGACGAAGATCGTCTGATAGTTTTGAGCGAACCGCGTCCTAGAAAATATTGATGTAAGAAATTAAGCAACTTGATTGATTCTTAATGACATTTGAACCAATTCATTTGAGAACAAGTTCATAATTTTAGAAATACCAAATACAAACCGGATTAGTTTCAAAATGAACAATGATTCGCGTCTTTCCCGATCTCAACTCGACTGAGTCCGACCCAACAACGGCAGTAAAATGTGGATGAGAAGTTGAAGAGAAACGAGATCCAAGCGAGTCACTTCTAGCGAAATGACGATTCCAACCACCATTCACCAATGGCCATTGTACCTAGAAATTTTTACAGAATTTTTGCTGACTTAATCATCACTCTCACCTCTTTTGCCGTTTCTAGAAGATCAACGATCAACTTTTCTTCTTCAGCTGTCAGTTTTGGAGAAAATTTGACATCAATCTGAAACAAGTTTTCTAAGTTTATCTACGTTTTTCCTTACCTTATCATTTTTTGGAATGATGAAGAGCAACTCAGCAAATCCGGGATCATCTCTTGTAACTGTTGGTGTCGAGATTCTTGGAAGACTTTCCCCAAGAGCTGATCGAGTCACCGAATCCAATCGTGAAAAGTATCTGAAATATTTATATATTTATATATATATTTTTTAATTTACTCTAATCGTTGAGCAAATCCGGTTTGAATCGCTGAAGCTACAGAGTCTCCATTTGTGGCATCGGTTAGAAGAAGAGATTTTGAAGGAGAGAGTGTTGTAGGCGAGATTCTCGCAAGGCTCAACCAAGAGCTCATGTCTAAAAGACTTCAATTTGAAAGCTCACAAATCTCCAAACCTAGTGGCATTTTTGTCGAAGCAATGTTTTCTTCGAAAGCGCATGGATCAAGCGTTTGTCGTGGATCGAGGAAATTCTTTGGTACACCCATTTGATCAGGTCCAAAAGACATCCATCTTCCAGTCAAAGTATCCAAGGGTCTTCCATTCAAAAGTACCACTCCAGCTTCTTCAATCTCAATCCCTGGAAATGAAGGTTAGACTTTAAATTCTTTTCTTTCTTAAGACTTACCTCCAAGATAACCAACTGGAATCCAGAAGGTTTTATTCGAATTCGAAATAATGCCTCCATACAAAGATCGATCAATTTCTTTTAGTAGTTGATTTTCCGAAAAAATACAACGAGGTGTTCGTTTTGAATCCGATAGAATCAAATATTTTTCATTTCCAATCATCATAGCGAAAAGTTCTCCATCATCTATATCAATTAAAATAAATCGGATACTTTTCAAACCTGTGTAAAGAAGCGTGGTGATAAGGCTTGTTTTTGAATCAAGAAAATGAGAGATACGAGTGGGCTGATGTGGAAAAGCATAGAAGAAAGTAAGCTCATTGTTTGCGTGTTTAAAAGAAATCACTCGATTGAGGTGATCGTATTGGATGGTTGTCATTCTCTTTGTTCCCATTTCAATCACTTTAATCAAACGACCAAGTGAGTCGAGCTTGAAAGTGAAATTTCCTGAAAATAGTGTTTGTAACTTGCTTAAAGTTAAAGTTAAACAAACCTTTTTTCATAGTCCAACCGTTTGAGTCAGTGGCGTAGACTGTGCCGAGAATCTTTCTTGGAATCCCTCCACTACTCCACTCAAATTGTTCTCCATTCACTGACCAGATTCGTCCATCTTTGTCAAACTTGTAGCTCCATCTAGCTTTAGTTTGAATTGAATTCTCAAATCAGTTTACCTTTCATCATTCTTCGTAACAAATTCGGCTAATTGTCCACCCTCAAAACCGATCTCTTCTGTAAAAGTCCCTGATGGTTTCTTCCATTCGGTTGATATCTGAAAACTTGTTCACTCTAGATGTGCTGCCATGGCCAACTGGCTAAGATCCTGTATCTTAGTCAAGAGGTCAATGGTTCAATCCTGGCTCGATTGTTGGTTTTTTTTCGATCTGGATGTGCTTTTTCTTCCTTGTGTATTGTTTGTTTATTGGTTTTTTATTGGTTTTCCTTGTGTATTGTTTGTATCACATTATTCAGATGTATAGAATAAAATTGCTTTACTGTGGTATGATTTTCACTCACTTGTCTCCCGTGTGCATCTCTGTTGATTTGCATAGAACACTCAACATTTTCGTTTTTCCCTTTCCTTTTCACCAATTGACCATTTTTGTTGTACTCGGACTCGATTGACATCTGAAAATGATAATAGTTTAAGAAAATTTTTTTTTTTGGCTAAAACCTTGCTATTCGAAATTGATTGAGTATTTCCCTGGGTTGTCACGGTAAATCCAGCCAGATTCTCCACAAAACCCGAGCGTTTGTTGTACTAAAAAAAAATAATCATTCTATTTCCTCTCAAAGATAGATTCTAACCTTCCACTGAATCGTTGTCATTTTTTTTCCCTCAACATTTCCTTGAATGCTCTCAATTCGACCAACATCATCATAGAACAGAGAAAAGTTTGTGTTTTTCCAGCTAAAACTCTCAGAGTTTCAGTTTATTTTTGAAATTTACCATTCCGGATACAAGCGAGCTTCATTGATCTCAATTGGCAACTCGGCTTGCCTTGAAATGCGTTGTGTGTAGTGATCAGCTTTCACACTCGACAATTGATTGTTCTTGTACTCGAAAATGGTTGTGAATTTGCTGTCCAAAGTCATCTAGATTTCGATGAGAAAGGTTTTACTTTAAAGTCAAACCCTAATTAGTCTATTTCTGGAATCTCTTTGCATGCGCACGTGGTGCATTTCATCGGGCGAAAGCCATTCGAGCAAATCTCCCTCTCCATTCACCACACTCAACGAGGCGCCTTTTGATTGAGGCACTCTAGAAACATATTGAAGTTTTTACCTTACTTTTTGTTCAAACCTTCGTTTAATCAATGATCCTTGTGGTACAGTGGTCATCGAGATTTGGTGAACTTCTCCGGATGGACTTGTCGCTTGCTGAATTCGTCCAAAGTTGTCCAACTTGATCGTGTACTTGTGACCGTTTGGCATGTCCACCTGAAAGTGCAAAGCTGAATATCTTTAAGTGATTTTAATGGCATTTAATTGTTAGATCTTTTGATTAAATACTGTGGAAAATTTCAGAAAACCCAGGTACTCAAATTCAAACCTGAATGGGTATGGACGCGTCTTTTGCATACGAATATTTGAAGACATGCTCGCCGGCGCCCCAATTTCTCTCAATCAATCGATTTTGTCGATCATAAGAAAAGCTTCGCTTCATCGAACCCCAAGAAATCCCAGTTTTTCGTCCCATATTGTCATAGCTAGGAAAAATCGATGAAATCTTCAAAATCAATTCAAAAACCTGATATTCATCGAAGCCAACGCTGTCTCTTTCCCTGGTGTCACTTGTTTCCATTCTCCACTCTCCGTGTACTCGATTTTCAGCAAAACTTCTTCTTCGCCCTATTAAATTACCCATATTTCCCCTCATTTCTTTTCATGTACCTTTCCACGAACAACATCAAAATTTCCAGCTCGATCGAAAGCAATTGAGAAGATATTCAAACCGTTTACCTAAAAGCGTTAAAGGTATGCTTTTTTAAAAAGACAATTTTGAATTCAAAATAAACCCATGGTAATTTACACACGTGTTAATCTTTTTTTGAGTGAGTTGGAAAGGAAAACAAAACCATAAAACCTTTAATAGAAGATCCCCCTACAGAGGCGTCGTGTAGTTTAAGTTTACTTTCAAACAAACGCTCATATCTTGACACCAGTACGTTTATTTCTGCTTGCTTAGGTATCAAATTAAAGTAGAAAGATAGGAGAACTTTTTGAGATATAACACATATTTTTTAATCATTAACCAGCTCTTAGAAAAAATAATTGAAAAATGATGAACAATCGGCTTTTTTGTCACTTTTCAATAATTTTTCTAAGCGCTGGTTAATGACAAAAATATGTGAGATCTCAAAAAATTCCCCTATCTTTCTACTTTAGTTTGATACCTAAGCGCGCAGAAACAAACGTACTGGTGTCAAGATATGAGCGTTTGTTTAAGAGTAAACTTAGACTACGCTCCTCTTCTATTAGAGCTTTTACGGTATTTAGAAACACTTTGTTAACTTTACATTTAGATCACTCAACATGCATATTTAACACGTGTAATACCCGGGGTCTCGAGCCGACCTCAGCCACACGTCGACTTTTTGATGAAGAAGAAGAGAAAGGTCGCCAATCAAAGCGCCACACAAGACTTCTCCTTGATGGATGTTCGACACTTGGCCATGTCCTCCTTGCACGACTCACCGCTCGGCCACCCCAGCCTGGATGCACCTCGCTCTCGAATAGAATCTAAAAAAAGAGAGAATATTTCTTATGAATTACTAACAAACCTTTCCATTATTTTCTTCAGTCCATTCAAACGAGTCTTCATCCAAAGTCAACAGCCTTTGTTCAGCCTCTCCTCCAAGATAAGCTTCTCCCGGTCGACTTTTGATCTCCAGATAATCTCGATCGTCTTTTTTCACTGAAACCACTGAGAAATCCTCTTCGAAACGCGGCGGATCAATAATGTAAATGTGATTTTTCTAAAATCTTTTGTTTAAATTTCTCAAAATCGTTTTTAACTGTGAAGATGAAATTAGCGCGTCCAAAGCTATCGTATCCCAAGCTTGTCATTCCTCTGTTTCCCGATCGAGAGAGCAATAAGCCGCCAGTACCATAGTGAAATTTCAGAACTTCTAAAAAATGTTTAAAAGTTTATTTCGTTGAGGTTAAACCTTTATTTGGTAAGGTGAATGATTCGAGATACTCGTCGAAAGCCGAAAAAGAAAGCTGAGAACGAAGACCGGATGGAGATTCAATAGCGACCTAGAGATTGATAATATAGGTTAGACATATCAATTGATGTATTATTAATTCAATCTACCGAATTTTCATTAAACGATCTACCGAATTTTCATCTGATTGTGGCCAGAGTGCTCGAAGAAGTAGCCCACCCGGTGAAACGATTTGCGAAAGGCGGCCGAGACTAAAAGAAGAAACAGGTTTAGAAATAGAAAAAAAATCTCTTACTGAGTATCGACGTTATAGCTGAATGTGTAGAGTAAACGATCGGTGATCAGACTTTTCGTTGACAAATGAAGACCGTTTCGATTGAAGAAATACACCTAAATAGTTTTTGCTCTTGAAAAAAAGCTCGCTTTTTTTTTAAAAACCTCATCAGAAAAAGGCCATTGAATGCTGTATTGAGAAGTGGTTGAGTCGAAAGTTGCCGCTGGGAAATGAACACATTTCACCTGAAAATTTGTGATTAAAAGTTGAGTATAGACTCTCACTTTAGCATTCTCCGTATCGGCGATGAGAATCTTTCCATGGGAGTCAACAGCGATGGAAAGTGGTCCATTGAAAAGCGAATCTTGAGCATCGACTCTTTTTGCTTCGTTGTCACAGCTGCATTGAGCGTTTGGTGACGATCCTTGACAAGAGCACGGCGATGATCGACCGGCAACTTTCACCAAATCGCCACCATTTTGCATATAGCTTCTTATCTAAGTTTTCGATGCCATTTTCTTTAATATCTTTCTCATACTTGATTTAATTTCTTTCCATCAGATTCTAGGATGTACAACTGTCCATTGAGCCCAGTGGCAATGTCTCTTGCGTTGTTCAGGGAAAGAGAGGTTTCATTGGAAACACAAGCTGATGGTGATCCTGAAAACAGGTGGCATGAACTATGCTTTTTACTAGACTTTTAACAAAAATATCTGTCGGTCCTTCTTTGCCGCTGGCAATGGGCTCAGGTTTAAAGTTTCTCGTCTTTTTCTCCAACACCAACCCTTCAATCTTGACTATTTTGGTTATCATTCGATGCAGAATAAAATTGCGCATCGAATGATACCAAAATCGCCTCAAAATATAATATCCATGCAAAATTGTTGGCTAAAAACCTAAACCCCGCGAGAGCTTCACCTTTTGTCACATAACTTTGCATGGATATTATATTTTGAGGTGATTTTGGTAGCATTCGATGCGAAATTTTATTCTGCATCGAATGATAGTCAATATAGTCAAGATTAAAAGGTTGATGCTGAGAAAAACACGAAAAACCTTAACGGCTAACGGCAGAAAAGAGCTGGCAATTATTTTCGTTACTTCTTACCCAATAACACTCGTCCAATTTCAAGATTCAGCTTAAACTCGTAGATCACATTTGTATCAAGTACATAAAGTGTTTGAGTAGACGAGTCGATGGAGATAGAAGTTGGCCATTCCATCTGTAAAGGTCATTCCATTAAGTTTCACTCATTTTGAGTACTCTTTTGAATACCTGGATTTCAGAGATTGTTGCAAATTTGCGCAAATCGTTGCCACATTTCATAAGGGGAGTCTTGTCTTGGAGTTGGCTGCTGGTGAGTGATCGGATTGTGTTCGTTTCTAGATCAACTACCCGAATTCGTCGTCCATCAACCACTGCAAAATGAATAGAATCTTTAATATTTGATTAGTTTAACTAACCGTATAACTGATTCTGATTGTCGATTGCTAAACCTTTCGGGAAAAGCAGTTGTGCATCCGTTGCTAGGCCTCCATCTCCACAAGAAGACGTGGCTGAGGCGCAGACTGTTCCATCACCCACAATGACTTCATAGTTTTCCTCTGGTTTTTTCGGTTCCTCCTCTTTAAGTTTCCAGATCTGTTTTTGAAGTGGAATCGATATGTAGATTGATCCGTCTAATGGAGAAACAGCCAATGAATATTGATAAGTCGTGTCAGCAGTACTAAATGAGAATTAGATGTTTAGAAAAGAGTTAGATGTTTTTAAAACCTTAGGATAAGCATTGTGATTAGTCGACCATCGGGGAGTCAATCTTCTGATCAGATTCTGATCGCCAATCAGCACTGATCCATCAATTCCAGCAGCTACTGTAACCGGCCGCAACAATGGGGAGTTGGCTTTAGCGGAATGGCAACTGAAAAGAATGGCAATGGCTGAGAAGAATGACTGTCTGTCTATCTGTCTGTCTGTCTGTCCGTCTGTCTGTCTGTCTGTTTGTCTGTCTATCTGTCTGTCTATATGTCTGTCTGTCTGTCTGTCTATCTCTCTGTATGCCTGTCTATCTGTCTGTCTAACTGTCTGTCTGTCTGTCTAACTGTCTGTCTGTCTGTCTGTCTCTCTGTCTGTCTGTCTGTTCTTTCGTGAGCTAACCTTTGACAATCAAGCTCTCGTCTCCCATCACTTCCCACCAATAAATCGACAACCGGATTCTCAGCCGACAAGAACAACCTCGAGCCATCACCCTTTTCCAATACATCTGTAAATGAAAAGGCTAAACGTTTAATATTATAAACAAACTATTCACAACATCATAATGATGATGAATATGTGGTGTCCAGCCACCGAAAGATGTCTTCCGAGCTTTCCCAGAGAGATAGCTTCTCTTTGTCACCCATAAAATCTCACTCTCTCGACTGCAATGCTCGTATTCGTAGCCAATATGCACTGAAATCTTTTTTTTAGATCTTGAATTCACAATTTTTTGTGTAACTTTGAAAACACTTACCAACAACCGGTACAAGACCGCTTTCCATCTGCTTATAGACATTTTGTTTATTCCACGCAAATGTATAAGACAAATCAGCTCTTGCGGCCAATTTCTTTGTGAAACGGGTTCCTGGAAATTTTGGATTCGTGTTTTTTTTAATCGTTTTTACCAGCAACATCGATCCGTAGATGAACTAGGCGAAGCTTTGAATCGGGCTTTGATCCAGTCAATCTCATCTCGAGTCTCGACAATGAACCATCGGATCGTCGCGAGTCGTAGACCAAATAGACCTATAAAGCTTGAGAGTAAAATCTAAAGTTTATTATGACTTGTGTGCCCGGAATTTGAATCGAATCGCTCACTGCGCCGACATCAGCCAACACTTTGGCATTTCCATTAACACTCGGCGCTCCCCAGATCTAAATAAGATCGGGCAATTGGCTTATTGTCTTAAAAAATAGAATACTAACCTTCCAATCGTTCCGAATCTCCACTGATTCCATTGATCGTTTAGAAATTGAGCACTCTTGTCGTACTCTTGTAGCCAGCTCATCTTCAGTTTTCTGAATGAAATTGAGTTCAAAGTATTGGGATTTCATTTTATCTACTAACCTTTTCTTTATGCATTACCACATCACCGACATAAACGATCTCATTTGGTGGTACATAGACGGAAAGTTTTCGTCGCTAAAACAAAGTTAAAGAACCAGAAAGAAGAGCACTTAAATACCTGGAATGGGCTACGAAGAAATTGAAGTTGAATGGTTCGGCCACCATTAACGAGAAGATCAAAAGCACCACTGCCATCGAGTCGTGAGAGAGTGAATCCGTAAAGTGGATGATTTACATCGGAAACTCTGACACCCGGCAATGGGAGATCAGCCACTGTACCCGACGCTCCTCCATCCCACAAAACTCGACCACGAACCACAGATGCAATGCTGCAAGAAGTTTCGTTTATTGTTTGTTTATATTTTTACCTCTCATCGAATTGAGAATAGTCAGCATAGCTCTGCACAGAGTCGTTTTTAATCAAAAACATCACACGCTGAAAGAACTGATTTGTTTCTAGTAAAGAATGGCAAAGAAAGATTTCGAGGGGATTGAACCCTTGACCTATTTTTCCTTTCCAGGCAAATGCTCTAACTATTGAGCTATCCGGTATCAGAAAGAAAGAGGAAATAGGAAGAAAGAGGAAATACAAGGGAAAGAGAAAGAAAGAAAGGAAAGTTAAGCTTAGATTTACTTGATAGAATGGAGCATTTTGAGGAGTTGGGAGTTTTAGAAGGACATCAATTGGAGATGGAGCCATCATGCAAGAAGGCTCAAGTCGGCAGCTTTCACTTGCACAGCATTTCGGATCCTCACAATCCATTAAACCGTCTAGACAAAGTGATTTCAATAAGATATTCATAGAATTAGCAATTTAAAAGAGAAAACAGACTATGATCATTGTCGACTCCATCATCGCAACTATGCTCGATGAATAGAGAGCAATCAGCGCCACGACGACCCGTGTCACATTCGCACCACCATCCATCAACTCCTAGACGACATTGACCACGCCCGGAACAGTCTCGCGGGCATCCTTCTAGAAAAACTGATGCTTAAAAAGTGACCCCATTTCTTTTACCTTGATAGCAATTCTCTCCATTCCATCCTCGATCACAAAGACACGTTCCATTCTTCTCACACCGTCCATGTTGCTCACAACCAAGAGCACATTCTTTCTACAAATGATTATATAGTTTAGTTTTCAGATTTAATTGTCTACTTGAGAACAGTCAATTCCTTTCCATCCATTTTTACAAGTGCACACTCCGTGATGGCAAACTCCTTGAAGACATTCCGGCGTGCAACTCACTAAATCACCTTTTTAAATTTTTTAAACTATAGGCTACCAAGTTCACAGCTTGGTCCAGTAAACCCAAGAGAACAAATGCAAAATCCTTGAGAATCGACTCTTCCACGGTTATTGCAGGGATTCTCCAGTATAGCCTCCAGGTTCTCTATAATTTAAGACAAATTTTACCTTTTTTTTGATTTAAAAGATCAACCTGTTGGCTCAGTTTCTCGGCTTTCAATGACAGCTTTGAGTGAATTTGGATGCTGTGTTGGATCGATGGATAGTGGTGAGTTGGCTTTTGATCGATGCGGATGTGATGAGTGATGAGATGATGTAGCCGGTGAAAGAGGCGATGCTTCTACGATCACTTTCAGCTCCTAATATTTTGTATAAATTGTAGTTTTTTTATTTTTTTTTTTTTTTTTTACTTCATGACTCTTTTCAGCGATGATATTTGACTTTGGGAAGACCAAAGTGCGAACATTTTTCGAGCACTCACTACCCGTCCATCCATCTTCACAGTAGCAGACACCGTCCAAGCATTTTCCGCGACCAGAGCAACTTGGATGTGGACAAGAGCGCTAAAATATGGTTTTGTAAAATGGTAATGTAAAATAAATGGTAATGTAAAATTTTAAAAGTTTAATTGATAGGAAAACCAACAATTTCACAAGAGTCTCCAGACCATCCGGCAATGCAGTCACAAACTCCTCGAGGAGTGCAACGACCTCGACCATTGCAGTCCGCTATCTGGAAAGATTTATTGAAGAATTGTTGGTGTTGAATTGAAGAAATTGAAGAACTGTGAGACTTTCCAGTTGGACTTGGTCCTTTTATAGATCGCGGCAAAAAGGCCAATGCCGGGAATTGAACCCAACACCCCTCGCTTACTAGACCAGCGCTCTACCAATGAGCTACACATACAGGTGTTCCCTTGCCGCCAGTAGGGTGTTATATTTTCCCAACCTCACACCAGTGCTGTTGAACATCACATTCGCGTCCTTTATAACTTTCAAAACAGACGCATCTTTATAGGTTGCGGCAAAACCTGACCAGTGCCGGGAGTCGAACCCAACACCTCTCGCTTACTAGGCGAGCACTCTACCAAAGAGCTACACCTGTAGCTGTCACCTTGAAACCAAGAGCGTCTTATATTTTCCCAACCTCACACCAGTGCTGTCGAACATCACATTCGCGTCCTTTATAACCTTCAAAACAGACGCATCGACCGAGTGAAAGGATCCCATTCCCCGAGCAAACCAATGGACAAACGACTAAATTGTATTGGAAATCGTTAGAAAGATTTACGTTACTTTACTAGATTTACTAGAGTTTTAAAAGAATTCTTCTTTTTTTGAAATTAAAACACGAAAAATATTCTTGAAAACAAACCCTCATCACAAGCAGTTCCCGTATAGCCAGATGCACATTTGCAAACGCCATTCACACACTCTCCTCGACTCGAACAGTCGCTTGGGCACCTAGAAACATTTCTCTAGCACTTTTCTATTTCCATTACCTGAAGACACTCTTTTTCTTGTTGCTTCCATCAGTTGTGATCTCTTGATGAGTCGGAAGAGCTTCCACAATGAGCTCAATCGGTTCGACTCGATTCCTCTCATTTAGAATCGCCAAATGCCATCGTCCTTCCAAAATAAAATGCTCTACGGATGCAATTCTTGGAGTCTAAACTTTTAAATTTTCTTAAAATATATCAATTATTCAGTCTTACAACAATTTCGATGGCTTCTCGCCGTTTTCTTGAAGACTCCTCAATAGAATGTGAGGCATGAGTGGCAATCAATTCGGCTCGAATCGGATGGAAAAAATCGTGTAAAGATAGAGATGGAGCCACCTAATAAACAATATTTAACGACTTTATACCTTTTCCAAACCGAATGCCTTCCAAACAACACGAGTTGAGCGCCAGTTCCAACTGTGACGTTTAAAGTCACCCGTGTTGGCCGTGGAATGTAGATCTCCCTATGATTAAAAAATAATAAATAGAATTTTAGATTTAAACAAACGTGTAAGCAATGCTTTGCGGTATAAGATCGGCAAAAACCCGTTGCCCTAGTTGAATTGTATCGGGAAGAGGCCGCAACTCGGAGAGACGATCCGCTGACATTGACGTGCTTCCCGCATACGATGATGAGTACACGTAACGAGGTGCTCGTACTAGAAATCCTTGTTATTAGAAGCTCTTGTTATTAGAATCAATTTCAAGTTTTTCTTTAGCTTTCACAATTTAACTAAACTAAACTCACATAGTAGAACGATAATGACTAATAAAGCAGCGAGCAATGCGAGGAGAAGACAAAAAACGAGTGGAGTCGCTCTTCGAGACGGTGAATCTTCTTTTAAACTAAAATTTTCTAATAAAAGTCTCTCAAATTATCCTGACTTTTTCATTTTCTTTGAATTAAGAGTCGATTGTCTTTTGAGAAGAGCGGTGTTCACTTGTGGTTCAACGCACGAGTGTCTTGTAGATGTGCATCTGGAAATGATTGATGAAAGGTGTGAAAGGTGGAAAATGTTGATCAAATGTAATGACATAATCAAGTGAAGAGAGAAAATGAAGGTCTTTTAAGTGCTTAGAATTTGCATATCACGGCAACTCTTTCTAAGGAGCGAAAGGGGAAGAAAGAGAGGAAGAGATCCGAATGGAAAGGCACGCACAAATTGAGGCAATTAGGAGAGCTGAGTGACTCTGAAGAAATGAGTGAAAAAGGGAAAAGGGGTGGCCAAACGGTGATGATCGAATTAGGCACCACACACAGGCAATCTCAATCCCCGCTCGTTGGTTGGGTGAGGCCATTTAGTGAACTTCATTCGGAGACTTTCAGTTGAACGCTTTGAAAGGAGTTGAAAGAGTTGAAAGAGTTGAAAGAGTTGAAAATTGAATGAAAATTGGCTTAGAATGAATCGACTTTTTCTTGATAGATGATAGATCAGTTTGGAGTTGAAACAATCAGATGATAGATCAATTTGGAGTTGAAACAAAGATTGAAATGCAACAAAATCAAGGCATTGTGCCGAGTATCAACTTTTTTAAACAAATAACTTTGTCTAGAGATTAATTCTATTGTTAAAACGACTACTAGAGATTAATCTTATTGTTAAAAATGATTGCTTAATGAGGACTAAGTGTTAAAGGTATCTAAAGTGAGGAGAATGAACCAAAGGCCCAAGCCAAACACCAGGCCCTTTCCCCAAATCTCTTTATTAATAGGAGAGATGGCTGGTGGCAAAGGTAAGCACCCTAATTAGGGGATTTGTCACAAAAAGGGAAATCCTCAACTTTGTCTAGGCAGTTATGATGATTGAGAGGATTTAGCGGACATTTTTTCAATCGAGTATCAGATAAGAGAGACAACTAAACAAGAAGTCCCAAGAGGAATGAAGGATACGGGCGGGGGAGATCAAGATTTTAGGGTAAAGAAATTGGGCAAAGAAAGAGTAAATTGGTAAAATGAGTGTACGTTTTAGGCTTTAGAGTGGAGAAGAGGCGGATCGGCAACATATGGTCTCCGATTTTGGGGTGAGGGGTATCCTCTAGGCGAAAACATCCGCATCCTAATGAGATTGCTCTCACTTTACTTTTGCCAATCCTCTTTCCTCATATCCAAGATGATCACTCTCGTTTTTCACTTATTAGAATCAAAAAGCTAGATGCTATTCTTGAATCCAAAGCTAGCTACTATTCTTTTATCCAAAGCTAGCCATTATTCTTTTATCCAAAGCTAGCTACTATTCTTTTATCCAAAGCTAGCCACCATTCTTTTATCCAAAGCTAGCCACCATTCTTTTATCCAAAGCTAGCTATCATTCTTTTCTCCAAAGATTTGTTAGAGTTTAAATCTGTTTCTGATTGGGTACAATCCGTTTTGTCATTTGCTTTGTATCACCGTTAATTTCAAGTTAAACACTCCTCTTCATTTGCTGTAAGAATCAATTTTTTTTCTCTCAAAAAGAGTTTATATTTACGATCTGCTCATTAGACCATGAGAATAATTTCCTTTTCTCGAAGAGATTTGTGACTAAGCTCAAAATAGGAAATTATTGTCGCCGGATTATCCCTCCCTTTTTCACTCCCAATTTCCCATAACAATCTTTCCGATCTTGCCGAATCTTTCAAGAATGCCATCTTTAGTCAATTTTATCTATCATTTGACTCAAGTAGTCGCTCTTTGAAGAAGTGCTTTTGACCAGCGATCAAATTATGCAAATCTCGAAAATTTCTCCTTGCTTTGTCAAAATGTTAGACTCTAAAGGAAATAAAATGGAAATTTTACTTGCTTTCTATCAAAAACTCATCAATGACTAAATGAAGTTACTATATTGAAGGTATTGAAGGTATTGAAGTACTATATTGGAGGTATTGAAGTACTATATTGAGGCAGTGAAGTTACTATATTGAAGGCATTGAAGTACTATATTGAAGGTATTGAAGGTCTTTTTAGCCAAAGACGAGTCATTTTTAGGATTAAGTCTTGGGGAAAAGCGTGTGCCAAAATTAGTGGTGTCGACATGGATGGGAATAAAAAGGGGGAAAAAGGAAATGAATTGGGTGAAGAGACGGGAGAGAATTTTTCTTACATCTAATGAAAGAGCCGACTATAAAAACGCGATCATAAATTGAGACCCAGATCTCTTTTTATCTAGAAATATTTCATGTTTTCTTTAATGAAACCCAAGCCAGTTTCCTTTTCCTCAATCTTGAATCATGTAATTTTCATTTCATTGCATTTCTGGCTTGCTAACCAGTGATTTCATTGAAGGTATTGAAGGTCTTTTTAGCCAAAGACCAGTGATTTCATTGGAGAAGTAGAAGTGAAAGAAGAATTGAAAGAAGAAAGAGTAAACAGTTTTACAATTGTCATTTCTCGAGGGTTGAGGACACCTGTGTACATGAATTGTGGACAAAACAATGGGAATACAAGGCGCATGAATGCTTTGATCATTCCGTCTTTCTAAGCATTCGAGGTACCCCCCATCTATTCATTCACCCCTTCTTTTCAATAACCTTACTTCTAATTGCCTACATCTCCCCGCACTACCAGAAGTTTTTGTCTAAGAAAGCAATTAGTACGGAAGTTTTTGTGAGTTGTTTAGAAAAATGGCCTACCCTTTGTCATAGCGTTGATGCGGTGGCAATGTGGAAACATTAGTTGTTGGCGATGGAGCACACACTGAAATCATTTGATTATTTCATTCAACACAGATTAAATAAGCTTTTTACTCTATCAAAAGCTTGTTAAACCTTGATATGCATAAACATAGAGCCCTTCTCGATTGAGGCCATTACGTGGGAGACTAGAGTACTTGAGTTGGGGATTCTGTAAGTGATTAGGTCCCAAGTAGCCTGGTGGAGTGTCATAGATATGATTGGGTGATCGTCTCGTTAACGGATTTGAATAATGTAATTGGGGAGGGTTTCTGATTATAGACATTAGAGATTAAAGGAAACGGGATTCCAAAAATGAAACGAGTTGATTTAGCAGGTGTTCGTAAAAGGGAAAGAAGGTGTTGGAATTGGGGAGAAAGGAGTGGGGGAGGGGATCTGAGTGCGTCGCTCCGCCCAACCGCCTCCCCTCTTTGTTCCCTCATAACCTTGATTTCTCTATGCCATAAGCTACTTAGAATTCTTAGAATTTCATCTAGTATCTTCAAGAGTCAGCTTTCAACATTTAAAAGTTATACAATGCTGGAATCCAACTACTATCTAGCATCTCAAGAAAGCCAAAAGCTACTTAGAATTCTTAGAATTTCATCTAGTATCTCCAAGAATCAGCTTTCAACATTTAAAAGTGATATGCTGGAATCCAACTATTATCTAGCATCTCAAGAAAGCCATAAGCTACTCTAGAATTCTTAGAATTTCATCTAGTATCTCCAAGAGTCAGCTTTCAAGAATATAAAAGTGATACAATGCTGAAATCCAACTACTATCTAGCATCTTCAAGAAAGCCATAAGCTACTCTAGAATTCCTAGAATTTCATCTAGTATCTCCAAGAATCAGCTTTCAACATTTAAAAGTGATACAATGCTGAAATCCAACTACTATCTAGCATCTTCAAGAAAGCCATAAGCTGCTCTAGGATTCTTAGAATTTCATCTAACATCTTCAAGAATCAGCTTTCAAAACTGAAAATTGATACAATGAAATCAACCACTATTTACAATTAGAACTACTTGTAAACGTGTATTATAAGCCTAGCAATACCCAATTATTGTAACAAGTAAGCTGGAAGTTCTTCTCAAAATACATTCAGATAAAGTTTTAATCATTTCACACTTTTCAGTTATTTTATTTTTCGTTATGGGTTGTTGAAAACACTTTGTCTCTCGGGAATTGCTTTAGAATCGGCGAGTGGAAGTGCTCCTGTTTCTCTTTTCTTTCTCTCTCTTCAAAGGGTGGAAAAAAGGTGTGGCACCAAATCGCGAATTGACATCGGATGCGCACACCAAATTCGAGATAAAGCAATAGTAGTAATCGTATAGTAAAGAAGAAGAAAAAAAAGCTATGATTCTTAAAAAGTGAAATAAGTTTTATTAAGTAACATCTAGGATAGGTCTATTTAATTTAATAATAGCAATCTATTTAATTTAATAATAGTAACATCTATTTCTATACTTGAACTCAGTTTCAGTTCAAACTGTTCAAGAAACGTTGCCGTTCAAGAGATTGCTTAACAACTTCAAGAGATTGCTCTCCACAAGAGCACATGTTCTTTTAATGCTTCGGGCATTCACAAAAGGCTGTGAGGTTGGTCGGTGGATTGAATGAGAGACCCCGAAGGGAATAGGGGGAAATCGAATGAATGAATCTCCCATTGATATGACTCGATGAATCGCATGGGTGCACTCAAATGCCTCCCCCTTGCAACCCCATCTATCCACCTGTCCAATTCGGGCTTCACTCGTGGGAAACAACTTCCCCTGTATGCAAATTGCAAAAGAAAAATAATCAAAGAACATTGTCGGAGTTGTTCAAGGAGAGAAAGGGGCACTTGAGTATCGAAGTAAACGAGAAAGAATTAAGAACTTAGTCAAACGAAGTTAAGCAAAAATGTGTCGGCAAGGTTTTTGATAGGAAAAGAAGAGATCTGATGGAAAAGAATGGATTTGAAAGAAGAAGATGGAGGTCCTCGAGAGCTCGAGAGCGGTCCTTGACACGCAATATGGTGTCCCTTCATTGCTTTCTTTTAAAAGAACTACCCAAAAAAAGAATTGCTTTGATGTAATGGCAAATAAAAACCGAATAAACTGTTTAATAAACCTTTAAACTTTAAACTTTTTAATAAACTAACCGAAGCTAGTTGGAATATAGTAAGCGCCTTCAGAATTTTTATGTAAAATGCATTCAGCTGGCGACCAGTCATCCAACGGTGGAGCTTCGTGAAGCTAAAGTTTTCTTTTCAAAGAAAATAAAGCAAAGAATTCACCTGTGATTGGCGCATTTGTGAGGTACTCACTTCATAAGAATTCCCGTGTAACATCAATTTATCTCTTGATGAGTGCGCTAAATGTTTTCTTATTTTTCAAAAAACACAAAGAGATTCTTGTATTGCTAAAGTAAAAGTACTACTACATTACTGGACAATGAAATATTATATTTGAAAAAAGATCGTCACTTTCGCGCGTCTGTAATGTCTGCCGATCTATGCCCCATACGGATCCGGAGTCGACCTCCCCGTGCGACTCGAATTGCGCTTTTTAAAAAATCCAGAAGCACTTTGCACAACTACAGCACTGGACAATGAAATATCATATTTGAAAAAAGATCGTCACTTTCGCGTGTCTGTAACTCCCTTGTCTTTACCGTATTTCTAAATATTAATATTATCATTGTGTAGCCCTTGAAAAGAGCTTTCAAAAAATGTATAACACTAATAGTTTCAACTCAAAGACAAGGGAATTACGGACGCGCGAAAGTGACGATCTTTTTTCAAATATGATATTTCATTGTCCAGTACTGTACCTTTCATATCGTTTATCGTTTCCGGATCTTCGTAAGTCTCTTCATCAGGTGAAAGTAGAGCCTAAAATCAATGAATTTGAAATGAAATCTGAATGTATCTGTGAATAGAAACAAGTATTATCAATTAGAATCACTAATCTACTTAATGAAATGATTGAATAACCTGTTGATTGGTTGGTGGTTGTGGTGGAAGCCATTTTGGTGGCGGTTGCCTCATCGGACTTTTCACAGTGCTCTTCACGCTAAGTGATGCTGTTTCCAATGTTCTTTCTGAAAATGGGTAATTTTGTTTGGAAGATCGAAATAAAGCCAAATGAAGTCAGAGATTTGATTTGGAGAAAGAATGGGTAGAAAGGGAAGCGGAGAGGAGAGGGCAAATGTCACTTCTCGCCTCCCTCCCGGCCAACAAGCATAGCGCAAACAGTGAGCTGATCGGCGGGTCAAACTCTGGTAAACATCTGCAGAGATTTCTTTCTTTTTTCTCCAAAATGGGTCATTCAAATACTTTTAAGGTATATCCCTTGTAAAGATTGGATTCCCGATTACGCCATTGTATTTACAAGCACTCAATTTAGACGAGTCTTGTTGAGATTTGGATAAGATCTTAAATGGAAATAGTTTAATGCAGCAGAGTCAGAGTTTAATGCAGCAGTCAGCAGTTTAATGTTTAATGCAGCAGAGTCTTGAAATGATCAGCAACTGATTAGTTCTTGGTAAAGTTATTGAATTTCTGTACTAAAAGCTTTTGAGTACAAAATAGCAATGGCTACAAATGCGTCTACAAAGTTGGAGACTAAAATGAACAGGTCATCTGCTTAACTGTTGACAGGGAAAGTTTTGCAGAAGAGAGAGTTGAATGAAAACAGGAAAAGGACACCGTATATACCCTTTTTTCATGGAAAGGGTATCTTTGTCGTTTTTTTTTCTCTTGGCAGAGAACGCCTTTCCTTTCTCATTCTTCAACTGATGACCGCACAGAGAAGGGCAATGGGCCGCGCATGAACGCCCTCCTTCAATTTCATCCTCCTTCTCTTTTCCTATCGAAAAGATTTCCAGCAACCTCGCTTTCTAAGATTTTTCATTTTGATTTTTCATTTCATTTCAATTGACTAGTGAAAGTCAAAGAAATGAATGAATTTATCTATGGAAGGCAAGAAAGTTTATCTATGCAGGGAACCAGTCATCCAACGGTGGGGCTTCGTGAAGCTAAAGTTTTCTTTTCAATCTCATTGTCAAATCAGATTAAACAACAAAGTTCACACTTTGTTACTTTGTTGGTAGACTTTTGTATACCTAAACTACATTCAAAAACAATTACAAATCAAATGAGAATCAGAAATCAAATGTCAATTAAAAATAGACACCCGGAAAACACCTATTATCATCCAGGAGAGATAGTACAAATATTGACAGAAAAAATCATGCCTAGAGGGAAAAATGTATTTCAGTGATGAGGTGTGAGGGGGGAGGGGAGGGGAGGGGGGAAAGGCCGGGGCAATATAGCAGTATCATTGAATGAGAAAATGTGTGCCGCGGTGCGTTTCATTTTCGAGGAGGGATCGGGTGACACAATAGGGGAAAAAATTTGGGCGAAATCCATCACAATCTCGACATGATTTAAAAGGGGATTCGAGTTTTTTTCTACTCCCGGGCCGTCTATTAGGCAGCCGGGTAACATTAGGCAGCCGGCTAACACAGTTTACCCGGCTGCCTAATAGATTTGGCATCTTTTAGAGATCAGTTTTGCAAAAAATGTGTGAATCAAGCTTACTCATTGAATAAAATTAGATTTAAAGTAAGTATTCAGTAAATGGAAAAGTTACTTTGGGAAAAGATTGACCGGTTGACTGAGAGGAGGAGTGGGTCGAGAAAGGGAGTGGAGACTGTTTGTGTAACAGAATGGGTCAAACGATTATTGCTCGATCTCGATTTAGGTGATTCGGGGTCACTCAATATCCCAAAATCTACAAAACTAATAGCTAATCCTTTTGTATCTATTTTAGATAGAAATCCGAAAAAAGAAAAGTGCTGTACAAGAGTGCTGTACAAGAGCTTGTTTTTTTTTTTGCTATTTGCACAGGTGCCAAGTACAAGAGAATTTTTATACCCTAACAAAGGTTTAGTTTTCTTCCAAATGGTGAAATCTCTATTTAAAGACATTGTTTATAATCAAAAACTTATTTATAATCTGTTTTCCCTGTCACTCTTTTAGTTTGATGGGACAGTTCATCGAAAGATAAGACGATTGAGCAATTTGACCTCCAACTTCCTTTTATAAACAATTACTCTGAAGAACCCAAAAAAACAAAAAAAAAAAAAAAAACATAAGATTTTTCTTGGAATCTTCTTGAGATTTTCTTGAAATTTTTTTGAAAATTTACCTTCATCTCTAGAAAGAATTGGTTGTGGCTTTCGGTGATAGATCCCAGCAGCAAGGCGTGGAAATGGAGCGCCACTCTCCATTCTGAAAATTGAAAATTGAAAATTTCATTTAGAAGTTGAAAAATTTCCCTTAAACAACCTCGAAATCTGAATCTGAAGCTCATTGAGAAAATGCAAACATTGGCCATTACTGTTTTTAGTTGTCATTACGAATAACAAATGAAATTTGAGTGTTTTCTTTTGATTTTCTTTAGGCAAAGGAACCGGAAGTGAGCGAATAGCAGACTGATTGCATCTCAGCTAACGATGAGATACTAAGAAAATAAAACAGAGAATGAAAGATAAAAAGAAAAAGATATGGCATTTGATGGACATGCCTGGAATCAGTGCTGTGTGTTCGTTTAGATGAGCTGGGAGAAGATGTGCTTTCGGAAGGAGATGATGATTTTATCGATTTTTCTCCAAAACGATCCCCACTGGTTGATGAAACTGCCGAATTTCGTTCTTCTGAAACAGAACTCTTTGCTAAATACTTTTAAAGATCTCGTTTATTGTTTTGATTTGATTACTTTGCTTGCGGCAAAAAAATGCGAGTATGAAAGTGATTTACGAAGGCATTGGACAAGAGAAAAAGGCAATTTATAAATAGAAAATGATCTAGATTTTGAAAAGGATTTAAGGATCTATAGAAAAAGCATAGGAATAGAAAAGGATTTAAGGATCTATAGAAAAAGCATAGAAATAGAAAATCAAGCGATGAGAAATGATGGAAAAGAATGGGTGTTGATCATTTGAAAAAGGGGCAATTGATTTTATTGGAAGAGGAGGACCCGGAGTGGGAGAAAGCGAGCCACAGAGAGACATCACTCTGACTCATTCATTCATTCATCCACGATCGTGCCCCTTTTTCCTAAGGAACACATGTGCTCACAGTCTCTTTGTCTGTCCGATAGCTTCAATCGTTTTGAAAAGTAACAGTTTTTACAATATGCTCCAGATGATCAAATTATGGAGAAGTTTAAAAGGAGACAAATAACCTCTGCAATGAAAAGAAGCTCTAAACATCGATCTAGATAAACTTTCTTTTCTTAAACTTAATTTCTAACAGTTAAGAAGAATTATGAAAAGCCTGGGAATCGCTCTCTAATCTCAATATTAAAAATAATAGCGGAATGAAGCAATCATTGATTCCTAGATTGCTAGATTGCTCGATTGTTAGGGTGGGATTGTGTGAGCATTTGGCAATATGGAAAGAGGATGACCTTATAATTGGTGTCGGATGATCGCCTAGGTGTCCCAGGCAGCAGAGCAAATTATCTCATCTCTATAGCTTTCCACCCGAAAATCAGTGCTCATTCAATCGTTTTCTTAGGGTTTTCGAATCAATTTTACCGGGTATTGTAGGGACATTCAATCAATTTTACCGGGTATTGTAGGGACATTCAATCAATTTTACCGGGTATTGTAGGGACATTCAATGTGTAGCCAAAGCGACGCGTGTTTTTGCTCAAAGAATCCACATTTGAGTCTAAACAGTTTTGATAAGAATTGTCATAGTCATCGTTTACCTCTTTGTATTTCCTTTGGCGAGTTGGTGGTACTTTTTGGGAGTTGATATCCATCTGGTGTCAAAATCGTCAACTCGACCTCGTTTTCGTACATTTTCTCTCCAACTTGGCGATCATTAACTGCACTTTGGCATTAGCTTTAAAGAGAAGGAGATTCGCAAATAGAAGATTTAAAAAAAGTGATTGATTTTTGACTGTGAAGCTCGAGAATTGTATTTTAGAAAGAGAATAAAGTATTCGGCTGAAAGGCTGAAAATATTAATCCTTCTTGGTTGAACGGTAGTAGACACTGCACTGTTTTTACCTTAACTTTACTAAGGCAGACTTATCAGTTTAGTTTCTATTTTGTGATTGGTCAAAAAGAGGAAAAAATAGAACTGAGAATGACGAATGGAAAGGCAATGGTCATTCTGGATTTGTGGCCTAGAGAGGCTCAATGTGGCCAACTGACTTTACGCTCTCGTCTCATCCTCCTCGCTTTTGCCTCTCTTCGTGCGTTTTTCTCTACATTCTCTTGTCTCCACTCGTCGACACCGAGATTCCCCAATGATATAAAAAAAGGGAAGTGCTGAAGAATATAAACTGAACAATCAGCCACTTGTCCCTTTTCTCACAAATCACTACGAGTGGTGATCGGAAATTATTAGGCTGGAAAGAAAGTTTTCTTAAAAAGTTTGAATGGAATTTCTTAAAAATCAATCCACCAATTCAAGAACATTTTGTTCTATTATTTACAAGTCGACTCCAAGAAATTACTCTTTAAAAGATGAGTGCAACTTTCCCTTAAAATTTTAGAGATTTTTGATAAATGATTATTTTCTTAGCTTAAATTAGCTTAACTCACTTTTTGCACGAGAAAAACGATTTCTTATGAGATAAAGCTAGCATAAATGAGCAATACGCTTTATAATCTCTATTTTTGGCCGAAAATTTTTTAGAGAGAAGCTGTATTTCAAAAAATCATTTTTTGATGTCATCTCCTTGGCACTGAGTGTTTGCTAAAATACCGTAAATACTGTAATAGCGGACAATGGTGATTAATCTTGAATCTAGCGCACTTTATTTCAGCTCCTGAATAAAGTATCTACCGTAAATACTGTAATAGTACCCCACCCCCATAATGACGGTGCGGAGTGTTGCGTAGTCTAGCTTTGAACGAGTTTTCCTCGACACTGTTTTATGCTACAATGCGCGCTTAGGTATCAAAAAATAGCCCCGAATTTCAGCTATTTTTTGATACCAAAGACGCATTTTTTGAAAGTACGGGCGCTTTGAAAAAAATGAAATACTAAAAAAGACACTGGGTACGAGGGGGGGGACTATTACAGTATTTACGGTATATATCAAAATTTGTTTTTTTAAAATCCTTTTGTGTCAGTGCAAAATTTGAACTTTTAGAAGATCGAGATAGTTAATAATAAGAGATAATAAGCATCGATAATTATAGGCTACTCTGTAACCATCGTTGCTCTGCATTACTCGTGCACCAACATCAAACAAGTCAAAAATCAAATCGAACATCGATTTTTGAAAATTTTCAACAAAAAAAGCCTTTTCACTTTTCATATTTGATTTTCTCAGAAAATGAAGAAAAGTTCTCGATTGAAGGGGCAAATGTGCAGGTGCAGCGGTACTGTGAAAAAGCGTTGGCGTAATGGAAATGTGAATATCTGATGAAGTGGAGCTCTCATTGCTCTCATTCACTCACGGATTTTACAAAAGTTTTCCTGTAACTTGAATCGATAATTTTTTTTTCATATCAAATTGCTATCAAATGCTTTCCACTTCGCCACTGCTTCCTCCTGGTGGTAAAGGATGTGTCGGAAGTCGTCCAGCGGCCGCATGGGAGAAAACTCCACAGGTAAAAGAAACAGAAACCTTTAAACTATAGCTAAATTTGTTAAATGTGTTAAATTTATTGCAAAACTTTAAATTTAATCTCTTTTAGTTAGTCGCAAAGCGAAACGCTCGCGAACGCACCAGGGTACACACGGTAAATCAGGTAAAATTTCGAAATTCTAATCGAATTCACTTTTCTAAATCGAAATCTTTTTCCAACACAAGCCGGGTTGTTGATCTAAAAATTTTGATCAACTTTTTTCAAAGTTTTCAACAAACCATTGGTGGCTCCCATTCACCATCCATATCATCATCCCAATCTGATGGCCGTGCAGCTTCTGGATCCGGAATCAATTCATTCTAAATGCTTGTATAGTACTCTAGTAGAAGCCTATAAGAGCGTCGCGTCTAAGCTTACACTCAAAGAACCGCTCATATCTTGACACCAGTACGTTTGTTTCTGCGCGCTTAGGTATCAAATTAAAGTAGAAAGATAGGGGAATTTTTTGAGATATAACACATATTTTTAGCATTGAGCAGCGCTTAGAAAAAATAATTGAAAAGTGACAAAAAAAGCCGGTTGTTCATCATTTTTCAATTATTTTTTCCAAGTGCTGCTTAATGCTAAAAATATGTGTTATATCTCAAAAAGTTCTCCTATCTTTCTACTTTAATTTGATACCTAAGCGCACAGAAACATATCATCATCCCAATCTGATGGCCGTGCAGCTTCTGGGTCCAGAATCAATTCATTCTAAATGCTTGTATAGTACTCTAATAGAAGCCTATAAGCTTATAATTTCTAAACTAATTCAATTTGTTCAATTCAATCAAATTTTGTTTTCTATTTCGCAATATTGATTTCTAGGCTTTCCTGATTCTTAAATGTCATCTACCCTCACTTCGAGCTCACAATAAACGAGTCTCAAAGCTGAAAATTCTCCGTGCCACCATAAAGTATATCAACACGCTTGCGGATTTGGTGAGGGTTTGTGAAATTTAAATATGACATAGAATTTATAAATTTTTCACTTACAGACAGTTTCTGACTCGAGTCGAAATGATGAGATTGATAGGGTTGAAGCGAACGTTTTACTACGCTCGCACACTTCTCTACTTCGCTCAACGACACTTGCTGCTTTAAAATCGGATACAATCGTTAAAGAATCCGGTGAGCTTTCGTACAAGTTTTGCCAACAAAAAACCCTTTCAGCTCCAGCTATTCAATCGTCAGAGAGTGCTTTTCATCCATTGAATCCGCATCCAGGTATGGTTACCGAATTTCTTCGAATAGAAGACCGGGTAAAGTGTCGAGCAGTCTTTTCTGCATAAAAGCTTTCAATCAATGCAATAGAGCTGGAAAATGGCTCAAAAATCTGTTAGCTCATGTGGTATTTTTGAGTCATTTTCCACCTCCATAGCACTTGATTGAAAGCTTTTATGCAGAAAAGAAATTTTAAAAAGGGCTGCTACGCAGGAGTACGCGATCATACTCTTTACCCGGTCTTCTATTCGAAGAAATACGGTAAATCAATATTCAATTTAGTCTTTGTAGAAGTCTAGCTCAAAATTCAATCTTGTAGAATAAATCTGTAAAGTAAAACTCTGAAACTTTACAGTAATCTCATCATAGGTGAAAATTTTCAGCTCCTCAACCCGCGATCACTCTATTGGACTATCACGGTTACATGTACCATCCACAAACGATGAGCGATGGCTCAATCTATGCCGCCCCAATCCCACTTTCCACTTACAGTTTCACGTCACGTTAACTTCCACATTTTTCCATTAAAAATCTTATTTATTCAGCACAACAACAACAAAAAAAGTTGCATCATTAACTTGAAAATGAAGATCTTTAACAATAATATACATTAATAGCAAATTAGATCAGTAAGAAAAAAAAATTGTTGAGACCAAAAAAAGATGATCTAATGCCGAGATTAGGGACTATAAATTAGCGGGATTAAGAATGCATGTAATAACTAAAGATTGAAGCTACCACAGCATGTATTGGCACAACAGCAACAATAAAAAAATGTACCCACGACAAAATGAATGATTACTAAGAGCAAGATCTTGAAAGGAGAACAAAAATCCTAGACGAATTTGATAATTTGCGCTATAATTTATTGATCTTTTCTTGGCTTGCGTTTGACGGCAGTGGTCTTTTCCTTTTGTGCAGCAGCGATATGCGACTCAGAATCGTTTGAAGAAGCTGGAGTTTCTTCAACTGCTTCCTCACGCTTCAACTCATCCTCTTCATAACCGACTTCCATGTCAGATCCGGAATCCTGAAAAGCATTAATACATTTATTCAATATAAATGAAATTTTCAATATTCATATTCATATTCAGTATGACACAAACAAATCCACAATCCCTAAAGCCCCTATTGCCCTAAAGATGTTGCAGAGAAAACCCCATGGGAAAAAGAGCCAAATTTTATAGCCGCTGGGATCGAACCAGTGACTTCCAGACTAGGATACAAGGCTCCTAACCAGTCGGCTATGGCGGTAATAATCATGTAAAATTTCATTCAACTTTACAAGTAAAGCACAAAAGGTCTGTAAATCTGTCTGTAAATTTACAAAATCTGAAATTTTTAGACAAAAATGAAGTTGACGAAGGTTATTTCGATTCTTTACCTCCAAATCTCCATAGGTTTTCGCAACACCATGCGAATGGCTGCTACTTTGTGAATTTGTACGTGAGCGATCATGTGATCCATTCTGAAACAAATTTCTGTCTTTTCGAACTTTATTTTCCCCAAACCTTTTCCTGATCTTCTTCATCTTCGATTTCTTCCTCAATCGGTCCATCCTTGTTCCCTTTTTGTGTCTTTGCTAAGTTCTCATCATCATCTGGAACCAGCGCATCGGTTTTCTTTCTAAGGGCATCAGCTGAAGTGACCGGAGCTGAAGATTTTCGTCCAAAGCAGCACATTGCAATTCCTGAATTTTTCATTTCTTTTCCGTAATCTTTTGACAAACCAATGCCTGGGAGAATGACACAAAGAGCCAAGACAAGGAATAGCCATGGGCGCTCGTTAAATGTTGAAGACAAAGAATACCAGAAGCCTCCTCCATCACCCTGAAAAAATCCAATTTGATTGTTAAATTTTCTTTTTCACTTTGCTTCTAGCGTATCTCTCAGCTTCTTGCTTTCGAATGGCGTATGTTTGTGCAGCAACTTCAGCCGCCAATTCTTCGCTGTCAGTCACAAGAATGTTGTCTAAAAAAAAGTTTCTATATAGCTATTCAGTTTTATTACCAAAAATAATTCTTTCGCTCATTGTCCATAACTCGATTCCAATTGCAGAGATGGGAGCTAATCCACCAAAAGGTGTCGGCAAAAAGTGGTGAGGATTCGGAATTTCCTGGGCAGTCCAAACTCCTTTGAAAGCAAGGTTTGCGACTTTAGGACGCCTCCATTTACCCTAGAAATTATTTTGAATCTTGCAAAATAGAAACTCAAATTACTTTGTATAAAGGATTTGGAATAGATGGTCGTTTCCATTCCCCACAACCACTTTTTCCAACACAAGCCGGGTTGTTGATCTAAAAAGTTTGATCAACTTTTTTCAAAGTTTTCAACAAACCATTGGTGGCTCCCATTCACCATCCATATCATCATCCCAATCTGATGGCCGTGCAGCTTCTGGATCCGGAATCAATTCATTCTAAATGCTTGTATAATACTCTAATAGAAGCCTATAAGAGCGTCGCGTCTAAGCTTACACTCAAAGAACCGCTCATATCTTGACACCAGTACGTTTGTTTCTGCGCGCTTAGGTATCAAATTAAAGTAGAAAGATAGGGGAATTTTTTGAGATATAACACATATTTTTAGCATTGAGCAGCGCTTAGAAAAAATAATTGAAAAGTGACAAAAAAAGCCGGTTGTTCATCATTTTTCAATTATTTTTTCCAAGTGCTGCTTAATGCTAAAAATATGTGTTATATCTCAAAAAGTTCTCCTATCTTTCTACTTTAATTTGATACCTAAGCGCACAGAAACAAACGTACTGGTGTCAAGATATGAGCGGTTCTTTGAGTGTAAGCTTAGATTATGCGACGCTGGCGATTTAGAGTTCACGCATACCTCATCTTCAAGCCAATCACTGGGTTTTGTAGCAGCTTCATTGAGGACTTCCTTTGGTTGACTTTCGTCCCAATCCTCTGGCTTTACAGCTGTTTCATCTGTAAAAAAAAATTTCAAAGCTTTTAAAGGATTGTGATAAACCATCGATCTCTGCTCGATCATCCCAATCTTCTGGCTTCTTATCTTCGGGATCAGCGATGATTTCTGGTGGAGTAAGCGATGGATTCACGTTCTAAAAAAAATATTTTTGTCTTATCACTATTTTTCCAAAGCTACCTTCAACAAATTCCCATAGAAAAGCGATCGTTCATCGACTTTCACTTCATAATCGCCAGACGATTTCACAACCAGCGTGTAGAGGTGTGTCTTGTGATCATCCCAATACGATGTTCCAATATTGTCCGGCTGTTTAGCATGATATTCCTGGATTTTGAATTTTTCAAAAAACCTATACTTGGCCTTACATCAACAGATCCATTTTTCGGGTTGGTGTACTTGAAAATGAGATGCACTTTGCCGCTGGGGCCACATTTGTCTGGACCAAACATGATTGTGTATGGAGTTTTGTCCTAAAAATGATTTTACCTCTCAAGTTCAAGACAAATTTTCTACCTGAAAGTTTTCCAAGCTCTTTTCAGAGCCTTGACTAAGCAATTTCAAATATCCACCACCACATTCTTGACCTTCCTCAAACTGAGCCTCGTATCTGCAATTTGATTTGTAAAAAGTAAACTTTAACTTGAAAACTGACTGTAAAACAAGCGGCTTTCCATCTTCAACAAATTCGAATGCTTTATCTAATTTTGCGGCAATAGCATGATGACGAGCTTTATTGATAACGATGAGACCGTGATCGTCTTGAATTGAGACATCGCTTGGCGCACCGATCACCCATTGTCCATCGTATTTGCTGATTTCTGCATCGGCTTCGTCTTTCTTCGCTTTACTCGCAATCCATCGATCACCAATCTGAAAGGATTTTGCCTAAGAAAAACAAATCCCAACTCACCTTTTCACTTGTCGGGAAATAGTCGAAGAAATATGGCTTAATCGATAGTGATGGTGTTATGAATGTTGCTGGAACAAAGGCTTCCTAAAAATTTCTTAAAGAAAATCTATTTTAGCATAATAAACCTTTTCCTCATCGGTACCCTTTTCAACACCCTCATTGTCTTCAGCAAAAGATCCAAATACAAGAATTTGTATTAGTAACAAGCCAATCCAACTTGGCCTCATCTAAATTAAATTATATCACTTGAAATGATTATGAAATCGAAACAGAACAAGATGACATTGAGAGAGAGAAAAAGCTGATCACATTGCAATGATAAAAGTACATCGCATAATCGGAGTAGGGGAGCGCTCATAGTAGCACGAAATTGTGAAGTATGGGGGAGAAGGAGGAAAAGAAGAGAATGGTGGCGGAAGGGCACCCCTTTCCTCTTTTTCCTTTTCTTCCTTTTCCCTTCTTTTCCCCGCCTTTTCCTTTCTCTTTTCCATCCCGATTCGGTAGACGCTTTTCTCTCGCGACTACAAACTTCAGCACTCTCTCTCTCCGCTTGACAATCAATCCCATTCTCTTTCCCCGGGTTGAATAATGGCAGGTGCTAGCCCTCGTGTATAAATACTCGTGTACCTACTCGTGTATAAATACTTTTTGGAAGCATTAGCATAAAGGACTCAGACTTTCGGATTAAATGGGAAGCATCTTTAGGAAAAGTAGCTACAGGTACCGTAGCTGTACCTGTTCAGACTTTTGTGTGTTTGAGAAGAATACTGTATTCTATAAGACTGGCACTGTAGCTGAAACTGCTCTGATAAGTACAGGGTGGCACAAAGTTTCTTGGACTGTTTGAGAATTAAGCCAACTAATGCATTTTTCTCAAAACTACCAATGGGTTCAAATCCAAGTATTTTTACCTTAGCAAATGCACTTGAATAACAAAATTTAAACGCATAAAATTTTTGAGTTACTGGTCTTTTAGGAAATCTTTGATCACAATTACCTCTGGGGAAAATAGAGACTAAATTTAAAAGAAAATCAAGTTTTGACAGAATCTGTTTTGACAATTTTCTAGAGCTAAGATTTGACTGCTGAACAAGCTTTAAATGAGACCGATATCTCAAAAATAAAAGATTTTCAAGCAATTCTACAGAGAGTACTCGAAATTGACAAAATGACAAAAGTTCTGTGGTATCCTTGAAAGATCCTCAAAAAAACCATCTAGCGCTCAATTTTTGAGTTTTCTAAGGTAAAAATACTTGAATTTTATGAATCCAATGTTAGTTTTGCAAAATCTAGTGCAAAATCACAAAATCACTGCAAAATCAGCAAAATCAATGCAAAATCTAGTGCAAAAAATGGCCACTCAAAAACAGTCCAAGGACTTTTGCGCCACTCTGTTTGGGAAGGGTACTGTAGCTGTTTATAAGTAGTGTCTTCCTCTCAAGAAATGAATTTCTAAAAAGCGCGCTTAAAAAAGGCTACCGTAACCCAGACAAAACAAATTACTTGTAACAACTTTGTCTTTGCAATTTTTATTTAAGAATCGTCTTTTTGTGTTTTCAAAAGTTTTTATCAATGATTTTATAAATTATGCGTTTTCCTGTTTAGTTTGATTAAATTTAGACCTATTGGGAACAATTTGGGAACAACAAATACATAGAATATGGTGTCTAGCTCACAGGCGACGGTATTTTTTCATTTAAGCTGCATAGAAATTTTTTTAAGAACACTGCTTTGCCAAAGAGGCAACCTAGTCTCCCATCGTTAGTTTGGAGTTTTATGAGTAAAACCAACGAGGACAAGAATTTTATAACAACATGTAATTTATGCCCCAAAGATAAACTCGCAACATTTGCAATCACTACAACTAACGGCATGCGTTACCATCTAAAAGTAGGAAGGTGGAAGGGTTTATTAATATTGTATTAAAAGCCTAGAAGACTCATGCAGTGATTTGGAAGAATGCAGAAGTAAAAAGGGAAACTGAAAAGACAGATATCGTTGCAAGAATTCAAAGCTCTGAGCCAAGTCGCAAAGCTTTTTTGTGGTTTTAAATTATAGCATAACTAAATTAGCTTTTTAGAAAAGAGGATACTCTATTAGTATTAACCTTAGCAGAATCGAACATATCAAGCAGCCAAATTGAACGTAGTGCTAGATGGAAAGCTTGGTTTAAGGCAAAAAATGTTGTTTAACCTGGCCGTAAAAGGTTTCTAAAATGCTATAATTCACTAAAAATTAAATGATCAAAAAAATCAAAGAAACAATGGTTGAAGCTTTGGAGAAACAAACGATTGAAAAATTGTCGAAGAGTGTTGATGAATGTGCCCTTAGCAGTGACGCCTATTCATCGCAAAAATATCCATTAAATTACAACATAACAATCGTACATTTTCTCAATACAAACGGACAGAAACGTAATGTGATTTTATCGTTGAATAATCTAAATGGTGCTTATTGTTAGCTGTTAAAGATCAATTAAAAAATTTAGATCAAACTCATACAGTCAAAACTATAACAAATGATGTTAGCGGTAATCGACAAATTTCAACTAGCCAACAAAGTCCAGTTCTTTGTTGCTGATGGGGCTGGCGCAAATATCAACGCCGCAATTAATATGAACTTACCTCGGTAGATCTAGATTAACTTTACCTTATCTGGCGTGTTTAGCGTCTTCTGCTTTGCTCATCCAATTCACAATGTGGCTAAACGTTTCAAAGAACTCACCCAACTGACAACAGCTATTGATAGCCTTAGAAGTGCCGTCGCCACATTGCCTAAAAGCATTGTTCTAAAAGGAGAGTTCAAAAAGTACAAATTTTAAAATAATAGTTCATAGCGTGATTTTATTAGACGCTACCCTACGGCAAGGCGCCCTCAGATCGATGTATGCACTCGTTGGGGATCTACCTTTGAAATGATCAAATCATGTTTAAAGTTGGTCATAAAAACGTGTAGAACTAAAGTGGTTTTAAATCTAGATACAATTCATTAACGAAATTGCGGCTCAACTATCGAAATCGACTGCGCAAAATCGATCCTAAAAATCAACAAGAACAAGCAAAGTTGTCGGAGTTTTGTGAAGTATTGGATGTTGCCCATCGTATTAGCTCAGAGGTTAAACCAAGTGGTTTTTAATTTACTAAATACACCAATACACCAAATACAAATACTAAATAGTCTTAAAGGCTTGCAAAGAGGAAACCTGCATGGTAGTCACATATTGTTTATGGATATCAGCTGAAATTGAACTTAAAAACTGTGCTACTCCGCTGGCATCCCAATTTAGTGACATTTTCAAGGAGGCTAAGCATCAAATTATAATCGAGACTGTAAGTTATTTTAAAATCCTATATTCTGTGAATTATTTATATAGGAAGCTTCTTTTTCTGACCACCAGCTTTCTTTACAATCCTCTGTCAAAACATGTTGAAGATTGGGACAAATGCGCCGATGCTATAAAGAAAAAATACAACGGTTCTTCAGAGTTTTAAATTTTACAACCTAAAATTTAAGCTACACGAGCCGCCCAGCCAACTTATTCTAATTCAACATCAGCTAAAAAGTTATCACTAGATTAGCTATTGTATTTGTATTAGCTAAGTGAAAAATTTCATTTTTACCCCCTAATTTAGCATGAAGTAGATGCTTATATTTTCATGGTGAAAAGCAATCCACCTTTAATCGAAGTAGATATTCACTCGTTTTGGCATAAAAACCGCTTTGAGTTTTCAACGTTAGCAATAACCGTAAAATAAACCTATTTACTTTTAGCTACACAAAAATATAACAAAATACTTGCTTACTCCTATTGCTTTTATTGATGCGGAATGTGTATTTTCTAAATTGACTAGAATCTTTTCCGATTCACGGAAAAGCCGTTTAACAGCAGATTCGGGAAGACTTCTTTTTTTCCTATAGCCCTAACAAATACTGCTAGATTTTTATTAATAGAAAAATTGCAACTTTAAAGTTTAGTGTTCTTTATGAAAATGCTCCTTCTGTTTTACACGACATAAATCAACTTAGTGTCTCAGAAGAAATTGTTATGGGATGCTCTCTTGAAAACGAAAGTGTTACCGGAGAAGAATCAAAATCAAATCAATCAATCAAGCTAATAGTTTTTCTATTAAATTTAAAAATATTAAAAGTATCTCTTTGCTGCCATTCCTTTGTCTTTGTTTCTTTTCCACATTGCTGTTTGTTTCTTACTCTATCGTTTGGTTTTCTCTAAAGCACACACATTAAACTCTGGTATGGTTAATTTTACAGAAATATACGGACAAAAAATTCTCCTTGTAGTTGATGAAGTTCTTTTTAGTTTATTTCCTCTTGTTGTTTTGATAATCTAAAATTAAACGTTATAAAAGTTGTTAAAGCACAAAAAAAAGAGAAAAACGTTTAGCTAAAGTTTGAAAAAAGTAAAAAAACAGGTTCCCAATCATACACTAAGCAGTAATTAGAAATTGAATAACATATTTCTGTTGCGGGAAAAAGAAAAAATATGGCAAAAGGCATTGGCTAAACATTTTTTTCGTTCAGAAAACCAAAGCGTGAACTAGGTGCATTTTAGAATTGCATTTCTTGACTCTCTTGGCACATTTCTTAAGACAAAATTTTTCTTGATATTTTTTTCTTAAAAAATTTCTTGACCGAGAGGAACACACTCTATTTACAGTGGTCCACAAAAGTAATGCCCCATTGCCATCCAACAGTATGTTTTGCAAGGAAATCTTGCAAAATCGACATTTCAGAAAAAGAGTAGGGTATTTTTATCTACCTATAAGACTCGACTCTTCAAGAATATAAGATTTATCCGTATACATTGCATACAAATTAAAGTACAAAACAAAAACAAAAAGCTACTTGAAAATTAGCTCCAAATTAGCTCAAAAGTAATGCCCTATTTGCAAAGAATTAACACAATTTTTTAAAATCAATACTTGGTTGGTCCTCCTTTTGCTTTTATTGCTCCATTGAGTCGATGCGGCATGAAATCCACGAGATTCTTCAAAAGACTTTGGGGGATGGTGGCCCAGAGACGTTGAACGTGAACCCATAAGGCAGCTTTCGAATCGAATTTCTTTCCCTTGAGTCGTGACTTCACAAATGACCAGAGATGCTCGACAACATTGATATCCGGTGAGTAGGGAGGCGGATTGATCAATTTGACTCGACTTGCCGCAAACCAGCCCGGAAGTCGTGCTCGTGTACCATTTTGAAGAGTCACCACCGTTCCCATCATGAGCCATGACTTGTGTTTCGGGTCGTTGTCCTGGTAAAGCATCCATCCAGGAGGCATCGTCTGTGTGGCAAAAGGCAGCATTTGGGTCTCCATAATGTTCTTGTAAGCCACAGCATTCATCGTTGAGTTGACGTGAACTAATGGACCTACTGAAGTTCGTGACATCGCTCCTAAAGAAAAACAGTCAGGTGACAAAATACTAAAAAGGCTCTTATCCCAACACATTATGTTGCCTCTATTGAATTTCACCGTAGGCCGAATGTACTTGAGTGTGTATCGCTTTCCAGTCGGCCGCCGAATAAGATGGTTTCCGTCCGCGTGAAATAAATTGATTTTTGTCTCATCGGTAAATAGCACTTTCGCCCAATCACTTATTGTCCAACTTCGGTAGGTCCGTGCAAAATCAAGGCGCTGCTTCCGGTGCTTAGAATTCATCAGAGGTTTACGGGCAGCCCTTCTTGCATATAATCCAGCTTGATTTAATCGTCGTCTGATCGTTTCCGGCGATACAACCTTGTTAAATTGATCCCTCATCATTTGGCTTCCATCGGTTGATGTTTTGTTCGGATCGTTTTTCACCATTTGGATCACGGCTCGATCTTCTTTTATGGTTGTGATTGGTCGTCGGCCACTCTTGAGGCCTCGATGAAGGTTTTTGCCGGCTTTTGATTGAGAAAAAATGCGGCGCACTGTCCATATCGAGCAATTGAAGAGGTTGGCCACATCCCTCTCCCGCATCCCATTTTCCCGGGCCTTTAGCGATTTGGAGCTTCTTCGGAGTGTCAAGATTTTTCATGTCAGGAATCTAAATAATACAATAGAATACATTTAATGTTCATAGAAGGAGAAACAAAAAGAATAATCATGAAAACGATCAATGGGGCATTACTTTTGTGGAGCTAATTTTAGGGGTAATTGCACTCTTCCACATCGATCTTTTGATTGGAAGGATCTCAATCAAAAAATCCAGTTATTTAACAACTAGAATTTCTAAAGTATTTTAAAAGAAAAAAAAATATATTTTAAATACATGTTTTCAGGAGGAATTTTGCAAAAAATACTTTTGAATGGCAATGGGGCATTACTTTTGTGGACCACTGTATATTCTATTTATAAGACTGGTACCGTAGCTCTGTCTGTCTTATCCTTTTAAAAGGTGATCATAATCAAACCAAGTAAATTGTGTTTAAGAAATGGATTTATTTTAAACTTTTTATTCATTTTTTTCGGATTATGAACGTGGCGTTTTTCAGCTGCACAATTTGGTCTCTGGGGGGTGAAAAAAAACTGCTAACAATTGGGGGCATCTGTGCCGCTAGAAAAGCCAGTTTCGAGAAAAATACAAAAAAATAAAGAAATTTGAATTTTAAATAAAACAAAACATTTAAACCACAACATCAATCAACGAACTGGACTATTTTTTTTTTGGTGGGGGGGAATTTATTGGTTTAAATCCAGTCGTCAGGGTTTGGAATTCTAGGGTGGGACGAAATAACCATTTTTTTATTTTGCACCAAAGAGCCGAAAATGGGGAGAGAAGAGGTGATGATTCTTGGAGATTTCAGGTGAACTGTACAAAAACAAAAAAAAATTAGTTTCATTAGATTGGTGCTGAAAATTCACGATTCAAATCCGTAAAGTATCAATGGTAGCAGTCTTGTACCAATTTCTACCTTTGCTATTTCGTGGATTCGAATCAGAACTAGAGTGAGTTTCTCCTCTTGAGTAACACGTTTTCTAAAATGTTTCATTTATCAAAAAAACTACCATAGTCTTGTCTTGAGTTTTTGTAGAATTAATCAACTTCCTATTATTTTTGTATCCTCACGAAATCAGACAAAAGCAGGTAGATTCAATAAAACTAGAGACAGGATATGGTAGTTTTTGATGCGTTTCAGAAAACGCATTGCTTGCGAGCACACTCCACTATGAATCTGGGCATCAAAACTCAATATTAATCAGAAAACAAACTGGTAAGGGAGCTGGGACTTGGAGAGTTGAAAAAAAATGATAAAAAGTTATGCAAAAAGATCATTTAGAGAGGTGAGAGGTGAGAGGGGAATTTTTTGAATAAAAGGAGGTGTCGCCGAATCACATGGCAAAAACGGTTGACAAAAATGGTGTTTTGGGTGAAAATGGGGGAATCATGAGTGGTGAAAAAGAAAGAAAACCGAAAAACAAAAATGGTAACTCGATTTTGTTTCTCGGTGAATACTAACTTCAGGAATAAGCTACTCGGCAAAAATGAATGAACGGGGTTTTTTTTGAAAAGAGAAAGGGAAACAATTGATAATCGATTTGTTTTTTTCTCAATTTCTTCCTGATGCCGAGGTAAGCTCGTTGAACGCTTGCTGCACACAGCTAAAATTTATAGGTTTATCAAGATCGAAAACCTTTCAAACATGGTAGAAAAAATTTCATTAGATTATGTGATCGGATTATATTTTATGATCAGAAACTTTTCACTGTTTTTATTGGATTAAGATAGTTTTTTTTGGGTTACGATAGTCTTACTTCTTCAAATCGGCATATGAAACGATGAGAACATTTTCGCTATCACGTGACACCAGCGCTATCTTCTCAGAAACTCCCGCATCGAGCTAAAAACATTTGAATATCAAACAGAAATATGATTTTGTACACTACCTTGTTTAATGTGTGTACAACGTGGGCCATGTCCATCCATGGTTTACCCGTGTCGGTCACCTGAAATTTGTTGAGGCTTATAAATTGTCAGTGTTCACATACTTGGTGAAAAATGTAGTCTCTGAAGAGTTTAAGCAGAAAGCGATCGCCTGTTTCCGACCATTGTCCCATTTCGGCTTCGGGTCTCTCAATGATCGTGTTCAACTTGCAGAGCAAGCGAAAGAGACGCCCATTTTCCAATTCCTACAAAGAAAATCAAGATTTCAATTTTCCCATTTCATTCGTTTACCTTGCTGAGCTCATTCTCGAGAATGTCATTTCTCAATTGGGCACTCTCGAGTTGAGCATAGAATCTCGCACCAATCATCGGCATCACCTCATTGATCGATCTTCTTGGCGCACCGGCTTGTCCAACGGATAGCAAAAAGCTAAAATTTTCAATGCATTTGTTTGATATTTTATGCAAACTTGACAAGATTTCGCATATCCGATGAGTAATGTTGTGCTACATAAGTGAGTGATTGATTGGCATTTTGTCCGACAAGATTCGCCTTTCCGGTGGCTAGGCAAAGTATTAAACGGCCCAATGCGACAAGATCTTCGTTCTAAAATTATTTATTTAATTTATAAAAGTTCTACATATTCTTTACCTGTAGTTGCTGAATAGTTTGTCCCTCAGGATTCAGAACATCTTGCACACCGCATGAAGAAAGTAAAACCTAGAAATCCAAACGTTCATCATCGGTTTCTTTATCAGATACCTTATATTTCCCATGAATGAGAACTTTTTCCAAAGATAGACACCGAGCAGCAAGTCCAGAAGCATGAATTGCCCTATAAAAAGTTGAATTTTGACTCAAAAGTATGTTTACCGTAAAGCGGAGCTGAGTTGTACGATGTAGTTCCAAAGAAGACTTTCAACAATGATTCCAGCCGGTGGATGATGATGACCTATTCGAGCTCCATCTAGATAGGCTAATTTTTCATTTTCCTATTTGAAACCCACTCATCGAGTCAAGGAAACCGCCAGCTCCAGCAAAATGTCGTTGTTTCAGCGAGAGTGCCTTCGGGTGATAGTCGGAAACAAAGATCAGAGCTAAAAAATGTTTATGGATGTTGCTTAAAGACAAAGAATCAAATCTTTGCCACTTACAGTTATCGCCAAAGCCACGCGTTTGTACCACTTCTCTCAACTGCACGATGTTGACATGCACCAATTTTCTCCAGTTCTCAGCTGCATGAAGCGGTTTCCCAGTAGCGTTTGGTGGTCGAAAGTCTGAAATAAAGCTAGAAACAAAAAGTTTAGTCAACAGAATTACTATGAATCCGTCGTATCGCATATGGAGTACCGTCTCTAACAGAAACCGCTTTGTAAACGGTCGAAACTTGATTCGGTGGAAATGGTGGTTGCGGTAGACGTTCCAAAGGGACAAGATCTCTTAAAAAGTAAATTATAGAGTCATTTAATTGATCCCAAAATACCTCATATGTTCGATTTGTTGTGGTAGATCCGGATAGATGTTCGGGTCGGCTTTGCACTCTATAGCTAGCTGTCTATCAAGTAATTCCTAAAAAAAAATTTATTGTTCAGAACTTGAGCAATTTTGATATTCACTTACCAGTTTCAATTCAGGTGCTAGAAATTGTGTCATATTGTTTCCACCGGTCGCGCCGCGAGGTCGAAATTTCCCGATATGTGGAACTGGTCCATTATATTGGAAAACGCCGTTCGTTTGCTAGAAAGAATTGGGTTTATTTTTAAAGTTAGAGAAAAATTCTGACAATCATCGCTTGCGCTCCTCCCTCAGCGTCTGGCTCGAGTTCTTCGCCCGGTCCTCCATAATAGTAAGAAGATTGATTCTGCAGTTGCATTTTTCTTTTCCTTACTATTAGAAATAACAAACCGGTCCGCCATAGGTGTCAGATGGTTCATGAGAGATCACCGAGCCTAAAAATGAGCTTTGTACAGTTGACATTAAAACGTCAAAGATTTAGCGGTAATGAGATAATGAATGCAAGTTTGCAGATTTGTGTCAAGATAAAATTAAAGATGTAAGATATGGTTGTTGGCGTTGACAATGAAATTTTCTCGAATGTGAGAAGAAACGCACTGAAAGGACGTTGTTGGGAGAAGGGTGACCGGGAATGATTTCTATCTACATTCTCCCCAGCTCCGAGGTTCATCTGAGCGAAACGGGGCACGAAAGCGGGCACCTAGAAAAGATTGGGTAGTTTGAAAAATTGATATTAATTTGAATTTTTGGACATTTGCTCTCACATCAACATTGAGTCCTTGCATGCTGGCGCCACTTCCCTGCGAAGGCAGTTGAAAGTGCCCACTGCCTGTAAATTTACAACGTTTATGCAAAACTTCAGTTTTTTTGAAGAATAATATTGCTTTTTTGACAAAAAACCACGAAACTGACTTTTTTTAGCCAAAAACCATGTTTCAGGGAAAAAGCCTTTACTTTTCAGACTAGACAACTATAGTCCCAGTAAAAACGGTTTATTGATAAAACTTGCCCCGATTTGAATTGCCTCCTCCCAAATATTGGTGCAAACGCGATCCGGCCGGAATCTCCCCATACGGCGCTTCATGTAAGCTCATATAGAACCAAAATTCTAAACGTTACTTTAGTGGAAAAATTTACAAAACTTTAATATCTCCCAAAACTAGACATTCATTGTCTGGAGCGGTTCGATGGGCTTTTTCACCCTGCGCCTACGAGAGCACACAATCGACACCTTGATGCCGATGTTTCGTTTTGTGTATCGATCGTTCAAGAAAGACAAAAATAACAAAACACAAATAGGCACTCACCTGACAAAAAAAAATAAAAAATAATCGTAACTATAAAAATTCAAGCGTCTGCAAAATATTAATCCGTTTGTGAAACAATTTCGGAATTTTTTGCAGTTGAAAAACACAAGTCAATAATAATCACAGAAATTTATTCTCAAGAAAACAAACAACATATTGCATATGTGTGCAATTAAGTCGAAAAAATAAAATAATTCGTAAAAATAAAACTTTGAACAACTAGAAAAAGTCACTGGCACGCGCTCTTTGAGTTTCTTGCGAATCACTTGCATGCGCTTCTGGTGTCGATTGAGTGCCGGCCACATCACCTAAACCAAAAATAACTTAAAAATGTGCCCAAAACTTACTAAACGTTTCTCCAATTTTGAGCAAGTTGTCAGTAATTGAGCCCGTATCCAACGAACTACGAAGAGGGGTTTCTTTGCGTCTGATAGATGAGGAAATTGAATGACGAACAGACGACTTTGGAGTAGAAGTTGGCGTTCTAAGATGTAAAGTTTAAATAAAATAAAAACGCATAGTTTTGCAATGGAAAAGCATAATCAAAATCATACCTCGAAGGGCTAGGGCTAGGTGTAAAACTTTTCCGTAGCTTCTCACTCGATCCCAATCTGATTCCAAGTTTATTGCTTGCAAGTGCCCTAGCAGCTGGTGACATTTTCATCAATTTATCGGAGTGCCGAGACGATCCAAATTTCGGAGTCTTACTAAAACTTTCTATGTCTTAATTTTGTAAAATGATTATAAATTGTAAATTAAATAGAATAAACATACTGTGCTCTTTCTGCTTGTTCCATTGCATTTTTCCTTTTATCGTGATACCTTTGAGCAATCGTGTCGGAAATTGATTTAGCTAGCACATCTCTGGTAGGCAAATCTGGTATCTAAATGGTATACTGTACAATTGCTGAAAGGATAAAAATTACTTTAAAAGCCGGGGCACCCATTAATTGAGGGTCAAGATCTGAAGCATCAAGTCGAAATGGTGTTCCATCAATTTCTCCCCATGTCATGAGAGGTGAATCATCGATTCCTAAATAGATAACTCAAATAGCACCCTCAAGTTGGTTCAATGGGAAAAATAATTGAAAAATTAAAAACCTGGCATTGGACTTGGAGTTGCTAAAATGCCCAATGCTGCGTTGGAGACTCCCGCTTCCCGACCAGAGACATCCACTTTTCCGGCTTGTACTTGCGCTTGAATAAAAGCAGCTCGTGCCATCGAAGCCTAAAAGTTAAGTTTTAAAAACAAGTTATTTTATAAATTCATAAATGAGAATAAATACATGTGCAAACATCAAGTACCTCGGTAGGTTTGTTCTTTAAATCTTCCGGAAAACGTGTCGCTTCGCGATTAATCACTCGTTGATTTTGTGCAGCTCGCTAAAATTGATTTTATTTTCTAAACTCAGAAATCTTCACCTCGATCATCTCTTCTTTTGTAAATGCAGCCCCTGTTGGGTGAAACAAAACAGTATTTCGGGCCGTGTACGTCCAATTATCAAGCTCGCGTGGTTTTTCTAAATTTTAAATTTAATGTAAATAAGTAAGGCAATATAAAATTCTCCAACCTTTCTGAATTTCGGGATCGTATTTTAACGCTAGCTGCATATCAGCATTTTCTATCATAGGAGCACCACGAGTTATCTAAACCATTAGATTTACGTCGACTCATAATTATTGCATAATTGTTTTTCAAAAAAATGACGTACCAATTCCCGATTATGCCTTTCCGCATTCGAGTAAATCCAATGGTTTCGGATTTTTTCTCGTTGATCCATGAGATCAGTTAATTCTTCAAACGATGCATTATCTTCAGAAGTGAACCTAAAGAAAAAAATCTAAACTGCTTCGACCAAACACAAACTTGTTCAAATATGCATCAACACTGAGACCTTCCAACGCCGACTTCTTTGCCTTTTTCTTCTTTTTATCCATTAAAGCCTATAGAATAAAAATTTTAGTAGCATGAAACAAAATAGAGTACAAACCTCATTATCACCTTCTTGTTCATTCCAAGCAGGGCTATTTGCACGTTCGGATCCCAATTGACTAGGACCTATAAACAATGTTAGTTACAGAATTTTAAAAGCAAAAATACCAGGTGTTTCCGGATCAAAAACACTCGGACTCCCATTTCCGTCTGATCGCTTTATAGGACTCGTTCTCAATCGACCACCAATGGGAGATGTTCGACGATCAGTACGTCTGCTTGTTGAAAATCTAAATTTGCATATAAAATAATACAATCAGGTAGATTAGAAATTAAAAGAATCAAAATTAATTGTTTAATTGTTTAAAAGTGTACCTAAGTTGAAGTTCGCGCATCTTTGCAACATCATTTCGGCTCATAGCTTCAATGTATTCCGATTGAGCCTAAAATCAATCAAATGTTTTGCGAAACTTTGCTTAAAACATTCGATTTTGATAAACTTATTGTAACAAATCAAAACAACTTTTAAAGAAATAACTCGTTAAACCTTACTTTAAGTTTAGGCAACTCGGGAAAAAAATCTTTAACGATGATTTTCTCGAGGCCTTCCACATATTTTTCTTCCGGCAACACGGTTCGAACTTCTTTTTGCGTCTTCAGTTCTTTGAGTTTCAGTTTCACAACCTAAAACATAAGATAATAATTGTACAAAAACAAACAAAAGTATACCTTTCCATCGTTGACAGATTTTGGAATGATCAGTTTCGATCGTCGTTCAACCTCATCAAAAGATGACATAACGACTAAAAAAAGAAATATTTCTACCAAAATAAAGTTCAAAAAGTAAAAGAAACAAATAAAAACGAGAATCTTTTCAATTTTTCACAATAAAGGGGGTAGGTCTGAAGTCTGACCGCAGTATGCGATGGATGCGGATTCTAGCAAACCTTCAACGCTTTAGAAAGCGCACCGCTCTGCTTTCGCGCTAGTTCCTTAAAAACGCCAAAAAAAAGTTGCGCAAATGACCCTGTTGCGCAAATAAAATGGCGGAAATTAGCCTACCCCCAATAAAGATGTGCAAATGGCGAGAGAAACAATTTTTCAAACGAAATTTTCATTTATAAAGATTATTCTAGTTGCATGACTTAAAGCTCTAATTATAAAGCTTATTCTTGCAAAGAAATAAAATTTTCAAAGTAAATTCATTGGTCAGAAACCATTTCAAACACTTTCATCACTTAATTTAACTGCACAAAATTAAGATCAAGTTGTGTTTCGTATTTTCCTTGATAGAAAGCCTTTTATTTTCGCATTATGCTTCACCAAAATATTATTATTATTATTAAATATATAAATACAAGGGTATATTAAGGCACAACAATATAATATAAGATATTGGATATATTTCTAAAACCGGCTTCGCAAAGAAGAAAGCCAAAAATAAATCACCGCGAAAAAATACTAACGTTTCAAATTTAAAGGCACAGAAAAATAAAGTTTTTCGGAAAAAAAAACGATAACGAAATGTTATATGTGGGCTGTTTTCGTGAGAGGACTACGGTGGCTTGTGCTATTGGGAAAGAGTGGCTAAAATGGGGCAAATGGCAATGGAGAAAGGGAGGGAGTAAGTAGAGAGAACTGACATTCGCCATGAGATTCTTCAGATCGTAAAATTTCTCGAAAAAGATAAAAAAGAACTAAAAATTGTGGAAAATTACAATAAAAATATAAATATCGTAAATGCTGTATTAGAATGACACCCTCAAATACATTGTACAATGTAGAATGACGCTCTAGGGGGGTATTGAAAAATAGAATGACATGTCATTCTAATACATCATTTATGGTATCTTTAGATATTAGGGTTTTAATAGGGTTCAACGTAATTCGCGGGCAGCATTCCCCATTGACGGGTCCTTTGAACAGTGCCCGTCATCCAGCCATCGTCCACCTGAAATGGCTTTTGCAAGAAATCAATCTAATTTTTGAAACCTTTTGGCAATTCACAATCACATCACCCTCTGCGAACGAAATCTAAAACACTGGATAAGAATTTTTGCAGATACAGATGCAGTAATAATCATGAGAAATAAAGCGATGCTTTCGACTTATTTGATTTGAACAAACCTCATCTTTGTCAGCTGCCGTATAATCGTAGATGGCTTTCACTGTGAAACCCGCTCCACCAGCCGAACCCTGAAAACTTTCTTATTCTTTATAAATCTTTCCTTCTCATACCGAATTACTCGCATGTGCCGAACCGCCATTCGATCGGGCAGCAAACTCATCTAAACGTCAATATATAAGAAAATTTTCATTTTTTAGAAAATGAAAGAAAAATTAGAAAATTTCTTTCTCGGTAATTAGATTCAAACCAGCTTTGAAATTCTTGAGCCAAAAAGCACTCACGAGCAATATCAGCAGCCATGCGCTGAGCATTAGATGTAGAGCGCGTATACGAGCTGTTAGTTTCATCGGGATCTGTAGAGAATGTTTATTTAATGTTAGCGTGGATTTCATTTTGAACTTACTAGACGAATGTGAGGCTCGAGTTCCAGCTCCTCCACCAACTGTGCCCCAATTTCCATTCATCGGATCATAATCGGCGATGCTTCCCACAGCTCGATTCGGTTGGTTCACTATTACTCAAAAAATAGTTACCGTAAATACTGTAATAGTACCGCACCCCCATAATGACGGTGCGGAGTGTTGCGTAGTCTAGCTTTGAACGAGTTTTTCTCGACACTGGTTTATGCTACAATGCGCGCTTAGGTATCAAAAAATAGCTGAAATTCAGGGCTATTTTTTGGTACGAAAGACGCATTTTTTGAAAGTACGGGCGCTTTGAAAAAATGAAATACTAAAAAACTTTTGCGACTACGTGACTGTACGAGGGCGGTGGGGTACTATTACAGTATTTACGGTAGCTTTTTTTTTGAAAATCAGAATTATATCTAATAAACATTGATCTTCATGAATAAAACTTTATCTTTATTGGATAATCAACTCTTCAGTGATTGTCTTTAACTACAAATCAGCTGTATTTTAAAGTTGCAAAAATGCCTCTGTAAGAGTTAGAAGTGTGAAAGCGATAGCGCATTTTTTCAACATGCTAACTTACATGATCCACCCAATTCCGAGCTGTAGATGAGGGTGCCACTTTGTTGAGCCATTCTTGATGAATATGTCGGCTCTCCACTGAATACCGGCACTCCACGTGGTCCATCTACAATGTTATCGAAATCACAGCAATTTTCTGCCCAAATCTATCTCTTCTAATGGATAAGTTTAAGGGAAATGAATATGAAAATGAAATGTTATGAGTTAACTAAAGATTTTCGAAAGTAACTGAAGAGCACCCGATTAACGAAGAAGAAAAACGACATGCATCAAATTTCAATTGCTTTTTTTTCTTTTGATAAAAAGAATTTTTTTTATTTTCGATGTGTTTATCAACTTCGTAATCGGGCAATCGATAATTACAGATAAAATAAAGCAAAAAAAAAGATAAATGAGCAATATCAATATCAATATCGAGTAGGAGTTTTCTGATTTCGTAAGTTTTTTGGGGCAACTTTTTGAGCACCCGGATCAGAGGTTGCTGAAGAAAGAGAATCATTTGGTGATTCAAATTTTTTCGGGATTGAGACAAGTTTTGGTTTGGTCGAACTAGTCAATGATGGGCGTCTAGTCTCCGAATTGAGCAAAGTTTTTGTCAATTCGACCTTTGCTGACTCTAGCGGTTTAGGGACAGGCGGAAACTTTGGATTCACAATTTCAACTTTTTCTAGAGCATTGGAGCTCTCTGGGGCACTTGGCTCAGCCTTTTGAGCCACTTTCTCATCACTTTCAGGTTTATCGGTCTCTTTTCCCGACTCCTTGCTAATGCCATGCTTTTCCATAAGCTTTTTCCTACCTAAATCCTAAATTTAGACTCGAAGATGTGAATTTTTTTTACCTTGTTCTTGTGTTTGTTGTGTGTGATGTCGCATCTGCTCTTGATCTATCCGTTTAGCCAGCTCTCCAGTGTAAGCGACTTGTGATTGAACCTAGAAAAATCATTTATACAATATACAATAGCTATATAAAGATAATAAAAATATAGTTATCATTTGCATCAATCATTTAGCTTTACCTTTGTGTTAGCCAAGTGACGAGAAATCTCGGGATCATCGGCGATTTGAATCTTCGTGCCCTTCATCTTTTCGTATTCGGCATGATAGGCAATCTGTTAATATTAGGTGTGTGAAAAAGTAATCCACGTTTTTTATTTTTATCTGATGACCAAATAAGACGCTGTCTTCTCGAAAACCCTCGTTCAACCTCTTCAGAAATAGGCCTTACGTTAAATTGTGATGGGTCAACCGTAAGGAAACGCTTGAATGCCATGAATTTTATCAAAAAGTTGGACAAATGGATACCGCATGAACGATAACGCGCGACCACATGTCTCTTTACAGACTCGACAAAAAATCCAGAGTGTTGGATGGGAGGTTTTACCACATCCACCTTATAGTCCAGACCTTTCTCCATCTGATTATTATTTATTTTTGTCTCTGTCTAACTTTTTGGCCAATAAACGGTTCAATTCCGAAGAAGATTTCAAAACCGAGGTTGATCTTTTCTTCGCCTCTAAGGATCACGATTTTTATTATCGTGGAATTTACTTGTAGAACGTTGGCAAAAGGTTGTTCTTTCGAATGGTGATTACTTCGTTGAATAAAAATTATTTTAACGAAACTTATGGTCTTTTATATTTAAACGTTAAAAACGTGGATTACTTTTTCACACACCTAATAGAATATTTAATATATTATAAATAAAGATAAAGGGCTTTTCGTTCCTTTTCGTACTTTCGTTTAAAATCAACAAATGCTTAAGATATTCTCACCTGGCTTTGAAGTTTTGTGTTCTCAGCGATTCGCCTCATTTCAGGAGTGTCCGCTACGACGCTGGCCACAGTTTTCGGATAATGCCTAAAGGTTTTATAAATTCTAAAATCTAAGCCACGAATCAAAAGATATTTAGTCAATTGATTAGTCATTTGTATATTCTTTTTGCAAACTTACGGTTCACAATAAGGCATTTTATTGTATCCTTTATAGTTTTTCATGTTCAACGCCATCCCGCAAACCGTACATTTGAAGCAACTTTTGTGCCAAACCTAAAGAATTTTAATGTTACTTTAAAATTTGAATACTTTATGTCAACTATTATAAACTTAAAACTTATGGCAAGCTAATAAGCTTTTCTAATAAGACAAGCTAATAAGCTTTTCTAAGAAAGCAAACTAATAAGCTTTTCTAATAAAGCAAGCTAATAAGCTTTTCATCGACCCTAAAATTTTCTCAATAAGCTCGCAGCGACAACTTTTTCAATTGAAATTCCCTTTCGAGAAAAAAAAACGACAAACACTTTACTGTCATGAAAGTTTGGAAAGTGAATTTTACTCGTAAATACCTTGTCTAAACATTTGAGTTCTTCTAACGGGTAAACGGTTTTGCCGCACTCATCACGCGCACACCTCTTACTCATTTCTGCAAAAATCGATTTTTAAAACAAAACGCAGAACAAGTTTAATTTTATGAAATTTAAAATATCTGACAAATAAAGTGCTAAAAAGATCGCTAAAAAGACATCAAATAAATATGTTAATTGGTAGAAGATGGCTCTTAAATCAGAGCTGAAGTAAGCTGAAAAAGATTGATAAAAAAATTGATTGATGATATTGATAAAAAGAAAAAGATAAAAAAAACTTAAAATAAGATTAAAACATGAAAGAATATTGGTAATGCGAGTAAATTTGTTGTTTATACAATGAATGGAAAAGATAAAAAGAAGGGGAAAAGGACGAAAGAGTGCTAAGCTCGAGCCTACAAGATGTCACTTGAAAAATCACGTACATCTATATTTACACATCATGTTGTTCAAAAGAAAAGGGGGAAAGAGATTAACCCAATTACCCAAAATGATTCATCGCAAGAATTTATTGAAATTTTAACAAAATCTATAAATGATATAGAATTTTAGATCTTTATTAGTTATTCATTACTGTTTTTTCACATTAATTTTAAAGGAAATGTAATTGTAATTGTAATTGTAATTGTAATTGAGCCAAATGGAAAAAGAATTTTAGTTGATTTCTTGATAAAAATGAGTATAATTATTGAATTGTATAATAAAAATCGAATATAGAAATCGAAATCGAATATAGAAATCGAATATAGAAATCGAATATCGAAATCAAATATAGAAATCAAATATCGAAATCTTAATCCTATATACAAGTATCAAATTTCAAAATCAGGTAGTAGTCACATAAATGAAAGAGGAGAATGTTTTTTTTTTGTCGGCGATATTCATAAAAATCGGAGCGACGAAGGGGTTGAAGTGTATGAGAAAGGAAAGGAAAGGAAAGGAAAGGAAAGGAAAGAAAAGGAAAGGAAAGGAAAGGAAAGGAAGAAGGTCGAGGAGAGGTGATTCACTACTTTTCGAGAAAAGAAAAAAGGGGAAAATGAAGAAAACGATTCGAAAAGTGAGCGAAGAAAGAGAGAAAATCAGAGAGAGAAAAGGCTGTGGTTGTTGGCGGCTGTTCAAGCACAAAATGTGCAGTGATAGAGGATTAGGCATTGCCCATCGCCCCTTAGCCATCTCTTGGCTAAAAGAGATTCGAGGGGGAAAGGAGAGGAGGACAGCCCCGAGACTCTCCTCTTTTTACGTTAAGGACAGGAAAAGCACACGCCTACGATGAAGAGAGAAAGAGAAAGAGAAAGAGGTAGAGAGGGAAGGGGTTTGTTGTGGATCGAATGGGGCACCCGATCGACCTGTTGATAGATCCATCCCACCAAATTGATTCAAGAGATTTGCCGGAAAATCATGATGGGAAAAGTGCCAGTTACTTTTTATATAAGTATTGAATTGTATAATAAAAATATCGAAATCTTAATCAAGTATCAAATTTCAAAATCAGAATTTGAATTGATTTGAATGATTCTGATTCTGATTTGTATCAAAATTGGGACACTCGATCGACCTTTTGATAGATCCATTCCACCAAATTGATTCAAGAGATTTGCCGGGAAATCACGATGTTTACCATGGGAAAAGTGCCAGCTACTTTTCATATAAGTATTGAGTTGTATAATATCAAAATCTTAACCTTATATACAAGTATCAAATTTCAAAATCAGACTTTGAATTGAATTTGAATTAATTTGAATGATTCTGATTCTGATTTGAATCAAAATTGGGACACTCGATCGATCTGTTGATAGATCCATTCCACCAAATTGATTCAAGAGATTTGCCGAGAAATCACGATGTTTACCATGGGAAAAGTGCCAGTAAAAAGTCTGATTTGAATCAAAATTCAAATCAGGTAGTAGTCACATAAATGAAAGAGGACAATGTTTTTTTTTCTCGGCGATATTCATAAAAATCGGAGCGATGAAGGGATGAGGAAAAAAAAGTCAAATAATCACTAATAGTAAGACCCAGTAAGATGGTAGTAAAGCTAACACGTTGATTATCATACTAAACCTCTCATAAGATTAAGTGTTCAAAGTCAAAATACAAAAAACCTCCTATTAGTTTTGAGGCAAACCTCAAGCTGAGCGTCTAGAAAGCTGTCCATCACTCATGATAGCCCATGTCATTTCATCCAATCATTTCCCATCTCTCCCCAAGAGCCTCTCTTCAAATCCCATCCAAATCACAGGTGCATTTACTTCAAAATCTTTGACCTTTAGCTTAAAATCGTCTTTTTTGGTATCTTTTTCAAAGTCGAAACAAAGTCGAAACAAAAAGTAGATCTCGGTATTTCCTTTTGAGTGTCGAGGAGCAATCCGTGGAGTAATCGGATTTTCTTGAAAAGTCTTCGAGTGAGTCCTCGTCTTTTTTGTTTTGTCCAATTCCTTCTTTCCTTATTTTTCAAAACTTGATACGTAAAAATATGTGCTCAAAATTTCTAGTCGTTGAACCGTTTCCCAGAAATGGTGAGTGCTTTTAGTAACATAGTTAATTCTCGAAAATTTCAGTTCCAACATCGCATTCTTTCTATAATTTGATGATGTATCAGTGCTACCAAGCTACTACAGATGATTTGGTATGTGATTTTTAAGCCATGTAGAACAAAGAGCAAAGAAAACTTCCTGGAAATCTGTGTTACTATATGGATTACTATTGGATTAAAGCAAGACTTACAGTTTCTATCTCACTACAGCACCATGGAGTAAACTTGATTATCTTAACGTTTAATTAGAGAATTTTAAAGTTATTCAGTCAGCTACTTGATTACTTTTATTCCGACAGACAGTAGCGAGCAAGGCTGAGCGATCCGGGATCCTCTAAGAGTTTAGACCAATTAAATCCGAGTTCTAATTGGTAGACTCAATAAAATGAATAGCTCCAATCGATTCGCCAATCCTGAAAACCCCCGGGTACAAATTTACGGCTCGATATCTTCTTTTTGGATCATCTACAGAGCAAAAAATCCCTATGTAAATGACTTTGAGGTGTTCTTTGTGCGGCCAAGTAATCGCTCGTCGTATGGCAAACCCGTCTGGTACAAGGGGCTTCCCTAAAGATCCGGTGATGGATCTGGTTTTGCCGTTTTCTTGGTGTTTGACTATGTCCAAATTCTTGGGATCACTTTCGCCTCAATTTTGGGATCAACAAATTCTACGTCTTTCCAAACCACAACCAGATGTTCATACTTGTTAATCAAGGCTCTACTTTAAGCATCTAAAATTACTGTTTCAAATGTTCAAAGATTAGTAGACATGACACTAGTTGAATCAAAAAAAGAGAAAGCACAACTGATGGCTAAGATCGTGTTTCACATTGCATACTTTTCTTCTTCCTTTTTGCTCATCAGCTCGAGAATTATTCCCAAAGGATTTCTCTAATTCCGATTTTTTTTATATCAATGGACTATGTGCGGAAACTGCAAGCCTTCGTTACTCCAACTCCCATTGTTAAACAGGTTTCTTTCTGCAATCAACTTTTTTCTTTAAAAGCCCCAGTATCGTGTTTCAACCTCTTTTGCAAATCGCAGCAAATTCAGCTTTAAAACTTTTAGTTTTTTTGTTTACTTTTTTGGATTTATCTTTTTGTATTTGAAATATTTAAAGATAACTTTTAAAGATAATTTAAAGATAACTTGAAATAAAGATAACTTTATTTAGGCTACATTTTAGCTGTAAAACGGTTTTGAACTTGATAATGATAACGATAATGATTGACTTTTTTAAAAACATTTCTTTTTTTGTTCTCTAAATCGTCTTTCTAAAGCACATTGTTTCAATCCCAATACCCAGATGCAGAGTAGAAAAAAAAAGAGAGGAAAAAATGGCCCCCAATGCCCGGCAACACTCTTTAAGAGACCACTTGTGCATGAACACAATGCAAAGAAAGCTTTTCTGACAAAAAAAGAGAAGATTTTATATGCTCATTCACTCACATGCACTCTCTTTAGCATGTTTTATTTGTAATTGTTAAAATAAACTACCGCAAATACTGTAATAGTACCCCACCCCCATAATGACGGTGCGGAGTGTTGCGTAGTTTAGCTTTGAACGAGTTTTTCTCGACACTGGTTTATGCTACAATGCGCGCTTAGGTATCAAAAAATAGCCCTTAATTTCAGCTATTTTTTTGATACCAAAGACGCATTTTTTGAAAGTATGGGTGCTTTGAAAAAAATGAAATACTAAAAAACTTTTGCGACTACGCAACTGTACGAGGGGGTAGGGTACTATTACAGTATTTACGGTAGGTGTTAATGCGAAAGAAGAATGTTCTCTCGCCGAAAGACCAATGGAGAAGTCGACGCGCCGGCACAACGCGGAATGTCTTCAGGTTTTGCTAGCGAAAATCCATTTTTTTAAAAAAGCTTTGCTTCAATTTTGTCCAGTAATTGTCCAATTATGTCCTTTTCTTTTGTCTAGTGTTCAAACAACTTGCAAGCAACATGATCCCAATCGTCGTCAAAGATCCGAATGCATTGAAGCTATTTGTGAGTTTTCGTATTAATTTTTGTCAAATAGGTCACACCTACAGGGTGCGCCAAAAGTTCCCGTACTTGTATTTTCTGCATTTTTGGTAATTTTAGATAAAAGATACGATTTTAAAAGTAAGAAATTCGAATTCCTCGCGAAAAGCTGATTTAGAAAACGTTTCTGGTTAATTTATAAGTGCAACGGTATTTAAGGTCAGGGGCGCTTTGGTCGCACAGTTACAGGGCAAGTTACAGGGCAAGTTACAGGGCAAGTTACAGGGCAAGTTACAGGGCAAGTTACAGGGCAAGTTACAGGGCAAGTTACAGGGCACAGTTACGGGGCACAGTTACGGGGCAAGTTACAGGGCAAGTTACAGGGCAAGTTACAGGGCAAGTTACAGGGCAAGTTACAGGGCACAGTTACGGGGCACAGTTACGGGGGCAAGTTACAGGGCAAGTTACAGGGCAAGTTACAGGGCACAGTTACGGGGCACAGTTACGGGGCACATTTACGGGGCACATTTACGGGGCACAGTTACACAATATAAAAAATGTCACATTTTATGTCTAGTTTTCGAAAAACATCTTGGCTCTTGAAAATCTTTTGATCCATAAAAGTTACAGGCCTGAAGCCCCAAAAAAATGGGGCCCCTGAGCGCCAAAGCGGCCCCCAAAGCGCCCCTGAGCGGACCCTCTTCTCAATCACTTGTCTTAAATACCGTTGCACTTATAAATTAACCAGAAACGTTTTCTAAATCAGCTTTTCGCGAGGAATTCGAATTTCTTACTTTTAAAATCGTATCTTTTATCTAAAATTACCAAAAATGCAGAAAATACAAGTACGGGAACTTTTGGCGCGTGTATAGTTGAGTTCTATAGCCCTGTATAGTTCAGTTCTATAGCCTACATTTCAAAAATTGAATTGAAATCTTAATAACCGGCAAAATGCATGATATAAAGCCTAGTTGTATGTTAAAAGCACAAAAAGGGATTGTGTTTCCTCTCGTCTTTTCACCTCACTTCCCTTCTCTATTTCCCCGTTTCTTTTTCTTCTTCTTCTTCTACTTTCTTTTCCCCGTGAGCATATTTGATTACATTAATTTTCGTCTCGACTCTCCCTTTTCTCCCCTTTCTTTTTGATAAGTGAAGTGAAAGTGGCCCAAAAATGGAATCGAGACTCGATTCTTTCATGTCAACCATAATCTTTTTGCGGGGCTCTTTTTTTTCCTTTTTCCTTAGTGCTCAATCTTTTCTCAAACTTTCAATCCCAAAAATATCTTCTCATTCGAGGCAGTCCTCTGAGAATTAGCGACTAAGAGAATTAAGTCCAATAACGCGATTAGTGGCTCTTCGTCGGCTCTGCGATTCCTAAGTCGCATTGCTCGCTATTGCTATTGCTATTGCAGTCGCTATTGCTAAAAAAAATGAGTAAAAACCCGCCAGCTCCAGCACCAACACCAACGCCAAAATCAGCGTCGATTTCTTGGGCAATTCCCCGTGTTGATTCATCAACAACTCGACTTTTCAACAAGGATCGCCGAAAATCTTCCTATGCATATCCAAGGAAACTTTCCGTCTTTTGGCATCGCGTGCTTAGGGTCAGACTTTTTTTCACTTTATCCATTTTTTTTTTGCTTTCAACTTTTATTGATAATCATTGAATTTCTCTTATTCTTTTCTCTTATTCTTTCTTAAAAAAAAGCATGGGTTATGATGATTGTTTTGAGTGAAATGGGGGAAATCTTCACGACAACTGCTCTCACTCAAATCCTGTGCTTCTTTTTAGTGAGGATTAAGTTTTTTTTTTGAGGAAGATTTTAGAAAATCTGTATAGGAGCTATTTATTTATCTTTCTTTTTTATCTTTTTTTAGAATTTGTTTGTCTTTCTTGTTTGTCTTTCTTTTTTTTTTAGGAATTGTTATAACATTAATAACATTAAATGATTGCAAGCTGTAGCCCTATCATTCAGCAAGTTGTAAAGGCTAATAGTGAGAAAGTAAGCGTAAAAGCAAAGAAAAAAACATATAAGAAATAATAGGGAACATATTGAATTTGTGAAAAATGAGAATAAACAACGAGGGAAAGAGGGAATGGGAATGCATTTGGCACCTTTAGGCAGCGCCCCAAATCCCCTCTCCAACCAAGGGCCATTAGCTAGATTGCATGTGTGTAGAAGGCAAAAAAAAACCCCCCAACAACACCGCTTGCCTTCTTCAACAACAATTTCCTCGTTTCCATCTCCTTCAACAATTTGTAATAGCATACATATTGATCACTGAGAACCCGGGGATTTTTTGTCACAATTTTTGAAATGAGATCCCCTCATGATAATCGTTTCCCCATTGAGAACCGTGATTGGGCGGTGGGTTAAAAGAGATTTCTTTTTTGGTTTTTATTTTAACTAAAAATTTATTTTAGATGCCCACAGCGCAGCTTAATCTCGTACTCAATGAAACTAAAGTGATGGGCGGCGAGAATTTGACGGCAAAGGTTTGATAGATTGAATGAGGTTTCAATGTGCAATGAAATGAGAAAGATTTTGTCTAAAAAACTTAAATAAAGACTAAAGTTTAGTCTTTTAGTTATTGATTTTCAGCTATTGATTGACAGCGCTGATCCAGAAACGATCATTCACTCGCTGACTGCAGAAGTGAGAGGAGTCGGCCGAACTGGATGGGTCAATATCCACACTGACAAGATTTTCGAGACTGAAAAGGTTTTTATTTATTTATTATCTATTTCTATTATGTAAATTTTGATATTTAGCTTTTATTTATCACGTACTGTAAATACTGTAATAGTACAGTCGCGTAGTCGCACCCCCTCGTACAGTCACGTAGTCGCAAAAGTTTTTTAGTATTTCATTTTTTCAAAGCGCCCGTACTTTCAAAAAATGCGTTTTTGGTATCAAAAAATAGCCTGAAATTCAGGGCTATTTTTTGATACCTAAGCGCGCATTATAGCATAAACCAATGTCGAGAAAAACTCATTCAAAGCTAGACTACGCAACACTCCGCACCGTCATTATGGGGGTGCGGTACTAGTACAGTATTTACGGTATCTATTTATATTATATAAGTTTTAGATATTTAAAGCTTTATATTAGGTTGACTCATAAGATTTGGTAACACTTTTTTCTACTAGCGTTTATAAATGACAAATTTACCAATTCACCTACAACTAGCTCCATTAGAAAGGTCTACTATTTTTCTACAAAATGAAAATTTTTTGTTTATGGTTTTTTTTAATGGGGGCCCGAAATCGGGTAGTCAAAAAAGGCGACAACCCGAAGACGCAATTTCTCCACAGAAACCTAGGTTGATCCACAGAAATCGATGTTAATAGATAAAAGATAGAGCGCAAAAAGTTTGGAATATTGCCGAATTTTCTGGATATTCTGTTCAGCCGATTTCTTTGTAGAGTTTTTCTATCAAATTTTACGAAAAACAAGTTTTTGCACTCGAATTTACTTGGAAATAGACCTAAATCGGCTTGAAATAATAGAAAAGTGATTGCTAAACATTTTCTGTTTCGAGCAAACCGTAGGTGAATTGGTGAATTTGTCATAACTAGTTTATAACTAGTAGAACAAGGTGTTACTAAGACTTTCTTTGATGGGTCAACGTCAACCTAATACTTCTTTTTCAGGATTATTTGAATACGCGAATCTCGTTGTGCCCACCGAACACGCCTTTACCCGCTGGCCGACACCAGTTTCCCTTGCAAGTGAGTGAAAATGAATAATAAAGATCTATTGGGTTGGTGAATTGAAAACTGCCGGCTATTGTCATATGTGACAGTTTGAGCACTTTCTTCAAAAGAAACCCATTTTGGTGTCAATAGAAAAGTTGTAGAGAATCAAAAATCAAGCTTATATCCAAATTTTCAGAACGATTCAAAAACTGGTTTTCAAGAAATGCGAAATTTACGAATTTTCACAAAACTTGCATTTTAGGCGAAACTACTAAGTGTATCTTTTTGGGAATTTGGCTATATGCCTAATTTTTCTCTACAACTTTTCTAATGACACCAAAATGGGTTTCTTTTGAAGAAAGTGCTCAAACTGGGACATCTCCAGTCCTCCATTTTTGAGTCTCACACTTGTCTCACACAAAAACCAAAATCAAAACAAAATCCTACTACGAAAGAGGAATCCGCAAATTGCCTGTAAAATGGGCAGAAGTCGTCGATAATAATGGAAATTATTTGGAATGAATTGATGGTTTTATGTTGAATAAATTTTAGTTTAAAGTCCGGCAGTTTTCAATTGACCAACCGAATAGAAAAATTTCAAGACAAAAAAAGATTCAAATTTTGTCTTACCAAGTTAGTTTTGGTAATTTCTTTATGTAAGTTTGTAAACCAGATGAATAGGGTCTAGCTTTAATAGCGATCGAATTCGTAGCTTCGAAATAACCTTTTCTGAATTGCCTTGAAGTAGAGTGCTTTGATCATGTGGCCAATCTTTTCAAACCCAACTTAAAAAGCCATTTTTGCTTTTTATCCCTTGAATAAGTATTTACTTTCAAAAACTTTACTTTCAAAAACTTAAAGGGAGATATTAATCGCGGCATATTAATCGGAGATATTAACTTAAAGGGAGATATTAATAATGGAAATTATTTGGAATGAATTCATGATTTTATGTTGAATAAATTTTAGTTCAAAGTCCCGGAGTTTTCAATTCACCAACCCAATAAAATGCATTCAAGTTAATAAACTACTTATGCTTCTAATCTTTAGCTTAAATTCTAATAATCTAATAATTTTATAGATAAAATGAAAAAAGTTTATTAGGTTCACATTCCCGATGGAGCCCCATCAAGTTATGAAAGTCAATTCGGCATGATTCGATATCAGATTAAAGTACGAATGGACGCCAACACTGAACAGGTTTTTGAAATAAGAATAAAAAAAATCTATAAGATAATAATATAAAAGAATATAAGACCTGAAATATTTTAGGCTTCTTGCACGGAGGTTTTCCCGTTTGTTGTCATTTGTCGCTCGTTTTTCGATGATGTCCCCGCGAGTTGCATGTCTCCGATTGATTATGCTGATGAGGTAAATGAAATTTGTTTCGAAAAGATAAATGATACAATTATTAGATTGATTTCACTTGTTGTTCACTCCCTTTTGGAACAATTACAATCAAGGTCGCTCTTCCGAGAACAGCTTTCACTGTTGGAGAGGTTTTGCTTTTTTAAATTGAAATGAAAAGCATATGAAAAGCATATGAAAACCAAATTTAGTTAGTCGAGCCAATTATTCGGATAAAGAATCGTTCAAGAAAGGTGATTTCAACTATTTCTAAACTATTTACAATTTTACAATTACAATTTGAAGGGTTTAAAAGACTGCTCGGTGACGCTTTCGATGAAAACTCAATTCGAGGCGACAAGCAGGTGAGAACTCTCAAAGAACTCTTTGAGAATCTACTGCAGTAATCATAATCTATCATCATTTTCAGATATGAACATGTAAATGAGAAAAAGTTATCCGAACAACTCATCGAAATGGTTAATCTGGGTGGAGTGCCAGGGAGGAGTACGCAGGTTTGATCGGCATATTCTAAAGGATATCCCAAAAGTTCTTTTACTTTTTTTGAAACGGACAGTTTACCGTATTTCTTCGAATAGAAGACCGGGTAAAGAGGATCCTCGCGTACTCCTGCGTAGCAGCCCTTTTTAAAATTTCTTTTCTGCATAAAAGCTTTCAATCAAGTGCTATAGAACTGGAAAATGGCTCAAAAATCTGTTAGCTCATGTGGTATTTTTGAGCCATTTTCCAGTTCTATAGCACTTCATTGAAAGCTTTTATGCAGAAAAGAAATTTTAAAAAGGGCTGCTACGCAGGAGTACGCGATGATACTCTTTACCCGGTCTTTTAGAAATTTTGGAAGATTTTGACAGCCTAAGAGCAATTCTTGCTGTTTAGATTTTATTTAAGAACGCTAAAGATATCAAATTTTTATCTAAGTGAGCCGACATAACATTCTGCTTTAGGAATTCAACCGATGCACTTTGCGGATACCCACCGGAGCGCCTCCGACTCAAAATTATATGGCTTCTGGGCAACCAAATATTATCGCCATCTACTATGTTCTTAAAGTGACAGCAACACCAGGTAAAAAGCAAATACAAATCTAATTGTAAGTACAATACTTGATCAGAAAATTGCTTGACAATTGATCTCTGAGCTTACCCGTAAAAACTCTAATAGAACGCCACCTTCTCGTACAATCGCGTAGTCTAACTTCTTTTTAGGAAATCATCAACTCCTAGATTTTTGACAATTATGTTTTTGGTACTAAAAGATACTAGATTTAAAGGGCTATCATTTGATACGCGAACGTAAATTGTAGCATAAAGCAGCGCGAAGAACGGGACGTTTAAATTTAGACTAAGCGACTGTACGCCTGTCATGATGGCGTTCTATTAGAGTATTTACGGTCATTAATTATTCAAATTGTAGCATAATGCAGCGCGAAGAACGGGACGTTTAAAGTTAGACTAAGCGACTGTGCGCCTGTCATGATGGCGTTCTATTAGAGTATTTACGGTCAGAAAATATTCAATACCAATCACCAAGCATTAACTGAAAGTCAAAATTGGATTCAGGAATCGAGTGTGAGATGCCATTAATTGTGACTTCTGGTGGCTATCGAGATGCTCAAAAAAATACCGCTTTCCAATATCATCTTCAACGACAACGAAAAGATGCCCTAAAAGATAACGAGTCAAAAATCAATAACAATCTTATTGAGTACGCTTTTTCGTGATTAATGTTCTTGATCTTGATCTCCTGAACTGGTACTATGAGAAATAACTTTAAAATACTATTCCCTGCTTAGAATTTGAACTCACAAGCCTCTTTTTTTTTCAACATATCAACATAACAACAACATAAGAAACCTGAAAAATAACAGCTTTTTTTTTGATGTAAGCCACGCATTTTTTCACTTATTTATCGATTTTTTTTAAAGATAAAACTACAAACACAATGCAAAAAGAGAGACCAACAAAGAAACAACGACCACATTTGAGACAAAACTGTACAAGAAAAAGACTGGACAACACAAAAATCACAATGATTGTGAAGAAAAGAAAAGAAAAACGACACTAATCAAAAATGAAAATGAGATTTAGTTTTAGACTGAACCCAGAGAAAAGTGAACGGAAAAAATGGCGCCTATTGGTGTCTTTCTTGTTCATAGTGCAAAATAGAAAACGGTTAAGCCACTTAAACGTCTCACTTTGAGATACTGTAAGATAAGCTTGGGGTTACTTCAGTAAAACAAGAACTACAGAAAAGAAAAACGACACTAATCAAAAACATGAAAATGAGATTTAATTTTAGACTGAACCCAGAGAAAAGTGAACGGATTATCGAGAAAAGAAAAATTTTTAGCAAAAAAAAAAATGGGGACGGACAAAAAGCTCCCGTATAGAGCACCCATTAAAATAACAAAAAAAAAGATTGCAAAAGAAAAATGGATAGAAAAATTGCACAATGAGATTCGTACAAAAATTTTACGGAAAACACTTATGAAACTGAGGCTCAATGATGAGTTTTTTTTTTTGTAGCTTTTGAGGCAGGTTAATTTTGCGAATCATTGAGCTTCATAGACAAAAAAGAAACACGTAATTTTTTTTGTACAAAATATGATAGAATAAAGGTACCAGTCGTTTTTCTCTCACAAATCTCTAGAGCGCATTGAAAGATATAAAAAAAAACAAGAAAAAAAAAAGGAAATTGTGAAAGTTTGAAAAAAATGCCGCCTATTCGTATCTTTCTTGTTCATAGTGCAAAATAGAAAACGGTTAAGCCACTTAAACGTCTCACTTTGAGACGTTTAAGTGGCTTAACCGTAAGATAAGCTTCGGGTTAGTGCAGTAGAACAAGAACAATTAGAACGTTCTAACGATCGTTTCAAAGTTCAAGACAGGACTGAGACTACAGTATCTTTTAAATTTCGTTTTCTATTTCACACCAATAATCAAGATGGAATACAGAAATCATGGAATCAAGATGGAATACAGAAACTATATGAAGAAGTTATTCTATTGAAAAATGATTGAAAGTGTTGAATGAAGGGCTAGTAAACGGAACCGCTGTGTTCTCGAGGAGAACTTTGCATCTCGATTTGTACGACACGACTATTCATTGAATGCGCTCGTCTTGGCTTCGTTCCTTCCTGAATTTTTATCAAAATTATATCAAAATTATATCTAAATTATATCTAAATTATATCAAAATTATATCAAAATTATATCTAAATCATATCTAAATTATATCTAAATTATATCTAAATCATATCTAAATCATATCTAAATCATATCTAAATTATATCTAAATCATATCTAGATTATACCTAAATTATATCAAAATCATATCAAAATCATATCTAAATTATATCTAAATTATATCCAAATCATATCTAAATCATATCTAAATTTATAAATCTCTATCCATAATACAATTCATTACATGAAATGCGGAAAAGGTGCCTGAGACGAGTGGAGTCTTCGGATCAGAGCTTGAATGAACCCTCGTTGAGAGAGTCTCATATTCCCTGAAAATTTAAATCTTTATAAAAATCATTACAAAGTGCTAAGCGGCATGCTGAAATCTTGCATTCCATGGAAAGGGAGATCCCAATTTCGCCGATTTTTGATAAACATTTGATAAACGCATCGCCCCTTTTCCCATTAGCAATCCAACTTTGAGCTCAAATCTCTTGGTGTTCGACTGTGCAATTTAAATAGTTTTTGCACCAATCGATAGAGAAAGACTTGGCGCATCTAATGATATCAAGAAGATTTAAATTCAACAGCCCAACACCAAGAGATTTGAGCTCAAAGTTGGATTGCTAAGGGGAAAGGGGGGCGTGTATTAAATGTTCGATAACCCATTTCGCCATGCTGTTAATTGAGTCTGTTAAATGGAACAAAAAGGATTTTGTTGTAACGAAAAATGAAAAATGAATATGTGGACATGCACTGGAACCGATTCGAACAAGCGTAAAACCAAAAAACAAAAGGTTTAGTGGGCGCAATGAGGGATTTCATGCGAAGCTTGTCAAGATCGAGTTTTGGAAAGATTTCATAGCCCTTTGAAGTTCATTCAAATGTAAACACTTCTTTAAATCGTTACGGTACCGTCTGTCTTCTGTCTCAATTACTGTATTTTGAAAAAGGTATTGAACTGGAACGAAAATATTCCGTATAAATATTTCCGATTCGCTGGGCAGGCTGTAGATTGACAAGGGAAAGGTAACAGTAAAATGTGGTCAAATGAGATAAACCATAGACGATTCGACGCAGAATTAAATGCTGATTCCGAATCTGCTTTCCGTCTTTGTAAAATAGCTTTCGACCAAAAGTTACGTGTGTTCTAGTTTGTTTTACGTTTTAAGAAAACACTTGAAAGTTTTTGCCAAAGTGCTGGGCTGATTTTTTGTATGTCAGCGTCTTATCCACTATACCATCAAGCCATCAAGCCATCTTCGACGCTCTTGAGAGAACCCTTATAAAAGTATTCTTATTCGGTTCCAAATTTTCGCATTTTCACCTAAAAAAACTTAAAACACATACAACTTTTTCTAGAAATTCATTTTGCAAAAAACGGAAAGCAGTTTCGGAATCAGCGTGAAATTCTGCGTCGAATTGTTTTATGTTTTATCTCATTTGGTCATATCCTACTGTTGCCTTTCTCTTTTATTCTACTTTTGTAAAAGTAGGTCATATCCTACTTTTACAGTATTCTCTTTCCAAGCTCTGATCTTGATTAGTGTACAAAGTCACGGTTATCCGGGAAACATAGGACGTGCAAATGTAACAATGGGGAGTGGAGTCATAATGCTTTCTCTACTTTTAAATCACCTTTCCTATAAGCGGAGCATGAATGCTTCCGTTTGCTTTGCATCTACCGGCAAAGTGGCATACCTTGAAAAAAAAATGAACACATTATTGAAAGCCTTAGATAATCGAAACGCTTCTTGTTGTCTTTGTTTTTTGGAACGGGGAGAGTGCGCAAGCAATGTAGGCACATTGGAATAAGTAATAGACTTGGGGAGTGGGACAAATGCTACCTTTTTTTGCGCACCCGGACATTTGCGCACCTTTTTTTCCGCACCTTGCCCATTAGCGCACTTTTTTTCGCGTTTTAAAAAAGCTAATATTAACCAATTTCTATTCCAAAAGTTGTTTTTCTAGGTAATTTTAGGGCGTAGAATCGAAATTTTGACATATCAGAGCTTGTGGAAGCGAACAGACGGAGTTATACAAAGAGAAAGATCGACAATTTTCTGTAATTTGATCTAGCCGTTTTGTCTTTCAAATTGGTTCCACACGCTCTGTTATGTCAAAATTTGAATTCGACACCCTCAAATTACCTAGAAAAACAACATTTGGAATAGAAATTGGTTAATATTAGCTTTTTAGAGCTTTTTAAAACGCGAAAAAAGGTGCGCTAATGGGCAAGGTGCGGAAAAAAAGGGTGCGCAAATGTCCGGGTGCGCAAAAAAAGGTAGCATTTGTCCCACTCCTATAGACTTGTAAGTAAAGAAATTATTTTGGGAAAATTTTGACGAAAAATGTTCCAATGATTTGCTAAAATAAACCCGTTTCTCTACTTATCAAGTCTACGAAAAAAAATTTTTCGAATCTTGTTGACTGGAAAGAAATAAAAATCGTGAAATCGCTCACCGAGTAATGTGCAGCGCCATGCTAAACATCTCATTTTAGTTTTTTTTTTAAATTTTATTTTTAGAGAAAGAAAGAAAAAATGTTGCAATGAGGTTTAGGCCGAAAAGTTCTGAAAAGGTGGATGAAAGGTTCTGTCCGCATTTATCTTTAAAATAAAAACTTGTAAAAGTGTTTTGAATTTTAATGGTTACACAATTTTTTTTCTCTACTTTTGCGCGAACCATATAAATTTGGAGATCTGAAAAGTATGATTTCAAAAACTTTTTTTGATTATCTTTCTTATTCTTTATTGAGGTATCTATTTATCTTTTGGGTGTGTTTTGAGTGGTGTCCCGGGTAATTATTGTGCTTTAGTTTTGTCGCTATTCAACTGAATAAAGCATATATGTGTTGTGTCCGATTTAGATTTCCGTCCGATTTAGATTTCCGTCCGATTTAGATTTCCGTCCGATTTAGATTTCCGTCCGATTTAGATTCAATCTAAATCGGACGTCCGATTTAGAATCAACTCTATCCTTGTGAGACGGACTTCCTTGCTATTGCTGATGTGCCGAAACGTTCAACTTCCTTTCGTGCCGCCATCGGTGATTCTTCTATTCACGGGAAACAAGGTAAGTAACTATAACTTTATTTCATTTTTTGCGTGTTCCATTAAAAATGCAAAAATGCAGAAAACTACAGAAAACGCTTAAGAACATATATTAAGCATGTTTATATTATTGTTCAATCTATATAAGATTTAGATTGAATCTAAATCGGACGGAAATCTAAATCGGACACAACATATATATCCAATACCCTTTTTCAGTTTGATCGAGTGCCAATTTTCTACAATTCATTCTTTAAATCAGCTTTGATTTTCTTAAAAGCAAATTTTAATAACCGCTCTGAAAGCAGAATGTTTTTTTTTTCTTTAAAACTATATCTTATATAGTTAGATTGCTTTTGAAATTCTCGATTTTGAGGGTCTGTTAATCGTTATTCGATTTTTTTATTTGTTAATCGAGCTTGCAAAATTGCGTTCGATTGAAAAATATTCAAAATGCACTTTAAAAAACTTCAAAAAACGTTCAAAAAAACAAATTCCTTTCTAAAACAAAGATATAAAGGTATATAAAAGGTAAAAATCGTGGAATTTTCGAAATTTGAGGTTGATTTTGCTCTATCTTGTCGGAGTTTTATAAAGATACCGTATTTCTTCGAATAGAAGACCGGGTAAAGAGGATCCTCGCGTACTCCTGCGTAGCAGCCCTTTTTAAAATTTCTTTTCTGCATAAAAGCTTTCAATCAAGTGCTATAGAGCTGAAAAATGGCTCAAAAATCTGTTGGCTCATGTGGTATTTTTGAGCCATTTTTCAGCTCTATAGCACTTCATTGAAAGCTTTTATGCAGAAAAGAAATTTTAAAAAGGGCTGCTACGCAGGAGTACGCGATCATACTCTTTACCCGGTCTTCTATTCGAAGAAATACGGTACTTTTATTAATGCGGACAAAACTTTTCAGCTAACCTATAGAAAAAGATAAAGAAGATGAAGAAGAAAATGACAGGAGTGAAGGGGAAATGGAAATGGTGGAGAAACAAACCGAGCGGCTGTGCGTTTCCGTCGCAAAAGGGTGCCCTTTGTACGGAAGAGAAGACGCTGACGGAATGAAGCCGACGAGAGACAGAAGAGAATAAAGTTCAGAGCTTTCCCCACAACAACCATTGTCGTTACGATTGTTGTCTGAATGGAAATTTTGGAAAAAAAAAATTCTATGCTAATGCAGTTTAGTTTCATTGATCGAAAAAATCTCGAATCTCATTTCAGATTTTGTACCTCTTTGGCGAACTTCTCTATCGGCACGCCACTCAAGCTCGAGACTACTGGGATCACAGCTGAAGGACCCTAAACCCATTTAGGTTTATATTACAGTTAGGATTCTATTTTTTCGACGATACCTGAGTGATGGTGAAACAAGTGACAATAGCGCACACGGTGAGCGTGACTTTGTGTTCGGTTCGGGCACGATGTTGATCCGTCATTTCGCCTCCTCCAGCCCCTACTGCCAGAAACCGGGCTCTATAGAATTCTATTGCACTGTATTATTTTCTCTGACTCACCTCCGCCTCATTGTTGCAATGAGAAGGAGATTCGAGATGAACACCAGCAAAACCGGGATGAAAACGACACAGACCGCCTAGAAATATCCTTGAATCATAGAATAATGCGTTGTCGGTTTATTCATAAGATCTTTTTCTTTGGCTTCTTTCTTTGGCCCAGAAGCCCCCATGGTTGACTGGCTAAGTGACCTGTCTCCGGACTGAAGCTCCGGAGATGAGCGGTTCAATTCCACTTGCTGGGTTTTTAGTTCTTTTTCTTCCCTACATTTAGGGCTTGTTTAAGCTTGTTTTTACTCTTTAAATCGATTTTTTTTCTATAAACCTGAATTTCTAAGCTGCAGCGAACGTAAAGACGAATCCATTGTGGGGTGGGATTTGGCTGATTGCGAAACCAGGCCGGCCCATCGACGTGAAAGCACATGCTATGGTATTGAGTACCATTGCAAAAGTTTCGCCACTCGCATTTATAGCTGAAAATTCTTCGAGTTAACAATGATTTTCTGAAAATAAACACCTAATGTTGTGATGAAAAGTGAGAAGTCCGGTGAGCAGAACAGTCATCGAGACGAGAAACGGGGGTGAGAGAAGGGATTTATGTTTTCGCACTGATAACGGGTATCGAATTCCGATCAATCTCTCACTGCAGATGATCAGAATCAACCTGAGCACATGTTAGCAATTATTTAAGAAAAATTTAAAATTTAAAACCAGATAGCCGCCGCCGATGACCAATTCAATAAATGGAGTAGATGAATCTTGTTGGTGAGATAAAACTTTCGGAAGAGATTGTTGAAAGAAAAATAACGATAGTTGGCCATTGCATCGGGCAGCATACACAACAAAAACACTACATCAGCCACTGCCAAGCACGCTAACAAAACATTTGATCTGAAAAAAAACAAAAATTTCTCATTGATAGAGTTCTTGGTTGTTTCTAAAGTGTATCATCTTTCGAGAACTATCGTAATTCTGTCTCTAGCTCTTCCATTATCCGTTCCCCGTAATTCAACTGAATAAAGCATATATATGTCGTAGCCGATGATGGATTTCAGCCGAAGAAGTCTCAAATTTTTTCGCTAGCGAAACCTTCTTCGGCTAGCCGATTAAGTCTCAGACTTCTTGAGTTATGCATTGACTTAAGCGCCTTTTAGAGAGCTTGAGTTTGTGGTATTGACTTGAGTCAATACATAACTCAAGAAGTCTGAGACTTAATCGGCTAGCCGAAGAAGGTTTCGCTAGCGAAAAAATTTGAGACTTCTTCGGCTGAAATCCATCATCGGCTACGACATATATAAGAAGTTGCAAAAGCTCAAAGAAATCAAATTTCTGTTTCATCTTGAGATCAAGATGCCGATTGATCCCCGTAAAAGATGTGTGTGATCTGGGCAAGAAAAAAAAGAAGAAAGAACATATGAGAATCCCCAGCAGCTGACTGAGATTGGCTAAGATATTGAATTCACAACAACCCTCCTTTCCAGTCCAAAGATGTCTTCTTTTCCCTTCTCTTGAATCAGAGCTGGGATCATTTGTGTGTGTTTTCATGGGTTTTCAATAATAACCCAAAAAAAATACCTTGTTCTCATGTTTTTCGCTAGTAGCACTGTCAAATTTAGAATGTTTCCACTGATTCCAAAAAGAGCAATCACCGGTACGACATAGCCTGAAATTCGATAAGGACAATGGAATCAAAAAGATTGTCGTTCCTGGTTCAAGTTTCAATTTTTCAAAAGATATTCATCCAAGTTTAAGCCATTGTAGTTGGGGGAAAAGTTACCGATAAGAACGTTGCTCAACCCGTGAACGGAAAGCATCATTTGCCGTTCGCCGAGACATTTAAGAGCTGGATCTGGTAGAGGTGGAGCCATCGGTGACACAGATGATGAAACACTTGGGCTAAGTGTTGTTGTTTCCATCCATGTACTATCCAAAGAAGACGAGGAAAACCATGACTAAATATTCAAATCTAGTTTTTTGCAACTAATTTTTAACAATTTACAATTTAACGAACCTCTGTGAAGGGTAGCGAAGTTTGAGTTGAAGCAAACGTACTCGATATTAGAGTACTCATCTCTGCAAATGTTTCGATCGATTATCAGAATTAATGGTAAGAAAAAAAAATGGAGAGAAATGGAAATTGGGTATTGTAATAAATAGTGTGATGGAAAAGAAAACATGAAGTCGCTTGGATTCACCTTTTATGACCTGTGAGAGTGCGAAGAGATAAGCTTTAAAGTCTAAAGGGAAACAAAAAAAGAAACGTGAGTGAGCATCCAGGGATCCATTTCTTCTTTTACCCATTTCAAAAAAACAAAATCTGTTTGGATTTAGGGATATTTGTATAGTGTTTGTCTTTTTAAGTCATCAGAAGGAAGAGATAAGAATTAGTACAGACTCTGACTCATTTATTCATCACTTTAATGAGCAGAGAACTGAGGAATTTCGGATTTTTGTTTTAGTTTTGTAAATCAGAACTAGAACGATATTTTACGCAAACTTTTTAATTAGGGAAGGTCGCCAACTTAAGGTGAAATTTCAAAAAGAGACCTATCCTATCTTGTTCGATTTTTTACGGGCTTTCCAAATTCGCTTTTAGTTTTTCCTAAATGGTTATGCATTGGTTCAAAAAAATTTAAAGAAATGTTGTCGACGAGGGAGTTGAACTAGTAGCAAAAACTTTGTAATTGAGAGAATTACTTCTCGACCACAGAGAGAGAATTTTAAGCCAAGCGAGGAAGTGTTATAAAGTAATAGAGACAAAGTAATAAACTAATAAACTAATAAACTAATAATCAAATCTTACAAAGACAAAGTAATAAACTTTAAAGCCAAATTTCTTGCGTTTCGAAGCCATTTAGGAAAAACTAAAAGCGGATTTGGAAAGCCTGTAAAAAATAGAACAAGATAGGATAGATCTTTTTTGAAATTCCACTTTGAGTTGACGACCTTCCCTAGTAAGAAGTTGCAACAGCTCAAAGAAATCAAATTTCTGTGTCATCTTGAGATCAAGATGCAAATTTCTCTGTGTCGGTGCAAATTTTATGAGCCACCTCTCGGCACTGTGAGCAATAAACCCCGTAAACGGTGAAAATTCTCTAAAAGATAGGAGCGATTTGTGAAAAATTTCTTTGGTTACTTTAATTACCCCTTCTTCATGTCTGAGAATTAATTGATCTACCGCAATGATCACGAATTTGCATCTTGATCTCAAGATGACACAGAAATTTGATTTCTTTGAGCCGTTGCAACTTCTTACTGGGGAAGGTCGTCAACTCAAAGTGGAATTTCAAAAAAAGACCTATCCTATGTTCTATTTTTTGTTCTGTTCTATTTTTTACAGGCTTTCCAATAGAAAATCCGTTTTTAAGCAAAACGTGCAGAAAAAGGAAAAAAATATTGAAAAATTTTTCCCTACGCATAAATAAAATGTGGGAACATTGATTTCAATTTGGGATGATCGAGAGAAAAAGTATTGCTTAAAAATGAATGATTGAGGAATAAAAGAAAAGAAAACAATGGAAAAGAAGACAAGACAAAGTCTAAGCAGAAAAACAAGACTAGACAAAGTCTAAGCAGAAAAACAAGACAACAACAAAAACTTCTACAATGAACATTGAATTGAATTGAATTTTGAAATGAAATTCTTCAATTGAAAAAGAAAACAAGACAAAGCCTAAGCCTCTTGATCTTTGAATTGAAATCCGAGGAAAATCAAAGTTCGGACTGTGAAGAGAAAGCAAAAAAAAAGAAGAGATCTCTCAATTTCACCCAAATTATTCACCCTATCCATCTTTAAACATAAAAATTCAAACATAAACAAGAGATTCTTTGGAGCCAAGACAATGCTAACGAATAGTAAATTTCTAATCTCAAGTCTTTTCTATCGTTTAGAATCTCATAGTTAAAACAGAATGAATGAATGAATAAAACAGAATGAACAATGCTTGTTCATTCTGTTAATGTTGATAACGAGCTCAAGAAAGTCTTTAGCCTATTTTTTAACAATTCAAACGAACATCAACGCTGTTCAGATGCTTTATTCCTTTAAAAAAGAAACTTTTTTTGAAAAAAACGCTTTAAATCCGAAAAACAAACACCACGCAGTTGAGTATTTTTTAAAAAAAAAAAGTTAAATTATTGGGGGGAAAAGCAGTAAAAAGATGATGTTTTTTTCACAAATGGACATTCATTTTGAGATATTTTCTGCAAAAGAAAAGATACGGGAGAAGATAGAATTGACTTTTCTCGCATCTCACTCATCCATTTTTAGAAAAACTCATCTTCTTCTTTCTAAAGGCAACAAAATGGAAATATCTTTTCAGAAAAAAAAAATTAAATTCCTTGTAAATATCATAGAATAAAGGAAAGTCTTTTTGAAAATCTCACAATCAAAATCAAATCAAAATGTATTTGATTGCATTAAGGGTCGTCTTGCTATCCAGCAACTCCCAGCAACTCCCAGCAACTCCCAGCAACTCCCAGCAACTCCTAGCAACTCCCAGCAACTCCCTCCATATCCAAAAGTGCTCAAACTGTCACATATGACAATAGACAATACGATTTTGGTTTGTGTGTGAGACTCAAAAATGAAGGACTGGAGATGTCCCAGTTTGAGCACTTTCTTCAAAAGAAACCCATTTTGGTGTCAATAGAAAAGTTGTAGAGATTAATAAACTTTTAATAAACTCAACAACGAGTTTCGCGGGATTTTAGCGGAGCAATTTTTCACCTGCAATCACAGAACGGTCGCTTTCTGAAAAGCGGATGTTGTTAGGGGGGAAATGAAGAGATGAGAATTAATTAGATGAGAAGAAGTTGGGTTACATATACACAAAAGAAAAGAGATGAGGTGAGAGAAGAAGAATCGAGAGAAAGAAGGGAACACCTGTTCATCCTCTTCACTCCCAGCTACACGAGTCGACCACTTGAAATGTTTGGGCGAAAATTTTGGTGAAAATTTGGAAATCTGATGCTTTTACAAATACAAAAACTCTCAGATTGAGATGAAAATGAGCTGTGATTGAGATGAAAAGCTTTGGAAGAGGTTTGGAAGCTTTAGAAGAGGTTTGGAAGCTTTGGAAGAGATTTGGAAGCTTTGGAAGAGGTTTGGAAGCTTTGGAGGAGCTTTGGAAGCTTTGGAAGAGCTTTGGAAGAGCTTTAGAAGCTTTGGAAGAGCTTTAGAAGCTTTGGGAGAGCTTTGGAAGTTTTGGAAGAGCTTTGGAAGCTTTGGAAGAGCTTTGGCAAAATACAGTTCAAGATTGCCTCAACCTAGAAAGATGAACTTTTTTTCGAGAAATTTTCGATACTTTCGATACAAAAACACGTCTAGATCTTTTTAGATTTAGATGATCTAGATTTTAGATCATCTAGCTCAAACGGGGAACTAGAATGATGAAAAAATGGGGAACTGGAATGATGAAACGGTATTATTTTCATTTGCAAGATAGAGAAACTGATTACCGTGGTTACCTAGATTCCCCCTCGAGATGTGCCTCTCTTGAGATGCAACTTTTGAGCCTCAAATTGCTGCCTTTATCATTTTGCCTTAAATTTGCTCAACTCCAGCCCCACAACTATCTCAAATTAGCACCTTAGTGAATTTCAAATTTCGCAAATTTTGAGAAACGATTTTTTGAAAGTTTCTTTCTAACGTTTATGAGATTTGAAAGCATTTCTGAGAATCAGAATTTCAGAATTTTCAACTACAAAAAAAGCCGATAAAAATCAAAGAACAAAACGTGAAAAAGAGATGTTAAAAAATTGGATTAACTGATAAAAGGGAGATGATATTTGACTTCTTACAACGTTCATTTTCGATGCGGATGGTGTGCTGTGGTTGGGCGGGAGCGCGATTCCAGGCTCGGCTCAATTCATTCACATTCTACTCGCACAGGTTTCTTTTAAGAATTTATTTAAACTTTGCTATAACTTAAACAAATGAACCCAAACAAATGAACTTCTTTGAACCCAAACAAATTTCTTGACGAGAATTCGAAAAGTGATTGGCTCCACTTGAAACTCGCTAAATTTTGTGTCGAACAAAGCTCTAGTGTTTCTAAGCTTTAACTTTCTTTGAATCTTTTATTATTTTGTGTATTTGTTGAGGAATAAGTTATAGAAAAAGAAAAAAAAAGAAAAAAGTTATAGAAAAGATTTCGAATTTTATTCCATTGCATGGAATAAAATATAAATAGGAACTATAAAGGAACTCTAAGGGAATAAAATAGGAACTATAAAGGAATAAAATAGGAACTATAAAGGATCTAAATAGGAACTCTAAAGGATCTAAATAGGAACTCTAAAGGAACTATAAAGGCACTAATTCGAATTTTATTCCATTTCATTGCATGGAATAAAATTCGAAAATCTTAAGCTTCAAATGGATTTCCAAGTTGCATAGATCTTTAGAAAGAATAAATGAGAATCAAGAAAATGCGAATTTATTGCAACAACACCACGTAAGCTGGCTGACGATTTTGAGTATGAGAAAAGGGTTTGGACACAGAGATGGCTTTATTGCTCTTTCCCCCTCATCCCTTTAATGGTTTTTTTTAGTCTAAAGAACTCAATCGGTAAAAGGAAAACGGCAAAAGAAAAGAAAAGATGAATAGGTAAAGATGAAGCATTTTATCGGTAAGATGATGACTTTGCTTCATTTCTATACCCACCAGCTTTTCCTTCTCAAAAATCGATGACATTTTCAAATTGCCACTAGTAAATTCTTGAAAAAAAGCTCACCAAGAAAAACGAGCTTGAGAATAGAATATTTAAACAAAGCCAAAAAAAAAAAGATAAAAAGATTCTTTGACCTTTTTGCCGGTTTAGAGTCAAAGGCTGCTTTTTTTAGAAAAAAGGAAAATGTTTGAATTTGAATGGGAACAAGGTTCGTTAATGGAATCGAATCCAAAAATTAGCTCAATTACTCGTCAACTTGAGTTTGATTAACCTAATTTTTTTTTTCAGAGATATGTATAATATAAAAGCGAAACTCGAAAATCTTTTGTTTGTTGTCAGACAATTAGTGAAAAAGACAAATGTTGAATGAGAATCAGGTAAAAAGAAGCAATTTCG